CTCAGGTGGGCATTCTCAGGTGGGCAGTCTCAGGTGGGCATTCTCAGGTGGGCATTGTCAGGTGGGCATTCTCAGGTGGGCATTCTCAGGTGGGCATTCTCAGGTGGGCATTCTCAGGTGGGCATTCTCAGGTGGGCATTCTCAGGTGGGCATTCTCAGGTGGGCATTCTCAGGTGGGCATTGTCAGGTGGGCATTCTCAGGTGGGCAGTCTCAGGTGGGCATTCTCAGGTGGGCATTGTCAGGTGGGCATTCTCAGGTGGGCATTCTCAGGTGGGCAGTCTCAGGTGGGCATTCTCAGGTGGGCATTGTCAGGTGGGCATTCTCAGGTGGGCATTGTCAGGTGGGCATTCTCAGGTGGGCATTCTCAGGTGGGCAGTCTCAGGTGGGCATTCTCAGGTGGGCATTGTCAGGTGGGCATTCTCAGGTGGGCATTCTCAGGTGGGCAGTCTCAGGTGGGCATTCTCAGGTGGGCATTCTCAGGTGGGCATTGTCAGGTGGGCATTGTCAGGTGGGCATTCTCAGGTGGGCATTCTCAGGTGGGCATTCTCAGGTGGGCATTCTCAGGTGGGCATTGTCAGGTGGGCATTCTCAGGTGGGCATTCTCAGGTGGGCAGTCTCAGGTGGGCATTCTCAGGTGGGCAGTCTCAGGTGGGCATTCTCAGGTGGGCATTGTCAGGTGGGCATTGTCAGGTGGGCATTCTCAGGTGGGCAGTCTCAGGTGGGCATTCTCAGGTGGGCAGTCTCAGGTGGGCATTCTCAGGTGGGCATTGTCAGGTGGGCATTCTCAGGTGGGCATTCTCAGGTGGGCAGTCTCAGGTGGGCATTCTCAGGTGGGCATTGTCAGGTGGGCATTCTCAGGTGGGCATTCTCAGGTGGGCATTCTCAGGTGGGCATTCTCAGGTGGGCATTGTCAGGTGGGCATTCTCAGGTGGGCATTCTCAGGTGGGCAGTCTCAGGTGGGCATTCTCAGGTGGGCAGTCTCAGGTGGGCATTCTCAGGTGGGCATTGTCAGGTGGGCATTCTCAGGTGGGCATTCTCAGGTGGGCATTCTCAGGTGGGCATTCTCAGGTGGGCATTCTCAGGTGGGCATTCTCAGGTGGGCATTCTCAGGTGGGCATTGTCAGGTGGGCATTCTCAGGTGGGCAGTCTCAGGTGGGCATTCTCAGGTGGGCATTGTCAGGTGGGCATTCTCAGGTGGGCATTCTCAGGTGGGCATTCTCAGGTGGGCATTCTCAGGTGGGCATTGTCAGGTGGGCATTCTCAGGTGGGCATTCTCAGGTGGGCATTCTCAGGTGGGCATTGTCAGGTGGGCAGTCTCAGGTGGGCATTCTCAGGTGGGCATTGTCAGGTGGGCATTCTCAGGTGGGCATTCTCAGGTGGGCATTCTCAGGTGGGCATTCTCAGGTGGGCATTCTCAGGTGGGCATTCTCAGGTGGGCATTCTCAGGTGGGCATTCTCAGGTGGGCATTGTCAGGTGGGCATTCTCAGGTGGGCAGTCTCAGGTGGGCATTCTCAGGTGGGCATTGTCAGGTGGGCATTCTCAGGTGGGCATTCTCAGGTGGGCAGTCTCAGGTGGGCATTCTCAGGTGGGCATTGTCAGGTGGGCATTCTCAGGTGGGCAGTCTCAGGTGGGCAGTCTCAGGTGGGCATTCTCAGGTGGGCAGTCTCAGGTGGGCATTCTCAGGTGGGCATTGTCAGGTGGGCATTCTCAGGTGGGCATTCTCAGGTGGGCAGTCTCAGGTGGGCATTCTCAGGTGGGCAGTCTCAGGTGGGCATTCTCAGGTGGGCATTGTCAGGTGGGCATTCTCAGGTGGGCATTCTCAGGTGGGCAGTCTCAGGTGGGCATTCTCAGGTGGGCATTGTCAGGTGGGCATTCTCAGGTGGGCATTCTCAGGTGGGCATTCTCAGGTGGGCATTGTCAGGTGGGCATTCTCAGGTGGGCATTCTCAGGTGGGCATTCTCAGGTGGGCATTCTCAGGTGGGCATTGTCAGGTGGGCATTCTCAGGTGGGCATTCTCAGGTGGGCATTCTCAGGTGGGCATTCTCAGGTGGGCAGTCTCAGGTGGGCATTCTCAGGTGGGCATTGTCAGGTGGGCATTCTCAGGTGGGCATTCTCAGGTGGGCAGTCTCAGGTGGGCATTCTCAGGTGGGCAGTCTCAGGTGGGCATTCTCAGGTGGGCATTGTCAGGTGGGCATTCTCAGGTGGGCATTCTCAGGTGGGCAGTCTCAGGTGGGCATTCTCAGGTGGGCATTGTCAGGTGGGCATTCTCAGGTGGGCATTCTCAGGTGGGCATTCTCAGGTGGGCATTCTCAGGTGGGCATTGTCAGGTGGGCATTCTCAGGTGGGCATTCTCAGGTGGGCAGTCTCAGGTGGGCATTCTCAGGTGGGCATTCTCAGGTGGGCATTCTCAGGTGGGCATTGTCAGGTGGGCATTCTCAGGTGGGCATTCTCAGGTGGGCATTCTCAGGTGGGCATTCTCAGGTGGGCATTCTCAGGTGGGCATTGTCAGGTGGGCATTCTCAGGTGGGCATTCTCAGGTGGGCATTGTCAGGTGGGCATTCTCAGGTGGGCAGTCTCAGGTGGGCATTCTCAGGTGGGCATTGTCAGGTGGGCATTCTCAGGTGGGCATTCTCAGGTGGGCATTCTCAGGTGGGCATTCTCAGGTGGGCATTCTCAGGTGGGCATTCTCAGGTGGGCATTCTCAGGTGGGCATTCTCAGGTGGGCATTCTCAGGTGGGCAGTCTCAGGTGGGCATTCTCAGGTGGGCATTGTCAGGTGGGCATTCTCAGGTGGGCATTCTCAGGTGGGCATTCTCAGGTGGGCATTCTCAGGTGGGCATTCTCAGGTGGGCATTGTCAGGTGGGCATTCTCAGGTGGGCATTCTCAGGTGGGCATTCTCAGGTGGGCAGTCTCAGGTGGGCATTCTCAGGTGGGCATTCTCAGGTGGGCATTCTCAGGTGGGCAGTCTCAGGTGGGCATTCTCAGGTGGGCAGTCTCAGGTGGGCATTCTCAGGTGGGCATTGTCAGGTGGGCATTCTCAGGTGGGCAGTCTCAGGTGGGCATTCTCAGGTGGGCATTGTCAGGTGGGCATTCTCAGGTGGGCATTCTCAGGTGGGCAGTCTCAGGTGGGCATTCTCAGGTGGGCATTGTCAGGTGGGCATTCTCAGGTGGGCAGTCTCAGGTGGGCAGTCTCAGGTGGGCATTGTCAGGTGGGCATTCTCAGGTGGGCATTCTCAGGTGGGCATTCTCAGGTGGGCATTCTCAGGTGGGCATTGTCAGGTGGGCATTCTCAGGTGGGCATTCTCAGGTGGGCATTCTCAGGTGGGCATTCTCAGGTGGGCAGTCTCAGGTGGGCATTCTCAGGTGGGCATTGTCAGGTGGGCATTCTCAGGTGGGCATTCTCAGGTGGGCAGTCTCAGGTGGGCATTCTCAGGTGGGCAGTCTCAGGTGGGCATTCTCAGGTGGGCATTGTCAGGTGGGCATTCTCAGGTGGGCATTCTCAGGTGGGCAGTCTCAGGTGGGCATTCTCAGGTGGGCATTGTCAGGTGGGCATTCTCAGGTGGGCATTCTCAGGTGGGCATTCTCAGGTGGGCATTCTCAGGTGGGCATTGTCAGGTGGGCATTCTCAGGTGGGCATTCTCAGGTGGGCAGTCTCAGGTGGGCATTCTCAGGTGGGCATTCTCAGGTGGGCATTCTCAGGTGGGCATTGTCAGGTGGGCATTCTCAGGTGGGCATTCTCAGGTGGGCATTCTCAGGTGGGCATTCTCAGGTGGGCATTCTCAGGTGGGCATTGTCAGGTGGGCATTCTCAGGTGGGCATTCTCAGGTGGGCATTGTCAGGTGGGCATTCTCAGGTGGGCAGTCTCAGGTGGGCATTCTCAGGTGGGCATTGTCAGGTGGGCATTCTCAGGTGGGCATTCTCAGGTGGGCATTCTCAGGTGGGCATTCTCAGGTGGGCATTCTCAGGTGGGCATTCTCAGGTGGGCATTCTCAGGTGGGCATTCTCAGGTGGGCATTCTCAGGTGGGCAGTCTCAGGTGGGCATTCTCAGGTGGGCATTGTCAGGTGGGCATTCTCAGGTGGGCATTCTCAGGTGGGCATTCTCAGGTGGGCATTCTCAGGTGGGCATTCTCAGGTGGGCATTGTCAGGTGGGCATTCTCAGGTGGGCATTCTCAGGTGGGCATTCTCAGGTGGGCAGTCTCAGGTGGGCATTCTCAGGTGGGCATTCTCAGGTGGGCATTCTCAGGTGGGCAGTCTCAGGTGGGCATTCTCAGGTGGGCAGTCTCAGGTGGGCATTCTCAGGTGGGCATTGTCAGGTGGGCATTCTCAGGTGGGCAGTCTCAGGTGGGCATTCTCAGGTGGGCATTCTCAGGTGGGCATTCTCAGGTGGGCATTCTCAGGTGGGCATTCTCAGGTGGGCATTCATAGGTGGGCATTCTCAGGTGGGCAGTCTCAGGTGGGCATTCTCAGGTGGGCATTGTCAGGTGGGCATTCTCAGGTGGGCATTCTCAGGTGGGCATTCTCAGGTGGGCATTCTCAGGTGGGCATTCTCAGGTGGGCATTGTCAGGTGGGCATTCTCAGGTGGGCATTCTCAGGTGGGCATTCTCAGGTGGGCAGTCTCAGGTGGGCATTCTCAGGTGGGCATTCTCAGGTGGGCATTCTCAGGTGGGCAGTCTCAGGTGGGCATTCTCAGGTGGGCAGTCTCAGGTGGGCATTCTCAGGTGGGCATTGTCAGGTGGGCATTCTCAGGTGGGCAGTCTCAGGTGGGCATTCTCAGGTGGGCATTGTCAGGTGGGCATTCTCAGGTGGGCATTCTCAGGTGGGCAGTCTCAGGTGGGCATTCTCAGGTGGGCATTGTCAGGTGGGCATTCTCAGGTGGGCAGTCTCAGGTGGGCAGTCTCAGGTGGGCGTTCAAAGTCACAGTTGCCATGTGAGCTCGCACTCCTTTCCCCCTTCACCGCCCATCACCTCCCCTTCCCGCTCCCCCTCCCCGTGCAGTCTGTTTGCAGCGCGTGGGGGAGCGGCAAGGGTGGTGGCGGTGGATGGCAGTCGGGAGATTCTCGCTGTGGCGCAGCAGGTGGGTGGCGCAGCAGGTGGGTGGCACAGCAGGTGGGGTGGGGCTGCCTCGAGGTGTGGGTTCAAGGGATGGTGGTGAGGGCAGGGCGAGTGAGCATTGTGGTGGCACACAGGGGGCATGCTGCGCTGTGTGCTGTCTGCTGTGTATGCCATGCATGTCTCCCACCATCTCCCCACATGCGATGCTCTACATGGTGCGTCTCGGCATGGTTCCCTCTTGCTCGCACTTCTCAATGCCAATCAACACTATTCCTCACTCTCCTTATTCCCTTCTTCCAACTCCCCTGTCTTCCACCTCCCCCATCAGATTGCGCGAGCCAACGGCTATCTTGCAGGCGCCACCTCCACTTGCCCTCCCCCCTGCACCACTTCTGCCAGCGCGGGTCAGCGCGCACCACGCCCCGTGGTGTCCTTCGTGTGCGGCAAGATCGAGGACCTCTCCCCCGCCCCCACAGAAACCACTCAAGCACACGCGCAGACTGGTGCTGGCGGCGAGGGGGCGGGAGGAGGGGGAGGCAGGGTGGAGGTGGCGTTGGAGCGGGGGAGTGTGGACGTGATAGTGAGCGAGTGGATGGGGTACGCGCTGCTGTACGAGTCCATGCTGCCCTCCGTGCTGCACGCCCGTGACACCTGGCTCAAGCCGGGTGGCGCTCTGCTGCCCGACACCGCCTCCATGGTGAGATGTGCTGCACATGGCTGCATGGCCCTGCACCATGCATCGCAGCCACCCATACCGCATTTCCTTCCCACATCCGAAGTTCACTTGTCTGTCTTGATCTTGCGTCCGTCTCTGTCTTGATCTTCCGTCCGTCTCATGCTCCTCTTTCTATGCTATCTCTCTCCCATCCCTTCGTTCCGCGTGCTCTGCCCCGCGCTGCACCAGCATGTGGCGGGGATTGGTGAAGGGGCAACGAGTGTGGGGTTCTGGAGGGACGTGTACGGCTTCACCATGGCCTCCGTGGCTCGTGAGATTCAGGACGACGCAGCGCGCACACCGCTGGTGCAGGAGGTCAAGGCGTGCGATATAGTCACGTCCACCTGCACCATCAAGGTGCGCGGTGATTCATTCCAAGTGTTGGTTTGCTCTTGCAGTTCCCCTCTCATCTCTCATCTCTCGTCTCTAATCTCTAATCTCTCATCTCTCATCTCTCATCTCTCATCTCTCATCTCTCGTCCTTCGCCTCCCTCTGTTGCTCCCTCTGCCCTCCCTTCCCCTCTACCTCATCCTCTCCTTTTGTCCCTTCCATTTCCCCCCATCCCCGTCCATCCCCATGGCCAACCCCCTCCCCCACGGCAGCACTTTGACCTGTGCACGGTGACAGTGCCTGACCTCGACTTCACATCCGACTTCCAAATCACACCCGCCCTCCCCACCTCCTCCGCTGCCGCACCTCCTGCTGACAGCCCACCTGCTGCAGCCCCCACCGCTCCATCCCCTGCCTCCCCCGTGCTGTGTTATGGCCTGGCGCTGTGGTTTGACACGGGCTTCTCCTCGCGCTTCTGCTCCGCCAAGCCCGTGCTGCTCTCCACCTCGCCCTTCTGCACCCCCACGCACTGGGCTCAAACCCTCCTCACCTTCCGCGAACCCATTGCGCTCGCACCTCCAGCAGAGTCCACAGCTGCAGTTCCAACCGGAGAAGCACCACCACTGGGAGCAGCAGCAACAGGAGCTGGGGGAGCAGTGGGGTCGGAGGGCAGGCCGGCGGTGGAGGTGAGGGGGAGGGTGAGTGTGGTGCGGGGCAGCAAGCACCGCAGCATTGACATCTCTGTTGAGGTGGTGGCGGTGAGCGCTGATGGCGGCGACAAGGCATGGCCTGCGCAGATGTTCACCTTATGAAGCCATGCGAACGCGTGTTGAACCTGTGATTCCACTTATTTGTCACGAGTTTTTAAACTGGTTATGGTAACTTCATGAATGGCCATGAGGGGTGCAATAAACGTGTGCTTCTACCCTTAGATTAAGGACCTTAGTGTATGTTTGCATAGGGGGTTTGACCTTTTTTAAACGAGGACATCAGCCTGTGAGTGTATGCCTCGTCACTGAAGCCATACAGAAGATGCCACATTGGATGCCCCATCATTCTTACGATTCCCGCGCAATCTGGAGCCGCAGTTCCGCGCACACTGACCAGTGCATTCACCTTCCCCCTTGAGAATGTCGCAGTGCCGAGCCGAAGATCACATTACCACGAATCCAAATCCTTGGCACATCATCGTTTGCATTTCTCGATCCTTTGTCCCCTGCATCATACCTCGTGCCTCTGTGAGCGATAGCTACTTCGCAGCGGGAGTCGAGCTCGCAGTAGGCGATGGCGGCTTCTCTACTGCTCCGCAGCGGCCCGTCCGCCGCCGTCGCACCGCGCTGTTCGCCCTCCGCCTCCCACAAGACGCCCGCCCTCGCGGACCGCCTCTCCTCCTCTGCGTCCTTCGTGCCCCCCTCCCGTCAACCCCGCCTTCGCCTTCCCGCGAACCGCCCATCCGCGCGCGTGAGCCAGCAGCGCCACGCGCCCGCCGCGCCCAGGGCATCCGTGCAGACCGTCGAAGCTGCGCAATTGCCGCAGACCTGGTCCGCGTTTTCCGCCGCGATTACCGGGGAATGGGCGGGGTACTCATCGGACTTCTGCCCCGACGGGATAGAGACGGAGATTCCGAGGGAGGCCATTCCGCCGCCCTTTTGCGACTGGGGCCTCGCGCTCTTCGCGTGGCAGGCGCACAGCTCGACTAACGCGGATGCTTCTACCGGGGAAGTCCAAACCGTCTCCGAGCGCTTCCTGCCGTCGCTTGGCTTTGGCGGCGGCGGCGGCGCGGCGTCGCGCTACAGCGTGGATCGGCGCGCGGCGGGGATCGGGCAGGACGCGGCGGGCGTGCTTGGCTTCCGCGACGACGGCTGCTACGCCGTCGCCTGGCCCGGGAAATCCGTTTCCGAGTCTGCTTCCGAGCCTGGAGTGAACGCGGCTTACGTAGTGGTTCGGCAGGGCAGCGGCAGCGGCGACGCGTCGCAGTTCTTCGAGTTGGAGCACTGCCTCGTCGCGGAAAACGCGGACGCGCAGGCCGACGGCAAGCCCGAGCGCGTGCGCGTGCGCGTGGTGCAGCGTTTTCAGAAGGGCGCGGGGGCGGCGGGCGGGGTGGGGGACGAGGGGCACCTTCCCCAGCTGCTGGGCATGACGCTGTTCCGCGAGCGGTGGGTGGGCGAGTGGCGTGCCGAGCCCGACGGCGTGAACGAGTCGTCGGAGTTCGCGGAGGGCCCGCCCGTCGGCATCGACGCCGTGGAGGGGCGCTGGCTCGCCTCCGCCATGCGCGCCGACCTCAAACTGGTGAGCTCGGCGCGCTGCAGGGCGCAGATGTTGTGTGTGAGAGGAGAGGAGAGAGGGGAGTGGGGAGTGGGGAGTGGGGAGTGGGGAGTGGGGAGTGGGGAGTGGGGAGTGGGGAGTGGGGTGATGTGCACAGCAGAAAGGGAGAGTGGCTAGGGTGATGATAAGAACAAGGAACACATATCCATGAAACGGGTGATAAGTGGATGGGAGATTTCAATGAGAAATGTGCGACAATCCCTTACGTCCTCCATCACGCTACCCCTTTTCCTGCCCCGCCCCTAGCATCTGCTCTGCCCTCCTATCCCTCTGCGCTGCCGTGCGGTCTCGTCCCCTCCCACGCCACCTCTACTCCCTCCCAAGTCAACCCTCCTCCCGCCCTCCCCTCCCATCCCTTTCCGCCCCCGCCGAGCAGGGCGACGAGTACGGGCGGCGGGGGGCGGTGGTGGAGCTCAAGCCGGCCGGCACAGAGGAGGTCACCAGGGAGCTCACAGACGAAGGCTCCGTGCTGCTTCCTCAGGTAAGTGGAGCGTGTGGTGAGCGAATTGCAATGGAGGTGGTGAAGAGTGGGCGCTCTGCGTTGCACTCACAGCATGTGCCACAGCCAGCAATGCTTGACTTGCTCGCACCACTGCTGACTGCCACTGGTTCTCACGGCAGGCCCATGATTCTCTCTCCCAACCACCCTGGTGTAGCAGCAGCACAGCATGACGCCAGCAGTGCACCCACCGGAGCACTGATTCCCATCAATGCTGTGCTTTTCCATGGCCTGTGCGTCCTCCCATGGCAGGGCGTGTGGTCGAGGGTGCTACCCACGCCCAGTGGAGGGGTGATCCTCAAGGCGGGCTGGCTCGTGGAGGCTGACAAGGCCATCGTCTCTCGCTTTGACTACTCCGCCCTTGGTCGCCTCGAGGTACTGCCTCCATGCTCCACACGCACTTTCACACGTTCCCTTGTCACTGGCCACACATGATGCTCTCCGTGGTTCTCATACCCCACCCTCCCTCCCTTTTCCCCCTTCACTTGCGTGCAGCACATCACGATATCGACAGAGACACGCATCAGCAAGAGACCATGAGCTGTTGATGAACCCTGGTTCTTTCTTGGACCATGCTCTATACAAGCCCCTCCATCCATGGAACGTAAAAGCTGTGGAGGGGATGGGCTTCCCAGTACATCACCATGCACTACTGTGAAACCGCTCTGCAAGGCCCAGCTTCATGCATTGGGGTGGTATTGGTTGAAAAGGATCTTGACAACGCAGCTGCAGTCTGCTGTCTAACGTGTATCATAATCTTACTAGTGCAACTGTCCTTCATGCAACCCTGCATCAGAACTTCTCACAAACCCACACATACCATACCAAACATTCTTGCACACTGAATACAAGAATGGCGCTACTCAACCAACTAGTGGGAAGCATGGGGGCTGGAGGAAGAGCCGTGCTCGTCACTGCTGGTAGACAGCACGTGTGTGCCACCCTGAGAGGCCGGCAGGGCGGGCAGCAGGCAGGAGAGCAGTGAGGCGAGGGAGGGCAGCCCGAGCGCTGCATGGCGGTGCACCACGTGCTGCCTCGACCGCAGCACCGCTGCCACCCCGCTGCTGCGTGCAGGCGAGGGGCGTGGTGGAACTGTGGGTGCACGTGGAGGAGGCGGTGGGACTGGGGCAGCTTGTGGGGACGGGGGGCGAGGCTGGAGCGCAGGTGGGGTGGGAGGGGAGCGCTGTGGTGGTGGTGGTGGTGGGGAGGGCGATGGGTGTGGTAGTGGTGGCGATGGTGGTGGCTTAGAGGGGGGCAAAGGGGGTGAAGGGGGTGGGGGTAGTGGAGGGGGAGGAGATGAGGGATGAGGGAGAGGAGGATGGGGAGCAGGTGGGGGGTAAGGGGAAGGAGGATGGGGAGGAGGGGGAGGGGGTTGAGAGGGAGGAGGATGGGGTGGAGGGGGGGGATGAGGGGGGGAAGGCTGGGGATACGGGGGAGGGGGATGTGAAGGAGGAGGATAGGGAGGAGGGGGGTGAGGGCGAGGAGGGTGGGGAGAAGGAGGTGGGGGTTTAGGAGGGGGAGGGTGGGGAGATGGAGGGTGACTTAGTGGTGGAGGAGGAGGACTGGGAGGCAGTAGAGGAGGAGGAAAATGAGGAGGAGAGGGAGGAGGAAGAGGGGGAGATGGTGAGGGCGTGGGGGGAGGAGGGGAAGATGGAGGGGGGGATGGAGGAGGGGAAGAGGGAGGGGGGGATGGAGGAGGGGAAGAGGGAGGGGGGAATGGAGGAGGGGAAGAGGGAGGGGATGGGGGAGGGGAAGAGGGAGGGGATGGAGGAGGGGAAGAGGGAGGGGATGGAGGAGGGGAAGAGGGAGGGGATGGAGGGGGTTGTGGAGGGGGGATTGGAGGTGATGGAGTGGGAGGGGGTGGGGTAGGCGGAGGCGGAAGAGAAGCAGGAGGGGGGGCATTGCGGGTCCACATGAGCCAGGCTATGCGTGCACCAGGCAGGGATGGCCGTCCATGCGGAGTGTCATGCCACCCACCACCGATGCTCATGGGTTCCTCTATCACCACCCTCCGCGCCTTGCGCGTCCCACTGCGCTCCTCCTCACTCACTCCAGATGCCAAATGCAAGGAGGGCTTGCCCCCAGGGCGCACCTCCCACAGCGCGATGAACTTGCCGCTCCGCACCGCGCTTCCTGAACCCATGCAGTGCCAGACGAGTGTGGTGAGCATGTATGCACTTGGTGCAGCAACAACGCAGCAGAGCATCGCTGTACCTGAAGCGCTCTTCACTGTGAACTGCCCTCTGCTCAGAGCCTTGTCTGCCTGGGCGGGCACATCACTAAGTGCTCCCATGCCTGCTTCTCCATGACGCGTGGCCTTGGGTGTGAAAATCTCCACTATCTCCACGTGGAAACTAAATCGGAGGTGAAGTGACGCCAGTGGCTGCCGATTGTCACATGCCATGTCAGCAGAGGCACAACACAATGGGGGTCAGGAGGAAATGAGAAGCACACAGCAGCAGACAGGGACTCACCTGGAGGTACTGCTGGAGCTGGAAGGAGAATTGGAACTGCCGTTCGGGCTGGTCAGGTGGCATGATGGTGGCTCGCGGGGAGAAGAGCCTCGCAGCACTGGTGCTGTCTCCCGCAGCCATGGCATCACCCAGCCGCGCCAAAGCACGCTCAATGACCTTCACTCGTGGTACTACAGATGGGCGAGGCAGGTCCTTGCCATTTGACACACCTGAGAAGCCTGTGTTCAGCAGCACTATGTTGGATGCAGGTTGCATGGCACTGCTGCTTTCAGCGCGAGTGGTTCTGGTTGTGATGTGGGATTCCAGTGCATCGATACCACCACCGTATACCGTCCAACCCCCCAGCACAACTTGCCATGAACCATGTGTGTCTCTCAGGTCTTCTGCTTCTGTGCACTTGCCACGGATCACATTCCCTTTCCAAGCTCTCTTGTGGGGCATCTTTATGGCATGCCGGGACTTTCAGCCAGAGGGCCAAGGCAGAACCCTGTATGCTCGATTGTCTCCATCGTCGCTGTGAATCCATGAACACGGCTGCATACTGTACGAGCGATACTGCAACGTGCCGCCTCTTGTGCTGCTGTTTCTCATGCTGCTGATTCTTCACCTGTTCGTTTTCATGAGACATTTCCCCCACGGTAGCCACACCCACCAGTAGCTTTGAGATTGAGAAGTAAATTTTAAATTCAAAGCGCTTCAGGTACTTCATCAGCCTGGCTTGCGCTTGAGTGGAGTTCAGATTCCACGTGGCAGTGTTGAGTGCCATGATTGTGAGGTCAGCAGCGAACATGCTGGTTGGCATGGGGAGGTGGTGCTGAAGAGACAGGCTGAGGCGGTCAAGCTGAGCCTGAATGGCATTTCTTGCTGCTCTGGCTGCATCATCTGGATTGGAATCTCCGCTAACAGCAGCATGCTCAGGCAGACAGCTTGAGAGGAGAACCACACAGAGCACAAGGATCTGGAGGTGACATGAAATTCGCCGGATCCTTCTTCCTGGTACAGCTCCATGATGCTCTGTGCCTCGTCTCTGTGCCATTAGATAAATCCTACCATGCGAAACTAGACTCAAACCGAGAAGCCTGAAAAGACGCAGCAGCGGAACCAAATTCAAGACCCAGAGCTTTAGTTCAGTTCATATAGCAAGGTCCAGCATCTGCGTTTGGCAACTGCGGCATAAGAAGCGGTTCCACATATCCTATTCTGGTATGGCTATCGCTGTGCTCAGTATAGCAGAGGCCGATGCTTACTCTGCAGCCAGTCCCCACGTGGCAGCCTCGGAACATGGCTTCAGTCCTACGATTAGGATCGCGTCGCTGTCAGCAGTGACAGAAGGCTTTCCCGCACAAACAAGTTTCAATGGCGCTGTGGGATTTAGTTTGCTCAAGCACTACAGAAGCAGAAATGCTGTCTTGGTTCAACAATGAAAGCATCGCATTCAAGTTTCTCCGCTTACACAAGGTGGCACTTCACCGGGATCCGTATACATTGTGGAACCCATATCCCTTACAATGTCTCTTGTACACAAGATGGCGGGATAATTCCTAACCTGTTGTTCTCCAATAATAAAAATAATTCCAAGAATCTCCATCGCATTGTATTGCTGGCTCAAGATGAGAACTAAACCTGGACTCCACTGCATTCTGTAAACTCGAGCAATGGAGGAGATAACCTGAGAAGACATACTGTATTCGCAAACCGGTATAAACTAGACCTTCACGAGGAACTGTCGTACATGGGTGGTCTGCCATTGTGAGGGTAATCGTCTTGAACTGCTGGGTTTATGCCTTGCGATCGTCCGTAATCCCCGAATGCACTGGGTTCTGTGCGGTCCCTGATTTCAATGGATAGCAGTTGTGAAGAGTTGGCCACAGCTTCATCCCACCCGTAGTGTGGCTTCCCCCTGCCATGAACAGAACCCCATCACATCCACGCATAGACTTCCAATGAGAAAACAAGAGAAGCGAGTGCCACAACATCACACATCTACAACCAGACATCTGCATGTGTGCACACGATGTTGACCTATGCATGGGTAGATGCGTGCGAAGAATGTGCTTACTCGTAGTATGTTGGCTCTGCCACCACCACATCCCACTGTTCACCACTCGTGCTCCTCCCGTACTTGTGCACCATCCTGCAGCCAGCAGCACGCATTGGGGGAGCGGGACACACGTGGGCTCAGAGCGACCAGGACGGGACCAAGCGTGATGGTGAGCATGGGATTTGGGTAAGGGACCGAACATAATACGTCACTGACACATGGGCACATGAGCACATGAAGCACACATTAGACTGACTGAGATGCACACAAGCTTACCCATCGCCGAAGTGCTCCTCGCCCCATGTTCTCGACCAGCCTGCACAGCCACACGGAGCACCATGACAAGGAAAAGGGAGCTTGTGAGTTACGTGAAGGGATGAAACTACAGCTGGTAATGTGCTGTCGGGAGAGCTGCATTGTGTGAAAACTTAATTGCATCACCACCTCCGTCCTCAACTACAGCTTGCATGGGGTCTTTGCAACACGTAAGGGAAGCAACTGGCAGCAGGACAACACACAAGCTAAGCGGCTGACGACCCAAGCAAGCGGGCATGCACTTACGGGAGCCTGAGTTCTCGACGTGCCAGGTCTCCCCTTGTCTGTGCCCCACCCCCGACGTGAACCGCTCCTCCCACTTATCGCCCCACTTGGTGCCGTCGTCCTTCTCCGCCCACTTGTCCGTCCTGCATGCGGTGCAGTGCAGCACAGCGAGGTACAGCACGGTTGTTAGGCGCACGAGAGCACACGAGAGCACCGGATGTATGGATGGGAGCGGCCATGCTATCTCTGTCCAGTGTTAGTGCTCGTACCCGTCAGTATTGCGTTTTGCATTCAATGATGGTGCTAGTGCAGGCCCATCCAGGAACTCAGGTGTCACGCCAGAGCAATTGTGAAGGAGCGGTGCAAGAGCACCAAGCATAGGGGGACCGATGGTGCGAGCGTGGGGGGAAAAAACGCGAGTGAGAGGATTGGGACGGGTTGAGCCAGGGGAAGGAGCGGGAGAGAAGGAAGGCGCGGGGGGGGGGGGGGGGGGGGGAAGAAGAAGGGGAGGCGAGGGAGGACGGAGAGGCGGAGCCATAGAGATGACAAAGGCGTTTGACATGCTGCTTTAGGCCAGGCAGAACGCACCTTCGACCACACCTCTAATAATTAAGCATCTACACTACAAGCTTTCTGCCTTTCCCTCCATTGACGGTGCTCATGCAATCTGGTTCATCAAACTTCGAAATTTTCCACATATGCCAGTTCAGTTTCCTGTCTAGACTGGTTAACAAACACCAGACTTTGCATTCGCGGAAAGAAGCTTCCAGCACCATCCGCACGGGCTTCTAAGACATGTGAGTGGGCGCGCACGAGGCTGTGAGCACGGGAGCAGGCGGGTCTCACCATTTGAGCACCATGCCCTGGCCGTCGTACTGCTCGCCCCACTTCTCCCACCACGACTGGTCGTTTGACCGCCCGTACTTGTGCGACCCCTTCTCCGTCCACCCCTTGCCATTGTACTTCTCCCACCTGCCGCCGCGGGAGGGCGTCACAACAAACGATGATGAGGGGAACGAGCGATCTGTGCCGCACGTGATACGCATTGCACGCACGGAAAAGCAGAATTGGCGTCGTTCGTTGCGTAAAACGGCAAACCAATATTACCCTTCGAAAGGACATCGCCCTTGGAGACAACGAAAGGATCACAACTCACCATTTCTCATTCCAGACGTTTTCTTGTCTTGATTTGGCTTGTTTATGCGCGCTTCTTTCTATTCTCGGAATGCCGCTGGCAGAGTCGCCGAATCATCAGGGGAGAGCAAACGGGTGAAAAGAGCGAGGGGGGGATCGAGTGAGGCCGGGAGGCTGTCATGAAGGAACTAGAGAGTAGATGGCAATGGCGAAACGGCGAAAACGAGACGGCAACGGTGGTTCCGTGGGTAGGATCTGCGGCATACCAGGTACCGCTGTGCACTCAGAGCGCGCGGCAAATTACCTCCAGTTATCCACCACGTATACTTCTTGCCACGTCTCCCACCAGCTATCTCCTTGATCATTTCTGCCCGACTTCTCCGCGCCCAGCTCCTTGTACCCCGTCCAATCGCTCTTCTCCCACCACTGCGCGACGCAGCGATCCCGTCACACGCCGATCAAGGAGATGGTAACAACACGCATTGAAAAAAGCGTAAGACGCGGGCGAGACCTTGAAATAAGGGCAGCAGCGCTTAAACGTCGTAGGTGACTGCAGAGGTTTTAACGTTGAAAACGCGCGGCCCAGCAGAGATAAGAGAAAACGCGGTGCGAATGTTCAAGCTTACAGTTTCTTTCCATTCGGACGCGCCGTTGGGGTGTCGTCCACCCATGATGGTCCATCGGCACCGATAGCCATTGTCGCCCATGTCCTCTCCGCTCTCTCTGTACCACGTGCTGCCATCCTCGTTTATGCCGCATTCGTTCACTGGTTGGCTCTTCAGATCTATGCCCCAGTCCTTTTCACTGGCTATTCCAGTGTCCTCCCGCCAGCCGCCAGCAGGCGGCGCAGCTGCACAACACGCAGATAATGGAAGGATTTGTATTGAGAATAGTGCTAGTCGCGAATGTGCTTGAAACGTACAACGCATCTGAAGGTAGGTCTAAGCGCGAGACTTTACGAGGTGCTCTGAAACTCACCTCTACGTGGGGGCACGTCTCGGGGATTGGGTGCACACTGGCGAAGGAAGTGCTTCGAGTGCTCGTTGTCTGACTGCGCTCCGCCTTTCTGCCACCTGCGGTTCATGCGCGAATGCCCAATTAGTTGTCACGGGAAATCGGACCAGTGAGAGCTATTGCATGACCATTGGCTGAAAAAGACAGAAATCAGGGCCCACACTTACCTTTGCGAGGATCGAGACCCAGAAAAGCTGGCCTTCACTGTTAGGTTTTTGCTGAATCTGGATCTACGTTTATCGCCTCCATTACTTGACACTGGTGGATCGGGGCGAAACCTTTGCTGAGCTCTATCTCGAGAGCTGGTTGATCTGGAAAAGTTGGACAGCTTCTTAGATCCTACGACCGTTTTGTCAATCAACGAAGTACTGTTAGTAAGTGCAGCCATTGAGCTTGGCTGTGCAGTCTGTCTATAGCCCTAACAAACACCCATCGTTCCTACCATCCGAAGTCTTGAGTCCTAGCTTCGACGTACACAGGTACCACGAAACAACCCTAAGTGAGCAGTTGCTGTTTCGTCAGGCCGATCGGACCAAACACTGAAGCAGTGATATGTTTTATTCGGGAAAGATATTCCTCCGAATGATTGCGTGAACTGATGCTACACCACCATGGCCCTTGGGAATAGATCCAAACGATCAGGAGAGTAGAGGGACGCCATGAGATGGTGATGGAAGACGAGGAGGGGGAGGAAGCACAGCACAGCAGCACTCGAGTGTTGGACTCCTCAAAGTTGGGAGAATGACGGATTGTGGTGTGCGTAAAATATCGAGGTTGTGTTGCGACACGACCAAAATGTTTTTTGAGGCATGTTATTGATTTTAGGCGTGCATGGTCAGGAAGGAAAACATTCTCCGACGAATCAGTGGTCCGGCGGTTTGCATTTTGCCCATCGCTGAAAACTTCTGCTTATGGAACATCGAGAAGCCTCACGTTGAAGATCTGTTTCGTCAGCAACAGACGCATGCTGGACAGGCGCAGAACCATTCATGTGAAAGGGACTCCGTTTACAACCAATAAAAATCCTTCCATCCATCTTGGATTCAAACGCCCAGATACCATTCGCATACGTTGATCTGAGGGTAGGCAGGCAGCTACTTCGCTGACAGGGCAGCCACGCTGGACTTCCTCACATGTTACGCGAGGATCTCGAAGCACAGCCCTCCACCGCGACGTGGTCGTGTTGGTGACAAACACTCACTCCCTTCACTTTTTTCTTTGCTCCCTCCTTCCCTCCATCCCTCCATCCAAGCGGTACTTGGCTCCTCCACATCCTGAGACTCGTACGTTGCAAGTCTATTTCTCAATTTCCCTAGATTTAGTAGTCGAATTTTTACCGTAGCAATACGAAGATGCAAGAACGGACAATTATGAAGTCACGTTATGCGTGATCGTGCATGTCTTCGCCCATCACATCTTTCAACAGTGGGGATAAGGCGAGTATAATAAAACGAACTGCGTCTTTACCACACGTAGCAACCAAAAGGAGAACCTTGACGAAGGGCCTGCTGTTTCACCGCCGACAACAGTAAGCACTCGTCCTTTGGTGACCAGAAGTCCCTTGCAACCAGTTGTTTCTGCTCTGACGTTAACTTGAAGCGAGTTAATAGGGAAGCCCGGCTGAAAGAGGAGTACGAGCATGGTTAATCGATTATAAATGTTTAACAATAGATTGAACGTCGTGGGTGTTTGGTCTAGTGGCATGATTCTCGCTTAGGGTGCGAGAGGTCCCGAGTTCAATTCTCGGAACACCCCTGATCAATTTGGTTATTCTGACTTTTAGATTTTTTTGCTCTTTTTGTTGATCTGATCATTTTTACAAAGACATCGTAGTGTCAGTCCATTTCCATGGAAGCCTAAAAGGACGTGCTTTCACTGATGGTCTGCTTGTTGCAATAATGCCCTAGGGAAAGGCCATCTTTCTGTTGTGAGCACAACGGAGCAAAAATAGGAGTGCACAGTAGGACCAGAATGGCAGTGTATCGTGAAGGCAAGAGATGTAAATTGATACACGTGGCCTAACCACATTCAGCCTCAGTGACCAGCGAGCCAGCCTATTTTACTTGAGTGTTCTCTTGAATCATGAGCCTACAACAGTATGAAGGCAAAAAAAACCATCTCTAAACCTTCACTGGCGTTTCTTGATCAAAACAGGTCCTTGAACAGTTCAGGGTTTGCGCCAGACTCTGGAGTAACCACTCCAACTCTGCGGGCAGCAGCATCACGGCCCTTGGCTGTTGCACCTGCCCCAGCAGCAGCACCCACTGCTGTGCGCCCACCAATGCCCACAGCCCCACCAATGGCTGCTCCATTTGCTGACTTGCCGGCACCACTAATCGCATCAGAGAGTGCAGGTGCAGGAGACGCAGTGGCTGTTGCACTCATACTGGCAGACGAACCGCCACTCGTGCTGATCTCAGCCATTAGCGGTTCACCGGCTGGCATCACTGTCAGCTCCTCCAGAGCCTTAAAAGGGTCCAATGGAGCAGTACCAGCTGTACTGGCTGAGATGGCAGGAGCTGTTGCTGAGCTGTCAAGCATGAAGGCCGTGTTCGCTGGTGGAGGGTCATCATTGAGATCCAGCAGCAGCAGGTCAGCAACAGGCGCAGCAGGGACAGGAGCGGGTGCAGGGGCACTGGAAGCAGCAGCATCCGCTGCAGCCCCCTCTGCTGCTCCAGACCCTCGTTTTCCCCACTGCCCTCCTGCCCCCACCGTTCTTGGCTCAGACCTTGTCCCTGTCAGGCCAGATGAACTGGCCGCACCCCCACCTGCTGCTCCCTTGCCCCCGAACAGCTTCGCTGCCAGCTTCTGCTTCTCCTCACTCACTTGACTGCTCTCAATCGCTCTCCGATCCCCCCCTCTCCCTGCTGCTGCGCCTGCTCCTGCACCCCCTGCTCCTGCTGCTGAGGCAGCTGAGTCAACACGGATAGAGAATGAGTCAGCAGAAGGTCCTGCAGGAGCGGCAGAAGAAGGAGCAGCAGAAGGAGGAGGGGCAGCAGGGCGGCCCCACTTGCGTTGCACTCCTGAGAGGTTCAGCCTCGCTCCATCTGCTGCACCTCCCCCACCACCGCTGCTCGCCTCCCCTGCCCCATACGCCCCACCAGACGACTCCCGGAACCCTCCAGACATCGTAGCGGAGAGGGCTGGGGGCGGGTTGGCAGACGAATAGGCGGCAGCAGAGGAGGAGAAGGCACCGCCACCAGCGCCGCCGCGTTGCGAGGCAGTGAGGGGTGCAGCGGGCAGCTTGGGCTGCTCATACGCCTCGAAGCGCAGAGAGCGGTCCGCATGGCGCGCGGCAGCAGATGCAGAGGAGTCGTGCAGGGAGGAGGCGAGGGAGGTGGCATCGGCGCCCACGGAGAAGTTGAGGCGGTCTGACTCGGAGAGGTAGGGGCGCGCCCCCGCTGCCAGCGAGTCCGCCACGTACTGATCCAGGAAGGGCAGCGCCGGGTCGATCTGGGCAAGCGGGCACGGAAGAGGAAGAGGGGGGGTGGGGCATGGATGGAGACGATGAGCATGCAGATAGGGAGCACTTATGTATCCCATGCACCTGCTTTGCACGAGTGGGCTCAGCAACGAGGGAAGCGACATGAGTGCACTCAGCAGCAGCACAAAAACCTGGGAGTAAAAGACAAAGCAGCTTACAGCCCCTTGCCCCTACCCGCCCCTGGCATCACACACTCCCTCCCCTCCCGCCCCTGGCATCACACACTCCCTCCCCTCCCATCCGTGGCAGCTGACCTCGATGTCTTCACAGCTGGCGTCCACGGGCAGCACGGCAGCGAGGGTGTCAGGGCGGAGGGCGAGCAGGGCTTGCAGCTGGTAGGCGCGGTGCTGCACGTCGGTGCTGTGAGCCGCCACCATCTCCTCCACCAGCGCCCTCGCCTCCCCTGGCAGCCGTGCCTGCCGCCCACACGCCGCCTCATATGCCACCACCTTTGCCATGGCTGATAGCACATACGCCTGGGGCGGGCGGTGGGTGAGAGGGGTGAGATCTAGCATCACATGATCGCCTTAATCAATTCGGGGTGAGAAAGACAACGAGATTTCGTGTGGTAGCAGAGAGGGAGGAAGTGGGCGTGACTAGAGAGAGGACGAGTGTGTTTGATAGAGCAACAAGGATGGCACACACCCGCACAGTGTCGTCCGTGTCATGGCCCTCTGCCACGTCACACAGCTTTGCCATGACTTCATCTGCTGACATGTGGCCGTCTGACGTGGCATACTCGCCCAACACCCAGCATATGACCTGCCAGGTGCAAGCAGTGAGGCGGCGGACCAAGGGGAAACGTACAACAGGGGCAGGGGAGGGGACAGATGAGCATGCAAGGAGAGTGTGCGGGAGAGGCACAAGGCAGGAGAGAGGGAGCAGGCAGGGAGAAGCATGGAAGAACGACGGCAAGAGGCGAAAGGAAGTGCACCTGGAGCAGCAGCGTGGGCAGGTTCGGTTCCTTGAGCAGCTTCACATACGATTGCACCTGTGGTGTGGCCACAGGTTTGGGGGTGGGGGGCGTGGAGGAGGTTGGAGGGGGGAATTGGGAGGTGGATGGGGTGTGAAGGAGGTCAGTGAGAGGCGCAGAATTGCATAGAGCGTTAGTGGACGCACGGCATGCATGCCCTCCCTTGTGTGGTGAGGGTTGGCGGAGGTGGGGCGAGCAATGGAGTGCCAAGGAGGCCACACGGACAAGGCGGGGGTATACATGAGAAGAGGGCGAATGAAAGCACCACAGGCATGCCATGATACGGGGTTCAGCCAAGAGGGATGGAGAAAGGTGGGCTAGCAGGGCAGGATAGGTAGGGGGAGGGCGGGAGTGGAAATAACGAACAAGGGAAGCACGCTACAAGAAGCAAACGGAACACAGCAGCAAACAAGGATTCATGTGGAAGCACTGTGATTGCTTGCAGGGCACGCAAGGGCGAGACCACATCGCCACTCACGGCGGATGAGCGCAGGCGTGAGTCGGCGTCGTCGTTGTCACCGCCCGACCCCTCAGCGATGAGGCGCATGAGGTCGTGTGCCACCTTGGGGCGCACCACGTCCCCCGCCACCTCAAACACACTGTTCATCGTCTGCCCGGGGGAGGGGAGCAGGAAGCCGGGGGCCGGGGGGAGGGGAGAAGGGGGGGAGGAGGAATGAGGGAGGTGAGGGTTTTGGGGGAACCTACAGCGATAGTGAGAATGGTGCAGCGTGGTTGAGGCATGGGGAGGTGATAAAACAACCATCGCCTCTCACCTGGATGAACCACTCATTGGACGGCGCAAATCTCTCCGCCAGCTCAACAATCCTCGCTGCCAGGTCAGCACGCCCGTGCGCGTGTGCATCGTCACCCGACCGCAGCCCGCGCAGGTACTGCAGCACGTGCTCCACTATCACCTCCACATTGCCCGGGCCCGTCATCTTATAAAGGAGATCGAGTGTTTTGCGCTTGAGCGAGTCGTCGGGGTCCTCAAGGCAGTCAATGACGGCGATCTGGTGCTCCGTGGCGAGGTCAGGGTTGATGCGCACTATCTGCGCCAGGCAGTCCACGCCCATGTACCGCAGGTTGTGTACGCTGCTCTGCATGGGTGACGTGACACGAATACGAGCGAGTGGGGAGGGGATGGGGTGCCTTTTGAGGCGCCTCAAAGATCGAGCAAGGGAGTCCACACCCATGTATCACAGGTTGTGTACGTTGCTCTGCATGGTGATACAAGCGAGTGGGGAGGGGGCGGGGTGGAGAGTGGGGGACGGAGATGGCGGTGGTGGTGTGGAAGGAAAGTGCGTGGAAGGAGTGGAGTGCAGGAATGGTGGGAAGAGGTCAAAGAGCAGTGCGCTTCGGACCTGCTTGCAAATTCACTCGGAATGAGGACGCATTGGAGTGTGTGGCAGGAAGGTGAATGGATGGAGGGGAAAGAGCGGTGAAAGAGAGAGGGGTTGGGATGGGGAAGGAGGAGGAGCGAGGGAGAGGGGGCAGGCGGGAGGACCTTGAGGAAGGAGGAGGTGATGACAGCGCAGGACGCCAGCAGCTGCTCGCTGGGGTGGATGGCAGCCACCGTGCGGATCGCCTCGTACAGGATCGCGTTGCCAGCTGTCACCTGCGAGTCGTCCCGCCGCCCCGTCGTCCCCGCCTTGGGCTGCGACTCGCTGATGCGCCTGATGACGTCAGCGATGACGGGGTACATGGGCTCGCTGGCCGCCTGGTTGTTGGCGCCCAGCAGCGCCAGCAGCTTCAACAGCTTTATCTGTGTCAGGTGGACCACGGGGTGTGGTGTAGGAGGGAGGGGACTAATGACGTCAGCAGTAATGTGGACACACAAAGGCGTTGGCTTCCAACAATTTCACTTCAAGGAAGCAGTGGTGCAATGGCTGCAGCCTGCTGCATGTTGGAACAAATTTAGTTCTGATGGCCATTGAGATGGCTCATGGGGGCGGTACCTGGATGAAGGGCGCGGGCACACGGTGGTAGTCGAACGACTTGGGCAGGCGGCCCTCGGCGACCTGCTTGAGGATGCTCAGGAACGACGGCGTCAGGTTGCGGTACGGCGCAGGGTCCGCGGCGATCAGGTCGTGCAGCCCGCACAGCGACGCGCTCATCACGCTCGGGTCCTTGTCGCACAGCGCCTGGCGAAACTTCTCCGTCACGTGCGACACGCTGGACGGCGACCGTTGATGGAACCGTTGAAGCGCCATCACCGCCTTTTTCCGGACCAGCTCTTTGGGATGTTTAAGGAGGTCTACTATTGGGTTCAAGACCGCCGGAATAGTTTCCTCGTTGATTAATTTGCAGACGGCTCCTAACGCCGCGCATACGACGAGGTAATTATCGGATTTAAGATCCTTCTGAATCGTGTTGACTATCAAAATTATCAAATCGTGCGAGTCGTCCAGGAAAAGCGTACACGCGAGATAACCTGTGCGTTTCAACAAGAGGTTGTCGTCGTGTGTCATCTTCACGGCGTGGATGTAACCGAACGACGCATCGTGACCGAGAATCTCGAGGTACATAAGCCGTAGGATGTACTCTTTCATTCGCTTCTTAGGCACGTCCGGCTCAGATATCTTCTTTTTTAGCAGCTCCAGCTCCCCCGCCATAATCCTATCCTCCTCCGCCTTCGACTTAGCCTCTCCTATGGCTTTAACTAGGTCCAGGAAGTCCTTAGACGATCCGACCGCGCTCTGAGACGCGAGGGCGAGGTCTCGCCCAAGCGAACGGAAATCCATGGAGAAGGACATGGCTGGCTGCCTGCGGGACAATGCTTAACTGGCTGGGGGTGTGATCAGCTGCTTCCACGACTCGATTTCTGACGACCCGCAAGCGCGCGAGATGCCGACAGCGCAATCAGACTATCCTAGACGGATGCGCATGTGGCGCAAGGTGCTGCCATGAATAAGAGACTATGCAGATCCAGTAAAGTGCAGGCAGGCAGGGATCCCTTATCCTCCATCAATTCTACCTCCCAACGATTTCCAAACAAAGTCATGATTGAAGTGAAGAGCCTCGGGATCGCTGTCTGCAAAGGCACCCAAGCAGCCAAAAGGGCTCCAATAAAGGTACTGCCGAGCTGCGACGGCCCAATATTTTTTGTGTACTTTGTTCCATATCTTGTTGAGACATTAAGTAAGGCATACTCGACTGCAACTGAGAATTAATAATAGCAATTTATCTTTCATGGGTGGCCACAATATCAGAGACGAATCAAGTGGTGATGCTTAGTAAGATAATACGAGCTCCATCGTGCCATTGGATGCCTCTCCAAGCCCCTGGTGACCGGTCAGTCAAAACGCGCCCAACAGAACACTCTGGAGTCTGGTGCTGGAGACCAACAAACCCATTGCAAATCTGCATGCCCCACTTCAAACGTGGGAAGAACGAATCTAGACTGGCTCATTACACTATGATAGTCAACTATGTTCCATTCGCGCTCTACTCTGTTTGCATGGCCTCGCCCTCAGCAGGCTTCTCACCACCTGCTGCCGCAGCACCCTCTGCGGCAGCCCCCTCTGTCTCCATCGGCTCGCCACCAGCCTTAGGAGCCTCGGCTGCAGGCTCAGGCTTGGGCTCTGCGGGCTTGGGAGCTGGTTTGGGTTTGGTCATGATGGGCTTGCAGAACCTGCCGATAAATAATGAACACATGGAATGTCAGAAAAGGGACACAATTCAGATGGGGAGATGCCAGCCATCTCGGCAGCGCAAATCAGCAGACGAGCTACGACCATGCCTAATGCTCAGAAAAATGGATGCCACAGGAGTTCTCCTGTGCCCACCTGTCGAGGGTCTCTGCCTTCTTGCGTAGGTCGGCAGCGAGCAGCACGGGGTTGTCCTTCTTGCTGAGCTTTTGCTGCTGGAAGAGCATGTCCCTCAGCCACATCTCCGCCTTGTTGCACTCCTCCACCACCTGCATTCGCCACATCACAAGACCGCATATCAAGCAGTAGGACGTGAGAGAGAGGAGATTCACTGATTCTGGTACTGGATAGACTCCTGACATTTCATCCATCTTTTCTGAGCTTTGCCCTCCCTCTGACGAACCTGGATTCATGGTAACAACACCCACCACGTCCCTCCTCTCCCCATTTCACCCCGCACACTGAGCACCCACCTAATGCCAGCACATATCTTCCGTGCCTGCCTGTTTATAGCGCCTTTTTACACAAACAATCCCATCTCCCCTCCACTTCACGCACCTGCGCCTTCTCCTTGGGGTCGATGTGCGCATACATCGCATCCGTGGACAGCGCAGCCTCTCGGAAGCTTCCAATGCAGTACTGCAGGGACTGCAGTGCAGCCGGGCGGGCCTCCTCCTCGCGCAGGCGCGCCTCAATGGGGTCGCCCAGGCGCTTGAGCTCGTCGAGCTTGGTGATGTACACGCCCTTGCTCTCGCTCTCCCCATCCTCGTACAGCCAGTCCTCCGTCTCCTGCAGCCGCGCCAGCAACTGCTCCTTCTCCGCGTCTGATGCATATGCTGCTAGCTTGTCGTGCAGCTGCACAGCAAGCATGGAGGCAGGGTGAGGGAGGAGGGTTTGAGCGGGCAGAATGAGCAGCAGAACACGGTGGTGGGATGCAGAATTGGTTTCTCATTGTTGGGGAGCTCCGGAGGCCATACGAATTACCAGTTGAAGACAAGAATGTCATACAATGCATTCTGTTAACCTTGTGCATCCCACCTCGTTTGCAAATGCCATACCATGCTAAGCCAAGCCATGCCCGCACCCACCGTGCCATGCCATGGCACACCATGCCCGCATGCACCTTGTTGCGCATGTCGTAGACGTAGCTCTCAACGGCGTTCTTCTTCTCTTTGGTCTCTTCCATCACGCGGTCCTGCAGCGCCATCGCAAACTCCTCCTCCACCAGCTGCTGCAGCTTCGCAGGGGGCAGGCCCCCCACCAGGTGCGCCTCGATTGGCACGTCCGTCTTCTTCGTCTTCTTCTTCTTCACCATCTCCGGCTGCACAGTGGTGGAGTGCGGTGCAGGGTGGTGCAGGAGAAGGTAAGGGGGAAAAGAAGCCAGCGGGTGAGTGAAGGAGCCACAAGCACCCACCTGTATGACTCACTCAGCAGCATGGATGCTGAATGCCGTTACCTTGGCTGGTTGCGCAGCATCATCCATCTTGGCGTCACCCTCCGCACCACCGGCAGCAGCAGCATCAGCGTCCATGGGAGCCCCGGCTGCATCGGCTGCAGGCTCCTTGGCGTCCTTCTTGGCCGGCACCTCCACCTCCTCCTCCTCCAACAGCTGCCATCACACCGCAATGCCACGGAACGGTATGACGGAAGCAACCATGGTAAGAAAACACGCAAAGGAGTGCTTGATTGGAGTATTCTGAAAATCCCTCTTCTGCTTCTGCAACAGTCTTTCGCTCTATACGTGCACTTCACATCTGCATTCAGCCCCCGCTGGGGTTTCTCCGCTACCTTGGCAATTGTAGCATAAGCTAAAAAGGGAGGCAGCGGTGAGATGAGAATTCACCGCCTCCACAGTGAGACACAGCAACTCACGTTACCATCCTCCACTTACAACACACACATAGCCTGCATGCAACCACGCATCTCACATGTTTCACAACGTTATATTTGTTTTTCTCCTTTGATTCTTTATTCCTTTCCTCTTCAGATTCTGCACCTTTTCTCTTTCTCAAGCTGTTCAACCGCGCCATCCTCCGTGGCAGGGCAGCACTCACCGTGGCGGATTCAACGGACAGGATGCCGTGCAGGTTGAGGCGGATCTTCACCTTCAGCTTCGGCTTTGAATCCGGCCGTGACGGCGCAAATGGACCCACCTGCCCCATGCAGAGGGGGGTTGCGGGAGGAGGGGGTAAAAAATGTTAATCTGGGGTACTCACTCTTCACAAAGAATCCACTTATGGAAGCGCACAAGAATGGTTCTGACAGCCAGTGTGCATGTGATGGATGGGGTGCTCCCACCACATGTGCCTCAGAACTGTGGACTCACAGTGAAGGTGCCGATACGCGTGTTGGCGCCAACGGTCTGGTCCTCGGGATTGGCGTAGAAGGCGTCGATGGTGAAGGCCTCCGTGCGGTAGAACGTCAGCAGCTTCGAGCTTGGTAGCGGGTTGTTCTTTGAGAACACCACCTGGTTCGGCTGCGCCGCCGCCTCCTCCCCACCGCCCTCCGCGCCCTCCGCGGACGCCGCCGCGCTCGCTTGCTTCCACGAGAGCGCGATGGCAAACGGGTACGTGTCGTGCACCTGCGCGGGGGGCGGGGGGACGCGCGGGGGTGGGCGCGGTGGGACGAGGGGGTGACGGGGAGGAGGTGAGAGCGAGATGAAGCGAATAAACGGGGAATTGAGATGGGCGGGATGGTGGCGAGCGTTGGCCGGAAGAGCGTGCGTAGCACGCTCGCACCCTGTATCGTGCATCATGCACCACGTGCCCTGCACCCATTAATCAACGCAGCACCCCCGGCGAGACAACTCACCTCGAACTCGCGGACTTTGAAGGCGGGGCTCAGCATGGCGCACTGCAGCGCGCACCCGCGCGCGACGCACTCGCTGGCATTCATGGTGCGGCGCGGCTCCTTGCCGAAGAACTCCGCGAGGATCTTCATGATGGCCGGCACGCGCGACCCGGACCCCACCAGCTCGACGGCTGCGATCTGATCGACGGTGATGCCCGACTCGAGCAGCGCGCGCGCGCAGGGCGCCTTGACGCGCTCGAGGATGGGCCGCGCCATCTGCTCGAACTGGTCGCGCTTCAAGAAGCCCGTCACGTCCTTCTCGTCCATCAGACACTCCACCTGCAGCGGGGGGGAGGGAGGAGGAGGGAGGAGGGAGGGAAAGGAGGAGTGGGGAAAGCACACACGGGATGACGGGAAAGGGTTTGGGTAAGGGGGAGAGAGGCCAACGAGATGTTTCGGAAGAGGTTGACGAGGGAGACGAGGTGAATCCACGGAACAAAAAAACGCGAAAAGAGAGAGGACCGAAAGGAAGACCCGTGCCTTGTGCAACAGCGACTCACGTGCAGCGGCGACTCGGGGTTGGCGCTGAGGACTTTTTTGAGCTTCTCGCACGCGGTGCGCAGGCGGAGGCAGGCGCGCGCGTTGGAGCGGATGTCGAGCTTGTGGTTGCGCGCGCACTCGTCGACGAAGTGGTTGAAGAGCACCTCGTCGAAGTCGCGCCCGCCCAGCGACCGGTCGAAAGCGTGCGCTAGCACCTTCAGCTGGCCCTTCTTGAACGCCACGATCGACACCTGCATCGTCGAGTGCCCGATGTCCACGAACGCGATATTGAGTGGCTCGGTTTCCGACAGATCCGTCTTGTAGATTCCGTACGCGAGCGCTGTGGCCGTCGGCTCGTGCATTAGCCGAAGCGGGTGCAGCCCCGCGATGGTGGCTGCATCGAGATACGCACGGCGCTGCGCGTCGGTGAGGTAGACGGGGATGCCGATCACGCAATCCGTGATCTTCGATCCCAGGTCCTTCTCGCCGATCGCTTTTAATCCATTCAGAACCATGGCGAGCAGTTGGGTGGGAGTGAACGTCCTGGGTTCGTTCATGTACATGACGTGCACGAGAATATCGCCGTCGGGGCCTTCGGAGCAGCGGAACGGGAACATCGGAAGGTCCTTTTGGAACTCGGGATCCGCGAATTTCCGCCCGATCATGCGCTTGATCTGCGACACCGTGTTCTTAGGGTTCATCGTGTACGACGCCGCTCCTGCGACGCCCAAATATCGCTGCGTTTCGCCAAAGCAGACGACATTGGGAGTCTCGCGATTGGACTCCTCGTTGAGTGCGATGTCGATACCGCGTTGCCGCGCAATGCCTACCACGCCCCTCTCGTTCCCCACATCGAAGCCGACCACGCTCATGGTGCTCTGTCGAAATTGAAGGCTAGGCCTCGGCAGAAGTCGAAAAACAAGAGATCAAACCAGGAAGCACGAAATTAACTGCTAGCCTAGGAGCAGCGTGGTAGAGTCACAGATCCTGAAGCAACAGCTAGAAGAGATGAAAGGGATTTGCTTTCATAACAGCACAATGTGCGATCCAACAGAAGTTGTCAGTGCCTTCGCGAACGTCGTGAATTCTGAATACTGTTTCCTCGCGAAAGCAGAATACTGCGCAGCGAAGGTATGCGCCATCAGTTTGACAGCAAGTAACACATCGGAGAACTTCGCTACGGCATTCACGTTCTAGAATGTCACCGTAACGAGACTTCGGGAACCTTCCCGCGGGCGGTTGTGACTGTGGAAGACGAGAGCACGCCACGGCACTGCACCTGTCAGATTCTGTGGAACAGGTATGAGAAAATTCAGTGCTTCCGTAAAGGACACTTCAATATGAGTACATATGCAGTACATGGAACGGCTGCATGTAACCTTCTTGCAAGTTCGTACTAAAACATCCCTTTTATTGCCAAATCTAATTCAAACCACTGAGTGGGAACACCGCGATTCTCTCCCAAGTAATCATAGCGAGGTCGGTGGGTTCAGTGCGGTAGAGTGCGAGGGACGAAACATGGAAAGAAGGGGATGGTTGGGAGGAGGCGGGGGTGGGAGGGAGCAGGGAGGGGAATGCCTCAACCACTGCTGCTTTGGCTTCCTGCTTCTGGGCGTCTGAGAGATCACCATAAATGAGGCTGAGGTGAGGCATGTACGCTGCACATGCAATGCAAGGCCACAGAGAGAGGTGGAGGGTGGGCGTGATGACGAGGGCGTGTGTGGGGATGTAAGGATATGAGGGAAGTTGTGTGCTAGTCAGGCAGTTAGGAGGATTGGAATACATAATCGTGCAACAAGCAAGCAAACGAGTGACACATTCTTGATGTGGTGTGGGGAACAATGACATGCCGGTTGATGCCCATACATGCAACGGAATTCCTGTCCATGCCCATCACTTCCACTGCCTCGTTGTGCACATGGAGCACCTGATAACACGCACACCATGGGCCATCGCCCGGAGGGGAAAGGGAGAAGGTACACCAGGCAAGATGAATTGATGTTCCATCAGGCACTGGCAAACTCAGCAGCGCTCGTGTGCTCTAGCAGTAACAAGTCAGCTTACCAGGAGCGCCACACATTAAATAATAAAAAAACTGGAAATCCGCACATCTGGGCAACACGAGAGAGCGTACCTCTTTAGATGGCAGCATCTTGAGATACACGCATTGGAAGAAGAGCTGACCGGCAGCCAGCTCCATGACTTGGATGTCATACGGCTTCAAGGACGCACTTAATCGCTCAATGCGCTTCACCACTTCCTGCTCGTCCAACCCCTCCCTCTCCCCAAACGCTCCAATCACCGTCACATGCGGCTCAAACGGCGTGCACCCGAACCTGCGTGACAGGTTTTACGAGCAGATCCTCGATTGTATACTTCAGGTTCAGTCCAATCCCTACAAAGTTGAACAACGTGTTTTTTATTTCAAGATGACAAACCTTGTTGAGAGGTTCGAGATGGCTGCCGAAGCTGAGGCGTGGAATGCCGAGCCTTCTTCAGGCATGGCCCAGATGGAAAACTGATTCACCTTCGCTGACGTGGCACGAGCTGAAGTAATGTTTCCTGGTTTATCCCGCAGCCGATCAGGGTCCATGGCTGACGTGGCAATGTCGGGGGAAGTGGAGGACGAGAGGTGCGTGAATGCGAGATAGGCGATGAGTAGAAATGCTACAAGAATAAGGACGGAGCGGGCGTCGAGTGGTCTGAAGAGCGGTAGGTTGCGAAGGACAGTGCGCGATGAAGGAGGGAGCGGCATTCGTGCGCGCGAAAAGGGTGCTAGCGAAAGATGCAGCGTTCGCGAAACCATGCAACGCTGGGCTCGTCGGCGCGTGGCAACGAATCTAGTTGGCCAGTTTCAGACAGGAAACCGACGAGAACTGCTGCAGAAGGGAACGGAATCTTGACCTGCTGAGATGGAGCATTTACGCGGGCATAGAGTCGAATGACGGTTACGCGCGTTAGACGGCGGGGAACGCGGGGAGAACCTTGGTCGAGGGCATCTGGCACTGTGGACCCCGAGAGCGATGGCAAACAGAGGAACATGCGCAGACATGAAGCTTGCATGGGATTGACCGCAGTTCTGTAAAAACGGCTTTTAAGAAAATTGTTTGTAAATTGCTTAATATTTTTGCAAACGTATCAGAGTGGCGCAGCGGAAGCGTGGTGGGCCCATAACCCACAGGTCCCAGGATCGAAACCTGGCTCTGATATCTTTTTCTCATGGCAGATCTCTACTCATTTGCTCTTCACGCAAATTTTCCCGTACTACCACAGATGGTCGCCTCATTTTCACAATAATGTACCTGGTATTACACCATTTTGGGCACTGGTGGTGGTTTAACCATCAATGAGAGAGTGCACCTCTGTCAAGCGGTGAGCGAGCCGCCACATAGAGGTTACATCCAAGTGATCATACAAATTGCTCTTGGTCACATTGTGATTGACAGACCTTGCTTGTGTGTAGTACATCACCAATGCATGCAGAGCTTGGATATCATGGGGGCTGGACCATGGCCCGCGCACACATGTAAAGGGGGAATAATTGGCCATGCTGATTAATTGCAGCTCATAATATCTGCTGCTAGCGTTACGTGCACCAACAACCTTGGTTGAGGGAATGATTGCACAAAATCTTCCCTCGCACAGGTGAAGCCAATAACTGCTCTACAAAACAGAAATCCTAGTGCTCAAGAGAGCAGGGTGGTAGCTCTGGGTGGAGTGGGGTGAAGGAATCACGAAGGCTTTGCCTTGCGGTGGGCGGGCTTGCCCTTGAAGAGAGCCACCAAGTCGTCAAAGCCCTTAGGGGAATGGCAGGGCAAGTGGGGGAGCAGGTATGGGACAGGAACAATGGTTGGCTTGTGCTGTGCGCACAGTGTGCGGCTTGATGCTCATGTGAGATTGCTGGAAAACAAGTACGCATGGCTGTGATGGGGCGTGAGCATACCTTGGTGGCTGTATGGAGGACGACGAAGAGGGAAGAGAGGTAGACGGCCACTGCAAGGAATGTGACTAAATCGAAGGTGATGCTGGCCACCTGCACGCACACGTGGACGCATGGGAGTGGGCGAACACAGAGAAGGACAGAGCAACAAGTCAGTGGAGCAGGGGGCGATGGCCTAAAGGCCTGGAGAAGCTTTCTTCAAGGTCGGCGACTGGGGCGCAAGCACATCGCATGGTGCATCCATGGTGGATGCACAGTATGCGCAGACATCAGACGCAGCATGTTACCACAGCCCGCCAAACCCCACCTGGTAGATGTGCATGTGAGCGTGCGGAGTGGAGTAGAGCGTGTAGTGCGGGTCCAGCGCTGCTTTCCTCACCTCCACCTTGTCCGCATGCAATGCCAGCTCCTGCCACATGGGCATATATTTACACATGGCCACATGGCACATGGATCGGCGGGAATGAGAGCGGTGGCATGAGGAAGGATGAGAACGAAGGTTCATCATGGAAAGAGGGAGAGCTGTTGCAGGCGCAAGCCATTGGGTGCTCAAGAGGACCGCAACGAGGAAATTTTATTTTACGGAAATGTGGAGGCCATTCGCTCACACAAGAGAGACCATCTTACTGCCTGGATGGCGGCAATTATTGGGTCGTCCTTGGCCAATAGCGGGGCGACACGTGGCGAGCGGGAGAGGAGGGAGAGCCAGTGCGACAGGTATGGGAGGCTGGGAGCGAGTGAGGAGTTGGGCGGGAAGAAGGCGATGGGCGGCGGGGCTGCTTCCGCTCCCTCAGATGGGCTCGCACTGGCAGTGCCGGCGCTGCTGCTGTTGAAGATGTGGCTCTGGAGAAGAGAGAGGAATGCGGTTAAACAGACATGGGAGAAAATAAGAGGGTTGGAGGGGGACGCACAGTGGCAAGGAGCTAGTAGCGCCAGGATAAGAGATACATGTGGATGCAGGATGTAGGTACAAGAATGATTGGGTGGGGCCAAGCGAAAGTTGTTGTCTTCTCACCGCAATGGTTTCAGCGATGAGGCGCGTGGCAGCCAGCAGCTGGTGCTCGTCCACTGATGCCCTGCCCAACGGTGCAGAGGCGTTCAAACCAGCACAGGCAACAACAAGAGGGTTACGAAGGGAAGGCAAGGGAGAGAAAGCAAAGAAAGAGAGAAGTTGAAAGGAGGCGCAGCAAGGGCAAAGTACTGAAGGATGATGAAGGCTGTGAGAACAAGGACAAGGGATGAGCGTGTGATGAAGGGCCCATCATACACAGAGCAACTCAGGCTGCCATATGGTCCATGAGTCCCCTTCCACTTGGAAAGCACTCCCAGCCCTGCCCCTGCCCCCCTGCACCTGGAGTGGAGGGCAGGGCTCCCATGCCCTTGCCTAGGTATCCCTCCTTCCCCTCCCCCCATACCTGGTGTCCGCCAGTCCGCCCCAGTGGCGCAGGAAGCGTGGAGCGGAGGGCAGGGAGGAGAGCGAGGCGGCGATGAGCTTGCGGCGGGAGAAGAGCTCATGCTGCCATGGCACGTGGGCGTCGGAGATGTTCACCTTCTTGTGCACCAGGGCAACAGACGTCCGTGGCTCCACGGCCGCTGCAGCGGAGGACAGGCCCTGCGGGGGGGGGGATCATGTGGAGTAGGGGGAGTGGATGGTACGGGAATGAGGGTCGGGTCGGCACGCGCGTGTCCCATATGTCCACCTTATGTCCTTTGGCACGCGCTTGTTGTGCAGCGGGGTGACGGAGGTAGGTGGGTCCGCGGCTGCTAGGGCAGAAGACTGGCCCTGCAGGGAGAGGGTGGGTGGGAAGGGGAGCAAGGGGCAGCAGTGCACGCACAAGTGGGAGATGCTGAGAACTCTGCGCGCAACGTGTGGGACGAGCGGGAGATGCTGCAGCAACCCCACGGTGGGAGAACGGTGCAGGAGGGGCACAGGAGGGGCACAGGAGGGGCAAAAGGAAGCATAGACCAAGGGCAGAGGATGGGAGGGGACGGGGAGTGAGCGGTGGTGCGCGGTGGTGACTCACATGGAAGAGCGCGCGGATGGTGGGGTCCTTGAGAGGCCGCGACGCGTGCAGGTGCAGCCCGCTGCCCCCCTCCCCAGCCCCTGGCGCTGCACCAATGGCGCGCAGACAGATGGCAAACTCGAGGCGGTCCTGCACACTCTGGTCCAACGAGGCCAGCCACTGGAGGGAAGAGAGCGAGAGGCGATGGGGGGATGGCATGAGGAGGAGTGTGAGGAGGTTAAGCAGGTAGTTAATACCAGGAATCAGGGTGAAAAAGGAAAGTGGGTGACGAGGAGGGCAATGAGGGGGGGACGACAGACTCACGCTCTTGACCTTTCTCGACCCCTTCCTTCCACCATCCGTCCATCCCATACTCGCTCCCACCTAGCAAGTTCCCTCACATGCTCAAGGTACCTCCCCCTGCCTACCTGCTGCGCGCACACCCACCTGGCGAGTACCGTCAAAGTTGAAGGGTCCCCCCGCGGAGAGCAGGAAGAGCAGGTGGAAAGGCGGACGCGCGGAGGGCAGCAGCGCGAACAGGCGCGAGAAAAGGCGCAGCACCTGCAGCACCGCTGCCACCCCGCTGGCACTGCTGGCGGGGCCAGATGCGAGCGACTGGGGGGAGAGAAAGGGGGGTTGGGGAGGAATTTGGAGGAGGGGAAGGAGGGTTGGGAAAGGAGAGGTGAAGGGGTGAGAATGGCGCTCGGAGCAGCAGCATGGTGGCATCGGTGACCCTGTAGGGCGTTGATGACAGGGCGGGCGAGGGGAGAGGGCTGACGCTTGACGCAGCATGAGGACGAGAGGCAGCAATTTGATGGAATGGGAAGGGGGCATTCGCAAGAGATACGCGGAGGAGGAGCGGGAGGGGGAGAAGGCGGGGCAGAGCAGCGCTAAGAGGAGGAGCGGGAGGGGGAGAAGGCGGGGCAGGGAGGAAGGGAGGCAGGGGGCTCACGGGCACGAGGCCGAAGGTGTCAAGCGGTGCCACCACCGCCACTATGGGCAGCGCCTCCCTCCTCCCGCCCTGCGCCTGCCCCTGTGCGCCGCCGTACAGCCATGCCTCCAACGCTGGCAAGGGAGAGGCGGCTGGCAGCTTGCGCGGCTCGCCTGCTGTCACCACCAGCTTGAAGCTGATTGGGTGCGAGAGGGGTGGAGAGGCGGAGGGGAGGGAAGGGAGGGAAGGGGAGGAGGGGAAGAAGGAACGAGGGAGGAGGTGGGACAGTGTGGAATGCAGTGAGAGAAGAAACAGTGGCAAATGCGCTGCAGGCACGGCCATGGTCGTGGTCACGTTGAAGTAATATTGATCTTGGGCACTGAGAACCGGTGAGAATAGCTTCCTGTCGAGCCCAGCTGAGTCCTCACCCGCCATTGGTGGCCGATGCAGGCTTGCCCGCCCTGTCATTGCTCTCCACGTCAGCCGCCAGCTTTGACAGCTCAGCATTGTCAACAGCAAAATACACAGGCACCTTCGGGTGGGAGGGAGGAGAGCAGGGGGAGAGGAGGGAAGGGTGGGCGGGGAGGAGATGTTGAGGATTATCAAATTGCGCCCACGGCCATTCATACGATACGAAGCCGAATTCTGAGTTTCTTAAGAACTTAGCACAGCGCCAACAACAAGTGTCAGCATGGTATGGTGCGGGCGGCACCGCTCACTCACTCACTCACTCACACACTCACCGGTATGTTGGCCTCCAGCAGCCGCTCCTCCAGCCGCGCCACCACCTCCAGGTGCCCCTTAACCTCCTCCGCGCCCTCTCCTGCTCCGGCCTTGCTGGAGTCATCGTCCGCGTCGTCGTCCTCTCCCTGACCGCCATCTGGCAGTGAGGAGCTGAAGTGACGTGGCAGGATGAAGAGCAGCCCTCCCACCTTGCGCGATCCCGCCACCACCTCTGATGACGTGGCGGGGGAGAGAGAATGAGGGGGCGGGAAGAGGTTGAGACGAGCAGAAGGAAGAATTTGAAGAGAAAGTGGGGAGAGGCGGTAAGGGCATCATGGGTGATATGTGCGAGCAGGCTCATGCCGCAACATGGGACCAGCTTCCACATGCTCGCATGTCGCATGTCGCATGTCGCATGTCGCATGTCGCACGTGGAAGCGCGATGCCGCAGTCTCACCATCGAGGAGGGTGAAGTTGATCCGTTGGATCGGCATCACGATCACGGCGCGCATCAGATCCGCCTCCGACGCTGCTGACGTGGCCAGCCCCGACGACGCGTACAGGCTGAACGACGACTTGCGCGACCCGAACGGCGCGCCGCCCAGATCGTACTGCGATGAGACGACACGGGACGCGGACAGGGGAGCGGGAGAGGCGGGGAGGCAAGTGAGGGAGGGAGAGAGGCATGGCAGGTGACGTTACGCGGCGTCACGTTTGCTCTGGCCTGAGGAATTTGAGCAGGCCACACACGTCCATCTGTCGTCGCTCTTTTGTCTAACTCGCCGGGCCGCCACTGCCTACGAAGGAGCCCTCCCTAGTAGATCGCGCCGTGCGATACCCTGAGGCGGCTCAGCCGCGAATCGCGTGTTTCTGCACCATCGGCGCCGATCTAACTATGGAGCGCTGAGACTAGGAATTCGAACCAGAAGATTCTGGATCTGATACGATATGCATTGCATCGTACTGCACCGCATCGGGGCCTCTTTTCTCACTGGCGTTGCGTTGAGACTCCGAGTCTTACAAAGCCCTCTACCTCGCACGCTGCAGCCAATCAGATCGCACGGCCTCTGACTCGCAGCAACGACATCGAGGTTGCCGAAAAGGAGCGCAAGCAACCCCCTCGGGATTGGCTCCGCTCACATGGGTTTATTACTCAGCGCATTGGTAGATCTAGACGGCTGGGAAGCGAACCCGGCTCTGAATTCAGGTCGTTCACGATACGGGCGATGGCGGATCCGACGGACCTGGATCATTCTGTAGACGTCGACGACGGAGGCGGCGTCGGAGAGCACGGGGAAGACCATAAGCGCGCCGATAAGCGCCACCGCCGCCTGCAGCACCACGGCCGCGCGCAGCAACGGCGCCGGGCGCGTGCGGCTGCAGCGGGAAAACGGATCCATGGCGGATCGGGGACGAAGCTAAGCGACGCGCGGAGAAACGCGACGCGCAGACGACGGATACCGAATGCGAGGCGCGAGGACACGGGAGGGAGGGAGGGGCCGCTCCGAACCAGAATGGCTGGTTGGGTGGATCCGTGTTGCTGAAGATGTAACAGAGCAGCGGCAGGGCGGTGAAATGATTTGAGTTCCCTGGCGTGGCGTGGCCCAGCAGCTCGGTGGCGGCAACTGGTTTGGAAACAAGGGCGTGTTTTGTTCTTCTTGGAAATACCTACGGGATCAGGTTGCATCTCGAGGCCTAGAGAAAATCAGTTCCTAGCCAGTCTGGCTAGCGGAGGAGAAGGGGTCTCCATGAACCGTCCGCTCCGCACTCCTGTCAGTTGCGACCCGATCGCTGTTGCCGCACAACGTCAAAGTCTACCGACTATAATTTCTTTCCGCATCCCAACGGCTGTCAATCTTCACTCACTTCCGCTCCTTCCTCTCCCAACGTGTGCATCGTTGTTAGCCAGCGACGTCCGTCCACCGTAGTGCGTGTCTCCGTCTGCCGGCCGTCAGCCGTCCGATGGTCAAATGGCACGGCTTCGCCTGCGCTGCCGCCGCCGCCCTCGGCCACAGCGGCATCGACGCGACGCGCAAGTACGCGTCGCAGACGCTCTCCTCCGCCGAGCTCGTGACGCTCGTCGGCATTCTCGATGCGCTCTTCCTCTCTTCCTTCATCCTCGCGTTCCGCCTCGTCACCGACCTGCGCTTCGTGACGTGGAAGCTCCTGCAGATTCTCGTTGCCAGCTCAGCAGCGAAGATCCTAGCTGGCGTCATGTACCAGCGCGCGTTACACGTGGCACCGATATCCACGACTGTTCCGTTCCTCGCGTTCGTACCCGTGCTCTTACTCGTAACGTCGTTTCTTCTCCTGGGTGAAGTCCCGAGCGTACAAGGCGTGATAGGCGTCGTAGTTGTAACGGCCGGTGGTTACCTCCTAGCGTTACAGAGCAGCGCGGGCAGCGGCAGTCGCGGCCCCAGCAGATCTAACAGCCGAGCCAGCAGCCCTCGACACGCCGTTGCTGCTGCTAGTAACGAGATTTCTTCTAACGAAATCGAGGCTCTTGGTGATAGAATAGGGGCCTCCGGAACAATAAAACTTACTGATAGTGCCGAAGCCGATAATGAAGATAGGAATACTCAAATCGACTCTGCCATAGCTAGCTCACAGGCTCGGGCCGAGCCATCGTCCCCTTTGACCCCAATCCCGGCACAACCTAGGTCAATTTTGAGGGGAAACCAACCCGTTCCTTTTTCGGCACCTCCAAGCCACCGCACTGTAGCTAGACGTCTGACAGGAAACACTCAACCCGGAATTACGGGGGAAATTGACATGAATGAGAGTCCTTCTGGGGTTGCTGCCGACCTAAGGAATAGCTCTGACTCTGCTTTTGAAACAGCTTCGGATGCAGGAATGGATTCTCCAGACCGGCGAGCGGAGGCTGACTTGGTGCTAGGTTCGGACATAGCACTGGATTTGAGCTTCGGGCAGCGAATCGATCGGGCAGTGAGTGAAAGACACTCGGGCAGTGGGTTAAGGGCAGAAGGGAGAGCGGGAAACGCAGCGGGAGAAGAGGAAAGAGAGGAGGTGACAGCTGGGGAAGGCAGGAAGGCAACTTTGGCAGGTGAGAGAACAGGAGAGAGCAGACAAAGAAGTTTCGCTGAAGGTTCCAGCAGCAGTGAGATCGTGGCCGGCGGTGGCTTCGGAGGCGGAAGAGGGTTTTATTCCCGAGCCTCAAGAGGCAGGTTCGGCACTGGCTTGGGAATCGGGCTAGGTTCGGCTCATCAACCCCAGGAGCATGAATCTGCCCAATCCAGCCCTGTCACGTCAGGAGGGCGAGCTATAACTAGGGGAGACGGTGCAAGAAGGGAAGCAGGGGAGGTGGTGGGTGAAGGGGAGCAGGGAGGAGGGGAGGGCAAGGGGGGGAAGAGGGAGAGTGTGAGACAACAACAGGAGGCGACAGCACAGCAAGGAGCAACGCCGGGGTCAGCAGGAGGGGTGTGGCGAACGAGGAGTGGGAGGCGGAGGGGGGGGTGGATGGGAGCGTGGTTGCTGGTGCTGCTGCAGCGGGTGTGGGGGGCGGTGGTGGGGGGGAAGGAGGAGCGGGATGTGGAGGTGGGGGGGAGGGGGTGGGTGAAGGTGCTTGTATCGAGGACTACTCGTGTGCGCCTGCTGCTGGGCGCTGTGCTCGCCCCGTTGGGGTGAGTCAGTGAGGGAGTAAGTGAGCGAGGGAGTAGCCATGAGATCTAAGGAGCCTCTGTTTCCCACTTCACTCCCTTGTGCCCCTCTCACTCAAATTCCTCTTTTAACACCCTTTCCTCTCACTTCTTCCGTCTCACTCCCTTTCACACTGCTCCGTGTGAATCAGAAAGAGGGCCGGCGTTGTCTGGCAGTATCTGCACGGCCCGCTGAAGCGGTTACGAGTGGTGGTAACCGCATGGGCGAGGGCACCAATGCGAGTGGCAGCGCGAGTGGGGCGGGTGCCGTGGGTGGTGGTGAAGGGGGCGTTGAGGTGGGTGGGCGCGCAGAAGCGCCACGAGGGGCCGCTGCTCATGATGGGGTGCGCTGTGCTGCTCAGCTTCACCAACGGGTATGGCCCCTTCCTTGCTCCTTGTCCCCTCTTCCTTGCTCAGCTTCTGCTCGCTGCTCTGTGCTCCCTTGCTCAACAACCATTTCCCACGCTCACCAATCACAGGAATCCCTGCCCTCACGTTCCTCCACTGCCATTGCCCCCTGCTGCCCTCTCCTGCTGTGCCTTCCTTGTTGCTCCTCCCTCCGACCATCCCCCCACCACCTGCTGCTGCGCACAGGTGTGACAAGCTGGGGGTGCACCACTCGCCCTCAGTGGTGGTGTTTGCGGGCCTGCAGCGCCTCTTCATGGCCGTGCCGCCCGTGCTCTACCTCGCTGCCACCAGGTATGCTACAGCCGCCACCAGGTGTGCTACAGCCGCCACCAGGTGTGCTACAGCCGCCACCAGGTGTGCTACAGCCGCCACCAGGTGTGCTACAGCCGCCACCAGGTGTGCTACAGCCGCCACCAGGTATGCTACAGCCGCCACCAGGTATGCTACAGCCGCCACCAGGTGTGCTACAGCCGCCACCAGGTGTGTGCTGTACCTCGCCGCCACCAGGTGCTCCTCTTGCGACCACCATATGAGCTTTCACTCCCACCAAACGAAACTGGGTGCTTGCGTTGCACGTGAGACAGTGCCCTTGTTCAACGAGCCATTGCACACCTGAGGCTTGCTCCTTCCTCATTCTCACTTGCTCATTCTCCCCCGTCCCCCAGGCCATCGGCGTTCCCACTGCTGCTGAAGCACTTCCCCCTGCTAGCGGGCATATCAGCGTGTGAGATCACGGCCATTGTCTTCTACCTGCAGAGCCTGCACTGGCTCCTCGTCTCCTACTCCGTCGCTGTGAGCCTCCCCTCCTCTTCCCTCTCCTCTCTTTCCCTCTCGCCCCTCCCCTGTAGCTCTCCCCCTTCCCTTCTCCCCCCTCCCCTGCCGCCTCCCCTTGCTTGCCTCTCCCCTCTCGCCTCTCCCTCATCCCGTTCCAACTTCCCCCTCACCACTCACAATCCCTCTTGGCAGCGAGTCAAGTTGCGGTTGCCCCAACCACCTCTCTTCCATGACACCTCTTACACTTAACGTATCCGTTGCTTCACCACCTCACGCCTTTTAGTCGACAGTCTGATTCCTCATCCTCCTTCTCGGTGTTGCCATGTTCCATCGTGTGCCATCGTGTGCCATCGTGTGCCATCGTGTCTCCCCAGGCCAAGCGCAGCAACATTCTCATCTCCATGTTCGTTGGTTACTTCCTCTTCAAGGTAACCCTCAAACCTCTAGCTCTTTAACGTATCTTTCATCCTTTTTGAAGAAAGTTCCTCGCCAGTTGTTACGCATGGGGTTGCTTGCATGGCTACTTCGGCGCTCATCAGCTGGATGTCGTTCCGCCCATTAGCTGGATGCCGTTCCGCTCATCAGCTGGATGTCGTTCCGCTCATCAGCTGGATGTCGTTCCGCTCATCAGCTGGATGCCGTTCCGCTCATCAGCTGGATGTCGTTCCGCTCTTCAGCTGGATGTCGTTCCGCTCATCAGCTGGATGTCGTTCCGCTCATCAGCTGGATGTCGTTCCGCTCATCAGCTGGATGTCGTTCCGCTCATCAGCTGGATGTCGTTCCGCTCATCCTCCCTCCACTTGCTCCTCCTGTCGCTCACCCCTCTGATGATTGGTATGCGTGCAGGAGAACATATGGAAGAGACTACCATACGTGCTGCTCATGATTGCTGGAATGACACTCATCATCTTTGCAGCATGAAGTGTACCACTATGCATAAGTCTATAACCACACCTCTTGAGTTGATTTATGCCATAAGCGCTGCCATCCCAACCGTGATACGAAAGCAGCAGACAGAGTACCTGATAGGCCTTGCTGAACATGTGAGCACAACAGCTTGCCTAGTGGACAACCATGGAGCTGCAAGTTTAGGTTTTCCACAAATGCTGCCTCAAATAACCCACCCACCCGCATTTGGACACGTGAAGATGCCTCCTTTCGCTCAGCTGTACCGAGAGCACCCCGGAGCAGCAAGGCCACAGCTGTCAACTTGGCTGTAGTACGTCCGCAGCTGTAGCAAGTGCCACAAGCACTGGTGGTGCTTGCAGCTTGAGACAGCAAAGCACGAGGAGGAACCAGAGTCATCCTAGTACAAAAATCTACTCGAATTATCCAATACAAGGTCTCATCACATCGCATCACACAAAATCATGATACGGTAAGCAGATCCTGGTGTCACTAACTAAACACATCAAGTACTGGACTGGATGGATCTCCCAAGGCAAGCTCTCATCTTTCCTCACAATCCCCTCCCCTCCCCAACCTTCCCCATCCACATATTTCCTCACTCCCTTTTTCCCTCCCCTCCCAACACTGCCCATTAGACAGAATTCTTTCCGGTGCCAGCCTTGCACTTCTCACTACTGCTGCTCCACCATTCCACATGCACACACACACACACACACACCCCTATGCACCCTTCCATACCACTGCCACTGCTGTCATAACTGCTCCCACCACAGCTGCTCCAACTTTTCACAATTCCTGCCACAGCCGCTCCAACTCTTGCTACAGCTGTTCCAGGCACAGCTGTTCCACCTACTGCTCCAGCTGCTCCCACCACCACCTGCAGTAGTCTGGGAGGCGACAAATGCTGCCGCAGCTACAAAAGAGAGCCTAAAGCTCTCCCCTGGTTGCCTTGCATCAGCCTCACATCATCTGCTGCTTCCACAACCACCTCTCACAGTGTTGTCACCCCCACTCGCTCCTCCCAGTCCCATTCTCACTGCAATTTACTCACTCCCACTTTTACCCGCACTGTACCTGACTCACCCATACTCTCAGACACGCTTCCTCTCATTCACTCGCACCGTCTCTCATTCATTCCCATTCTTACTCGCACCGTCTCACTCATTCCCATTTTTACACTCTCACTTGCACTCTTCTCGCACTCTCTCACACACACTCTCTCTCTTGCCCGCACTGTCACTCACTCCCACTCTCACTCGCACTGTGCTGTTCACTATCACTTCTCTCCACGCCTCTCTTGCCTCTACCACTGCTCTTCCTGTCCCTCTCCCTCTCCTCATGCCTCCTCTTCCCTCCTCCACCCCTCCTGTCCCTTCCCTCTGTCCCGCCGCTTCGCCTCTCCGATTCGCCTCTGTCACTCTCGTCGCTCCCACGCCTGTGCTTACCCCCACTGTGTCTGCGCTTCTCCCTCTCCCTGCGCCTGTCCCCATCACTCTCACTCTCACTTCCCTTCTTCTCCGTGCCCCTCTCACGTCGCCGCTTACTAGGACCAGCCTTACCTCTGCTCCTTTCCTCATGCCTCTCCCTTCCACTCCCCCTGCTGCCGTCACTGCTGCCAACACTCCCTTCCCTCTCAGGTCTATCCCTCTCCTGCCTCCTGCTGCTGCCCTTCTTATCAGACCTCCTGCTCACCTCCTTCCTCTCATCCCCATCACTGCCGTCCCTCTCACTCTCCACACGTCCGCTCCTCTCGCTTCCACTCTCTTCCTTCACCTGCCGCCTCGCCTTCCCACCCGAGTGGCTGCCCCGTTTCTTCTTCTCACTGCCCCTGCCCTCCCGCCTCCCCTCATTCTTCTTTGACCTCTCCTCCTCCACATCTCTATCTCTCATCCTCCTGCCTTTTCTCTCGTTGCTCCTGCTCCTGCTCCTGCTCTTGTTCCTGCTCCTGCTCCTGCTTTTGCTCTTGCTCCTGCTTTTGCTCCTGCTCCTGCTCCTGCTTCTGCCCCTACTGCTGCTCCTGCTCCTCTCCCGTTCTCCATTCCTATCCCTTTCTTCCTTCCTTCCACCTCGCCTCCTCTCCACACGCCTGTCCTCACTCCTCCTCGCGCTCCTCCCCTCCTCTTCCTCACTGCTGCTCCCATCTGACGTCTCCTTCCTCCTAACCCGCTGCTCCCTCTCCTCACGTTCCATTATTACCCTCCTCCTCTCCTCCTGTTCCTCTCTGCCATTCTCCTCCTCCCCACTTATACTCTCACTCTCATACCTCTTCCTAGAATCATCTCGCCCCTCACTCTCATCCTCAATCTTCTCCTTCTTCCCTCGCCTCTCCTCACTCGCCCTTCTCACTGCAGCCGGCCCTCCGTCCTTCCTCGCTCCTTTCACTGCTCAAGCTCCTTCCTCTCTTGCCTCTTGCCTCATCTCTTATTCTCCCTTCCCCATCACTCCTCTTCTCCTCTCTATGGCTCACCTCAGCACCACGAGAGCTCTCAGGCGTATCAGGCCCATAGCGGAGAGCAGCAGCCCTTTCTTTTTCCGACTCTTCTTCCTCCTCCTTTCCTCTCGCCCTCGCCGCCTCCCTCTCCTCGCCACTTTCTTCCCTCCTGCCTTTCCTCCTCCTCTCCTCTTCGCTATCATCTGACTGGCTATCACCCCTCCCTCGCTTCCGCCCCTTCCCTTCCGCATTCCTTCTCCTCCTCTCCTTCCTCCTCTCATCATCCTCCTCCTCCTCGTCACTCACTCTGCCACCTCCCCTCGACCTCCGACTTTCCGCCCCTCCCACCACCCCCACTCCCTTTTTCCGAGTCTCCGCCACTGGAATCTAATCCGTCCGCTCTCTTCTCATCCCCTCTGCTTTCTTCTCTCCCTTTCTCCTTCCTCCCTTTTTTCTCTGGAGTCTTCAACCCTTTGCCTGTGTTTCGAGACTCTTCCTTCTCAACTACCCTGCCTTCCCTCACATCCCTGTGCTTGCCTCTCCTCTCCTCCTCCCTATCCTTCCCTCTCGTGTCTCCATCACTCTCATCATCATTATCTGACACGCCTCCTCTCACCTTCTCCATCCGTTTGTCCTTATTCCAATCTTCGTCTCTCCAATCGCCGTGCCTTCCGCCCCTGTCGCTGTCCCTGTCGCCCCTATCCCGATCCCTGTGCTTTCCTTTTCCCCGCCGCTTCTCCCCACCGTCGCTCTCCCGGTCGCTCCCCTCCCTCCGTCCCCTCTTCCTGCCATCATCACAATCATCCCTCTCGTTTCCACCCCTCCTATCCCGCTCATCGCCCCCCCCGCCTGTCCCTCTTCTCATCCTCCCTCCTCGTTTCCCTGCCTCCCTCCCTCCTCGTTTCCCTGCCTCCCTTCCTCTTCGCCCTCTCCACGCTGCCATCATCATCACTGTCTCTATCCGAATCATCCCTTTCCCTCTTTCCGGCCCCCACGACCCTCCTTCTTCACCTCACCTCTGTGCCTCTCCTTCCTCTCCTCCTTCCCTCCTCATCACTACTCTGCCTCCTCTCTCCCCTCCCTTCTTCTTCCTCTCATCCCTCCCCTCCCTCTCCTTCCTGTTCCCTCCCTCGCTTTCCCCCCCATCCTCCTCCTCACCATCCTTACCACGTCGCTTCGTCCGCCTCCCTTCCTCCCTTTCCTCGTCAGAATCATGCTCTTTCCGCCCTTCTCGTTTCTTCTCCCTCTCACGTCTCTTCTCCTTCTTCCCTTCTTCCTTCTCCTCCTCCCTTTCACGCTCCTCACGCTTATGCTTGTGCTCATGCCCATGTCTCCTTCCCCGTTTTGCCTTCTCATCCGTCTCCTCCCCCCATCCTTCTCCTCGCTATCCTCCCTTCGCCGGTGCCGGCGTTTTTCATCCCTCCCTTCATCTCGTCCTTTATTCCTCTTCTTCTCTTCTCCTTCTCCCTCTCCCTCTCCCTCTCCTTCTCTCCCTCTCCCTCTCCCTCTCCTTCTCCCTCTCCCTCTCCTTCTCCTTCTCCTTCTCCCTCTCCCTCTCCCTCTCTCTCTCCCTCTCCCTCTCCCTCTCTTTTTCATTCTCCCTCTCCCTCTCCCTCTCCCTCTCCTTCTCCTTCTCCCTCTCCCTCTCCCTCTCTCTCTTCCTCTCCCTCTCTTTTTCCTTCTCCCTCTCCCTCTCCTTCTCCCTTTCCTTCTTCCTTTCTTTCTCTCTCTCCTTCTCCTTCCTCTCCTTCTCTCTCTCCCTCTCCCTCTCCCTCTCCTTTTTCTCCCTCTCCTTTTCTGCGCGCCTTTCCTCTCGCTTCTCCCTGTGTCTGTGCTTGTACTTGTGCTTGTGCTCCATATCTGATCCCTCCTCCTCATCATCTTCCTTCTCGTTCCCATCATCACCCCTCTTCTTCCCTCCTCTCTCCTTCTCCTTCTCCTCTGACCTCTTGCTCTTCTCCTCCTCTTCGTCCTCTCCTCGCTCTCCCTCCCTACCGGAACCGCTCCCTCCCGTCCCCTTCCCCAACTTCCCAGCCATCCCCCCGCCTGTCTCCCAGTCCTCATCCCTCCCTTCATCCTCCCACTTCTCCTCCTTCTCACTCCCCTCATTGTTCATAACTCCCCCATCGCTTCTCTCCCCATTCTCTGCTCGTTCCTCTCCTCGCCTCCCAGCCGCCACACCATGCGCCACCTGGGATTCTCCTTCGCCCCCCATTGCATTGCTTCCCAATTCACTCTTTCTGTCAACATACTCTTCCTTTTCCCCCTTCTCTTCCTTCTCCTCTACCTTCTCCTCTTCTTTCTCCTTCTCTTCCCTCTCCTTATCCTCCTCTTCCTTATCTGCTTCTTCCACATGCATACCATCTCTTTCTCCTCTCTCCGCCTCCTCCCTCTCGTTCTCGCCCACCCCTTTCCCCTCTTTCTCCTTTTCTTCATCCGCCTTCCCCTCACCCTCCTCCCTCCTCTCCTCCTCTCCCTCCATCTCCCCTCCACCCTCTCCCAACGCCCTCCCTTCTCCCCCCTCCTCCTTATCCTCTCCCTTCTCCCCACCTCCTCTCTTCTCCTCCTCATCATCCTCCTCTTCCCTCTCCCTCCTCCTCCTCCTCCGCCGCCGATCCCTCTTAACAGCAGCAACATCAACCTCCTTCCCCTCCCCATCAATCACCCCGGCCTCCCTCAACTCCCCCTCCAGGCTCCTCACATGCTCCCGCCACAGCTCCTCCCGCTCGTGCCGAACCAGGTCGCGGTACCGGTCCTGGTGCCGAAGCACGGACTTAGCATCGGCCCAGGAGGAGGCGAGGCGCAGCCCGTCCTCACGAGCCTCGGAGATGGCGGCCACCGACAGCTCCTCCTCGAGTAGCTCACGGAACTCCCTCTGCACGCGCTGTTGGGGGGAGAGGTGGGGGGGATAGGCGAGGGGGAATTGGGGGGAACGAAGGGGGATAAGGGAGACAAGGCAGGATGCGGGGGGATGAGGGGGGTGAAGAGGGAGCGGTGGGATAGGGGGGATACGGGGGCGAGGGGGAGCAAAGGGAAATGGGGGAGGGGAGAGGGCGGAAGAGAGAAAGTGATGACAGAGGGAAGGGGGGGTTGAGCAAGGGAGTGACAAAGGCCCATGCGTGTCGTGATCCAATGCGCCCATCCTGATGCGGCTGAGGAGCCCACCTTGATGAGGCGAGCCATGTGTTCGTAGAAGAGGTCCTGGCGGTCACGGCTGGTGAGCTCCTTGTTCCAATAGCACGACGCCTCGTCCTCCTCCAGCTTCTCCCTCGCGTCTATCCATGATATCTGCCACACGCAAGGGGTGGGGAAGCAGGGGGGGAGCAACATGACTTTTGAGTCGACTCAAAAGTCACATCTGCCACACGCAAGGGGTGCGGAAGCAGGGGGGAGCAACATTGAGCAATGAGCATCAAGAGGGCACGCAAAAGGACTGCCGCACCTAGGAAGCGGGCAGGAAGGGGCGGCAGGCAGGCGGAGGCAGTAGCAGTGGGCGATCAGCACAAGGGAATACATCACATGCACGTGCATGCCAACGCAAGAGATCGATTGCCTATGCAGAATGCCTGGAATAATCCCTTCCCCTACCAACCCCACCTTTCCCCCCTCCCCCCCCAATTCCCTCCTTTTTCCCCCTCCTTCCTTCCGCCCTTCCCCCACTTTCGTGCCTACATTGGGCGTCTGTATCTCGCGGCGCAGCAGGTCTTCAAAGTCCTCCTTGGCCTCCCGCCGCCGCACACGCGCCCGCTCCCGCTCCTTCTTCTCCTCCTCGCGCTGCCGCAGCCTCTTCTCCTCTCGCTCCTGCTCGCGCTTCCGCTCCTGCAGCCACCAACCACAGAAAACAGCACAACGCACATTCCCTCCCTCTGAATCAATCCCTTCACAGACACAACAACTCGTAGCCTCTAAGGCAAAACTGCGAGCTCTAGAAGCAGCAGCAGGAAGCAGCAAAAGGCAGCATACCAACCCCCCCCCTCCCCTCCCCTCTTCCGCTCCCCGCCTCCCCCCTGCCACTCCACGCCACTCACCTCTTCTTCCCACCGCCTGCGCGCCTCCCTCTCCTTCTCCTCCTCCTCGCGCTGCAGTGTGTCCATAAAGGTGTCAAACAGCCGCTCACGGTCCTCCCAGTGCTCCACCGCACTGTACCGCTCATCCTCCTTCAACTCCTCCCGCACCTGCGTGGGGGAAAGAAGGTGGGGAGGGAGAGGAGGTGAGAGGGTGACAAGTGCAAAAGAGCAAGAGTGGGGAAAGGGGAAGGGCCAATCCTTCCCAGGCGCCACTGCTACACCCCGCTCGCTGTGCTCCCGCGTTTCCTGCACTTGTTGCGTTCGCTGTGTTGGTACAGACGGGAGGTGAAGGCAGGGCAGGGTCACATGTGAGCACATCACAGGGCGAGGGGACTGATAAAAAAGGAGAGTCAGCAGTGCAAGAGGCGCACGCTGTGGTTCAGGTTCCAAAAGGCCTGGCATGAGCCAAGATTGGTTCACTGGTAACACTGGCATTACTCAGAAGCAGTAGCACCAACACTGACACTCGCACGAGCATTTACACTTGCAGCAGCAGCGGCATTTACCCAAATCGTGCGGTGAGCACAGTGCCCTGGCCTTTCAGGCATATCCCAGCATGTGTGGTTGTCCTTGAACCTGCTGCACTTGCCACACACATGCCACCATGCATGCATCATGCAAAGCCTAGCTTACAAACACAATCCCTACACCTGCTAAGTAGGGTTTCTAACATATGGATCATCTGCGAATTGCTTTCTCTGAAACTTACAACGTAAGAAGTCAAACCTACTGTGGACCGTATTTGTTAATCGGCCTATATTAGACTCACCTTTCAGTTCACTGATAAGAGTCCCCAAGCATGTTTTGTTGAACAGGCAGCAACTACCAATGTGAAAGCACATGCAAATTGCAACGTGAACACTGCAGCAGGATGCTACTGTGAATGATCAAACATATGATTGCGAGTGGAGAAGGGGAGGAGAGTGACCTTGGACCAGCGGGAGGAGAGGGCGATGTAGCGCTTGCCACGGAACTCCTTCAGCATCTCCACAAACGCTTCTTCTGCCGCCTCCTTGCGCTGCTGCTGCCTCTCCTCCTCCAACCGCTTCAAAGGCACCACCCTGCCGTGATGTAGATGAATGGGAGAGAGAGAGACAAACACAGACAAGCTTGGAAGTGAGGAATGAACAAAGAGCCCCAGAAGCAACGCGGTGTGTTTCTTTCCTAAGCCGCAGCTCACGCCAGCAGGGCAGGGAAACTGTTGTTTGGTTCTGCCTGGCAGTTGCACCAAATGTGGCGCCCCTACCCTACATTCACTCCCAAACAGCCCCAGTTCTTTAAGTCGACTCAAGAATAGTGACGCCACTAAGCCTGTGAAGACACAATTCTTGAGTTGCAAGAACTGTGCCGCCCCTACAGCCACACTCAAGCTGGCGTGGCCACAACAGGCGGAGCAAGTTATCTCGTTACTGAACGAACCTCACAATGATGCAAGGGACATCTCAGGGAGAGGAACTTTACACACGAGATGGGTCAGGTGAGAGGGAAGGGAGAGTCAGAAGGCTGTGATTGTGCCTAGAACGATCTCTCTGGCTGCTGGCCTGCAGGGGGAAGAAATATCGGCAGAAACTGATGTGGCAGCAGAGAACGCAGTGGGAACAGTGCACAAACACCTATGGCCCTATCAAATGGGTTATATAGTTTCAGGTTCAGTTACTCTGGTTGAAAATGCGTCTCAAATGTGATAGTTTCCACTCAAGTTGCCAGACTGAAAAACGAAGACAACATTCTAAAAAACACAAGACACATACGAGGACAACAAAAACGACATGAGATGAAAGGCAAGGATGACATGGCTTTAGAGGCAAAGATAATATGACTGCAGAAACAATTATGACATGGCTTTATGAACAGAGGTAATATGGAAATAGAAGCAAAGATAGCATGGCTCTAAAAGCAAAGTTGACATGGCCATGGAATAAATGATCAAATCTTGAGCACATTGAATCAAGAAAGGGAAGGAGTCTGGCAGGAGAAACAACAACCAACCAACCAATGTGCTGCTAGCTATATCAACTTTGTTCATTTGCGCACAGCATTTTCCAAAGGAGCTTCTAGCGAACAGCATAGTTCTGATCAGGCAAATTCGTCGGAGTGATGCATCAACAGAGATCGTGAGGTTGCAATACACGGGCCACACGAGTGCTGGAAACAGAGAAACTACGACCAATGGCAAGAGTGAATCAAATCAGGCACAAATGGTAAATGACGTGGCATGAAAGCAAAAAGGACATAATTCATTCCACACTTTCCGGGGAGGGCATCATGCTGCATGCTGGCCACAGGAGCTCGCACTCCGAGCTGTAGTCAAAGTTCTTATCGGTGCCTGACTGTGTGGTGTATGACTTGGCAACAGTGAACTTAAGCTACTGCAGTTTCTAGATTCCATCCACATGTCAAGTGTAGTGTGTGACAATAATTGTGCACACCGAATCTATTTGCAAGGCCTACATGTGACCTGGTTTGACTGGGAAAACCGGTTCATTCTTGCCTGTATTGCCTGCTTAAAGAAACGCATGTCCTGCCTTGTGAACCAGAAGCCTCAACATAAAAGAACATGGCATCTTCAGTGGAAATGGGAGGCGAAACAGGCAGGCAGGGGCGAAATACAGAAGAAGGGCCATACCGCTCATTGAGGAGAGCGAGGCGGTCCTTATCCTCCAGCGCTGCAGCCAGGAGGCGCGGGTCAGAGCCCCATTTGGCATCACCCTGCAGCGAGGCCACCGTTGACTCGTGTGTCAGGTCCTGCAGGTGGTGGGGGGGCACGGAGAGAAGGAGAGAGTGAGTCGGGGATAGGATGCAGCCTGTGGGGTGCTCATGCATTGCTGCAGCGTTGTCGCCACAGCTACATGCATCAGGCCCTGGGGGCATGGGGGACGTATACAGAGAGGATGGATCAAGGGAAGAGAGAGAGCTGGTCCACAGGATGCATTCTTTGGAATGGTTACTACAGTGGCCTCACATCAGCCCATTCTTCTACTCGGCCCCATCTGACTCTGCTCGAGATTGCTTTCAAGGCCTCAACAGCCGCCTTTATAGGCGCACCCCTACCCGCAACAACCCCCCAGGCTCCCCTTCCCCCCTCACCCAGTTTTCCAGAATGCAAACCGCTCTCCCAGATGCAAGCCCATCTCACCCCGCTCTCCCAGATGCAAGCCCATCTCACCCCGCTCTCCTCCATCTCGTCCAGCAGGACTTTGAATGCCTCCACAGCCGCCTTGTGTGCCGACCGCTTCTCCTTGCGCTCCGCCGTCGCCCGCGTGCGCACAAACTCCTCAAATATGGCCCGCCGCAACGGCAGCGATGGGATGGCCTGCACGTGCGTGAAGCATGGAGGGAAGGTGGTACATGAATCCATGGGTTCTCCACTGGTGCCCGCGTGCACACAAACTCCACACAAGGGGAAAGTGGTACAAGAATTCACTGCCCAGGGGGATGGGCTGGTGGGGCAAGTTGTGGCTCCTGGCGACGCCCACCCTGTATCACCGAGGCTGCAGATCCAATCAGCTGACTACAGTGCGTCCAGCGTACCTTGTAGCGTGCGTCGAAGATGAGTTTGGGCAGCTCCTTCTCCCACTTGGAAAACGGCGCCACTCCCTTCTCCTTGAGCATCTCCTGTTGGGATCGACGAGGTGACGGGAGTACCCGAGGAGGATGCGATATCAAACCAAGAAATTTAGGAGAGGAGAGAGAGAGGAGAGAGTGAGGAGAGAGTGAGGAGAGAGTGAGGAGAGAGTGAGGAGAGAGAGAGGAGAGAATATGAAGCAAGCGAGTGGAAGGTCGTAATCTTGGAGAATATGCCATGTCATGCTGTGCCACACAATGCCTGGCCTTATTATGCCACGCCACGCCACGCCATGCCACAGCACAGCACAGCACAGCACAGCACAGCACAGCACAGCACAGCACAGCACAGCATGCCACGGCAGCACGTACACGGAACTTCATTGCCCTCTCCTCCAGACTCAGCTCTTCCAGTGGAACCTCCGCACTTCCCTTCTCCTCATCCTCCTTCTCCCCACCGCCCTTCTCCCCGCCCTCCTTCCCCTCCCCTTCCTTGCCCTGTGCTGCCTCACCACCGCCCTCCTTCTCCCCTCCCCCATCCTCCCCCGCCTCCTTGCCCTCTTTGCCCGTCTCCCCCTCCTTCCCCCCGTTGACTCCGTTGACCTGCTTCCCCTCGCCCCCCTGCGCCCCTGCACCGCCCTTCTCAGCCTTAGTCGTCTCCGCAGCAGCAGCAGTGGGAGCAGCCGCGCCGGCACCAGCTAATGCTGCTGTGCCCGCCTTAGCCTCCTTGTCGGAGTCCTGAGGGGAGGGGGAGGGGATAGGGGAAGGTTTCTTGACTTGTTTGTTATTGCTTAGCTTTTGGGTGAAAGCAGGGGGGGGGTATAGGCAAGTGCACTGACACAAGGTGCAGGCGACTGGAGGCGGGAGCGCGGGCAGGGGTGGCGAAGGGAACAGGGAGCGACGCACAGGACAGCAGCAAGCGACCTGAACGGATGGACGAAGCATTCCCTGCTAGTACTAGCTTCCATCCCTGCGAAATCCCACCCCTAACCCTTTTCCCCCTTTCAAACTAATATATCAGGCTCCTCACCTCTCCCATTCCCCCTTCCCCCTCCCCCCAGCAATCACCTGCAGCTTCTTCTTGACCACCTCCAGCGCCGTCGCCTTCCCCCCTGCTGCTGCGCCCGCCTTGCCCGCCGCCCCTGCGCCCCCCCGCCCCGCCAGCGAGAAGGAGAGCTTGCTGGCGGCACGCGCCCGCTCCTCCTCCTCCGCGTCCTGCCTCTTCCGCACCTCCTGCACCTCCGCGGGCACCTGCCAGCTCGTGTCCTGATGGAGGGGGGAGGGGGGTCGGAGGGACAAGGGAGGTGAAGAGGGTAAGGAGGGAGTCAAGTGAGAAGACAGGATGGCAAGTAAGTCACTTCCGCACCTCCTGCACCTCCGCGGGCACCTGCCAGCTCGTGTCCTGATGGTGCGCATGCGCATGGGATGGGGGACGAGGGGGGCGGAAGGGGCATGGAAGGGGGGAGGGGGAGGGGAGCAACGAGGAGGGGAAACGATGGCAAATGTGATCGCGCAGTAGGATGGTGGTGAGACGAGGCAGAGAAGTGAGGTGGTAGTATAAGCGTGGAGCACAAGGTGCTGCCTGACCTGCGTGACTGTGTTGTAAAAGTACTTCTTGCCATCACTCGTCGACACCAACGCCCAGTCCGTGCCCTGCACTCGCTCCCTGTAACTCCCATGCACGCACACACACAGGCACGCACATGTGCACACACACGCACACAAGCACACACACGGAACACGGACGGACACGTTTTCAAACACACACATGAACACGGAGACAAGCATGCAATTGGACGGGCACAAAGAGAGCACGGTGATGCACAAAGAGAGCACGGTGATGCATGGCACATGTCGGTGGGCGAGGGAGGAGGGCTGCGAATCATGGCCCGCCCCGCCCACAAACCCCATGACAGAAAGCGACTCCCGGACTACATGTCATGCCATGCCACGCCATGCCATGCCATCCCATGCCATGCCATGCCACGCCATGCCATGCCATCCCATGCCATGCCATGCCATGCCATGCCATGCCACGCCATGCCATGCCATCCCATGCCATGCCATGCCACGCCATGCCATGCCATCCCACGCCATGCCATGCCACGCCATGCCATGCCATCCCATGTCATGCCATGCCATGCCATGCCATGCCATGCCATGCCATCCCATGCCATGCCATGCCATGCCACGCCATGCCATGCCATCCCATGCCATGCCATGCCACGCCATGCCATGCCATCCCACGCCATGCCATGCCACGCCATGCCATGCCATCCCATGTCATGCCATGCCATGCCATGCCATGCCATGCCATGCCATGCCATCCCATGCCATGCCATGCCATGCCATGTGGCTCACCATGCGACGGGAGTGGGCTGTTTCTCCACCTTGTCCTCCTGCACACGCACACACGCACAACGACGCACCCGAGGGAGACACAGGTGCTTACACATAGGCGGAGAGGCGGACATTAACGAATGTGCGGGGGAGCAGAGAGCGGCAAGGCAGGCGGGCGGGGAGAGGGCGGAGAGGGCGGAGAGGGAGGGGATGGGACGCAGGGGCACCTGGAGCTTGAAGCCTTTGGGTTTGTGGTAGGTGGAGCGGCCTGTGACAGTGTTGTAATAGTACACCGTGCCCTCCTCCGTCTTGTGCGCCGTCCACGCCTCCACTCCCTCCTCCGCCTCCTCCTCCTTCTCCTCTTTGGCTTCTTTACCCTCCTTCCCGTCTTTCCCCTCTCCCTCTTTCCCCTTAGCCGCTTCCTCATCCCCGCCGCCCTGCCTTTCCATTCCTCTTTTTTCCTCCCCCTCTCCCTCTTCCCTGCGCCCACCGTCTCCTTCCGCCGCCTCCCCTCCCTTCTCCTTCTCCTTCTCCTCCTCCCTTTCCTCCACCTTCTCCTCCTGCGCCTCCCGGTCCCACCTCGATTTCTTCCCCCCCTTCCCCCCTCCGCTTGCGCCCTTCCCCGCGCCCTTCTTTCCGCCCTTCTCCCACGGGAGCTCCTCCCCCGCGGGGAGCGGGGGCCCGCCGCCGGAGATCACAGCCGCCATGGCGGCGGCCGCCTGCAGCCACGCGGGGGGGAGGGGGGGCTGCGGCGCGAGCGGGGGGTTGGGCTTTAAGGTGATGGCGGCGGGAGGGGTTGGGGGAGCTGCAGCAGCCGGGAGAGGCGCAGGCGCAGTGGGAGCAGCGCCAGCCGCAGCTGCTGTAGCAGCAGCGACAGCTGCCGCGGGAGCGTCAGGAGCGGCAGGAGCAGCGGCAGGTGCGCCGGGAACAGCGGCAGCGGCGGCAGCAGATGCATCCGGAGCGGCAGCAGCGGGGGAAGGAGCTCCAGTTGCCGCGGTGGCTGGCGGTTGCGCCTCTGCTGCTGCTGCCGCTGCCGTTGGTACCGCTGCTGGCGGCAACCCGTTTGGTATTTCCCCGACTACCCCTTCCGCCGCAGCTGCTGCGGCGGGGAGTGGCGGAGGAGGGGGGCCGGGAGTAAGCAGCGGCGGCGCTCCCCCCGGATGAAACCCCTGCTGGGCGGAAACTGGAGCCGGCGGAGCGCCGTGGGGAACGGGAGGCGCAAAAGCCGGAGGAGGCGTAAAAGGAGAAGGGGGAGCGGGAGGCAGGGGGTGGGGAGGGGCGGACCCCGGGAGCGCGGGGTACTGCGGCGCATGGGACGGCGCTGCTGAACCGTGCGCCATGCCCTGCGCGGGGAACGGCGGGTGGTGAGGCCCTGGCGGCATCCCCGGCCCCTGCGCGTGCATCGCTGCCGCGGGGGGCGGCGCGCCGTCGGTCACTGCCGTCACGTGCCACACGCCCGGGAGCGCGCGCGCTGGCTGCTGCGGCGGCGGATGCGGGGCATGCGGGGGCGGCTGCTGAAAATGCTGCGGGAAATGCGGCCCTTGCTGCTGATAAGGCGGCCCCTGCTGCTGATATGGAGGCTGATGCGGCTGGTTCGGCTGCTGATGCGGTTGGTTCGGCAGTTGATGCTGCTGATACTGCGGCGGATACTGCTGCTGCTGCGGCGGCGGCGACTGCGGCTGGTACTGCTGCTGCTGCTGATACTGCTGCGCGTGGTGCGGCGGCGGCGGTTGTTGGTGCGGCGGCCCCTGAAAGCCGCCCTGCGCATGTCCTGCCGCGTGACCTCCCCAAGGCGGAGCCCCTCCGCCTGGCGGAACTCCTTCGGGCGGGCCTGGCGGAAAGCCCCCGTGCGGGTTCTGCGGCGGGCCTCCCCCGTACGGCGGAGCGGGTCTTGCATAAGCGCCATGCGCGGATTGTTGCGGAGAAAAAGGAGAATGCGGCGGACGGGGGGGATACGACGGACCGGGAAACCGCGGCCCAGGCGAGCCCATCCCACGTGGAAACGGCATGCCAGGTGACATATGCCCAAGAGGTCCACGTGGCGCAAACCCGCCCTGTCCGGAAGGCACACGTGGTCCGGGCCCAGGTGACATGTGCTCTTGAGGTCCACGTGGCCTCGTTGGTCCTGGTCCAGGTGACGCCGTGCCGCTCGCTCCAGGTGGTCCGTCAGGTGGTTCAGATAGTCCAGGTGGGCCCGTCGCAGGTGGAGGACCCATGCCAGATGGGTCCATTCGGCAATATCGTGAACAATGTCACCGAGGCTTTAACGTAGAGCGAGGATCGGCGAGCGATCCTTGGAGGAGCGAAAAATGCACGTGATGATACAAGATCTAGCTTCAAGAAGCAATTCAATATATCTGGAAGTAGGGGTTAAGAAGTGCCGACTCGGAGTTATGCAGTAAAATGTGGAGGAACGGGAGTGGGAGCTAGAGAGAGGGACGACAAGAAGATGGTGAAGAAGGCTGAGACGCTAAGGAGAACAGGCTGTACGCACACCACGATTTCATGGATTGAACTGAAGGCTCTACACCAATGCTACCTGCCTTCCACCATAAGACTAGTCAAGCACAATGCTCTGATGCAATGTTACTGGCTCACCCACGATCCCCTGGAATGCGTTCTGGAATGTGAAAGCTTCTAGCATGAAGGAAAAACGGACGAATGGAGGCTAGGACGAGGAGGTGAGGGCACAGCAGGCTGTAGCTGCGACGGCAGTCGTCAGTCGTTGAGGGTCGCACGATAGTACTCTGCGACGCCGCCCACATGCATCGCTGGCTGCTTCGCAAGATTTCAACCAATCGCTCCCACCTTACCCCTTGCTGCTGTGCTGACTCCACAATCAGCGCAGCATTGAAGACTGTAGAGTCAAGCACAACAAATGCGCCCACCAATGAATCTATGAAATGACATGAGAGTACACCAATCTCCTTGTGTATTACATTTACAGTTCTGCATAGAACCATATCTCATAAGCAGCACCAGTGGCAACACTGGTAAAAGCAAATCCTGCTAACTTTATCACCAAGTACCCCCTGAGCAACTATGCATAACCTAACAAATCACACCAGATTAGTCTCCCGGGTGCCAAGATTCTCACTGCCACATGTGGTACCGACATACTGCTGCTGCACGACCCCCTAAACACCCGTGTTGAGAATAGCAGCCCACACACCGAATACACAAGGGATGCTTGCATAAGGGGGATGGCAAGGCAAGGAATGGTGGAACGGGCATGGCAGGATGGTGGAACGGGCATGGCAGGATGGTGGAACGGGCATGGCAGGATGGTGGAACGGGCATGGTGGGATGGTGGAACGGGCATGGTGGAAAGGCCATGGTGGGACGGGCATGGTGGGACTGGCATGTTGGAACGGACATGGTAGGACAGGCATGGGAGCAGCTGGTTTGAGAGGCGTGAAGTCACCATCACATGTGCTCCTGTCACCTGACGACTGCCTGATGCCCCATCTTAGCAGCGAGTGCATCAAAGTACCCCACCATCTGGTCCCGCTTGTCCAACACCCTCTCCATCTCCCCCGCTGTCAGTGCGCCGCCCATCTCCTCCAGCAGCTGCGCGCGATTCATTCTCCTCAGGCGAGTCAGGACAAACCCTGCCACCGTCTTCAGTCTGCCGCCCGCTCCCGTGCCGCGCTTGGACCACATGGCATGTAGGCCGGCGCCGAGAGACGGGCCCATGGGGTGCGAGAGCACTACGGGCGAGAGCTTGCCGTCCCCGGACCAGTGCTGGGCGGCGAAGAAGCCGGAGGGGCGGCGCAGGGAGGAGCCCATGAGGGCGTCGAGAATGCGGATGCTGCTGATCACCGTGTGCGCCTGCGTGGGCGCGCGCAGGCGCTGGGGGGGAGGGGAAAAGCGGATAGAGACAGGACAACGGGATGGTTTATGAGATGAGAAGGGGGAATCCGTTAGCGATGCTGCGCTTGGTTGGGGGAACGCAGGGCAGTAACTCAACAGTATCCAAGAAAGGAAACTCGCAAGCAGCGCAGGGGGGAAGCGACGGAGAAGAGGGACTCACGGAGGGGTGCACGGAGGCGAGCGGGTGCAGCAGGTGCGGCAGCAGCGTCATGGTGCCCTGCGCGAACCGCCGCGACCCCAGCTGCACGCCCTGCCTCACCGCCACTGGCGGCACCACGTCCAACCCCAACACGCGGGAGAGCTGCGCCGGGGGGGGGAGGGGAGGCGGAGGGAAGAAGCAGGAGGACGAAGCGGAGAGGAGGGAAAATAAAAATGGTGAGAATGCAAGCGTAAGCCTCTAGAAGAGGCGGCGACAAGAGAGAAAAGGAAAGGAAAGTAATAAGCGCGTCAGTCTAGCTCACCTTGTACGCGACCCATTCCGCAGGAGCGCGCTGGAATCGCAGCCTCGCGTCGCCGCCAACCACCGGCCGGTACAGCGCCTGCACCGTCTTCTCGCCGTCAGCCCCGTCGCCGGCCGCCAGATTGACCACGTAGAGCGGACGGAATGGCGTGGATCCAAGCTCGCGGCCCGCCATCCTCCAGCTGACGATCCTGCCCGTCGATAGCAGGTCCACTAGCTCCCTCTCCTGCTCCCTCTGCTCCTGCGTCAGCACCTGATCTTCCACCTTTTCCGGCGCAATTTGCGGTGGTAGCAGGGAGGTGTCAATCGGCGGCTGCGCTACTGAGGTTGCAGCTGCCGCCGGCGACAGTGGCGGCTGGGATGCTGACGAGACGGCTTCTGCTGCTTTGCGCTGCGCCTTTTGGTCCAGCACGAGGCACGTACGCGCTATGGCGCGCGTCGCCATGGCCATAGTGCGCTCCGTGTACGCGGCACGGTCCACCAGGTCCGCGGCTCGGACGGACGCCGTTACAGTGACTATTGCCGTTTGCGTTTCCTCGTCAAATCGAATCGAGGCGCGAGTACACGTCAGCGCGTCCATCTGCTGCACGTCGAGCTGCTGCTCGCTCGCGGGAATTGCGGCGGGACTTTCGGAAGGAGAGAAACCCGAGAAAAGGGTGGAAAGGCTCTGGGCTGAGAAGGACGAGGGAGAGAGAGGGACCGACGATACTTCCGACGGCGAGGATGCGTCGATGTCAATCGGAACGTCTAGATCAACGGACGGGATGCTCCCAAGGTCGAGTTTGATCTGCTGCGAAACGAAGACTAGCTGTTCCTCCTCCACCTTACCTCCGTTCGCGTCGCCATCAAATTGTAACTCGTTTTCTCTGGTGTCTGATACACTATCAGTATTCCCGGCAACAGCACCGGGAATACCCGCCGCATCTCCCGCTGAAGGAGGATAGACCGTTACAGACGTTTGAACGTCGGCAGCACGTGTCTTGATCTTATAAAGAATGTGCTTAAGCTTTGAGAGCGTCGTTCGCGCCTGCGACTCGATGCGGTCCACGCCTGTCTCCGAGGCGCGAGGGCTCGACGGCTCGATGAGGCCCTCGTCGAGCGGCTCGGGAACAGAGATGGGGGCCACGGACGGCGGAGGTAGAGTGTCGGTTTCATCTGTGGGTACCGGGAGAGATCCCTGCCGTTCGATGGTCAGCGACGACTGCGGCGACGGTTTCTCGTCGCACACGCCCAGCGACCCCTGCCGTTGGAGTGCCTTGGGCGATTGCTCCGTCGCACCTCCGGTATTAGTCACCCCGGATTTGGCCGCAGCGCGTACGGTCAAGAAACGCGCTCCCTGGAGTTTCCGGCGAGGAGAGGTGAGGAAGGGTCTGTGCGAGCGGGCATAGGAGAGAGGAGCGACGTTTAAAGCTGTGTAGGTGGAGAGAGAAGAGGATGAGGACAACGCGGATAGGGAGGAGGCGGAGGAGATACGGCGGAAGGGGGAGGTGGAGAGGGATGAGGCAGATGAGACGCGACGGAACGAAGATGCAGAACAGCGCAGCGCGATAGTTGCGGTGCGGCGCCGCAATGGGAAGCCGACACGCGGAGAGGAACGCTGTGGGCCGGCGGCACGTGAAGAGGTGAGCGCGGTGGCTTGGATGGTAGCGCCTGTTGCGGCAGGCAGGGCGCACGACGCCGCCATGGCTGAGGTCAGCTGAGCCAAGGCGCTGAGGGTCGACCGCACTGACTCTTGGGCTGTGCCACGGGCGGAGAAATGGAGTATGGAGTGCAAGACAGATTTCAGCCTCGCCAGCTACAACTGTCTAAGCTAAATATAAAACAGCTATAAAATGGGGAAGGGAGTTGTTTGAGCAAGAATGGGAAGGGAGAGGAGAGGAATGGAGATGCGCGAGAGAGAGCCGGGGAGCAAAAAGCTGCGGCGTGGCGGAGGGCGGAAAGCGAGAGAAGGTTGCAGCGCAGCGGCAAAACGGGACACGCGGGAAGTCTGAGGGGGGAGAGAGAGTGATTGCCACTTGGAGGTTTGCTTGAAATCCAGACTCGAAACACGCTTGGAGGGGCACGCACGACACGAGCCAAAAATTTGATGGGGTGGTGGTGGCGAGGTGACAAAGATTGCAGCCAATAGGAGGCGCAATGCAATGTAATTGGGCGAACGCGAGGCGTGGCGACTTCTGTTCGCATATCCCGTTCGTCAACTGGGAAACGTCGCACGAAATGGCTGGTGGATTCGCCACCCCTCCTCCCCTCGCCAGGTTCCTCCTGTCATTGTGGAGGCACTGAATGTGAGCCCAGGTTCTTGTAACGAGAGGTAAATTCCGTGGCTTGCATTGGTCCTGAGACCTGGACCAGAAGAATCTTCGAGGCTGAGCTGGTTCCAACCATAAAGCCCTCCCATCTACACGTTAGATGAAACGAGAGCCGCACACAACTATGCATGAACGTAGGACCGATATTGGCAACAGTGGGGATCAACTCCACAGCTAGCAGGGGAAAACAGGATTTGGGGTGACAAAAACCAGGCATTGAACCTGACGTGAATCGAACACGCAACCTTCTGATCTGGAGTCAGACGCGCTACCATTGCGCCACAGATCCATGTTACAGGTAATAATAAACTTAACAATATCAATATTTATTCGGCATCCTACTGGCAGCTGCTGTTTCCTTAGAACGCCTCAGCTAATCAAATGAACATAAAACAGCAACACTCTTCCAACGATACACGGTATCAGCTTGTTCACCTGTGCTCCCATTTCACAGGGATGCCCTTAACCATGATCCATCAAGCTCATGGCCGTCCTCTTCCTTAGCCCCCTCCACTGCAGCTCCCACCGGCTCGTTTGTCTTCCCCGCAGCATTGCCTCCTGCTTCACTTTCCTTGTCATCTGGTGCTGCTGCCGCCGATGCAGGCCGGTTCTTGCAATATCTGTCAAGCCAGTTTGACTGCTCTGCAAGCACGTGTAACAGCGACTCACGGGCGCGGTAACCATGTCCCTCATGCGGTAACAGCACCATGCGGGTGGTTACACCATGACCCTTGAGTGCTGCAAAGAAACGCTCCGTCTGATTGGGTGGTGGGTGAAGGGGTTTAACAGGACAGGGATGAGAGAAGAGATGGAATGCTTGGAGTGGGAAAGCACAATAAACGCATTGTGCTTTCCCACTCGCGTGGAGGGGTATGAATGTATACTGCAGTCAGAACAAATGCGCACAATAAACGCATCCATGCACCACTACACCCTGCAGCACATCATGCAAGCAAAGCAAGCGAGCACATCCTGCGAGCACCAACTACACCCTTTCCACGCACATCCGTACCACACGCGCGTTTACCATACATGGCCCTTACCATACACGCACATGCAAATGGCACTGCAGGCCCTGACCTGCATGGGGAAGGTGCCGGTGTTGTTGTCGTCCTGGCCGTGCACGAGCAGGATGGGCGACTTAATGCGGTCCGCCGCCAGGAAGGGGCTCATGGTCATGTACACCTCCGGCACCTGCCACAGCGTGCGCTCCTCCGACTGCAGAGAGGGGAGATGGGGATGGAGGGAGGACAGGGAGAGAGAGCGAAGAAATCAGGAATGGTGGGATGGCAGGGAGGAAAGAGGGCAGGGAGGAAAGAGGGCAAGGAGGAAAGAGGGCAAGGAAGGGGCTCATGGTCATGTACACCTCGGGCACCTGCCACAGTGTGCGCTCCTCCCACTGCTCAGGGGGCACACAGGTGGGATGGGGGTGGGGAAGCGGATGGGGAAGGGCGAGTGGATGGGGGAGGGCCGACAGGGGATAATGAAGACAAGAATAAGGCAGGGGTTCATGCCATGAGGTGGTACACGCAGAGGACTAGAGGGGGGAGAGTGGACAGCGGTCATTCGCAAGGGCAGACAGCGAGAGAATGCACACCGTGGACTGCCATACCATGCATGCGCTCACTCTGCACTTTGCACTCTGTGCGCCACACACAGCACACCACGGTGACCACGCAACAAACCCGGCCATCTGCAAGCAGTGCCGTGCAAACCACATGCACTCTGCACTCACCTGGAAAGAGAAAGGCGTGAGCGTGCGGTTGTAAGCGCCGCTCTGCGCGATGGCGCAAGCAAACAGGTGTGGCGCGTGGGCGAGCAGGTTAGCCGCCATGAACGCGCCGTACGAGTGCCCGCCAATGGCGATCCTGGCGCGCTGCGCCACGCCGCGCCGCACCACCTCGTCCACCGCTGCCTCTGCACTGGACACCAGCTGCTCCACGAACCGGTCGTTCGCCTCCTCCTCGCCCTGCCCTATGATGGGCATCGATGGGCCACTCAGCACTGCATAACTGCTCAAGGAGAGATGAAGGGTGGTAGAGGGGCATGAGGCGTGCAGAGAAGACAACTCACCTGTTAGGCACCTAAAAAAAGACGGCACGGAACATGCAGAGAAGAAGACGTTGGTGTAAGAGATACTTGGCTTGCTAGAGCCGACCCAGACCGTTCATCAACACGGACCCCATGCGCAAGCACAAAGTGGGCATTTGCAACAAAGCCAAGGCCGTACCCTCTAGCCAGAAAGAGCAGTGGCGAAGACGCTCCAATCCCAGGGAACTGATTGGGCGAGCCCTGCACCTGCCCGGCCGCCTCCTTGCTCTTGTACTCGCGGGGGTACGCCCAAAACACCATGGGTAATGGGCCGTCTGTAGCGGGGTTGTAGCCGGGCGGCAGGAAGAGCTTGGCCGTGAGCTGCACACCGTCGGATCGCGTGTAGCGGATGATCTCCTTGGAAAGGCCGCGGAGCGAGGGGTAGGGGTGCGGGAAGTTCGTCAGCTGCACCTCTGACCCGTCCGCCCACCTGGTGTGAGGTGAACGGGGTGGACAAGTGGAGGGAGAGAGGGTGGTGGAGAGAGCGAGGGGAGCACGAATGTGGGGTGGAGGCTGGGCTGGAGCAAGAGCTGGGCAGCACTTGTTTGGCGCCCACAAAGCAGAAGCAACCCATTTATGTGCACTGAGATGGAACCCGTTGTGCACATAGCAGCACGCACCTATTTTTGAGTCGACTCAAAAATAGACCCGTTGTGCACATAGCAGCACGCACCTCTTGACGAACGACTGTGGCGGGTCATCCTTGGACTCGCGGGACAGAATGAGCTTCAAGTCCTTGAGGTCAATGGGGCCCTCCTCCTGGTCGCCCAGCAGCGAGTACATGGTCTCAAAGTACTTGTCTGTGTCGCTGCGCCACACACGCTCCTTCTCCCCCGTCTGCCAGTCAAACAGGTCAAGGAATGGCACGTTGCCCTCCGGGCTCGCCCCATCCCCCGCTAGCATCAGTCGCAGCGCGCCATCTGGCAACCGAACCTGCGCCAGCACGTAGGTTCCCATGCTGGTTCGGCGCAGGAGGGGTCCGCCAGGGTCAGAGTACCGGTCCTCGTAGGACCGGTCGAAGATCAGCTTCGGCGGGGGGCGCTGGTCTGGGGGGAGAGGTCCGGAAGCGCCGCCCGGGGCTATGGCCCAGGTTCGGGTTCGGCGAGTCTTAAACCAGCTCTCGTAGACCAGAGCCAGACCCTCGTCACCCCACGTGATACCTCTGATGGACCGGGGGAGGGTGGTGGGAGGGATATGGAGGGTGATGGTGGGCGTGCATGCATGGGGACATCAGTAGAAGAACGAGAAGGATGAATGGGACGAACATAGGATGCTTTACAGAACCAACAAGTAAATGGGAAACACTCCCCAGAAGCTTGTCATTGCGGTGGTTTGCATGCACACACACACACACACACACACACACACACACACACACACACACACACACCCACACACACACCCCCACACACACACGCACCCGTAGCGCAGGTCGAGGCGGCAGATCTCCTGAGGCTGCTGGCCTGGTGCGGAGTCAGCCGGCAGTGTGTACACAATGTCACGCGGAGACACGTCCACCTTGGCGTCTCCCCCATCCTGTGTCTCCACCCTGTTGGGGATGAGAGGCCGGGGGGACGCACAGCAGGGGTGAGGCAACAGGGGCGAGGAAGCAGGCAGCAGGCACGAGAAGAATGCCCATGGGGGACGCACAGGGCACTCCAGTTTCTCCAAACAATATGCAATATGTCGACCTGAAAGAGCCGCAGCAAGCCTGAGCATTGAGTACGCAGTGAGGACGCAGTGATGGCTCCCCCACCCACCAGTAGAGGCAGTTGGGCACGTCAGGGCGCCAGTTGATGCTGCGGCGGCCCGTCCTGACGGAGTTGAATGTCACGGGGATGTTGTCCGCCAGCGGTAGGTCTGCCACCAGCTGTACGGACAAGGGCGGAACGGTGTGACAGGGACAGGGGGAGAGGGACAGGGCGTTGATGCTGCCATCCCCTGCTTTACTAATGTGAGGAAATTTACGAAAATGTTGTTGGCCGGAGGGAGGTTTGTTAGCGGATGGGTAGGGAGGAAGGGCATGCGGACAGTAAAGGACGCAGGAGAGAGGGGGTAGGTGGAACGGTGGTGGAGGAGGTGGTAATTCAAGGTGGGCTGGAAAGGTCGATTCACAGGCCGTGCTGACACTGCGACTCTCATCCAATCCCATCATTTCCACTGCCCACCCACCTGCACCCACCTGCAACCATTCCGTCCTTCCCAGTGCCCCACTGCTTTCACAGCCTCCCCCACCACCCCTCACCTGAAGCAGGTCACCCGTGTCGCTGCGCCACACCTCCACACGGCGGGGGAAGCGGCCACAGGGCACCTCGAAGGAGAAGGGGCGGCACATGCGCTCCACCAGCAGGTACTTGCCGTCGTGCGATGGCTCCACCTGGTGGAGTGGGGGGATGGGGTGGGGAGTGAGACTGGTTGCTGTAGGTGAGGAAGGATTGGGTACCATTGAGGAGGCAGGGGCGCAACATGCGCTCATCCAGCATGCACTTGCTGTTGTGGGTGTCTCCCACTCTCCCTCCCCTCCCTCCCCTCCCTCCCCTCCCTCCCCTCCCTCCCCTCTCCCTCACTTCAACCCACCACATACCGACATGTACATGTCCGGAGGGCCAATGGGCGTCATCGATCCCTCCGGGTCATTGATATCAATCCTGACGATCTGAGAGAGGGCGAAGTGCTCCAGCAGGCGAGCATCAAACTCGTCCTTGAGCAGATCCGTGAACGTGCGTGACTGCGCCGCCACGCCCCCCTGGTTGTCCGAGATCTTGGGGCCGGGGGGGACGGCAGGGCGCGTGGGCAGAGGCGGGTGGCCAGGCGGGATGATGCTCGCGATGAGCGTGCTGCCGTCCAGCCACGCATAGCTGAGGGGTTGGGAGGGGTGCAGAAGGGAGGGGAGGGGTGGGGAAGGATGGGGAGGGATGGGGCTGGGCAGGTTGCTTTGAGGAGGTGAAGCGGGGGGGGATGCGAGGTAAGCAACTGCCTGGAAGACGTGGGTCAGTCCAGATGCGGTACAGAGCACGGGGTGGCAGGTTCATAGCTCAAGAGCAGAGCAGAGGGAGGATCCTCACGAGTCAAACACGGCGTTGATTGCTGCATGCGGCGGCCCCAGCAGCTGCCTCGCCTTGCCCGTTGCCACGTCAGCCACCCACAATGACAGCTGGCGCCCTGCCTGCTTCTCGCCATTGTCGCCCTGCAAGGAGTTACGGGGGGAAAAGAGTGGAGGGAGAAAGATGGAGGGTGGAAGTATGGGGGGACCAAGGGTTAAGGGGTCAAAAGTAGGCGGAGAGAGGGTATGGCAGAGAGGGGCAGGGATGGGACAGCGAGCAGGCGGATGCATGGAGGAGCGGGTAAAGCCATGGAGGCATGCACAAGCGGGGTACTGTGAGTGAGTGGCTCACCTCCTCTCCATCGCCGCGCACTGTGAACGCCAAGTGCTGCCCGTCTGGTGACCTGATACATGCAGACGAGGCGCAGGCAGAAGATGTGGCGATCAGCATGCCATGTGGGCTACGTGATGCGGTGACTGGCATGCCATTTATGCATCTTTGTAGTGAGGGCGCAGGCAAAGGGACTAACCTCATGAATGCGCCAGTCCCGGACTCCCATAACCTTGCAGAGAGGAAGTGAATGAACAAAGAACATACAATCACTCCTCATGAAGGTCACAGCACTACCCCTGAGTCCCTAACTACCCCCCCTGTGCTCTCACCAGGAAAGGAAGTTGATCTTGCTGTTAGGCGGCAGCCCTGTGATGTCCACCGCGTCCCCCAGTGTGTCGTCATCATTCACCCTGTGGATCGTCACGCCCGTGTAGAACGACCTGGCGTGCAGAGAGGGCGCGCAAGATAGGGTGAGACGAGATGGTGGGGGGTGAGACGGGGGGAAAGCACCACATTAGACCGAGGCCTACGTATCTCATTCACCTTGTGGATGCTCACCCCCGTGTAGAACGACCTGGCGGTGGAAAGCGGGGGTGCAGAGCGGCGAGGGGGTTGCGGCGAGATGGGGGAAAGCACCACACCAAGTTGAGGCCTATGTATCTCACATCACATGCTGCTGCCGTCATGACTCACATTCTGCTGCGGCTGTGCGCTTCGGGGTCGATCCTCACCCCAGCCAGCTTCAGCTCCGGCCGAGCCAGCTCGGAAATGGGCGGCAGGGAGGGTCGGTGCATGAACAACACTCTTTCCCGCTTCGGGCTAAACGACAGCGCGGGATTGGGCGGCGCATCCACGATGGACAGGATCTCCGCTGGCGGCAGAGCGTATCCGGAGTTGAGATCTGATTCTGAGTCGGATTCGGTTGCAGACGCCAAGGTGGGACCAGCCGAAGCGGTAAGATCTGGAGGCGGATGGGAAATGAGCAGTGGAAGAGCACGGAAGGGGAGGGGGGACGGGTTGGGAGGAAGCGGGTTGACAACGAGGGGGTTGGGGGTGGGAAATGAAGTCGGCGGAAAACGACATGGCAACTATGCTCACTTGCACGCATGTATGGTTGAATGAGACGCACACAAGGCCGTGGGATAGCCATCCTGTGTGATCGCTCACCTTCTGCCATGGCCCCGTTGGAGGTAGCGGCGGCACCAGCAGCAGCGGCACCAGCAGCAGCAGCTCCGCCTCCCATCAATGACGCCGCGATCAGCATCGCACGTCGAAATCCGCCGTTTCCGTCGACCATTTCGCGACCATTTCCGGCCACACCCCGCAAAATACCGCTGTTTCCGATAAAGGCAGACGAGGATGAGCTACTAACGGGGATTCGCGCGCTGAACGCGCGCCGATGAGCGTTAAGGCCGCTGCTGACGCCGACCAACGGACGATGCGCGCTGACGTGGACAGCCATAGGGACCGTACGCGCTAATGCGGGTGAATTCGCCACCGACGAGGAACGAGAATCGAAGCACACACTTCCGTCGAAAGTGCGAGGTGACGCAATGGCCGCCACAACACAGCGGGACCTAAGTTGGCTAAGTGATCGAAGCGAGCTAAGCGAACGGAGCGGAGTGAGCGGGACGCTGAATCGCGCTACCGCGACGCAGCTGCTGGCTGCAGGCCCCGTCCACATCAAGGTGACGAGGAGGCGATGATGGTGCGGCGATGTCAGGCGATCATGGAATCCAGAGATCGGCGTTTGCGGGATCATAGTTCGTGCTCGGCTTTCCTGCGAGGGCGAGTTGAACCCAAGGCATCCCAGCAAACCTTGATGTTGTCCGAACAGAATTGAACTGTTGTGTGGAAGTTGATAAAAATATGAACATAAGTTTAGTACAGGCCTAAACTTTAACGCGTACAGCCGTGTCTTCCTTGGCCTCGAAAATTGTTTTCCCAAATCATGCTTCACCGCTGAACATGTCTCAGCAAGACTCGTTGCAGCCATAGGTTTCCTGAAGCTTGCACATTACCTTTTCCTGCTTCTACGATCCAAACAGCGGTCATGTTCAACCGATTTAATCTCGACCGTTTTAAGAAAGCGCAGTCGTCGGACCCTTTCGGTATTGGGGAGACACGCGGAGCCACTCCCGAGAAGTCGTCCGTTGTGTCGCAGGCGACTGTTGTCGCAGCAGGCCGTGCGACAGGTACCGTCATCTATGCCACGTCAGCTCAGCCTGTCCGATCGCCTTTCACTAAACAATTACAGGAAAATGCGGCCCAGACGCATACTACCCAGCAGCAACAGCAGCAGCAACAGAAGCAGCAACCGCAACAGCAGCAGGAGCACGAGCAAGTCGTTGCGATCACCATTGGCGGAGGATCGTCCACGTGGCAGCCGCCTGAGTGGGCTGTGGTTCCAAAACCAGGCGTGTACTCGCTGGAAGTTCTCAAGGTGATTATGCTCCTTTTCGCATTGACAGCTTGGCTCACCTGAGAAGCAGCAAGAGGCTCAGCGATAGAGGCAGCATCCATAGAAACGTGTACTTCCGGATTGGAGCGTGAAACTCAGAGTGACAATCCACGGGGAGGGAGATCATTCGGTCTGGGCTGTGATCATTCGGTCTGGGCTGTGATCATTTGGTCTGGGGTGTGAATGATATCGTTATCCTGTCTGGGGTGCGTTCGTTGTTGTGGTGCGGCAGGATGGAGTCTCAGCTGGCAGCATACCATTGGACAAGAAGCGGTCGCTGTTTGGCCGGCAAACCACCACGTGTGACTATGTGCTGGAGCATCCCTCTCTCTCCCGCCAGCACGCTGCAGTGGTCCACCGGAAGAACGGCAGCGTCTTTGTCATTGACCTGGGGTGGGTACAGTACTGCACCGTTCTGAACCCCTTCAACATGCTTTAACACTCTTGTGTTTTCCCTGTTCGCAGCTCGGTCCACGGCACTTATGTCTCTAACGAGCGGCTCTTAAAGGACATTCCTGTTGAGATAGAGCCTGGCCAATCCCTGCGCTTTGCTGCCTCCACACGCACGTACGTGCTGCGTAAGGCAATCCCGCAGCCCCCACCGCCATCACCATGGCCTCCTGCCGCAGCAGCTACAGATCTTGCCAGTTCAGAAGAAGCGCCTTTCGCTGCTACAGCTGCTGTTACAGCCTGGCCAGGAGCGAGAGAACATCACCAGGAGCAGCAGCAGTTGCCACCTCCCCCGGATAAGGACGACCCTGAGGCAGTTGCACAGTACAACATGGTGCTGAATCTGCTTGGGTTGCCTGCAGGGGAATTCAACCTTGGGAATACCGGCGCTGGTCCCTCTAGACAGGCCGTGGAGAGAGAGAAGAAGAGGAAGAGGGAAGAAGGAGGGGGGGAGGAGGGAGGAGAGGCGGAAGCAGCAGCAGCAGGAGGGAAGGGCGGGGATGAGCGAGGAGCCTATAAAGCAGGTGAAGGGAGGAATGGGAAGGCAGACGACGAGGAGCCAACTGGGAAAAAGCACAAAGCAGGAGCGCCTTCAGCAGCAGCAGCAGCAGCGGGCGGCTCAAGCAGGCCTCACGCTGCTCTGTCAACAAGTGAGGCGGCGTCTAGAGCGAGGAGAGCGCGGGTGAAGTTCCGAGACGAGCAGGGCGGGCTGCTGGTGGAGGTGGTGGGGTTCTCAGACGGGGCCCATGTGGGGGCGGAGCTGGGGCCTGTGGGGGTGAAGGAGGGGGGCAGCCTCATGGGGCGCTTTGACTCCCTCGTGCGGACCGTGGTGATTCCACGCGTGCGCACCAAGAACACTGCTGCGGGTGCTGGCTCGCCAGGATCCACGTCAGCGTCCACGTCAGCGTCCACGTCAGCAGCAGCACAGTCCAGCCAATCAGGGTTGTCGGTTGCAGCGTCACCATCACCAGCAGTGCCAGCCGTATCATCGCCAACCCCCTCTGCTCTCCAGTCGCCAAGCGGCAAGGTGAGTGTGGCGGACAGAATGAAGTGGTACATGGAGAGGGTGAAATCACCCAAGCAGCAGGGCCTCTATGGGGGCCTGGGGGACGAGAATGTGCCTGTAAAGAGGTCTGAGTCCTGGGCTGGGGCTCGTGATAATGGTGCCACAAACATGAATTCGGGTGCTGGTGCTGGTGGTGCTGGTGGTGGTGCTTCTGCTGGCCAAGGAAGCAGAGATGGTTCAGGTGCAGCTGAAGACGATGACAGGGATCTGTTTTGTGCGGCTCACTGATGCCCAACCTGCCTCGACCTCTGGAATTATTAAATTTGTCGTAGTAATGATAATGTCTGGATGTGCTTGCCTTGAATGACATACCGTACTGTTCATGCTGTAATAGCCGAAACATGCTGTGGCCTCATCGCTGACATCTCTCCCGTTGCATAGTGAGTGGCGTTTGGCCTGTATCCTGCTGCCTGCAACATGACAGACAGGGAATCCTTGAAGACTGCAGGCAGCAAAACCTGAGCATGTGTTGTGTGGTTCTCTTGCAACCATGATGTGCCAGCCATACCATCACATCACTCCAGCTTGCCTGAGAAGCGAAACCGCCAGGCTAAGGCCTTGCGATCCCACTCATTGATATCATGTACACAAGCTAGTGGGAGCTGCAGAAGTGGGACTGAGGGAGCGGGACTGAGGGAGCAGGACTGAGGGAGCGGGAATGAGGGAGTGGGACTGAGGGACTGTGGGAGTGAGGGAGTGGGACTCTCTAATTCAGGAGATGGCTTTAAGCCACATGGCACTGCATCGTGTAAGCAGCATAACATTAGTTGGTTGGCAACATGCAGGAATTATCCCGCATGCCATCTTCCAGTGACAGTCAGGGACACAGCGTGCAAGACAATACAGCTTCACCAATTCCCTCAGCCCAGCAGGGCAAACGAGTCCAGAGCTCTGCGGAGCAATCCCAGGGTGGTAAGATCCACTGGCTCACTCTCCGAATCCGCCACTGCAATGTTAACAATGTACAGCTTCCTATCCGCTATAGTCACTGCTGTTAGTATCCGCTTGCTGCCTCTGGTGCTGGCGAGTGCGTACTCTATCTGGTACAGCGGGATACCCCCTGCCAGCTCCTTGGTTCTCTGAGACAAGATCTCTGCGCTCTTGGTGCTCTCCTGCACGTGGTTACCACGTGGTTACCAAGAGGGAATGTGCCAGGAAAGGGGGAAGACAAACAGAAAGGTAAGTGAATGAGGATGAAGCCATTAATTTTAAGGTACAGCCCAATAGGTCAATAGAGCCACAGTCTGAAATGAGCTCCTCTGAGAGCCCACATTCCAACTCTCAGCCGTCAACTCTGAAGCCTCACCTTGCGTCGCTCCGCGTCCAGCAGTCTGGTCGCGACGAGGTCAATGTCGCCAAAGTCGCGCAGCGATCGCACGCGCACGGGGTTCACCACCACGCCCAGGGTGTCGCCGCGCCGCTCGGGGCTCGCGAAGAGTGCCGTCGCGCCCGCCTTGTCGCGCTGCTCCCACGCCGCCGGCACCCGGATGGCGAAGCGCTTCGTCGGGTCCTCGTACGGCCGGAGACCGTCCGCTTGGGGTTCCTCTGCTTGCAGATTCTCTGGAGTATGGGAGCGGCGTAGGCATGGGATATGGTGACACTGAGTAAGAGAAAATAGTGTGCGGCGAGTAACAGCGCGTCTTGAGCCAAACGCTGTGACAAGCCATGCGTGTGCTTCTATGCTGCAACGGTCAGCATGAGAACATCATTGTTTGCATTCCAACAGTACCTTCAGAGAGGGCGTTCTGGACATTCATCGACAGAGAAAAAAGGAGCGAAGTTGCCACGAACGCTCGTCTGTCAAGCCTGGTCGGCGTAACACCGGCTTCTACACCAGAAAATCTGCTTGAATCTGCGGAAGCTGCATGTTTCACTACCCCTGGTTCCTCTATGCCACATGTGACTCGCAGTAACGTTCTCGTGAGAGCGCGCGGGAGAGAGAAGTCGCGAGAGGGTCGAGAGCGCGTCAGTCGAGCAGTTGACGAATGTAGGGACGGGCCGATCAGGCTGGCGTGAGGACGAGCGACGCGGAGAACCTCCATGGAAGTGACCCTGTATGACGACTGGTCTATGGAGAAAGGCTCCTACAATCGAGGTGTTGCCTGTCCTGCTCCTGACACGCTGGTCGTGAGAGTGCCGAGGAGATCGGCAACCAGCGATATGGTTTGGCTATAGTTTATCCCCGTCTGTCCGTTTTGAGTCATCATACCTGACATAGAGGTGTCCCCTGTAGGAGCTTCTCAATGATTCAACACTTCGCACGTGCAATGTGAGACTAGACACCCTTAGGCTATAGCAGGTCTACAAATTCAACTGGTAGAAAGTAGTTGATTTTATGTGAATCCAGCCATCATTGTGTTGATCAAACAGCGCAGTTACCGTACCTCGCTTTGTGTTTAAGGCCCATGCATGCCTAAGAACTTTTCGAACTGCAATTTCTTTCAACAAGGACTTGCATCTCTTGTGCAAGCTAACACCTTTCATGTCTTAATCAGCCATCATTCACTATCCCCACCATCACCGCCAGCAGCTTCTGGTCTGGAGCTCCCCGCTCCCTTGGCAATCTCCTCCTTGTCCTTGGCCTCCTTGGCGGCACGCTCTTTCACACGCTTGATGATGTCATGTGCCGTGTTGAACACACCCTGGGTCGGCTGCTCACACACAAAGCAGTTCTTGTTGCGCGAGTGGTGCTGCCAACAGGTCCATGAGGGGGTGGGGAAAGGCAAGTGGAGAAAATGATCCGGATGAGTTGGCTGCAAAAAGTGTGTACGGAAAACAAGTCGCTGCTTACTCGGCAAATAAAATCTCGCATTATCTCACCTTGAGTGCGCAGTGCTCGCAGAAGTAGTGCCGGCACTTGGTAACCACCGGATCCACAAACGACTGCCGACAGATGAAGCACGCAAACGGCAGATCGTCATCATCACTCTCCTCCTCCTCCCCCTCTCCCCCCTCCCCTTCCTCCAAAATCCCCAGTGCTGCCGCCTCTTTCCTCCTCTTCTCCTTCTCCTGCCACTCCCTCTCAATCTGCCACCCCGCCTTGTAATCCCCCCGATCGTGCAGGAACTTGCACGAGTCCCCGTACCCGCAATAGCCAGTCTCTTTATAGTCTTTACAGAGGTCCGGCTGGTAGTCAAAGCGCACGGACCATCGGATGTGTGTGGAGGCGCGCAGGGGCCCGTGTGCACCCGTTGCCTTCTCGCTCGCCACCGTGTGCTCCCGCCTGAAGCCGGCTGTGTGGTCTGCGTAACTGGGGAGTTGTGTGAGAGGAGCCAGTGGATGGAGACAAGGAGATTGTGAGGCGACACAGCAATGACTGAATGTTTGAATCACCATGCTCATCCCACCAACTGTACGCAGAGAATCACACGGCCATGCAAATTCATCCCACGCCATGCCCTTACACACCAGCGTATCTCACCCCGCCATGCCCTTGTAAACCTCCTCCTTCTTGCTCCCCGGCGGGCCTGCGGGGCCAGCAGCAGCGGAGCCCCCCTCGCGCGCGCGGCCCTTGAGCGCCTCCTCCGCCTGCTTCAGCACCTTCTCGCGGATGGCGCGCGAGTCGCGGTCAAACTCCGTCTCCGTCTCTAGCGTTGCCGTCGCGCGGCTGTCCGACGCCATCTAAGTGCACGAAGGAGGGGGGAAAGGGATGGGAGGAAACTTAGGTCCACGATGCGAGAGGCACAACCCATCCAGACCTCATCACAAGCGCGTCCCGAGGCACGCCCTTTACCTGCACGCGTCGGTCCGACTCATACGCGAAGCTGACTGCTGGCCTCGCGGGACCCTCCGCGGCGCCGTCCGTCCCCGCTTCCGCCGCTGCGGCGCGAGCTGCGCGCTGCTGCGACGAGGCGGAGGTGAAGGCGAGCTTGCCCTCGGCTCGGCGCGCACTCTTCGACTTCGGCGGACCATTCCCGCCCGCTGACGCGTCCTCGTCGCCCCCGCCGCTGCTGCTGCTGTCCCTGTCCTGGTCCTCGCTCAGCAGCTGCCGCTTCCGCACGTTCTTCGGCTTGCTCGACTTCTTGAACATGGCGGAAGGCGCGCAAGTTTGGACCGCGGCGAAGATTTCTGAGGTGCTCGGCGAGGCCGTTGCGATTCGTGAGCGAGGTATCAACAGAATGGATCAGAAAGTAACGAAAGTGGACGAGGCAAAGGCGACGTGGTGAAGGCAAGGGAGCTGGAAGCAACGCTTCAGGGATAGAAATCCACACTTGAAAATAATGGGGTGGGGAAATGCGATTTGGGGAAATCTGCGTGCTTCGTGCGTCTCTCCACATGAAACACATACAGTGACATGTTTGCAAGGTTTTGTTCTTCATTGGAATCACAAAAAAAAAATTACACCATGAAATTCGTAATAGACGTACACGCAAAGTTCAAACATGTGTACAGTGTTGGAGATATCGAACTGACACGTCAGTGTCCCCAAATGCACAGAGCGACCGTACGCTTCCTCAAATCAAAGCCACGCTGGAGCCGAGCGGACAAACCATTTCCTGCCAAGCAATCGGCCAATCCGCTTCGCCCTTGCTTTTCCCCCAAACCGCCCTCAAGTCGGTTCTCCGCAACTCAGCTTCCTCAGGATAAAGGATCCAGAAGATCTGACCGTCCATTCGTCATGGGCGCAGGGTGGCGCCCTGCGCGTACCAAGCCCGTGTCGTGTGAGGGTTTCACCACATCAGCTTCTCGCCCGCCAACACCCTCGCCTGCTCTCCCCACCCACGCTCCAGCACACCACCACCTGCTCCTCGCTCTCTTTTCCCCCAAACTGGACGCTTCCTAGGGTTTCATTGCAGCAGTCAGCAGCACATCCCTTTCCGCTTCATCTCGCCACGCCATAGCCTGTAGAAGAACGAACGAACCCCTCGTTTCACAGCAGCACCTCAGCTGTCCGTCGTTCTGTCGCTCCATTTCCCACCAGCGAGTAACATCACGTGGACTGGAAACATGTCGGGTTCAGATGGAAGAGCTGGTGGACATGGAAATGACCTTTCAGTTGCAGATAACAATCCTGGTCCTCCTGCATTTGAGAAATCTTCCAGCGGACGGTCAAGCCGCGACGCGCCAGGTTACCGTTGGTCCGAGGACGAGGAGGAATTAATCGCTAAGGCGAGATACGAATTAAGAGGCGACTACAAGGAGCTAGTCGGGAAGCAGGGGTCCAGCTTCTGGCTCAAAGTGTGGGCTCAGGTGAAATCCTGGGATCCTGCCTGGGATCGACCCGTCGACGCGGTGAAGGTTAAAATCCACCGCCTGGAGCGCAAGTATCGGGATATTCTCGAGCAGGAAGCGCAGCCAGGCGCCGTTGCCGTTCAGAAGCCGCTTTGGTGGAAATGGCTGAGTCTTTACATGGAGGAGAAGATGGAGGAGGAAAGGCAGGCGGCGAGAGAAGCATGGAGAGACGGCGGACGCCCCGAAGGTTCGGATCAGCAAATGCTTCCGTCGTCTTTCCGACCGTTTTCGCAGACGGTCGGCCCGATTCAACCGGCGTATCCCCCTCCACCGGGAAGCCCCTCTGATGGACCGGACGGTTCGCGATTACAGCAACTTGACAGAACGCCGTCAACGAAGCGGAAGAGAGATTCTGAGGCAGCTTTGGCGGCTGAAGACTCACTGGAGCAAGAAACAGAATTAAATTCCGTCAAGAAGAAGAAAGGTTCACGCAAGAAAGGGTCATTGAAGGATGGGGAACTCTCAGAAGGAGCAGCAGGTGCAGCAGCAGACGGGAATGGGGATGGCGGTGCTCCGGCAAGAGAAGCGTCGACAAAAGATTACGAGCGGTGGAGCGAGCGCGAGCAGGTCTTAGTAGCCCGCGCGCGGTTCGAACTCCACGACGAGTATAAGAAGCGGCCGGCCGGGCAGCAAGGGAGCTTCTATGGCCGCCTGAAAGAGTACATCAGATCGACTAAGGAGCCTTCGTTCGACCGACCGTTTGAGGCTATTAAGTTGAAACTGCACCGCATGGAGCGGAAGTATAGGGTCATTAAGGAGCGTGTGAGGGAGCGCAAGCCGGGCGACACGACGGGGGAGAACGGAGAAGCAGCAAATGCGCATCTGGTGCTGAAGCCCAAGTGGTTCAAGTGGATCGACCGTTACTTCAGCGAGTCGCTCGGCTGTTTACCCTGCGCCGAGAGCCTTTTCCCCGACAGCCCTAGCCCCCCTTCCTCTCCTCGCGACAGCCCTTCGCGAAGCGACGCTCTTGGTGAAGGGCTCGCCCGTGCGACTGGCAGACAGTCGATCGCAGACGGTACGGGCTGGAAAACGACAAAAGGGGCGGGCGGGAGCGACTCCATGCTGCTGCCGCCCAGCGCGTCGGTGAACAGCCAACCGAATGGGACGGGTGCAGGCGGTGCGAGTGGGGCGGGCGGTGAGAATGCGACGAGAGGCGAGGCTGCGAACGGCGCTGCGAACAGCTCTGCGACTGGGATGGTCGGGATCGTCAATCCCGGCGCCATAAACGCCGCAATTAACGGCGCCATGCCGCCTCCCCCGCACATCCTCACATCCCCGCCGGGCTTCTTACCGCCTCCGCCCCCCGGTTTCTTCCCCCCCGGCACTTTCTTTGCGCCAGGCGTCTTCCCCCACAGCTTTTCCGCCACCTCCTCCAGCTTCCGCCCGCCTGCCCCCCCCGGGGGCCCGTCTCCGGGAGGCGTTTCCGCCGGCCTTCTTTCCCCCCAGGGCGCAGGGCCTCCGGGGAATCCGGGTGCGGGCGGCGGCAGTGGCGGCGGCGGCGGAGCGGGCGGGGGAAGCGGGGGCGGCGGAGCAGCGGGCGCGGGTGTCCCGCAAGGGGGGTTCTGGGGGCAGCTGGTGAGTCCGGGAGGGGATGGCAGCATGGCGCAGGACGGTTTCCCCACCCCAGGGAGCATACCAGGGGGGGTGCCTTTCCCAGGCAGCGCATTCTGTGGGCAGGCCAGCACAAACGGTGGGAGCCTGGCAGGTGTGTCGACTGGTGGTGGTGGTGGGGGGGGCGGGAGTAGCAGCACATTGGAGCAGAAGTTGGACGAGGTGATTCGGGTGGTGAGGGAGAGCAACGAGGAGTGGCAGAAGCGGTTTGTGGAGGAGCAGGAGAAGAACCGCCAGCTCTTCCGCGAGCTCTTCATGACCTTCATGGGGCCGCGCATGAACGCCCCCGCCACTTGACGCGCGTGTGATCGCGCCGTCTTTCATGTGCATCCATTGCTAGAGGTGCGATGAGTGTCAGTGTGCAGTCCATGCTCCCACCTGCTCATCTGCTGCTGCTTCTGTTCTGATGCGTGTCCATGCATGCACATGGCTTGTGTTTCCCCTACTGTCATGCATCTTGCAATGTTTTAGTCATTTGAGAGAGCACAACCCCTTGTTCCTCTCTGTTCCCTCGTGTGCAGATATGGTATCAGCTTGAGCTGGCTGTGAGGGGCGTGCGCGCCCCTTCCATTTCTTGCTAGGTGCATTGTGTTCCTGACAAGGGAAACAGTGCTTTTCGTTCCAAGGAATGTACCGGCCGGTCTTAGCTGCACTGCGGTTAGCCAGCTGTGTCCAGTGCCAGAGCATTTGCCGCTGCAGTGGTGGTGCTTAGCTGCATCCATCCGTTTGTCAACAGCTGTAACTGCCTGGTAATAAGAGAGGTGCTGTGTGTCTTTGTCACACTACTCACAAAGCAGGCACATCTTCGATCACATGAGTCCACATGCATATGTGCAGGAATACCATACCATCGTCTCCTGCTCCTGCCTTTTCCATGGGCAATGTTTCTTCCAAAACGATCCACTGGAAAGGAGGCATTTTCACGGTACCGTATGTTAAGTAATCACCACAACAAATCGGTGAGGAATACGGAACATGTCAGGAGCCGGCCCTAAGCAGCGCCAAGCACAGTGATGGCGTGAGGCAGGCTGGTGCAGCAGATGGTCTGAGGGCGCCTGCTAGCATCCAGCACGGCCCACCACGGGTTGGGGTTCTGTGTGTGCCCTGGTCGCCCTGCCAGCTGTGCGTGTGAGGCGAGCAGGGACGTGGGCGAGGGGCCCTGGTTGTCCACCACCGCTGCTGCAAAGAGCGTGTACTCGCCAGGTACGAGGAAGCACAGGCTGAACTTGTGGTGCAGCGACTGGCCGGGGTCTAGTGTGGCGTCGATGCCGTTTAGTGTGCCTGGCGGTTGGGGTGCGTGTGGGTGAGATGGATGAAACGGAGTGGGTGAGTGATATGTGTGTGTATCATTGAGATACAATATGTGTGTGTGGAGAGAGAGAAGCAAACAGTTCATGGATTTATGATGCAAAGCATGTGGTAGGGCACGCATACATACAGCTTCATTGCAAGCATAGAGGAATGGAACGCAGTGGGCACCAGCAGAGTAGCATCACATCACCCACCTGCCCACATGACGTGCTGCTTCTGAGTAGCCTCCCCCACGCACGTCTCGCCAGTCACGTCGCGACACGTCACGCTGACACTCACAGCCAGCTTGCCCTTGCTCTGATTGGTCACTGTCAGCTCCACTGTTGTGAACTCCAACGCACTCGTCACACTGAACCCCGCCCCGCCCCCCGCCCCTCCTGCCCCTCCCCCTCCACTCCCTCCGCCTGCTGCCCCCTCTGCATTCGCAGCCCCTCCTCCCCCATTCCCTCCGTCCCTCGCAGCACCACCATCACCATCACCAGCCGCCAGCCCTGCCGTTTCCCTCCACTCACTGCCACCACTCCCAGCACCCCCACCCCCAGCAGCAGCACCAGCAGCAGAGAGAGGAGGAGCAGTGACTCGGAAGGAGAACGCCAGAGGATCCGGCAGCAGCACGGCCACGGCCTGACTCTCCACCACTGCCCGCACCGCCTCTCTAATCCTCACCTCCCCTCGACAGTTCCTTGCCGACAGCCACCGCACCTTCACCCGCGAGCAGATCGCATTGATGATTGTCGTGAATGGGGACGGGATCGGCCCGAGGCCTAGTGCCAGCTGGCGGCGTACAGTGGTGTCGCCGCCCGTCTGCTCCTCGTGGTGCAGCACCGCCAGGGCGGCCTCTGCCTCGGAGCCCAGGAGGGAATCGAATCCGCCGAGCGGGATGAGGAGGCGGGCGGCACAGTCTCGTCCGATGCGGGAGTGCGAGACGGAGCCACCTGAGGCGAGGAGGGAGGCCTCTTCCAGAGAGGCCTGCAGGTTAGACGCTGGGGGGAGCAGACTCGCCGCCAGCAGAGACCCTGATGCTGCCGATGCTGCTGCTGCTGTTGCTGCGCTTGCTGCTCCTCCTTTCGCTGCCCCAGTGGCGGCAGCACCAGCGGCGCCAGCAGCAGTGGTGCTGGGTTGGTCATGGGGGGTGGGGGGGTCAACAAGAACCGAAACATCAAAGGCAGAGTCAGTGCCGTTCCACACCTCCAGGTCCAGCAGCCTCAGCCCCTTGGCCTGCCTCACCGGCACCTCCATCTCCCCCACTCCCTTTCTCACTCCCACTGCTCCCCCCCCGCCCCTCCCCCTTTTGCCTGGGAACCCCACGTCAAGCCTGCCCCGGCTCCACCACCCCGACCAGACGCAGCAAGGCTGGTAGCACCAGCAGCAGCGCCGCCACCGGCAGCACCGGTGGTGGTGATTCCCCCATCGGACTGCACGGCGGGAGTGACGCCCCCTGTGACGAGCAGGCGCGCACGCACAAGAGACAGGCCGCGCCGCACACACAGATTGATGGGGAACGACAGCCGCCGCCCGGGCACTGCATCGTCCTTCCTCTCTTTCTCCTTCTCCTTGCTGCCAGCAGCGGATTTGGACGCAGGGGTTGGTGCTGCTGGGGTGCCGGGATCACTCTCGGGGTCTTTGTCAGGGCCTGCATAATGCACTACCAGGTTCACCGTATCCTCCTCCTTGCTGCTCGTGCTCTGCTCTGCCCCCCCTCCGCCCTCCCCCCCTCCCACATCATCCTCGTCGTCCTCTGAACTCTCTGGCTGGAACTGTGCCACGATTTTCACGGGCAGGGTGACTGCGGCTCCCGGAAGCAGGGGCAGCGCTGCTGCGAGTTTTTCCTGCCCGAGAACGATCAGGTGCCGCTTCTGCCTGCCTGCAACGGAAACGAATGCGTCTACTACGGGCACCCGGCTGGAATTTACCAGCTTGACCGAGATTTCCCTGACCTCCCCGTCGAAAAGAACCGCAGCTGCCCCGTCGCCGTCCTCCGCCGTTGCAACCAATAGCGGAAGCTCGGGCAGCACGGAAATATCGAGCACGGGCAGGACAGAGGTGGACGGGATGGGAGAAGAGGCCAAGAATCCCCGCCCGGCGCTGGCACCGCTCTTAACCGCAGTGTCGACACTGGTTGCGGCTGCAGAGAGAGAGGAGGTAGCAGAGATAGTGGGGGCGGATAGAGGGGTGGCTGTAGCAGCTGCAGCAGCGGAATTAGCAGCCACAGACGCTGCAGCAGCGGGGGAAAACGGGTCCACCAGGCCCACGCCTGGAATCAACGGCAGCCCTGCTCCCGATCCCGCACCCCCAGCCGCTGCAGCAACGGTCGTGATCGTCGTGTCGGCGAATCGATGGTCCGTAAGCACCCCAAACGACTGCAGGAAACAGCCCAGGACCGTAATCACCCCCGGCGACCGAGGCAAGCCAGAGAGCGTGAGCAGGTGAGAGTAGGTATTCGGGCGAAGAGAGAGCGACGCGGGGAAGGGCTGAAAATCCCCATCAACATTGAGATAGATGGATTCGATGTCGACAGCGCAGGCACAGGGGTTAGAGAGCTCTATGATGACCTGAGCCACCTCCCCCACGATCCACACCATGTCGGGCTTCACGTTGGCTGCTCGCGTGGTGAAGGGCGTGTAGATGAACGGGCCTCCTCCGCCCGCCCCCACCCACCAGTCGCGCTTACCGCGCGTGCGCTTCACCACTTGGGTCTGCTGGGGGGCTGTTGCAAACGCATGGAACCTGGTGGGTGGGAGGGGTGGAGGGATTATGCGAGGGCAGAGGACAGATGGAAGGAACAAAGGGCAGATATGCAAGCTGGGATGGGGGTACAAGAAGGGTGGTTTACGTGCCAGATGACACATCAAAGCAATTCGTGGGGATAGGCCATCAGATGATTCAGAAACAAAGGAGCTCTCAAGAATCCAACTTCTCTCAAGGGAGTTTGACTATTCACCGCACTACCTGACAAAGGGAAGAGCAAGGTCAGGGCAGCGGGTGCCAGCTGGCAGCCTCTCACTGGCCGATGTGAGTGCTTGGGCCAGTGATTCCTGGTGAGAGGGAAGAAGGTGCATGAAGGAAGGGGGCAGGTGGGTCACGAGGACACGGTGAGATGAGAGCACGGCGAAGGAGGGGCGAGAGAGAGGTGGTTGAATCAATAAGGAAAAGAGACGGGAACCTGTTCATTGCTCAAGACATGGCAGTCACGACAGACACACCTAGCTCTGCGGCAGAATGAGCTTCGCAACAGGTGGATGCACTTTGGACAATTCTCAAAAGAGAAATAGACCAAGATCGCCCCAACTGACTCTTGAGTCGACTGACAAAGCACATCAAGACAAGCTTCACCTGGCTCTGCGGCAGAATGAGCGGGTAGAAGCCGCGCAGAAGCCGCGCCGCGGCAGCCCAGGCAGCAAGGGGCTCCCCAGCGCGCACAGCAACGGCGAGCATGTCACTCAGCAGCTCCATCTGCAGTCTGCTCCACTGCCCCCCTCCCAGCGGTGGTGCACTGCTCTCCAACGCCGTCACCCCCGCCCTGCTGCCCTTCCCCCCTGCCTTACCCCCCACCCCCCCTGCTCCCGCTCCTCCTCCTCCGCCTCCGCCTGCTGCTGCTGATCCTGGTGCTGTGCCACGGGGATTGTCAGGGAGGGCGGGGGAGGGCACGGGGGAGAGTGCGAGCGACTGCACCTTGTAGGACGTGGATGCGAGGGCCAGCACCTGTGGGGGTGGGGGCACGCATGGAGGGGGTAAATCTGACTTGTAACAGGGCACGGGGGAGAGTGCGAGCGACTGCACTTTGTACGATGTAGACGCCAGCGCCAGCACCTGTGGGGGTGAAGGGACGGAAGAAGGGGGTGGTGATTTTTTTATCTTGAGTCCACTCAATCGTCACCCAAGCGATTGCACCTTGTAGCACCTAGACGCCAGGGCCGGCGCCTGTGAGCTGAGAGGCGTATAGAGGGAACGACTTCTATTTTTTTTTTTAATCTTGAAACGACTCGACAATAGTCACCCAAGCGACTGCAGCTTGAAGCCAAAGAGTTGAACCAGCAGCCACACGAGGCCGGGCGCGCCTTGGCCCACGGGTGCGCCTTGGTCCACGGCGCGCCCCGGTCCACGCGCGTGCCCCAGTCCACGCGCGTGCCCTGGTCCACGCGCACACACGCCCTGGTCCGTGCGCCCGTCATTACCATTACCACTACCATTACGATTATCGTTACCATTACCACCACCATTACCATTATCATTACCATTACCATTATTAGAACCATTACCATTATTAGAACCATTACCATTACCATTACCACCACCACCACCATTACCATTACCACTACCATTACCACTACCATTACCATTACCATTACCATTACCATTACCATTACTACTACCATTACCATTACCATTATCACTACCATTACCATTACCACTACTATTACCATTACCAATACCATTACCATAACCATTACCATTACCGCGACAATATTACTACCATTACCACTACTATTACCAGTACCATTATCGTTTCCAGTACCATTACCATTTTCAAGACCATTATTATTACCATTACCACTACCACTATCATTACCATTACCATTATTATTACTATTACCATTACCACTACCATTACTATTACTATTACCATTACCACTACCACTACCACTACCATCACCATTATCGTTACTATTACCGTTACTATTACCATGCTGTTATCATTACCATTACCACTACCATTACCATTACCATTACCATTACCACGCGCGCGCGCGCCACGCACGCGCCTTGGTCCGCGCGCGCGCTCTCTGGTCCACGTGCGCCTTGGTCCATGCGTGCGCCTTGGTCCACGCACGCTACTTCGTCCACGCGCGCTCCTTGGTCCACGCGCGCACCTTGGTGCACGCGCGCGCCTTGGTCCCTGCAGGGCGCTGACAGCGGCGAAGCGTGACTCTGCTGCCTTCAGAGTCGACTCAAAAGTCACTTTGTTGCACCTTCAACCACCTGGTTGCACTGACCTGCAGTGCGCTGACAGCATCGAAGCGTGACTACTGCTGCTTGTGACTTTTGAGTTGACTCAAAAGTCACCTCAGGAGGGCTGCACTGACCTGCAGCGCGCTGACAGCAGCGAAGCGGGACTCCTGCTGCTCGTAGAGCTTGGCCACCTGGCGGGTGAAGAAAGCCGCCTTGCGCTCGTAGCCCAGCTGCTGGAATATGCGCGCCACCTACATGGGGGGGGGGGGGGGGGTAGGAGTATAGCACGATTGTGACATGTGGAGGAGAAGCTAGGCTGCATGCACGCATGTATGTGCGTGGGTGGGTGGGAGGCGAAATAGGTGGGTGAATCAAAGGTGGGTGGATGTATCATGAGTAAGGGGGTGTATGGGTGAGTGACTGGGTGGCTGGTTGGGACGCCGTACCTCAATGTAGAGCACGAGGAGGTCGCTGGGGTTCTGCAGCCCTCGCCCCGTCTCCACCGCCTGTGCCAGTAAATCCACCACGTCCCGCGCCATCTCCTTGCTGCCATGCGCAACAATGGAAGGACGGGGAGAGCAGAGGTGACATGGGAAGGGGCAAGGAAATGCGATTTTTTTAGGCGCCTGTGCCTCCAGATACACCACGTCGCGCACCATCTCCTTGCTGCCATGCGCAGTCGAGGTGAGGAAGAGAGGGGGCGCGCACGGGGGCTTGAGGAAGTGATCGTGGCAGCGTTAGGGACAATAGATAGAGTGTATAGGAGAAAGGGGCGGGGAAATGTGGAAGCAGTGCCACTTTCGAAGATACTCATTAGTATTGCAATAGATTGGCATAGTGTAGCAGGGGTGTGGCAGAAATGGTGGTATACTGACCGGCAGAATCTGGCGACTTTAATGAGGGCTTCAAGCTCAAAAATCATCGCACCGGCCCTGAAAGGAATGCAAGGAAGGGCGAGAGGATGGTTTGAAGCCTCGCACACACTCGTTCAAAGGGTGAAACAGTGCCTCTCACCACACTAACTCGGTTCAGCTCCTTACAGTGTGCCTCTCCTCTTCCATACACTCACTCGCACTAAAACAGCACAATCTCGCTGCACTAGATGCAGATAGCATAGAACAAAAAAAGGGAGCTCACTTGCGGTAGAGCGGCACGATCTCGCTGTACTTGGTGCGAATCTCCTCCTCCAGCTCCTCGTCCCACCGCCCCTTCTCCACCTGCTCGCACACACCACACACTATAAACCACAACACCGCAGACAGCCTCTTCAGCTTCAATCACGCCCCAGGCAAGCACCAGCGTCGAAGCGCCTCTGGGAAGGCTATCCCTCCCTCCCGCCTCCCTCCCCCGCCACCTCCCCAACTCACCGCCAGAGTGCTGACATGCCCCTCCAGAGCCCCAGCAAGCCAGAGCGGGTCGGTGCTGTTGGTGAGGCGCCCAAGCTCAATGGCCGTGCCGTAGTGGCTGCGCGCATCCAGGGGCGACCCTGCCAGCAGACAGTAGTCACCGATGGCCTTCTGAATCCGAGCTAACCGCTTCTTCTTCAGCCGCGCCGCCTGGAGGGGGAAGTGTGGGGGGAGGGTGGGGGGAGCGTGGGAAGAGCAGCAGAGAGGGCAGCGGGCATCTTTAGGATTCTCGTGGTGGCTGCGAGCATCCACAGGGGAGCCCGCCAGCAGGCAGTGATTGCCGATTGCCTTTTGTATGAGCTGACGCTGCACCGCCCGCTCATACACTGCACCGCCCGCTCATACACTGCACCGCCCGCTCATACACTGCACCGCCCGCTCATACGCTGCACCGCCCGCTCATACGCTGCACCGCCCGCTCATACGCTGCACCGCCCGCTCATACGCTGCACCGCCCGCTCATACGATGCACCGCCCGCTCATACGCTGCACCGCCCGCTCATACGCTGCACCGCCCGCTCATACGCTGCACCGCCCGCTCATACGCTGCACCGCCCGCTCATGCGCTGCACCGCCCGCTCAGCATAACAGCCAAACAGCGTAACAGCCTAACAGTGAAACAGCGTAACAGCCTAACAGCCAAACAGCGTAACAGCCTAACAGCGTAACAGCCTAACACAGTAACAGCCTAACAGCGTAACAGCGTAACAACGAAACAGCCTAACAGCGTAACAGCCTAACAGCGAAACAGCCTAACAACGTAACAGTCTAACAGCGTAACAGCCTAACAGCGTAACAGCCTAACAGCGTAACAGCCTAACAGCGAACAGCGTGACAACGTAACAGCTTAACAGCGCAACAGCCTAACAACGTAACAACCTAACAACGTAACAGCCTAACAGCATAACAGCCTAACAACGTAACAGCCTAATAGCATAACAGCCGAATAGTGTAACAGCCTAACAGCGTAACAGCGTAACAACGAAACAGCCTAACAGCGTAGCAGCCTAACAGCGAAACAGCCTAATAGGGTAACACTCTAACAACGTAACAGCCTAACAACGTAATAGCCTAACAGCGTAACAGCCTAACAGCGTAACAGCCTAACAGCGTAGCAGCCTAACAGCGTAATAGCCTAATAGCGTAACAGCCTAAGAGCGTAACAGCCTAAGAGCATAACAGCCTAACAGCGTAACAGCCTAACAGCGTAACAGCCTAACAACGTAACAGCCTAATAGCATAACAGCGTAACAGCCTAATAGCGTAACAGCCTAACAGCGTAACAGCCTAATAGCATAACAGCCTAACAGCGAACAGCGTAACAGCTTAACAGCGTAACAGCCTAACAACGTAACAGCCTAACAGCCTAACAGCCTAACAACGTAACAGCCTAACAGCCTAACAGCGTAACAGCCTAACAGCCTAACAGTGCAAAAACCAAACAGCGTAACAGCCTAACAGCGTAACAGCCTAACAGCGTAACAGCCTAACAGCGTAACAGCCTAACAGCGTAACAACCTAACAGCGTAACAGCCTAACAGCGTAACAGCCTAACAGCGTAGCAGCCTAACAGCGTAATAGCCTAATAGCGTAACAGCCTAAGAGCGTAACAGCCTAACAGCGTAACAGCCTAACAGCGTAACAGCCTAACAGCGTAACAGCCTAACAACGTAACAGCCTAATAGCATAACAGCGTAACAGCCTAATAGCGTAACAGCCTAACAGCGTAACAGCCTAATAGCGTAACAGCCTAACAGCGAACAGCGTAACAGCTTAACAGCGTAACAGCCTAACAACGTAACAGCCTAACAGCCTAACAGCCTAACAACGTAACAGCCTAACAGCCTAACAGCCTAACAGCCTAACAGCGTAACAGCCTAACAGCGTAACAGCCTAACAGCGTAACAGCCTAACAGCCTAACAGCCTAACAGTGCAAAAACCAAACAGCGTAACACTCTAACAACGTAACAGCCTAACAACGTAATAGCCTAACAGCGTAACAGCCTAACAGCGTAACAACCTAACAGCGTAACAGCCTAACAGCGTAACAGCCTAACAGCGTAACAGCCTAACAGCGTACCAGCGTAACAGCCTAACAGTGTAACAGCCTAACAGCGTAACAGCCTAACAGCGTAACAGCCTAACAGCGTAACAGCGTAACAACCTAAGAACGTAACAGCGTAACAGCCTAACAGCGCCGTGCATCACCGACACCATCAGAGCCTCCGGCCCACTCTCACCCTCATTGCTAAGACCTCAAGAGCACTCACAAACTCATTAGGTGTAACATTCGGGTTGTTGAGAGGCAACAGGAGGATAGCCACAATTGGATCAACGTGTAGCACCCCGCTCTCGAGTGCCATGAGCACACACGCTGCAAAGTCACACTCTGCCACTGCTCAAGCACACTCGCACCCTCTCATTGCACACTCTCTTGAAGCCCACTCACATCCTCATTGGGAGTGACGTGCAAAACCCAGCTCTCAAGAGCCATGAGCACACATGTGGCAAAGTCCACACTCTACCACGACTCATCAAGCCCACTCACGTCCTCATTGGGTGTGACATTGGGGTTGTCAAGGGGTGACAAGAAGATAGCAGCGATCGGATCAACATGCAGCACCCAGCTCTCGAGCGCCATGAGCACACAGGCGGCAAAATCGTGCATCACCGACACCAGCAGCGCCTCCAGCCGCTGCTGATCCGCGCCCGATAGGATCACCAGGTTGCGCCGCTGCGGATCCTCCTCTGCCAGCTGGCGGGCGGAGGAAGCGGGGGGAAATAGATATGAGGGATGAGGAGGGAACAACCGACAGCAGCCGCTGCTGATCCGCCCCCGACAGAATCACCAGGTTGTGCCGCTGCGGGTCCTCCTTTGCCAGCTGGAGAGGGGGAAAGGGGCGGGAACATATGCGAGCAGTGAGGGGAGGACGAACAGGTTGTGCTGGTGCACATCATCCTTCCTTGTTAGCTGGAAGCGGGGGAAGAGGGGAGAGTATGGATTAACATAATGTTGTACAAGGGGGAGATTACCAGGTCGTCCCTGGCGAGCCTCACAGCCACAACAGCCACACCTGCACCTGCACGCCTCACAGCACACCTGCTCTGTGTTGGGGTCGAATGCAATGCAGCGCTTGACCTGCGCGAGGGGGTACGCCTTGCATGCCAGCACAAACTCCTCGTATGCCGCTGCTGTGTCTGGCATGCGCGGGCAGTGACACACGCCTATCACCCCGTGTATCTGGGAGGGGGAGAGAGGAGGAAGGGGGGGAGAGGGGAGAACGGGAGAGAGGAGGGAGGCGGGGAGAAGGGAGAGTGGGTGGGAGAGGGGAGGGAGGGGAAGTGTATGGTCCGTTGACCCTCATGCTACCCCACCCTGTGCCATCCTCAGTGCCAAAAGTACCAACTTTTCACCACCTAACGTTCCTCTACCCCAAAATACTGCCATTGCCCCCATCCCACGTTCCTCTGAGCCTCAAGAACCCTCATTCCTCCCCTCGCACCTTGCGCTGCGCCACGAATTCCTGCCAGGGGCTGCGGCTGCTGCCGCCCAGAATGAAGTTGAAGCGCAGCGACCCCGTCGTCCACGGCTGCACGCGCGCAGAGCAGAGCAGTGGCGGGATGAAAGGCACGAGCGCGAGGGGTGGAAGGAGTTGGAAGAATGGAGGGCGATTGCAGCAATGTATTGGGAGCGAAGGAAAGAAAAGGCTCATTGAAGCGAGTATGTGGCAGGAGGGGAAGCAACGCGAGGCATAGAGTATTGATGCGAAAATGCGTGTCAATCCGAGACAGGGGCGCACCTGGTGCGAGAAGGGGCTCTTCTGGTGCTCCTTGTAGTAACCGAACACGCCCTGCAGCGGCATCACTCTGATGGGCGGAGGACGAGAGGGACGGCAGAGAGGAACGGGTGGGCGGGGAGTGCTAGAGTGCAAGCAGGGGACGAGGTCCATGGTTGGGGCATTGCCACTTTCCCATGCCCCTAATGATATTCCCAAGGCTGAGGAACGCGTAAGCGCACCTGTGTTTCATGATGAGGCTGGAGTGGGTGCGCACCTGTGTTTCATGATGAGGCTGGAATAGGTGCGGAAGGCGGACGCGGTGATCTCGCCCACCTGCAGCACCACCACGCGGATCACGGACGCCGACTCGATGCTCCCATCCGGCTCCATGCCGCCCCACGCTCCCTACTTCACCGCGCGTCTCGCACTTGCTGCCCGTCCGTCCGCTCGTCCGTATGTTCGTCTAACCGTCCGGCCGGCCGTCTGCTCAATTCTCTCTCTCCGTCCGACTGTATGTTTGCAATGGCGTCTGTTTGTGTCGTCCGACTCGCCAATCGCGACCTCTCTGTCCGTCTGGCTCTCTGCTCGCAGGAGTAACCTCGCGGAACCGATTGATTTTCTGCCGAAGATAGAAGTTAGCTGCGCCAAACCACCCAGGCGACAATCTGTCGCTCCGTGAGGTTACCTTGCTGGTAGTACACCGGATTGACCGTGTCGAATCAACCAATGACCTACGACTTAAATTCACGCGAGGCGTTGCACAGCTTACGAGGAACGCGATCTTCATATCATAAGGTGCACGTCGTGCTGTAATGCGCACCTATTTCTTGACATTGGATGGTTCCATCGTGAATGAAAAGGTCACATGATTTCTCATTTTGGAACATCATGGTGGAAGGGAGTTCCCAGAATCAAAAGTGATGCATTGGGGGAGCGTGTGTTATCGCTTTTATGTGCATGGATGACTACTTCGAGCGCATAAACTCAGTCGTACCATACAGATATTGAAGGCTCTACTGATGAGTACTCCGGAGAGTTGCCGTACTTTCAAGGCGGTTCGCCTGCTTGACTGCTTTACAAGTTACGGTTCTCCTTCAGAAGCAGGCTCGCCAAATTCGCCGTGGCTGGCACACCTCGTTGGGGACAAAGTTGCAAAGTGGTTTGGCCCGAACCGAAACTCCTCTTGCGAGCCGTCAGAACCCGAAACTCGCGCCGAGCCTGAAGCGCCCGAGCTATTTTGACTACTGAATTGCTCAATCACGGCATTCGGTGGCGGGACACCGCGAATTCATTGGTCACTGACATGATAGGCTGCTATGGTCAGGTTCATTCCGAACCTGATCCTTCCTTACCCAGCACTCCCATACCTGATGTAGACAAAACATCATCCTGAGGTAGACCCTCGAGATTCCATCACGGTAGATTCTCTCTTGTCCCCTTGGTTTTCCCTCACCCATCACCTCCTCATCTTCATCCCGCCTGGCCTCTCCTCTCGCACCAATTGCCAGCAGCCATCGCTATCTTGAACGTCAATGCCATCAGTGGGGCGAAGGCGATAGAGCAGGTCCACTTCGGTTGTTAATTTTGACAGTGTTTCGGCAGATTTTGTCCCTAGCTTGTGGTCTGTGACGTGTTCGTGACTGGAGCTCGAATTTTTCACGTCGTAGCGGAAGTAATGAGTGTGGAACAGAGTAGGTGTTGATAGCAGTGCACCCGACGTTTCCTCCCGGTTCCTTCTAAACCAGACGCGGCCGTCACCGCATGATCGCGCGCTTCGTTCCTTTAATCTCACGATGCTAGCAGCGGAAACACCAGAATGAGAAATATGACGCGTAGATTGCACTCGTTCAGGAGATCTACGGCGAGGGTCGCCCTTTATCTCGGTTCGTCCAGATCGTTCTTAGAGCCTTTCAAGTAGCGCCTTGAGCAATTCGTTTATAGTAGCCAGTATATATTGAATAGACAACCATGATTTCCGAAGGAGGGAGGCTGGTCGATAAGAAGCCCTTGAAAGGTTATCTGCCAGAGAGGATATGCCGCGTGCTTTGCTCCTTGGCACTGGTCTTCGTGCTGTCATTTCTCGTCTCATCCCTCTTCTTCCTCCTCCTATCAGCAACACTATCCCCGCTATTGACATCCCTGCTTCGCTATGGCGCTCCCGCGGAGCCAGCCGATGCGGGGGGGCGAATCGCATTCATGTTCCTGACGCGTGGACCGCTGCCCTTGGCTCCTCTGTGGGAGAAGTTTTTTCATGTACGAATGCTCTGCACTGGGTTCGCTATATGATATTCAGGTGTCTGCATCCATTAGGGTTGGAGTTTCAGGTTCACCTGTGGTCTCCTGTGCGCATCCTCCCCAACATCAAGCATCTCCCTAACAATATTCTATCCGTCTCTGTCCTTCTCTGCGTTCTCGATCTCCCTCTTTCTCTCCCTCTCGTTCCTGTAGGGTCACGAGGGTCGCTACGCCGTGTACGTGCACGCCTCGCAGCCCAACTTCACATTCCCTTCCAACTTCTCGCCAGTCTTTGTTGACCGGCAAATACCAGGCGGCAAGGTGCGCTCCGCGACTCTCTTCTATCCTGCGACGCGGGTAGTTTTTTTTTCCGACAATTCCGTTGTTCCTAGATGCGGGTGGCTTTCTCCAGGTTTTTTTAAGTTTAGTATCTAGTTTCGTTAAATTTATATCTCCGGGTTTTGTGAGTTCGCTATTTTCAGTGCCGAGTTCCGCATGAAGGACCTTAACGGCGTGTGTTGGTGCAGGTGGAGTGGGGTCGAATGTCCGTCGTGGCTGCCGAGCGACGCCTGTTGGCCTACGCCGTCACGGACAAGCGAAACGAGTACTTCGTCCTCGTCTCGGAATCGTGAGTTCGTTGATGGTGGTAACCCAGAACGCAATTGTAAAAAAAAATGTTGCAATGCTCTCTGGCCTTATCGTTCTTCATATTGCATTTCTTCTTCCTACTTTCTCGTTTCAGAACGTCGTTTTTTAATCTCCTCTCCCCCATTCCTTGACATTGCTGCCCCGCGGTTCACTGTCTGGTGCGAGTTTCACGGCGATGGCAGGTGCATTCCGCTGTGGTCGTTCGACTACATCCACGATTACATCTCCAGCACACACATCAGCTTCGTTGAGGCGTAAGTGTATTGTAACATGTTTCATCCGAATCCTCAAGCACACCTCTTCCTTTCCCCACGATCCCCAACCTTCCCCTCCCTCATCCCGCGGCCCCGCCCGAAACGTCCATCTTCTCCCACCCGTTGCAACACGGCCAATGGCAAAGCGAGAGAGGGATGTAATATGAGAATTTCGCACGCCTGATGAACGTAACGAAACGACTTCGTACCTATGCCTCACCCGCGCCTTCCCCGCCACGCGGTCCCGCCCCGCTTCCTCCCCGTCCTCCCCCGGACACGCGGACGAGGAGTCTGGGCGGTGTCTGTCGAAAATGCACATTGCGCCACCAGCCCATCAAAGTCGACAATACTCCTCTTCCCCCACCCTTCCCCGCTCCCCCTGCAGGCACACGGACCCATTCGACGAGGCGTTTGGGCAGTACCTGCCGGACATCCACATGCCGGCCATCAGCCCATCACCTCCACCCCCAATCCCAATTCCGCCCCACAATCTTTCCCCCTCCTCCCCCGTCCCCCACTCCCCCACTTCTCCGCTCCCCCTGCAGGCACACGGACCCATTCGACGAGGCGTTTGGGCGGTACCTGCCGGACATCCACATGCCGGCCATCCGGCGCAAGGACTTCCTCAAGGGCAGCCAGTGGTTCGTCATGCAACGCAGGCACGCCGAGCTCGTCGTGCAGGACACGGAGCACTACCTCGTGCACTCCAAGTCCTGTCAGGTATGACGGGGAAGGGGAGGGGTGGGGTGGGTAGTCGGCTGGTAGTGAGGGGGAATGCGCCCCCTTGTAGCATTCCCACGCGGAGCTCGTCGTGCAGGACACGGAGCACTGTCTCGTGCACTCCAAGTCCTGCCAGGTACAGCAGTGGCGAAGGGTTTTGAGACGACTCAAAAGTCATGCCAGGTACAACAAGAAAGTGGTGGGTGCTTGGTTGGCACAAAAAATGCGACCCCGCGTACCATTCTCACGCTGAGCTGCAGGACTGGCAGCACTACCTGTGCACTGCACTCCAAGTCCTGCCAGGTGGGGTAGGAAAGGGAGGGGAGGGAGTTCGGCTGATAGGGAGGGAAGGCGCTGCCAGTCTTGCCATCCGCATGCATCCTCCCTTACTAGCGTCTCTCCCGCTACCCCTTCCTCCCTTCCAATCTCTCACACACTCGTCATGTCAGTCGTGTCGCACAATACTTCAACCACTGGCGCTCTGATTCGCGTATCCCCCTCACCTGTCTCTTCCGCCATCCCCCATGTCCTCCCCACCATCCTTGCCTCTGCCCCTGGCAGTGGAGGGCGCAGCACTCCAAGTACTGCTGCTCCGACGAGCACTACCTTCAAATCCTCCTCGCTGTATGTCTCTCTGCTCTGCCGCTTTCCACATATCCTATTCCCCCTCTCCCCCTCTCTCCCTTCAGTCGCTCGTTCCTCCTTGTGCAACCTGTGCCTCCATATTTTTGCTCCCTCACCCATTCCTTTTCCACCATGCAAGCTCACACTCAATTGAGGCAAGTCCTATACTCGCCTCCATAGAACTCGCCTCTCACCACAGAACACACAGGTCGCTCACTCGCTCCTCCTCTCCTCTACTCTTCTTTCCTCGCCTCCCCTCGCAGCTGAAGGACCCAGCGGGAATATCGCGCTTCCCCGTGACCCTGGCGGACTGGAGCCAGTGGCGGTTCCACCCCGAGACATACTACTCGTACAACATGACTGAATCGCTCTTCAAGACCATCAAGGTGCGATGCTCAGCCTCTTGCCTTCCACAATGACTGCCTCATATTCTTCTCTAGTGTGAGCGGCACTTAAGCCATGAGCCAGTGGCGGTTCCACCCCGAGACATACTACTCGTATAACATGACTGAATCGCTCTTCAAAACCATCAAGGTGCGATGCACAGACCTTTTACTTCCTACAAGAGAGGAACAGCCACGGGCTCGAGCTCACCTCTTTTCAAAGTGGCACTCCCCATTCTCTCTCCCAGTTCTGCTGTCTCCCCGTGGTGCTCCTCCATGCCTCCCGTGCCATTTCCAAGCCTCCCGTGCCATTTCCCAGCCTCCCATGGCTGCCTGGGCCGCTTGACATCCCTGCTTTCGCTCTTGCTCCTTGCCTACCTTTGTGTGACTCCTCTGTCTACGTCTTTGTTCCTGCCCCATCTATCTCCTCCCTCCTCCACCCAATTTTTTCCCCATTGCTTCCCTATCCCCTCTTCATCTCTTTCCCGTCCTCTCCTCCCCTCCCACCTTCGTCCCCCACTCTTCTTCTTTTTGTCCCCTTCATTCACCCTTTTGCCCCTTCCTCCTCCACCTTTCCCTGTTCATCCTCTCACTCCCCTCTGTCTCTCCTGTCACCAATGCTTGTTGTCTGGTGAACAGTCCACAAAGCACTACCTCCAGTACCGCTACTACTGGAAGAAGTTCAGAAATAGATATTCCTATGTAAGTTGCTGCCGTTCTATCTGATCCCACGTAAATTCCCCTTGTAAGATTCACATCCATGTTTTAATGTGCCAATGCCCTCCTGGTCGTTCCTTCTGCCCATACCCTTATGCATCCTATACTGTCGTGCCATGCTCTTCTTGTACCTGCCTTTTCTCTCGGCAGATTGAAAACCCTAAGAAACCTCAACCTGCTCCAGTAAGTTCTCTCTCAAAACTCCCTTACATTTCTGGCTGGTTTGTGGTCGCTGTTGCCTATAATAATTTCATTGCATGTCTACTGTCAATGCTCGTGGTCTGTATGCTTTCATCCCATGTACCCTTGCACCTGCTTTGCCTACCTTGATCTCACGTGCCATTGTACTTGCTTTGCCTCGCCTGCCTCCATCTCAAATGCCCATGCACATACTATGTCTGCCTTGGTCTTGTGTGTCTCTCTTCTTGGCCTGCTCTGCAGACGGTTGAGAATGGATTCTGTGTCGTAGAGGGCACTGTGCGAAACTGCTTCCTGTTCGCCAGGAAATTCCACGTGTCCTCATTGCCGTTCCTGCTGAAGAACTCGCAGCAGCTCCTTGGATTCTAGAAACTAGTTATATGTCATGCTTGTATCGAGTTGCTAGGGTTTCTTATGTTTTGAAGTTGAGTAAGCAGAGAAATAAGTGTGCACCAAAAGGTGCTCAAATTGTCATGGCATTTGGAATCTCTTTAGCAGACAGGTGAACACCAGCTGGATTCAACCCAGACAACTGTAGCTGGAGTTTGCTTATACTGAAAACATCAGTATCGAATTCCAGCCATTTTGGCTCGCATGGCGAACCGCCTCGTAAATGGCGGCGCTAGTGGTCGCTCATCCCGACAGGCAGAGCAGATCCCTCATGCACTCGTATCACCTCCGCGAATGCATTTTGACGACGCGCGGAATTGCGGGTTCTCCCTCGTGCTCTGGCCTACTGCCCTGTCCCCAAATACTGCGCTTCGAAGGCTGGCAACAGAGAAGAATAGTATGTGGTTACCCGTTTCGCCTTTGGTTTTGATCCACGTTTCCCTCCGGTCGTCAGGGCCTCCGTGGCGCTGCACGACCTCTATCGTCGTCAAACGCAATCGGCACCATTCGTTCAGGTTTCCTGCGATCAAAACCATTTCAATGTCGCACCCTGGGTCTGGAATCCCAACCACGTCTGGGCTACCAAACGAAGCAGCCTTTGGTCGTGTGTTTCGGCTCCGTAGCCTGGTCCCGTCGTCAATTCAGTTCAGATGTCAGGTTCCCAAAACGCTGTCGGTTTGGGGCTGGGCTTGGGTGAAAGTCCACCATGCGTCCATTTAGCGCTCATGTGTCTCCCCCGTCCACCTCGCTCCACCTATCCATTCCAATTTCCATCCATTTTCCAATCCTGTCATTGGTTTTTGGAGTCTCTTCTAGAATCAATCACACCCTAGACAACGCGCTCGTGGGCCTTTCTCGCTTGCTTGTTGTTCGCTCGCCAGCGAGACCGTTGCGTTGCCATCTGCCACTTTTTCTTGCTTGGTCCTTGCGTCTCCTTGCTCCTCACGAGACCGCCACAAAATTGTTTGGTTAGTTTCGAGGCATTCCGCCTAGTTTCGTTACCTAAACTACGTAGCGACGAGCCATTCGAGTTTCACCAGCGAACACGATGCTGTATCACGGTCGGGCATTCAACGAAAGTGTAGATCACACGACGCCACTGCTGCTACGCCGCTCCTCTTCCTTCAGATCGCTCAATGAGTCCTACTCGTTAAAACCGCTCTCCGCGAACACGTTCCTGCGAGTTCTTGCTTCGATAATAGTCATATTCGGCGTACTATCTCCGCTCTTTTGGGTCGATTTCTCCATATTCACACATGTTTTAGTAAAATCCGCTTCTAAAGCAAATTCAGGCAGCTATTCACATATAGCGAACGGAAAATCGTCGCATGTAAATGTCATTCGCCAAAACCGTCAACATGGGAAGGTAGCGTTTCTCTTCCTGACACGTGGACCACTCCCATTCGCTCCGCTGTGGGAGAGATTCTTCGCAGGGCACGAGGGCCGGTACTCCGTCTACGTGCATGCATCCAACGCCTCTTTCGCCTTCCCTGCTGACTCGCCGGCCATTTTCAGAAACAGTCTGATCCCGGGGGGTGAGGTGAGCACAGATGGGAATGCGTAGACCTCTCTGAGTTACTCTCTGGATAGACACCATATATAGCATAGCTGGACGCGTCGTGTGTGCTATACAGAGAATTGGCTGTTACTGCGGGTCCATCGTCGTGCCGCTACCAGCATGAATAGCATCGACAGATTGTACCATTTTTTATTATTAATTTGATAATCTTGATTTTGTTTTTTCCTTCGTCAGGTGCGATGGGGGGGAATCAGCATGGTGGACGCGGAGCGGCGGCTGCTGGCAGCGGCACTGGAGGACCCCGACAACCAGCACTTCGCGCTGCTCTCCGAAAGGTAATCGCAGGATTGTCGCACGTGCTCGCGCGAGTTCGCAGAAACGTTGCACGCAGAGCAAGAACTCGAAGCAACAGCGAAGCTTTCAGAACAATTGCTTCAGCTCGCCTTAATTTCCGGATACCTTGGTAAAACTTCCACCTAAGCCTCCTTTTCCCTCATCCCGCGTCCCAGCCTCCTCCCATATCCCAATTCTCCCCGTCCCTCGCCTCCCTGTGCGCAGTTGCATTCCGTTGTGGCCGTTTGACTTCGTTCATCGATACGTCGCCTCCACCTCCGTCAGCTTCGTCGATGCGTGAGTCACACCTGTCAGCTTCGTAGTGGCTGGTTATGCCACCCTGTATATCACTCATTATTCCGCACTTTACAAACGGAGCGGATTTAAGCAATCCCAGCGCACACTGCGCTACATTCCACGTTATCAGCGCTACATCGCATCGCGGTGTTACATCCAAGACATATTCTTGGCTATCAGTTGTCATGCAGCATCGACATTCCCCTCCCTGCAGCTACCCCGATCCCTAAGCGTGTCCTGCTTCAACACTCCCTTCCCTTACCCCCTCCCTGCAGCTACCTCGACCCGTACAACGCGACCTTCCGGCGCTACATTCCGCACATCTTCAAGCCGCTGGTGGGGCCGGGGGACTACCGCAAGGGCAACCAGTGGTTCGTGCTGCAGCGCCGCCACGCGGAGGTGGTAGTGCGGGACACTGAGCACTACGTCGTGCACAACAGGAGCTGTGCGGTGAGGCTGGGTGCGAGGGAGTGAGGGAGTGAAGGAAGATGGGTTGGTGCTGTGCCCTGCCACATGCACAACATGAGCTGTGAAGTGAGGGGGGAGAATGAGGGAGTGACGAGAGATGGGTACGTGCTGTGCCACGTGCACAACAGGAGCTCGCAGTGATGCTGAAAATGAGGGAGTGAGGAGAGGTGGGTGGGTGCTGTGCTGTGTGACTTGCGTGATTGAATCTGCGGGTAAGGCTATGGGAATGAGGCCTTGGGAGAAGGAAACTCGCGACTGGATTCACCAAGGGGAATGTTGGTGACGGTGGGGACTAGGGAGCCGGGAGCACAGCGGAAAGAATGTCATGCAATTGATATGTCCTGCTGTCTGGTGTCAACTTCCCATTCTGCTGTCCTCATCATCCCTGCCCCTATGCTGCTTCCACTCGCCTGCTTGCAGTTTCGGTTTCAATGGGGGAAAGTGTGCTGCGCAGACGAGCACTACATTCAAACCATGCTGGATGTGAGTGGTTCTATTGAGGCACGGTAAAGCCAGAAAAATACTCCACGTGTTTATAAAATCCACAAGCGCAAGTAGCATAAGAAGGTATTCCTTTCTCTCGATTTTCCCTCGCTTATATTTGTGACGTTCTGATCCTGCCGGGTTTTGGCTCCAATCCAGATGCAAGACCCTAAAGGCATATCCCGCTACCCGACAACCTTTGCTGACTGGAGTGCAAACGAATGGCACCCGAGGTTCTACCATGGGAGCAACATCACGCAGGATGTGATCCGAATGATCAAGGTACGGCTCAGAAGGTGGTGGTTCTGTGTGTTTGGGGGTGTCTGTTCTACGAGAAAAAACTGTATTGAGAACAAGGTTGGTGCATCATTTCACTTTACAAGACTATTACAATTGCTTGCTTCCCTTTCCTCTCTCTCTCTCTCTACTCTCTCTCTCTCTCTCTCTCTCTCTCTCTCTCTCTCTCTCCTCTCTCTCTCTCTCTCTCTCTCTCTCTCTCTCTCTCTCTCTCTCTCTCTCTCTCTCTCTCTCTCTCTCTCTCTCTCTCTCTCTCTCTCTCTCTCTCTCTCTCTCCCACTCCCGCCTTGCAGTCTGCTAAACAGTTCATCACATTCCGGTCTTTCTGGCAAGACTTTTCAAGCAACTACTCACATGTAAGTCTATCCACACAACTCTGTTTCCTTCGATGCACGCCCCTCGCTCTACAACCTTCATGCTCTCTCATACTTTGGCCAAAACCATACTTTCATCGTGCCCTCTTTTACCACCAAGTCCAACACATGCTTGATTTAATTTTATTCTTCCGGTACTGTTTTTCATTCTTTATATGTATGTTGCAGATTACAAGTCCCAGTGGCCCCTCGCCTCATCTGGTGAGTATTATTTGCACATTGCTACAGGTTTCTATTGCTTGCCAATGGATTACCAAAACTATGTCATTGTCTTCGCATATATTTCACGCGAGCTCCTCCCCAGTGTTTCTTATTCTGAAAGCTCTCCTGCTGCCCAACTTTCTCATTGTTTTTGCTGTTGACCGAAAACGGCTATTGTATATTAAACGGAGAGCCACGAAATTGCTTCTTGTTCGCCCGAAAATTTGATCATTCCACTCTAGGTTTTCTGTTGGCAAACTCGAAAGAATTGTTAGAATTTTAGTCCCTATTTATTAAAGGCTGATTTTCCTCAATTCAGATTTATTCAGTTCTCAGAGATGTCATCTGTTATATCAGTAGAGAATGGCTACACGCAATTTTGCCGTCCACCTGAGGCCCTTCGCCTTCAGCTGGTCGTACACCGTCACTAGCAACTGCTGCCAATCTACAGTGGCTTTGGCGGGAAGCAGCGCAGGCAGGCAAATCAAACCCCACCCACCCCTTCCACCTTGGGATTTGCGTCCAGTCAGCAACTTGACGCACCTCCAGTGTCTGCTGCTGCTCCTTCCGTGCGTCCACGGTTTCATCCCGTCAGTGCGTGCGTTACGAGAATGGCATGGGTGTAGTCTTTGTTTGGTTGACGAGCTAGTCGGAGGAATAGTAGACTAGGACTTAGGTCGCTTATGGGTTGCTGATCATTATCCCTGGCGCCCAGGACGATAGCACTTCGATGCACTAAATCTTCTGGACTAAGGCGTGTTTGATTAGGTTTCTCCTGATTGAAATGGGGGCTGAGAGAAATTGTGGGTGATAGTTAGCAGCGCATCATGGGGTCATGGTTGCGGTGGCTGCGATGTAGCATTACGGCGAGCGCTCGTGCTGCGAGAAATTGCTAGACGCTTCGTATGGAACAGTCATGTCCGACGTTCTGATTTCTCTTACATGCAGTCGCTATTCTCTTCCCACTGATGGTGCCTGTCGGCGTTTCTGCCTGACGGGATTTTCGATAGCTGTTTATGTTCAAGAGCCCTAATGTTGCACCAGTGCATTCGGTCATTCCGTCTTTGCAAGCCTAAGTTGCCTGTCGCGATATTGATGAAACGCAGTGCTGACCTGACATGATAAGGGACTGCTAATTTCTTTCATTAACTCGTACCCATGGCCTGTGTGGTTCCATAGAATTGTCCATACCAGCGCTTATCGACCCATTAGAGCAACCCGGGACTCAGGTCGTCTTGATTCATTACAGCAACTTGACAATCTAGGTCAGCTCGACACACTAGCAGCATTTTAGGTCATCTCGACGCAGCTCGTCGCATTAGAACAATCTGACGACTTAGGTCAGCTCGTCGCGATATAATACTGCATCATTAGTCCATCAGCACGTCTCTAGGGCAGCGCCGCAGTTCGTTCGAGGCGTTAGTAGCGCGAGTGCTCCGCGACTCAATCTAATCGCCATGGGGTGCGTAAGCTCCAAGGCCACGCTTAAAGACCTTGACGATCTCTCTAATGAGACGGCTGATCATCATGATGCTGACGCGGCATCTGATAAGCGGAAGGGACATGGCCGGCGAAAGCAAGAGAAGCAAACGTCCCAGCAGCAACAACCACCTGGCGCTGATTTTCAGGGGAAATTACCCACAGGCTCTGAACCAAGTCAGTCGATTAGCACGAGTGTTGGTAGTGTACCAGCATCAAAGCCAGAGATTGGTGTAGACAGGCAAGAAGCAGAGTCTTTAGCTAAGAAAGATTCTCAAGCCGAGACATTGAGCAATGTCCCCGGTGCCACTCCCGCTCAGACGAATCATACGCAGCAGGCCACCAGCGAAGCTGATGCTGACGCCAGCGCGGCTGCGGTTGCAGCCAAAGAGAAGCTGCCACGTCAGCCCCTTCCGCCTGTCATCCAACCCCCACCGCCCCAATCCGGCGCAATGGTGCTCGAGGTTCCAGGAGCCGGTTTCTGGCTGCGCTTCTCCTACTTGACGCAGCGAGGGTATTATCCAGAAGCCCCCGGAAAGGCGAATCAGGACAGCTTCTGTGTGGTTCCCCAATTCGGAGGGCTCCCCTCGGACCACCTCTTCGGCGTGTTCGACGGGCACGGGGAGCAAGGCACGCCGTGCTCGCAGTTTTCCCGGGACGTGCTTGCGCGGAACCTTCTGAATCACCCTGCGTTGGACGCGGACGTTCCGCGGGCGTTCAGGGACGCGTTCGTGACGACCAACATGGAGCTGCACCGATCGCCTGTCGACGACACAATGAGCGGCAGCACCGGGATTGCAGTGCTGCTGCGCGATCGCATGCTGTACGCCGCTAACGTGGGCGACTCGCGCGCGGTGCTGGCGGAATGGCACATGGACGAGGCCGCGGGTAGACGGGACGGGGAGGGCGGTGAGGGAGGCGGGGGAGGGGAAGGGCGGGTTGGGGGAGAGGGGGGAGGCGCAGCAGAAGGAACGAGAAAAAGCGGGGAGGATGGGGCTGCGGTAGCAGAAGGGGAAGAGGGCACAGCAGGGGGAGGTGGAGAAGCGGGGAAAGGGAAGGAGAAGAAGCAGGGGTACTCAGCGGGGGGCGCTACTCTGCGCGCAGTGGACCTCTCAAGCGACCAAACCCCGTTCAGAGCGGACGAGTGCGCGCGCGTGCGCGCATGTGGCGCGCGTGTGCTAACCCTAGACCAGCTGGAAGGGCTAAAAGACCCGGACGTGCAGTGCTGGGGGGGGGAGGACGACGATGACGGGGACCCCCCGCGGCTGTGGGTGGCGAATGGCATGTATCCGGGGACAGCGTTCACGCGGAGCCTGGGGGACTCGGTGGCGGAGCGGATTGGCGTGTGCGCGGAGCCTGAGGTGCTGACTGTGGCGCTGTCGGAGCGGCACCCGTTCTTTGTGATTGCGAGCGATGGCGTGTTCGAGTTTCTGAGCAGTCAAGATGTCGTTAACATGGTGAGTCGCGTGAGGTGTGGGGCATGGAGCATGGGGCATGGGGCTTGGGGCATGGAGCATGGGGCGTGGGGCATGCACCATGGAACATGGGCATAGGGTATGAAGCACGAGACATGAAGCATGGAAGATGGAGCACGGAGAATGAAACATGGGTCATGACGCATCGAACGTGGGGCATAGCGCATGGAGCATGGAGCATGACACATGGGGCAAGAAGCATGATATGTGGTGTTGAGGCATGAAGTGGGTGAGGGCGTGGTGTATCGGGATGTGTCAGTGGTTGCGTTTGCTAAGCCAAGGACAGATGCTGACGCTTGCAGCATCCAGGAGGTACTTGCATGCTGTGAACATTATACAGGCTCTGACTTGCTGCAAACACAAGCTCGCCTTGGCCCCCCCGCCTTCCCCCACCTTCCCCCACCTTTCTCCACCTTCTTCCACCTTTTCCCACCTTTCCCTATTTTCCCTCGTCCTCACCCTCACCCTCCGCCTCACCCTCACCGTCCGGCACAACGACCTGTTGGTTTGTGAGAGAGTCGAGGTGACTGCTGAGTCGACTCGAACGTCACTGCGTTCCCACCTGCCCCCCCCACCCCCACCCTCATCCTCTCCGCCATCCCCCCCCCACCCCTCACGTGCTGTCCCCCGCAGGTGGCGCGGCACAACGACCCGTTTGCGGCATGTGAGGAGATCGTGGCGGAGTCGTACCGGCTGTGGCTGCAGTATGAGACGCGCACGGACGACATCACCATCATCATCGTGCATATCGACACTGAGATGCCCGTCAGTGCCCATCCACACCACACTGACTGTGTCATTGCATGCCATCCCCTGCCTGTGCCCGTCCACACGGACGACATCACCATCTTCATTGTTCACATCGACACTGAGATGTCCGTCAGTGATCCGATCCCCTTGTTGTTATTGCTGCTTGTGCCCATGCCTCCCATGCACATCTACATCCACAGTAAAGCATGACATCACCATCATCATTGTTCGCATCGACACCAAGATGCCCATCAGTGCACCCGCTCTCTGTCTTCATGCCATACGTGCCTGTCCCTCGCATACGCATTGGAAACACAGCATTACGAACCTAGCCACCTTTCCCCCGCCCTCCCCCTTTCCTTGCCATCCTTTTTCCCAAGCATTCCTCTCTTCCCCCCTTTCTCCACTCCCCTCGCCCCCACTTCTTTGTCCTTTTAAGCCTACCCTGCTCTTCCCCCTAACCCGTTTTCCTCTAATCTTCATTTCCCTCATCCCCCTCCCCCCCTTCCTCCCTCATCCGCCCCTACAGGACAGCACACTAGAGGCAGTGCAGCAGGGCCCAACACGAGCCACGTCAACAGGCGTGCCTCTCCCACCGCCCACGCCACCACTGGTGCTGCCCACGTCCACAGCACTGCGCTCTATGCTGGCGGATCTGGGCGCCTTCCAGCGCCGCATTATTGAGGGCACCGACTTTGATCGGCTTCCCGCTGAAGATGACTGGTCCCCACCCCCTGATGTCGCAGCCACTGCTGCCCTGGTGGAGGTATTGTCGCCATTCCGTTTCCGATCATTCCAACCCCTCACTCCTCCCATTTCTTCCAACCCCTCTCTCTTGTATTCCAACCACTCGTTCCTCCCATTGAATCAACTCCTCACTTTTTTCCCTTCGTGTTCCTCACCCCCCCTCTCCCTCCCCCTCGCCCACGTCCTTCCTGCCCGGCCACGAGTGCAGCACCAGCTGGAGCACGCCCTGCGAGGAAACTTTCTGTTCCACAGCCTGTCGCACGAGCAGCAGGACTTGATGCTGCAGTGCTTCCAGAAGATGGACGTGGGGCCAGGGGACGTTGTTATCCAGCAGGTGGGCATGGCGTGGGGGCGAAGATGTGAAAAACGAATTGCGATTGCCCTGTGTCTCGAACCAATCTCTGTTTTGGTGAAAATGGAAGTGGGGCCGGGGGATGTTGTCATTCACCAGGTGCGCATGGGATGAAAAAGGCTTAGCCACCGCAGGGACTCCCGTGCCTCTACGTTGTCCTTGGAATCAAAGCTCTCGCCCTCTGCTTTCCCTCACAAATTGCTTTTGTGTGGTCACCTTCCCCTTCTTTCTCCCTCCCTGGCCTGCGCTGCGTGCCATCTTATTCGCCTCGCAGGGCGATGTGGGAGACAAGTTCTTCATCTGCCACCACGGGGACTTTGACGTGCTCGTTGCCACGGACCAGGTGAGGGTGGCCCGCCAGGTGTTGGATCAGATTGGTAGGCTCCGCCTGGTTAGGCTCTCTCCCCACTCCATACCTCCCACCTCACTTCCTCCCTCCCTCCATCCATCCATCCCTTGCTCTCCCTCCCGCACCTGGTCTCCACTGCTCGTGTGAAGTCTAGATTTGATGAACTGGTCCTTAGTGCGCATCTGCGCTCTTCCTAGCTATCTCTCGCTTTTTTGTCCTCGTTATTGAGTGTTTCAGCTGGAGGAGGACCCTCTAGGAGTGGTGGTTCATCGCTACATTGCCAACGACAAGCACATGCCCAGCTTTGGGGATCTCGCACTTATGTAAGCACTGCAGCAGTTTTAAATTGCACCCGGGTCTGAATACAATGTTTTATACTCCCCTTCCCTCCTCTCAATTCTCTTCCCCAACCCCCCCGCTGCCCCCTCCCCACTCTCCAGGTACGGGACAAGAAGGGAAGCGTCTGTGCGGGCGGCATCACGCGGCGTGTTGTGGTTCCTGCAGCGGGCGCTGTTCCAGAAGGTGCAGACGCTGGGGCTCGTGGCGGGCTCAGCGGAGATGGGCCCTCCGCCCCGCCTGCTGCGCCTCCTGCGCTCCCTGCCCTTCCTCTCCCCCCTCTCCTTCGGCCAGCTTCAGCGCCTCGCGCTCTTCTTGCTTACGCTAGAGTTGAACGATGGGGATGGGTTGGAGATGGAAGGGGGCACTGTTTATGTGGTGCAGGAAGGGAGGCTGCAGCTGACAGGTGATGCGGATGGGGGAAATGGGGAGAATGGGGATGGAGGAAAAGGGGAAGGAGGGGGGAGGGAGGGGAAGGGGGAGGGCGAGGGCGAAGGGGGGAAGAGTGGTGGTGATGCGGAATTTAGTTTGCAGTATTTCAATGAGGCGTGTCTGCTGGATGGAGATGATGAGGGTAACAGGCCTGCGAATCCAGACGCACAGGCAGCTGCAGGTGTGGAAGGCGGGGAGGTAGAAAAGAATGAGCAGCCAGGGGAGCAGCAGGAGGGCGAAGGGAAGAGGAAAGGGTGGACGGAGGGGCCAAGGAAGGCGGTGGCGAGGGGGCAGGTGCAGTGCTGGGCGATCGACAGAGACAAGTTTGAGGCGGCTGTGGGGCCTCTGAGCGATGCGGTGCGGGTGGATGCAGAGTGGTGCCGGTTCCAGGAGTCCCTGGCGGCAAAGAGGCAGGGGGATGAGATGCGGCAGATCTTGGAGGGGATCGTGGCGGCTGAAGTGGTGAGTAGTGCTAGTTGGTGAGTGGTGCTAGCTGGTGAGTGGTGGGAGTTGGTGCTTCTGTGTCGCTGCTCCCCTCACCCACCTCCCTCACCCTCCATCCTCACACCCTCCATCCTCACACCCTCCATCCTCACACCCTCCATCCTCACACCCTCCATCCTCACACCCTCCATCCTCACACCCTCCATCCTCACACCCTCCATCCTCACACCCTCCATCCTCACACCCTCCATCCTCACACCCTCCATCCTCACACCCTCCATCCTCACACCCTCCATCCTCACACCCTCCATCCTCACACCCTCCATCCTCACACCCTCCATCCTCACTCCCTCCATCCTCACACCCTCCATCCTCACACCCTCCATCCTCACACCCTCCATCCTCACACCCTCCATCCTCACACCCTCCATCCTCACACCCTCCATCCTCACACCCTCCATCGTTACACCCTTCTCCCTTCCTTATACTCACCATCTCTGCATCTCGCCACTCCCTCTCTTCCCCTCCTCACAGCACAGGAGTGGCAGGGTGTTCTGGCGAGCAACGAGTGGAGCGAGTTGGGGCAGCTGCACATGCTGCTTGCACGACCCTCCTCAACCCTGTCCATCCCCTCGCCCCCCTTTGAACCCCCCTCGTCCCCTTGCTGGTGCACTACAGGAGTGGCAGGACGTGCTAGCGAGCAACGAGTGGAGCGAGGTGGTGCAGCTGCGAGTGCAGAACGTGGGGAGGGTGTTTGCGATGCGGCGCTTCGGCAAGACACGCGTGGGGCTACACGGGCGAGGCAAGCAGGTGTGCTCTCTCTCACCTCAGTGCGGCCATATGCTTGATGGGTGGGTTGCTTGCACCCTCCGAAGTTCTGTAACAGGTTTGCACCTTAGCAGGTGTGCTATTCGCTTCCCACTTGATATATCTTTTTTACAATCTCCCTCGCAGATTCCCCTGATGGCGGTCCTTGAGGCATAATAGAAAAGGTGTCTCGTCATACACACCCAGCTCACCCGCTCTTATTTTTCCGTCCCTTCCACTCCCTCATCCCTCTCGTTCCTCCATCCCTCTCACTTCCCCCATCCTTACTCTCCCCGTCCATCTCACTCTCCCTCCTCTCCTTGCTGCTCTTTCACATCCTTGCAGGTCCACCGGGAGCGCAATCTCTTCGAAACCCTCTCAGCCAATCCGTTTGTGCCACCTGTCATCACGCCGTACACGGACCATGCCTCTGTGGGCCTGCTGCTGGACTGCCAGCTCAGCACGCCGCTGGCGCTAGTCATGGGCGGCAGGGAGGGAGCGGGGGGGCAGGCAGGGCCTGACGTTTTCCCACCACTGCCGGAGGAAGCCGCCCGGTTTGTGGCGGCAAGTCTTGTCATAGCAATGGAGCTGATGCACCGGGTGAGTTGACCTGGTTTGACTTGCGTTGACTTGCACCTTCCAATACATGGATGGCACACGCTTCGAGAAGCTGTCCCATCTTTGTTCTGTTTCCACCCACGCTGTTCTCCGCCGTTTTCATCTCCTTGTGAAGGATGGGCTCACCTGGAAGTTCCGTATGTAGTGTTGTTGTGTTTGTGATTCAACGAGGTGTAATGTGTGTGCTTGTCTCCCTCCCTGCCCGTCCCTCCCTGCCCGTCCCTCCCTGCCCGCGCGCCCACCAGGACGGGGTGGTGTTTCGAGGCGTGTCGCCCTCCACCCTCTTCCTCGACTCTCGTGCGCAACTGCAGGTGGGTGGGGTCAGGGGAAGAGGGGTGGAGCGAAGTAAAAGAGAGATGGAAAACGGGAAAGGGGATGGGGCGTGGACCGTGCGGTGTGTTGTTGCCGTGGTCAAGCTATCAAGACTTGCTGCTTCTTTCCAACACGCCCACTCTTCCGCTCCTTTACATTGTCGTTTGTCCCTCTAATTCCCCCCATCCTCTTACCCCCCATTCCCTCCCCCCTTTCCCTCCTCTCTTTGAAGCTCCCGGACCTGCGCTTTGCCAAGCGTCTGGAGGACGGGCGCTCGTTCACCATGTGCGGGTCGCCGGACTTTGTGGCACCAGAAGTCATTGCGGGGCGCGGCCATGGCGTGCCCGCTGACTGGTAAGATGGCTGCTTGCTGAGTGGAGGTTTCAGGACGGTTAGGGTTACTGAATGGAGGTCTAGCATAGGAATGAGGGTATTCTGATGTGCCTCGGAGCATCACTGGGGGCCTCAGAAATGATTGCATCTGTGTTGTGGGTGACTCATCCCTCCCTGAGTCATATGTATTTGCTGTCGATTCAAAGCACACATCAACCCCTCCCCACACAGGTGGTCCCTTGGGGTGCTAATATTCGCTCTGCTGCACGGCGAGGGCCCCTTTGGCTCATGGCGAGACAGCGAGCTGACAGTGTACACACGCATCGCCCGGCACGCACTCTTCCTCCCAGACCACCTCCCCCCGCTGCCTCCGCTCTCATTCACCAGCTGCTCTCCCCGCGCCCCGAAGACCGCCTCGGGTGCGGCCCTGGCGGTGCTGGGGCTATCAAGGCCCACCCTTGGTTTGCCGGCGTGCCGTGGGAACAGGTGGCGGCGCTGGATTGGCCGGCGCCGGAGGAGCTTGTGAGGAGGGTGGGGGAGGTGCAGGGGGAGAGGGGGAGGATGACGGAGGAGGAGAGGGGGTCGGGGGTGGCGGGAGAGGAGGAGAGTGCGGTGGGGCAAGGTAGAGAGGGGTCGCTCTGGTATGAAGGTTGGTGATTGTGGAGACGGAGTGGGTGGAGGATGGAGGGTGAAGGGGGGAGAACAGTTGGAGGATGGGAGTGGAAAATAAGTGATGGCCAGTAGGTTGAGTGAGCATTCACAATAGGGCGAAATCTGGGCTGTATGCTGCTCGTAGTATGCAGTGCCTCGTTAAAGGCTGAGATCACCTTTCAAGAATGTCATCACTCACATATTTGAGGCCAACTGGGCTGTGACCATCTGCAATGCTTGATGCAATTAAAAGCATTGGAAACCGAAGAAATTAAAAAAAAAAAAAAACAAAAAGAAAATTAATAATTAGGTTTTACAGCTGGCTTGCCCGAGTGGTCCAAGGGGGGAGACTTAAGATCTCTTGTGCTTCAGCACGCGTGGGTTCAAACCCCACAGCCAGCAGTTTTTCAAGGGGCAGGATTGTCACCACTAGTCCTGATCCTCCTTTTTCATCTTGTTCCCTGTCACAGGGTAGTAGTTTTAGTTTGCATCTCCGCATGCAAGGCTTTGAAAGACATGGCATGCAAAGACTTCCGCAACCAAACACACTACTCAGATAGGGAAACCAAGGATCGCCTCCGACCCAACCCCTCCCGATGCCCCCCCGGTTACCTTCTACCGTAAATCCCATTGTTCGCTACCCTAATACCCTTCTAGAGAATAGCCAGTTAGACACAATGTGCTCATTTGAGCTCAGCAGCATAGACCATCTGTCATCGTGCTTATCGTTAGTGCCTGTTGCTGTCCCCAGCACAGAGGACTGGTGCCCTGCTTCCAGCGCTTCCGGTGCCCATCCTACTGCACTCAATGCATTCGCTTTCTACTCCTCACTGCTGCCCTTACTGCTGCCCGCACTGCTTCCGTTACTGCTGTCCTCACTGCCCAGCAGCTGGCCTCGACCCAGGTGTGGCAAGATTGCTGGGGTCGTGCAGAAACGTGGCATATATGACCTGCAGAGGGGGAAAGGAAACGGCACTAGGAAGAAATTGGTACAACACCCCCCCACCCATGCACCTCACGTTGAACCCTAAGCTCCCTCCATCCCACACCACAACACAAAAACACAGACATGCTCACACACAATGGCATAAGGGCCAAGCCCCTTCCTTCCCCCACCCCTTATTCCCCCCCACAAGCACACTCCCTGATCCCACCAGCTGCTCACCTGAATGGGTGTGGCTGCAACGAGACAGCCTTTTGAGTCGACTAGAACTTGCACACCTCCCTTACTTAACCCATCCCACGGCACACCCCATAACCCACCAGCTCCTCACCTGCATGGGCGTGGCAGCAAGGAAGCGCCCTTTTAAGTCAAATCGAAGGTCACGCTTCCCCCATTACTTCCCCTTTCCCCCCATTCCGTACCCTCCCATACCCTCCCACACCCTATCCCCCCAGCTTTCACCTGCACGGGCGTGGCGGCAACGAGGCGGCCGGCCACACCGCCGCCCACAACGCGGCCGTTGGAGCTGACGAGGCTGACGCTCAGCCCGCCCATGCGCCCATCGGGGTCCGCCGGGTCGTGCGGCAGAAACGAGCCCGACAAGTTGAGCAGCTCAAAGCGGCCCTGTGGGAGGGGGGGGGGGGGGGGGGTGTTGAAAGGAAAGAGAAGGCCTTTTGAGTCGACTCAAAAGTGTTGAAGGGGACGAGAATGGCGTTTGGACGAGCAGGGCAGCCCGAGAAGGTCAGCTGATCAGAGCGGCCCTAAAGGAAGGGGGTGTGGGAGGGGAGCGGGAAGAGGAGGGAGACTGGAAGAGAGGAGGGAAGGAACGAGCCCGACATGCTCAGCAGCTGGAAGCGGGCTCGGGGAAAAGGGGTGGGGTAGGGAGGATTGAGAGAGAGGAAGAGAGGAAGCGGAGAGCGCCTGAGGAGGTCGGCAGATTAAATCGGCCATGGCTGGGAGGAGAGGGGAAAAAGGGAGGGGAGAGTGAGGAGGTAAGGAGATGGGGTGGGGGGGAGTAGGGGGAAGAGATAGAGACAGGCGTAGCACTCATGACTCATGAGGCAGCGAAGGTAGCGGACATCTTACGGAGATAAAAAAGCATCCTGCAAACACCATGCACTACAACATGGGACCTCTCTGCACCGCACTGTACTTCGTGAATGGTGGTGTTGGCGCCGCCAGAGGGGTCCCGCAGCGTGGCGCTGGAAATAGAGCCGCTGGCGGACAGCACGCACACGCCCACGTTCGGCCCCGCCTGCGACTCGATGAATATGCGCGTCGCCACGTCCTGCGAGGGGAAGAAACAGAGGGTGGTGAGGGAGCGGGGGAAACGGGGAAACGTGTGATGAGGTAATTAAATAGTTTTATATACATATTCATAAATATATGTTTCTTTCAGCAAGACTACCTGATCTTATTTCTTTTTCTTGCAAGCCGAACCTCACAATGAGGAGCAAATGAACTCTAAAATGAGCAGTTAAAATATTTTTTTCTTTTCCCGCGTCCTGTTTTAGGCAGCTTACCTCATCTGGAGCGAGAACGAGCACTCGCGGGCTCACTGTGAGAGACACGCGGGGACGGCGGGAAACACAGGAGAGCGGAAGGGCAGGCGGGGACTGAGGGCTAGTGGAGGAAAATACGGAACTTGCGGAAAGGAGAAAAGAGCGTGCGGCACCGCCCGATGCAAAAGAGTCTCGCTATGACAATGCCGTGGTACTAACAGCAGCCGGAAAGAAAAAAGCCGGAAAGTACAAAGAGAGGCCCGCCCACATTGCGACAGTGGCTTGCTCGCGCTGTAAATCACACTGCCTCCTGCTGACGTGGCAGCTCGTTTCGACTGACGTGGCTGCGCGTCATCGTCCTCGTCGACTGCTCTATTGGCAGCGACCGCTCCTCTAGTGGCAGCTGCTCTAGCGGCCGCAGCCGGAACTCTCGAGGGCGTTCCAGCAGCGCCAGTCGCGGGGCTCGCGCTATCGGGAAGAGGGTTTTTTCTCGGACGACCTCTCGGGCGCTTGGCTGGCGGTTCCGACATAATGGCAACAATGGTGACTGGTCTCAGGGACGGGAAAATAAAATAATAAATTCAAATGCTTGAATCAGCAGAGGTGATTTCCTCGCTTGCGTATGTCCGCGTTGTAAGCCGCCTGCGACACAACCACGTTGACAACCTTCAGGAAGCTAACTTCGAAACTACTCACCTGCAACCGAACTGCATAAGCACGACAAAAAAAAAAACCTGTTTGACTAGTAGGGTTTTAGCATTCACACATAAGTCACTGGTCTTTCACTTTCATGCAATATTGCCACCTTTCTCTGAACATTGTATAACGGCTTTGCATAACAGCCAGTGCATAAATACAGGTCTCTAAAACAACAGTTCTTGTTCATTACAGGAAGTACATCAGACCTCTGATCTAGCTATCTAGACAAAGATATCAGAGAGCTTAGCAGCAATAACACCCCAATATCCCCAGAAACAGCAACATTCTACTAGTTATTCCCTAGCTCCCAATACCACCCAACTCATTTTCTCTTGAACACGCAGGTATCATTCAGATACTGCAGATTGACGGGATTGAAAGCTACACTGCAGTCCATGACGTGCGTGTAACGCGTTTGCACAATCTTCCACGCCATCTCGATACGAGAGTCCACCTGCGCGTGAAGTTGCATGCTGATATACTCGGCCATGATGTCCTGACGCAGCCCCGGACCCACACCGTATAGCGGGTACATCGCTACACCCACTGACGTCGTGAAGTTGGTGAAGTTCTTAGAACTGAGAGCGAAATAGGGCAACTGGAGTGGGCGCAGACAGTGGCAGAGGAACAAAGGTGGTGGTAAGTGAATGGGGAGTGGAATCCTGGCACCCAGTAGCATGATCACAATGACTAAATCTTGATAAGACATAATTCAGGTGCAGCACATCAGAATACTGATAAGACACTCACCCCTCCTTGCATGAGGGTGGGAATGGAGCTGTAGCCGACTTGCAGCAGACCGCCATCGCCCTGTAACGTGTACTTCCCGTTCGGGTTGATCGCAGAGAAGACGAAAGTAACGTTTGCGAAAAGCTGGTCTGTCGGCAAGCCGGTTCCGTCGGCGAGCTTGTTGACGATCTGAAACTCGTTGAGCGTCGCATACTGAAACCGTTGCCAGGGGGAGCGGGGATAACAGAGGAAAAGGATGAACATGCTTAAAAACAAGATTCGCCTAAAGCGGATGTAAAAGTGACGTGGGCGGTGACCCATAGACTCAAGATCCAGGACGCGGCGGAATGAGGCCCGGAGAAAAGGTACTTACATCGAAGGTGTACGTAGGAGCATCCGGCTGGAACACATAGTAAAGCGCGATGCCCGTGGCGACGGCCGCGAGGACGAGAGCCAGGATGCCCACCACAATGCAGATCGTCCAGAACCGCTTGCTCCGCTTCGACCGCCCGCCAGACGCCTCCTTCGCAGGCGGCTCGTACAGCTGCTCCTCTTCGTCGACCTCCTCGTTAATCCGCGACGAAAGCGGCGCTATGGCCGCCGCGCGAGCCGGCGCGCCGTAGACGCGCGACGAGCCTGGCTTGCCGGACCGCACGCTGCGCATGTCGTACGACATGGTGTGCGCGGGGGAGTCGGGGACCGAAGACATGGGGGATCCGGGTCGCTCGGAGTGCGCGGGTGTCTGAACGTAGTAAGGGGGCGCGCGGAACGGGGACTGCCCCAGCATAGCGTCGTTAACGCCGGGCGTTTCGACGGTGTAACCGGGGTGCTCGTATTGCGGGGCGTAGTACGCTGGGCCGTTGTTGCTGCGGGCGGAACGCGCGGGGGAGTCAGGGGGGGAAGAGGCGGCATCGCTGAACGACGGCCGGGCACCGCCTGCGCCGGATTTACGCGCCCATGAAGGGGTTCGGTTTCCCGCGCTGGGGTTAGCTGGTCCGCCGTAGAGAGGATTGGCTCTGGGGCCAGAGGCCGAGACGTTGCTGCGCTCCGACATGGTTACGAATGCTAACCTGAGTTCCTAAGTTCCTGACTTCAGTGGCTTCGAAGATCGTAAGGTTCGAGCCTTCCTTCTACGCTGGCTAGATGTTGATTGAGCAGATTAAAGACCACAAGCTGTAGTCTGAGCGCCCTGAACTGTTAACGCTGATGCAAAGTTGTGACTGGGTGGGCGGGCGTTTGATTGCTGACGGAATAAAATTAAACCAAGCCCTTGAAACCAGGCTAGTTCCAGGGCAGCTACGAAGCCAGGGTGGTTGTGGTCGTGCTTGGTGTTAGAGCGAGAGGGCACAAACGAGCCCGCACGCAACGGTACAGCACAGCTGTGGAGGTGACTGGGGTAGCGCGAGTTTTGCTCCCGCTCGTTAGTTGCACCGTGATATCGCGAGTGCGGTTTGGCTCGGATGCAGGTACGGCACTCGAACTCTGGCTTGTTATTTTTTCGAGGTAGTTCACTGCGTTCCTTCTCTTTTTCAATACCCAATACCTAGCTGGCTGTCAAGTGTTTTCCCAAACCAGTCCATATAAGCAATGACATAATTAGAAAGGAGATTCAAGCACAAACGGGAATATAGGGAAAGTACCCGTTTTCGGAAGGCATGTGAAGAACTACGCAGAAGGCAAACTCCTTTCGCACACCGAACCACACAGTTGGACGTCAGTGGTCGAGGGGAAGCGCGCGAAGCGCCCATCGTCCCGTGACACACGGCTGGTCAGGTCCTCAGACCGCGGTGCGCGCTGCGCTGTGCTTGCTCGGAATCGTCCGTCGATGACCTCGGTTTGAAGAATGCTAGCCCTTGGATGGCTCAAGATCTTTGGGGGCGCAGGCAGATTGCCTTGCGAATGGTATTTTATCGAGAGTCCGATTTCATCGGACAACTTTTCGTGCAATTAGGCCAAACTCGTTTAAATAGTGTCACACAAATGACACAAAGTCACAATGTGGTCTTCGTGTACACAGCATTCATTACAGACAAAATCTACATTAAAATGATGGAACTTTACCTACCATTGCATCCAACCATGGAAAACACATCCTACTTGCTCCTGTTCAAATCTACCGCCTTCTTTTGAGCAGCATCTCGAAGCTGGTAAAGGAAATTGAGTGTATTGGCATAAGCAGGGTCGGAAGTGCTGACTGGCTTACAAGCATTGATGTGATCAGTCCCGTCCAACACCTGCAGATTACACGATGGAAATATAACAAATTTTCTACCCCATCTCATGCCATAAATATGTTATGTCATACTGTATCGACAAGCACAAAAGGGCTACCATGAATCATGAATAAAGGCCACACACACCACAATGATCAAATCAACCAGCTCACCACAAACTCCCCGAATCCCGGGTAGGCCGACTCTAGTGGAACCACCTCCAGTCGCAGCGTCAGCCCACCATACGTCTTCACCAGAGGCGTGACCTTTGTCTGGTCATGGGTGAGCGGGAGACACACAAATTACAAAAAATGTGGGGGAGAGGTGTAGTGGGTGGGAGGGGGGAGAAGGGAGAAAGTGAACGACATTCAAGGGCTCGCAGTTCCCCGCATAGGCATGTCTCCCGTTCCAGCCAACCCCTCCTGCTTACTCACACTACTAAACTACCTTATTTCTTCTTATTTTTTAGGCATTTTCTTGATTTTCTTGTGACAGTGTTCAGCAAACAGTCTGATGTTAGGGTGTGCCAATATGGAAGCTTCTGACTCTTCATCCCAACTACACCGTGCCCTCTCCACACCCACATACCTCAGCAAAGGAGAGCACTTGGATCCTGCCCTGCTTGTGCATGTGCCGCAGCATGGTGTTGAGCCCCTCCACATGCGGTGATGACATGCGCAGACAGTCAGCCTGCACGCAACTCGGTTATAAAGAGTGATTCTTTGAAGTAAACTCAAAAAACCCCACAGGGGACGGGTTTGCACAGATGAAACAACGTGCGCAGACAGTCAGCCTACATGGCACCAAGTCGAGCATTGCAATAACCTGAATGAAGCAGATCTTAGAAGTTGATGAGCAGCGTGCGATGAAAGCAGGGTCCAACAAAGCTATGACACGTGAGTGAGGACAATAGCAGGCCAAAATTCATGCGGCAAAGCGGAGTTAGGACGAGAGCAGGGTGCACAGAGAGAAACAGGAAACAGCACCAGGAAAACAAGAAGCAATGCAAACACCTCCTGTGTTGATGTCACAAGGAAACAGAGAGAGTGAAGGTGTGGAGACGCACCGAAGGAGCGGGTCGCAGCACGGCTCGAGCTCTCCAGGAGTAGTCCGCAATCCTGCTGCCAAAGTGCGGCACGGAATAGAAGACCTGCAGAAGACAAGGCGCAAGGGGCGAAGAGGCATTGAGATACGGAACAGTGAAGTATAGCTGTGGGGTGGAGACACCAGGCCGAACAGGAATTCACAAAGCATGGAGGGGAGCCGTCTGGGCACTCACAATGCCGGCTGTGCTGTCCGCCATGGCTCGAACCTCTGGCAGGTCGCTGGCACGCGCGAGGGCGAGCATCTGCTTGACAATGAGCCCTCCCATGCTGTGCGTCACAAACACCACCGGCCGCTCGCCCACTCCTGCCGCCACCAGCTTGTGCAGCAGGAGGATGCTGATGTCCTGAGAGAGGAGGGGAGAGGGGGAGAGGCAGGAGGGAAGGTGGAGCAACTTTGGGCAATCGGGCTCCCATTCATATCTCCCCAACAAGACAAGCCTGAGAAATCAAAGAAGCACGTCCATACATGAAACAAGAAAAAAAAAAATGATTGGAACAATGTGAGAGACCGAGCACTCACCTGCAGTGGAAGGGTTGCCCCTGCCCACTCCGAAAGATTTGTCTGCAATGAGGATGGGGATGTAGGCAAGTTTCGTGGTGGGAAGAGCAACAGGTGGGGCCGACAGGGGATGGAGTATTAATGGGCAGGGTTGACGGGTCAGAAAGAGGAAACCGAGCTGAGACGCCTGGGACCATCCTTCTGAGCCCAGTGAAATTCGCAGGACATTACGGGACTGCACGGTTACGAATCCAAGCATAGGGAAGCGGGAAAAAACGGGAGAAAGAGCACACCCTGTACTTGGTGGTGAGGATGCGCGCCTCAGGCAGGTCCCTGGCGAGCCAGTCACACGGCCAGCACGACCCCTTCTTGCCGCCCTCCTCCTCCTCCTTCAGTGTCTCCTCCAGCAGCTTTGATGGCTCCACCTCCCCCACACTCCCCCCACTCCCAAGCATTGACTCTTCCATGCCTCCCACGCTCTTCGCATCCTCCTTCCCTCCATCCTTTTCCCCATCGCGTCCCACTGCCTCCCTCCTAATCTCCCCACCCATCACTCTTTCAACCTCTGCCCCACCCTGCCTCAGTTTCTCACCTGCGCTCTCATCCTCACCCAAACTAACAACCCCACTCGCTCGCATCCCTCCCCCTACGGGGCCCTCTACCCGTCTCTCTTCACCAGGGCCCAACACTACAGGAGTTTTTGCTACAGAACTCCCTGCTACCGGCGTCCCTGCAACAGGCGTTTTCGCTACAGGCGGCACAGGTGCTCCAGGAGGCGGTGCTACAGCAGGCACTGCCTCTCCCCTGCGCCACGACTTGAAAGGCCCGCCCCTAAGCCCGTGCACAAACACCACATCCAGGACAGGCGCAGGGGGCATGCTCACAGAGGAGCGGGCAGGGGCGAGTGAGGAGGAGGCAACAGAGGAGGGGGAGGAAGGTGAAGAGGAAGAGGAAGGGGAGGGAGAGGAGAGGGGGGAGGGGAGGGAGTGGGCTTGGAGCCAGGGGCTGGTGGGGTTGACAAAGAAGATGCCGTCGTCATATCTTGGCGTGAACTGCTTCCCTGGCTCGTGCCAGCCTGGCACCGCCACGTCACACTCATCCTGACAGCCTGGGGCTGACGTGGAAGCACTAGCAGCAACAGACGCAGGCCCCGGCAGAGCATGCAATTTCTGCGGGGCATGCAGGATTTGCAGGGCGGGAGCAGCATGGGAGAGCACCTTGCGGGCATTGGATCGCATCTTCTTGCTCACACACGCCTCACACAGCAGACGCTCGTACTCCTCCCAGTCAGAGACCCACTGCTCGCGGTTTCCCATGCCACGTGCTGACAGAAGCACACGGTGCAAATGAGCTGTGTCATCCCGCTCTTGTCCTCCACGGCTTTCCTCCGCCTTCCTCTTCTTCTCTGTCCCATTTTCACTCGCTCGCTCACTCCCTCTGCCTCTCCTATCCTTCCCATCCTCGCGCACCCCGCCTGTGGTGCACTGTTCAAGCCAGCCAATCAGAAGCGGGTCTTTGGCGATTGCCGCCCACGAGTCCGGGTGAGCTGACAGTTGCGCCAGCAGCCGGGCGGCATTTCTTTGGAGACTCGTCAGCTTCGCCCTGGCCGCTTCTAGCCCCTCCTCTGCTGTAACGTCAACAGAAGAAGCCACAATACCAGCAGGAGCGGCTGCTGTAGCCCCAGCTGCCACTGCTGCTGCGGGTTGGGATATTGTTGACCGGGTGCCTGCCTTTGGCATGGGCTGAGATCCTAGGGAGACGTTTGGCTTGGAAGTAGCTGTCGCAGTGGTAGTTGCAGTTGCAGCTGCAGCGAGGCCTAGCAGAAGCCCTCTCTTCTCGCACTCAACCCCAGCACTTTCTCTCCTGCTGCTCTCACTACCATCGCTGCTGCTGCTGCTGCTGCTACCACTGATGCTGCTGCTGCTGTTGTTGCTTCGGTCCTTTTCATCCAGCTGACTCCTTCCCTCCTCAGCACCCTTCACAGCACCCTTCCTAGCCCCATTCTCAGCGCCCCTTGCAGCACCATTCTCATCGCTACGCCTTATCTCCTCTTCCCCTCTCACCCACTCCCAATACTCCCGACCAATCAGCAGCCGCCGCATCAGCTCCACCCCTCCACCTGCCACCAGCTGCTCCTGCATCTCCCAATCTTCGCTCGCCAGCTCAGCGAGCGCTTTCACCGCTGCTGCAGCCGCGTCCAGAGCCTCCACAACATTCACACGTGGAGGCTCATCACTGGCTGAAGGCTTATCCTCGTTAGAAGCTACCAGCCCTGACCGCGTAGAGTACAGCCCTCCTTCAAAGCCCAGCAGATCCATTAAATGATCGTGCTCCTCTTCCGCCACTTTCACCAGCTCGTCTACAGTAACATTCACTGTAGCAACAGCATCTTTTCTACTAATAGCACCAGAAACAGCAGAAGCGCCAGCAGCAGCAGCTGGGCTGGATCTGCTGCTGCCCTTGCCTGCATTGCTTACTACTGGTACAGAGTCCTCTCCTCCCGTTTCTCCCAAACCCCCCTTCTCCACACCTACTCGCACTGACCCCTCTAACTCTCGCTCCTCTGAACGCACTCTGCTGCCTCCCCCCTTCCTGTACCCCATACCGCCATTCCCTTCCCCGCTGCCCCTCTTCCTTTCCCCCCTTCCGCCCCTCCCATCACCCTCTCCCCCCCATCCCCACGCCTCGCTCCCAAGCGCCTCACCCAGGCGAACCACAGCAGTGCTGGCGGACCGTTGCGCCTCATCCCTCACTGCGCGGTGCTTCTCACTCAACGCCCCTCCCAGTGCACCTTTCACCTCCCCTCTCACCTCCCCACTCAGCGTCCCGCTCACAGCCCCACTCATATGCTTTGCCCGCCCCCCCGGGGCCTGCCCTGTCCCTGCCCCCGCTGCCTGTCCCCCTGCTCCAGCCACGCCCGACCCACCCCACGGGTTCACATACGACCACCACGACTTCTCCCCTGCACTCCCCCTTGCACTCGCCCCACCTGCCCCTCCACGCAACCCCTTGTCAGATGCTGCCGCTCCCCCCAGCAGTGCTTGGCTTTGTGGAGCGTTTCCATCAGGATGAACCTTACTGGGCTCATCTGCAGGCGAGGCTAACGACCCTCCCCCCTGTGCTCCCTGTGCTCCCTTCCCTCCTCTCCACAATGACTCAAGGTACTTCATAGTCGCTACTGTCATCCCCACACTCTCCGCTCCCTTGCCCCCTCCTTGCCTCCCTGCCTCTCCCTTCCTGCCCACGCCCCCTGCTCCCTGTGAGCCCCCTCCCGCCCGTCCAGTTATCACTGCTTGCCTCGCTGCCTCCCCATCCCTGACAGCGCACATGAGCATTTCAGAGAGCCACAGCAGACCCACTCCCACTGCCACATCCGTCCATTCCTTCCCAACCTCGTTGCCCCCCACTCCCCCGCCCTCCACATCCACTCCTGCCAGCCTCCCTTCATCTACCCCCAGCTTTCCTCCACCTTCAATGCCTCTCTCCGCCTGTCCGTTTCTCCACCCTCCCCTTCCTTCCTTGCCATTCGCTTTCTCCCTCCCTCCATTCGTCCTTCCTCGCTTCCCTTTCCCGCCCATGTCCTTTCCCCCCGATGCCACGTCACCCCCACGAGCATCCACAGCAGCAACAGCAGAATGAGAGGAGGAAGAGGCATGATGTGCCATGTGAACAGCAGCAGATAGCACCTCCACCAGAACAGCCTGCCCGGCAGCAGCAGTGGCAGCCACGGCAGCAGAAGGCACCAAATTCGACTCCAAGAAGCTCCTTGCCGGCCTTCTTCTGCCGCCCAGCAACCCTGCTGCTGCCGCACCTCTTGAACCTCTCTTTCCTGCTGCTCCTCCTCCCTTCCCTTCCCCTGCCCCTCCTGCACTTTCTTCTGCTCCTCTTGCTCCTTCTTCTCTAGCTCCTGTGTTCAATTCCCCTCCACCGCCCATCACCCCGCACGCCCATCTCACTAGCACAGGGCCCCACGCCCGCAGCTCGTCTGCAGGCATCACCACTGTTGGGCAAGTCGGTGTGGTGCGGAGCGGAGCTGGCAAGTGGGATGATATTGCTGCTGCTGGCACCACTGCTCCTGTTTCTGCCGCCTCCGCTGCTGGTGCTGGCTCTGGCACTCCTATCAGCCTTCCCACTGCCGCCGCCTCATACATTCGACGGCCCAGCACAAGCGACGCTACAGCCTGCGCTACAGCCAGGTTCACCACCTCCTCCTCCTCCGCCTCCTCGCGTTCTTCCACACTGCCGCCCTCAGTTTCCCTCCTCTCCTTGCTCTTCTGCGCTCGCACACCCCCTGGAAGAACAGCACGTGGAGACGGCACATCAGGGTCATGCCTCTTGGTGGAAACACCAGGGGCAGAGATAGAGGCAGAGGCAGAGGCAGGAGCAGAGCCAGAGGAAGAGGCAGCATGAGTGGCAGCAGTAGTTGAAGCCGCCAGTACACGCCTTAGCTGCGGCAATGCCTCCAGAGCAATCCCCTCGCGCAATGAAGGTTCAGCCCCCCTGACATCATTGCTTATGCGGCCCACATCGTCACTGATGTCGGCAAGTGTGCGCAGAGCATGCAGGGCGGCAACCGTGACATCAGTATTTCGATGCTGAAAGGCAGACGAAGGAGGGCATGCTGACTTCAACAATGCGCCAGACCAGCTGCGTATGGCTGCTGGCCTCACAAACAGGCTTGCTGCTGCTGCCCCTGTTCCTCCTGGCCCTTTTCCTCCCGCCCCAGATGCAATTCCTTGTCCCTTGGTTCTCCCTTCTTCCATCGTCCCTCTTTCACTTCCTGACCTCTCCTCCATATCCCTCCCTCCACCCACGATTTTCTGAGACCCCACAACCACAGCATCCCTCCACTCTGCCACTCGTGCGCCCACCCTGCTCAACACACCGTCGCCCTTCTCATCTTTCTCATCACCATTCTTTCCATATAAGCACATCTCCTGCTCCCTTGCAACCCTGCCAATAGCACGTGCCACGTGGAACCTCACCATTTGTTCAGGCGCCATTGCGCCAACGGCCAAAGCATCTCCTTTGCTGTCCATCCTGGCGATGAGCTGGCAATTTGATGCTGACGTGGCAGTCCACTTGTCAACTGCCCATGCTGCCAGCAAAGCAGCTACTGACTGCCCTGGCAGATCGTCCCACAGTCCAGGAGTTGGAAGCTCAGTATAACTTTTTCTCCCCTGTCCAGTTCCTGGAAGACTGGCCTGGTCAAACGAGTCAATCCTGGTCCTCTCCCCTATATATCCTTCATCAGTAAGACTTCTGCTCCTGTAAGCAAGCACGCCAGCCTCTGGAGAATAGACACGTGGCATGGTCTCATTGGCTGCATCGATCATGACTCCCCACATGGTCGTGCCAGTATGGCCTCCCAGTCCAATACCCATCCCCCCTGATCCCCCATCCTCCCCTCCCCTGCCTCCTTCTCCTCCTCCTCGCCCTCTTCCCCCTTTTCCCCCTCCTGTTCCCCTCTTCCCTCCCCACCTCCACCACCTGCTTCCCTCCTCCCTCTCTACAGGCTCCCCCCATGTAAGCACATCCAGGGCAGCCCTCACATCCACCTCAGCAGCCCGTTCCACCAGATCCGGCCCTCCCAGCGGTTCAATGACAGGTCTTAGCAGTGAAGCATGTTGGCGTGACTGTATCGAGTGTTGATTCGGGGGAGGTTCAGTAAGGAGGTCCATGAGTGCGTCTATGAGGGGGTGATAGCGCAGGAGTGCACTTGACAAGCGAACAGAGGACGCCTTCGGTGATAAGTTATCACCACCCGATGCACTGTTGCCAGCACCTGAGCTATCACCAGCACCTGAATTATCACCTGTACGCTCCCAATTGGAAACACCAGGACTGGCATTTGCGCCTCTTCCTGCCTCCAGACTAGCAGCAGAATCGAGCTGTGCTATCCACGTCAGCATTCGCCGTATGCTGCCATCTCTATTGAGCACTCTCGGTGCCACGTCAGCGTCTCTCAACAGGCTGGCAATTGCCCGAGCCGCCTCCCTTCTCACTCGAGAATCACTGTTCACGAGCCCTTCCAGCAGCCAATCAAGCACCTTCCCTTTGCTCGCATCAGCAATTGCTGCCCTGCTGGCGCTGCCACCTGCCGCTGCCAGATCAGCAATGGTCCTTGCCACGCGTGCAACCCACGGAGCACCGTCAAGAGAAGGGGGAAGGGGGGAGGGTCTAGGAGCAGACCTGTATCGCCTCAAATCAGGGCTCCTTGTTTCCTGCGCATTGCGCCTTTCGTTAGAATCACGGAGCTCCCACACATTTAAATCAGGAAGCGAGTCGGAGGAGAGGATGGCAGCTAAGCATCGAGCCAGAGCTGCTGTTGCCACGGCAGCATCCCGAGCCTGAGCACCAGCTTCGGCAGCTGCAGAGGCTGACTGAGAAGCGCTATTTAAAACATGGTCCCTCAATCTCTTGGCGGAATCAATAGCTCTAGTGCTAACGGATCTGACTGAATCGGGGACAGGGAGGGAGAACCCTTTCTCGGATGAGTGTTCGGGAACGGAGGAAGAGCCACGGAAATGTCCCTGCTCAGGACGGCCTGAAAGCGCAGACAACAATATTGCTGTAGCAACTACTGCAGTTAGCACCCACGGGAAAGACCTGGGCCTTCTGCTTGAGAGCTTGAAGCGATCAGAAGCTAACCACCTCTTCCTGCTTCCACTACCACTCTCCCCAATACTGGAATCGACACCATTGCCATTACTGCTGCTGATGCTGCTACCGAAGTTCCTCAAGCAGCTGCTGCCCTCGCTGCTGCTATATCTGCTCTTTTGAAAGACTGTCGGCCTGAGAAACGAGTCACGCAGACTGGAAAAAACAAGAGACGCCGTGCTGGAGGCAGGTGGTTCAGAGGCTGTTGATTTGCCTACGGCTTGTCCTGATCGGCTACAAGCAGCAGCTGATGCCAGTCCTGAAAGACAGTCAGATCTTAGCACTCTTGGCCTTGTAGCCTTGAGTCTTCGTATCGACTGCTGAGAAGGCACCTGTAATGCCAAGGTGGTCCTGACATGCGATGTGATGCCAGCTGTCAAGCTGAGAGGGGTATGACAAGGAACGCTGTTCAGTCGCCCGGTTAAATCAATGAAAGTAAACGAATTTCGGATAGGAAACGCAAACACCTTTGGTAAACCTGGTTCTTGAGCTTGCAAAAACCGTGTACCATACAGCATCGCGTGCCTGCGTTGCAAAAGAAAAGAGGTCGTGCTGCTTCTATGTACAGGGGTCGGCTGGGGTCTGGTGATGCCTGGTGGAGTCTGAGCCGTTCGTGCGGTCGCCGTCGGCTCTTCTTCGTTCAAACGGTTCGTCGTCATGACAACTGAACGCTGACTAATGAAGTCTCTATTTAATCTCCGGATTCAGCCACGAGTCTTCATATCTGAATCACAAAATCATGAAACCAGAGTTGATCAAGTAAACTCCACTGAGCGACTGCTCTGCTAAAAAAGTGAAATCAAGGGAAAAATTGCTGTTCGCTCAATCAATCATCAGCTTCGACTGATCCAGCACCTGGAATGCTCGATGCTCATCGGCTAGTCCAGCAATGGTTCCTACAGCCAATGAGTGCTGGTGAAGCTGGTCATGCCACCAGCACACACTCGAACATGACGTGTCAGCTTGCTTTTTCAGTATACAGAAGCTCAGTAACATACCTGCACCCGACAAGTGTACTCGCCGTGTTCTCGTATCAACAATTCATGGCAAATTTTTACCTTTGTCCTAATTGTCCGTTTTCGTTGTTTGAAATAATAGAGCGGTTGATTAATTACGCTTCTGAGAAACAGAACGGCGCACCCCCTGTGGTGGTCCCAGCCCCCTCGGATCTGACACGTGTCGGATAAATGCACAACATTCGACGCGGTAGAAAAGCGGCCATCCTATGTGATGACGCAACATTTCAGATCGCGCGGGCCTGCCAGTCAGCTTTGAGAATGTCTGCGCCGAGTTGGAGAAACTTTCGCGCTTTACACCGTGGCCTCCACGTCCTCTTAGCCTCCACATTCGACACTGCCAGGTCAAAGCCGTCCTCCAATCGCCCAGCGGAGCAGCCAGATCGACGTCACTTGTAATTTCGTCCTCGAATAAAAATCCACAGGGGCAGGCCGAGCCTCCCACAGCAGCCAATCTGGCGCCGAACCCAGTTCCTAGGCGTTTCTGCAGCTCCTAAGGTCAGGGACTTTTGGTCTGGGATCCAGGCAGAACCCCGCCAAGCGTCCAGCTCAGATTCCAAGTCCTGAAACAGTGGCCGACACGTGGAATCTCGAAATTGCATAGCCTGGTTCCATCGCATTTCACACGCAAAGGGCCCCTTCTGGCTCTGCGGCGCGCCTCGCCTCCATCCAGCCCAATCCCCTCACCTATCTCCTTTCCAACCCTCTCTATATTCCCACGTTCCCCTCCGCTCTCCCTCCACATTTTAGTAATCCTTGCCTTGCTGGCGCCACAACCCATAAACTTTTCAGCAGCTCTTACATTTCTCATACAGCACAGGCTGATTCTCGGACTAATTTCGCATCTTTCTTTTTCTTGGGCTCTTCTGCGATTGCCTCCATTGCCAACGCATCTTCAGCCTTATACTGAATTCCTACTGATCTCCCTTCGCCGCCATGGAGGCTGTGGCCAGCATTGGCCTGACGGCTCCTGCCGCAGGCCTCGCCGCTGCAAGTTGCAAGAAGCGGGTAACCCTGTCGTCAATTTCCGCTCATTTCGCTCCGATCGCCTCGTCCGCCAAGGCCACTTCTCAGCGGCGCTCCCAGGATCGCGCGATTTCCTCCAGCAGCTTCAAGGCTGACGTGTCATCCCTCGTCGCGGAGACCCCGAGACGGAGGCACCACTCCCGCCGGTCAATCTCCGTCCGCGCGAACGCTGCCGCAGCCGCCGCTGATTCCGGCGAGCCCGCCGGATCGGTCGCGAAAGCGCCTTCCAAGTTCCTGGGCGTGGAGGTGATCACATTGAAGAAGATCATCCCCCTCGGTATCATCTTTTTCTGCATCCTTTTTAACTACACCATCCTCCGTGACACCAAGGACGTGCTCGTCGTCACGGCGCCCGGAAGCGGCGCGGAGATCATTCCGTTTCTGAAGACATGGGTGAATCTGCCCATGGCGATCGGCTTCATGCTGCTATACGGCCAGATGGCCAACGTGCTGAGCAAGCAAGCGCTCTTCTACACGTGCATCATCCCCTTCCTCGCCTTCTTCGGGAGTTTCGCGTTCGTGATCTACCCGCTGCGCCACGTGCTGCATCCGACGGCGTTCGCGGAGCACCTGCTGTCGGTGATGGGCCCGCGGTTCATGGGGCCGATCTCCATCCTGCGCAACTGGTCCTTCTGCCTCTTCTACGTCATGGCCGAGCTCTGGGGTAGCGTCGTCGTCTCCGTCCTCTTCTGGGGCTTCGCCAATCAGGTATGCTAGTTTTGTGCATTTACTGGTCGCTGTTTTCTGGACTTTTAACTAGCGGTTGGCCTATTGTGATCATTGTTTTCATATTTTTTTTCTTTGTTTTCGACCCTGCCTTCTTGTAGAGTTAACGAGTCTAATTGTTTGTATTAATCGTATCATTGCAGATCTGCACTGTCGATGAGGCGAAGCAGTTCTACCCGCTCTTCGGGCTGGGCGCCAACGTGGCGCTCATCTTCTCGGGGCGCACCGTAAAGTACTTCTCTGCGCTCCGCGGGCAGCTGCCGCCCGGCGTGGACGGGTGGGGCATCTCGCTGCAGGGCATGATGTCGATCGTGGTGGCGTTCGGGCTCGTCATCTGCGGCGTGTACTGGTGGGTCGACCGCAACGTCGTCAACGACCCCTCGCTGCCCAAGGGCGCCGGCAAGAAGAAGGTGCGCACTGGGGGATTGAACTGGGGAATGGGGAGAGTGGGTGGGAAGATTGAAAGATGGGTTAATCTGAACAAGGATCAGGGAAATTGGCTGTTGTGATTGTTGACGGCGTGTGTGTAATCTCACTGGGAGCCGACAGTGATTTCTGGAGCAGATACGATTTCTGTAGACGTGCTTCTGTTCCCGTCATTTTGGTTCTTCCTCTCCGGTTCTCACATGCTTGCGGCCCGTTTGTCTTTCTTTTTATGTGCTTGTACCGAACGCTGTTTGTAACAGAAGTCGAAGCCGAAGATGAGCATGGGCGAGTCGATGAAGTTCCTTCTCAGCTCTCGCTACGTGCGCGACCTCGCGACGCTCGTCGTGGCGTACGGAATTTCCATCAACCTCGTCGAGGTCACCTGGAAGAGCAAGATCAAGGCCCAGGTGAGCACTTGACTCGGGTTGAGTTGCGCTGCGTTTTATAACGTGTAAATCGACCTGATAAGAGCCACCAAAAAGCTTGCCCTTTTGACCAAGCGAGCACTGCTGGGGATTTCAACCTCCACTTTCAAACGAAGATATAATCCAGAAGTTCTGGGTTTCACATTATCCGTTGCTAATAAATTTGTACCTTTTCCCTGTGCAGTTCCCGAACCCGAACGACTACTCGGCGTTCATGGGCGACTTCTCGTCCATGACGGGCATTGTCACCTTCGCCATGATGCTACTCTCGCGCGTCATCTTCCGCAAGTATGGCTGGGGCACCGCCGCGCTCATCACGCCCACCGTGCTCCTCCTCACTGGCGTCGCCTTCTTCGGCCTCGTCCTCTGCGGCGGCCCTCTGACTCCAGCGCTCGCGAGCATTGGCTTGACGCCGCTGCTGGCCGCTGTGTATGTTGGTGCGGCGCAGAACATCTTCAGCAAGAGCGCCAAGTACAGCCTGTTTGACCCCTGCAAGGAGATGGCGTACATTCCTCTGGACGAGGAGACCAAGGTGAAGGGCAAGGCCGCCATTGACGTGGTGTGCAACCCTCTGGGCAAGTCCGGTGGCGCTCTGATCCAACAGTTCTTGATCTTCGCGTTTGGGTCGCTCGCCAACTCGACGCCGTACCTGGGTGCTATTCTGCTGGGTATTGTGGTGGCGTGGCTGGCTGCTGCGCGGTCACTGGACGCGCAGTTCACTCCTCTGGCAGCGGAGGAGCTCCAGGAGAAGAAGGCCGAAGCACAGGAGAACAAGCCAGAGGAGGTGAGGGTTTGGCATGTGTTACGTGAAATGGGATCTGGGGTTCAGGGTTTGAGGTTTATCTTCCCCAGCTTTGGTTTTGGCTGAGGAGGATGGTTCAAATCATAATTGCAATGCTCTTTCTGTCAACTTGTCTCTTCTGTTGCTGATGCACCCCCCTTACGTGTGCTGCTCCTTCGCCATATGCAGGTTGAGCTCAAGTTTGTGAGTTCCATCAATGAGAAGGGCTTCATCGAGGGCAAGTATGTGCCTGTATCAGAGGCTGATGGCAAGACCCCTCCTGCTGCTTGAAGCTTCTTGCTCTTCCCAATGAGTCATGCTATTGTGGGCTGACTGTTACCCGAGGATCCACGGCACATTGTAGTTTGTAGAGTGGATAGTGGGAAGTGAGTAGTTTAGTTCCCCTGCACCATGTTGAGTGCTGGACAGGCCTCGAGCTGGGGACTGTTGTGTGCACTTTTGACTGCAGGAGCTGATGCTGCTGTGGTTGTTGCTACTGGTTGCCTCCAGGCTAATATCATGGACAGAATGTGTCTTGTACTATGGGTTCGGTATGCTCTTACAGACCCAACACAGTTATTGTTCATGTGATTCCTTCACTGTCACGGCACGGCAATCAGCATTGGTTCATATAAACATCACATCACCGCGTTAATTAAAGTGCCATTGTTCGTAGGAATAGACATGCTATAAGATCATGTCATGGTCTTATTCCAAATGCAACAACCACAATCTTTTTGCTTCTTTAGTTTGCTCCTTTAGAGATGATAGTATCCTACATCATCATTATGTGGTTGTGGTGTGGTACATCTCACATTTGAGAATGGTGAAACCTTAGGGCGTGTCCCATGAGTTCATTTGGGAGGAAATCATAAATTCTACGTAACTTCGACAAAGCAAACGAGTGTAGACTCTGACGTGAAAAACACGCAGCGCGTCAGCACAGCGCCAAAGAAAATTGACCCACGCGGACTCATAGCCCCACCCACACGAAAATCGTAATCCGAACATGGCCCGCGAGCGGTTACCCAGTAAATGCGAATTAATTGTGCCATGTGCGAATTTCTGTACTACTTTCGCCCAAGTGAATGTGCGCGAATTTTCAGATTGGGGTAACGGAAGGAGGACCCGGTACGAGGTGATCTCACGTACCTTGTACGTGGGATTGTACGAACCTCTTGACGTCCTAGTCGTGTCATCAGGTGCATCAATGAAGACGCATGTCATGCAGAGAAAGGTTACAGACTGAAAATAGGGTTACAACTCTTAAATTGAACTGTAAACGAAATCGTGGGACACGCCCTCATGTACTAGTGGTTGGTGTACTTGTTTTGCAGTGCTTCACCCTGTACTGTTTTCAAACCTCCGCGAACTCACGATTTCACCTTTCTGCCAGTGAGCCTCTCCTCTCCCTCAACCAATGTGCAACAGGAAAATTGTGTTTATCAAGGCCCTGTTCTCAAAAGTACTCGTTCTCAAGCCATTTTAGCTTGTGTACCACTATGGGGTCGACTGACCTTCCCAAGTTAGGTAGAACGTTTTCAACCAGTGGGCTTCCGACAGATGTGTGCATCAGCTCCCCAAGTAAGGACTCCAAAGGGAGTTACTCAAACTCTAATATTGCACGTCACGGATCTTTCCTCCAGTTGGTAGGAGGGGTGTCACCAACATCTCGAAATGTGGCTACAAGTAAAACTTCGCTCTATGAGCATGATGTCCAGCGTCGACTCGCATTGCCTAAATCTGTTCCTCCGAAAGGAACGAGATCCTCTGAAGTTCCCAGCTTTGAATCACCAAAACGAAGACGTTCATCTGGGTTGCGTAGTGAAAATGAAGTTAATCCCAAAAGAGCACTGACTGAATCATCCCTCAAACTGCTCCACACCGATAATAAAGATTGCTCTGACAGCAACATTTGCTGGCATTCGACATTTTCTGGAATCTCACCTCAAGGTAATGATGGTCTCGTTAACCTCTCTTCCTTTTTTTTGTGTCCACATCATCTCATATTTAATGCTAAGAACACAGGTGTTGTCCATCCTGAGGCTTCCGAAGAACCTGTGTTTAAGATCGGACATTCCCTATCACCGCCTGCTACACATGCAAGTTTGGAGTGTGAATCAGAAGCAGATCAAGTTCCTGACATACGGTTTAGCAACACTTCAAGCCTTTATTCATCACAAGACTCTCAGCTCCAAGCACTTCTTGCAGATTGGAACAGAGATTCGAAGCATGCGCTGTTGCCAGATCGTGTGCTGAGGGACAGGAACAGCACTGAACTTCACATGTGCAGATCCTCAAAGCAAACACCCCCTTGTGTGCGGTACACCGAGTCAGGTGGATGCAGAAGTCTTGAAGGCAAGGCGTATCACAACAGAGCCAGCAATCATGAGTTGAGGTTGTCATGCGTCTCCACGGAGCTTCGCTTATCCAACGAACCTAACAGCAAGCGAGAAACACCAACTTTGCATGTGCGAGGAAGTGGAAGATTTGATGGTAGATTTTCAGACTTCGAAGACTTTGGCAAGGACTGGACTGCAGAAGGTGACGTTTGCAATTTCACTCTCCCGTCCACCTAGAGGTTTACTTCATGTCCTTGTGAATGTATTGTGCAGGAACTCTTGGCCAAAGCAGTCCAAGTAAGGTCACGCACTATCCTCCAATTGACCCACAAAATGCTTCTGGGATGGAACAACAGGCACCATCAATGGTGATGCTGCTGGAACATGAACCCTCATCTATGTCTGGCCCTACCGAAATCAGCATCTCACAGGTTGGAAGCATAACGGATTTGGGATCAGCACGTGGCTTGACACACGTCTCATCTTCGATGCACTTGATCACGCAAGGGTTTTCACCTGGACGTGGCCCTACTCCAGTCAATACGCCACTGACGAATGGGAAAGTCGTTGCTGTCGATGCACCCGTTTCTGGTAAAGATGCTCCTGCTCAGTCACTGGGGCCCGAGCCACCATCCAGGAGAAAGCTCCTCTTGCCGTCCTGCGTGAAGCCATCACCAGTTATATTTCGACCACCTCCACCCAGGGAGAGCCCACTTCGCCTCGGAGGGAAACAGCTTGTCTGTGTTCAGGAAGCTGGGCCATCACACATTGATCCAGACGAAAATACTAGACTGGTGGCAAGTGAGCAATGCCCCAGCCTGCTGTTACCAGGAAACGAGGATACAGAGAACATAGAGTCCATGCTTGCTCTTTTGGCAATTCCAGAAGAGAGCAACACTCAAATGGCAACTTCTAGCAGCGGTGCTGGGCCCAGCAACATTCTGGTAGAGATTGTTTCAGAGGAAGAGTATGTCCTGGTAGGCCGAGAAGTTGCAGAAGAAACACTGCAGCAGTTGAAGAAAGAAGCACGAGAAGGGCTGGACCTCGGAGACGTTGACATGGAGCAGTGCAAGAAGATCATCCAGGATTTCTCGTTCAACGTGCAGTTAAGGTAACGTGCAAGTGTTGTAAATTAACAGTCGATGGTAGGAGCATACGGCACTCCATACTTCTTTGGTGCAATCGGACATGAGCAGGCTTGAAATGTATTTACGTGTCAATTGAGGGCTGCTTTAACCAATGGAACTAGCCTCCCATTAGTATCCAAGTCCTTCGCTAAGCGGTGGCTGTCAACAGGGTGAACAGTCACTTCAACCTGCCACATCCACAACATGTTGTGAGATAAATGCGCACAATGCTCCCAGCACCATCTCCTGTGCTGCATCAGCAGTGCTGCTGCTGACCGTAATTGAACCAGTGCCTGAAACAAAGCATGCTCCATTCAAGCTCTCACCTGAGGCAGGTGCTCTACCAGTCGAGCCTGTGCAACATCATGAGACCAGTTCCCACAATGCACATGAACGTGTGGGGGCACATGTCCAAGTGACCTTGGTTTTGAAGCAGCGTGTGATTCCATTGAGGAAAGGAGGTTCTCTGTGAACGAGCTGAGCCAAGCAGAGTCACGACCAGGCCGAATACTGGCTGAGATAAGGTCCACCTGGAAACAATGACTCTAGTAAGCTTGTGTCCCGCAAAAACGCGACGAGGCTGGGAAGGCGAAATCTTCCAAAGGAGAAAACTAACCTGTGGACAAAAGGCAAGAACACTTGATCCGAATTCCGAAAACATGAGGGCAGCTGAGGCACCCATGGAATCTCCAATCATGACCACGCGGTCATATCCCTCCACTGCTGCTGCAATCTCCCTCCGATAGTACGCCCCATCCGTGTAGCCACCAGCACTAGAACTAACTTGTGATGAGTCAACTAATTCGTTGGATGGAACGGGGGACTGCACTGATACTGATGGCCATGTAGCTGGGGTAGTTGAAACTGATGGATGCAAACCTTGGTTCATGGAGAAGGCACCAACATGAGAGAGCATAGGAGGAGGTGGTGGTGTCAGGTTCGCATTGCTTGCTGCTAGTGAGAGTGTGGAGAGGGGAGCGTGCGTGTACCAGGAGCGGGTGGAATCGACAACATAGAGTGTGTCAAAGGGCGTGGTAGTTCCTCCCATGGCTGCTGTGAGACCCATGTCCCCCTTCACCTTGCGCAGCAGTCCCGCCCTGACACAGATGCAACACAGTCACACGCACTCAAGATTTGCCACCACTGCATCTACCCGCTGTACCACTGCTGCCAATTCCATATCCTCTGCCAAATCGTGCAACTTGATTGAAACTGACCCACTTACATGACTGAATCTTGAAGCTCCTGCTGTAGAGGTTAGTATGTGAAATAAAAAAGTATAGCTCAGCTCACCAGTTGGGCACGGCCGGAGCGCTGCCAAAGGCCACAACCAGTACTCGGGAGCAGTGGGCCTCGGCCTCTGACGAGGATTCCACACGCTGCCATGGCTGCACCTGTGCAGGTGGAAGCAATGGAGGGGGCAGGAAGAGGGAACGCCTACGGTTAAGAATAATTGAGATCGAGGAATATGATGACAATAATAATTGTGGCCTTTGTTTATGCTAACTTGGCACGGAATACAAGCTGCATGTCACAAAAGCCATTTCCAGAAATTGACATAGCTTCGAAGCCTTTCACCCAGCTGTTCCTATCTGCACAAAACAAGAAACCCTCATTCCGCACACTAACCTTGAAATAGCCACCGTCTCGCTGCGCTGCCCCAGTCCCTGCCAGCCGACTGACAAGCACGTTGCTTGGAATTGGCGGCTGCATACCCTGTGATGGTGGCAGCTGCAGCGAGTCCACCCCCACTGTCTTGATTCGATGACAGGTGTCGGAGAGAATGGTGTGAGATAGTGAGAGCGGATTGCCCTGCAAGCAGAGGGTGGGAAGAAGAGGGGATTCAGAGGTGTGAGTCGAGGACAGACATTGGAAGGGATCCAAGAATTGAAACCGAGCTGGAACGGACAATCTGTGCAGCTGCATCAGCAGTCGAGTTTGCATGGTACTGTGACATGTATAAAGACGGAAAATGATCGGATCAATACCCCGGGAAAACAGTCACAAGAGACAGGGATGTTCCATTTCTTAAAAGCTGTACCTCGAGCCAGAGGTTGGCTAGGCGAGAGCAGTCTGCTAGGTCTGGTGTCAAGTGAGCGATGGAATTACCATAGCTGATGGGAATTGTGGGATATAGAGGGTAACAGGGAAAGAAGCAAGTTTTATCGTTGTAAAATGAATGGGGGATGGCTTGCATCACGATGAAGAGGAAAGAAGCAAGAGGAAACACAGGTGGCAAACCATTCACCATGCAGTGGGATGCTGTTTGTTGCCAGACTGACACACTCACAATACAGATGGAAACCAGCAAAACGAGCCACAACGCTATGTGATACAGAACGGTACTACTATGCAGCGAGATACAGAGTGGCACCGAATGGTACCGAACAGTACAGAGAGGTAAAGAGCAGTACGGAGCAGTACTCACAGCCAGAGCGATTCAAGAAAGGGCAGCTGTGCTAGCGTGCCTTGCGGGATGGCTGTCAGGCAGTTGTCGGCGAGTGAGAGTTGGCGGAGGGAGCGCAGGGAGAGAGGAGGGAGGGAGGATATGCGGTTGCCCTGGGCACGGGGAGAAGGGAGGAGACGAAAAAAGGGGAAGATGGAGTGAGGTGGGAAGGCGGTAAAGATGGCAAGGGAGGGGAGAGCAAGGGCAATATAGGGAGTGAAGTGACATGAAGGGAGGGAAGATTTGAAAGACACCTGAGCAGAGACCAACCACCTGAAGCCACAAAGTACATCTAGGCTTACACCTGAGATCTCACCTGAAGAAAGAGCTCCTGAAGGGAGGAGAGGTGGGTGATGGAGGGTGGTAGAGCTGTGAGAAGGTTGCCGTAAGCAGCTAGGACCCTGAGAGAGGCTAGAGAGCCGATGCCTGGGGGGAGAGGCGGAGAGGGAGGATGGGAGTATGGAAAGTGGAGACTTCAGAAAAGAAGTCAAGGATTTGACATTTTTGAGGAAGAAAAATAAATGGACAGGAATATGAAGTGAAAACGCATGTGAAGCCAAACGCAAGGGGCCTTTCAGTAGTGACACAATGGACACAGAGGAAAACGAGGTCTCACTTTGTGGTAACTCCTCCAGCTGGTTACCAGCAACGGACAGCACCTGCAGTGCCGTCAGTCTACCCAGTGTGTGTGGTAACCGTGCCAGCTGGTTGCCTGCGAGAGCCAGGAAGCGCAGCGCTGTCAGGTGGCCGGTCTGAAGGAGGGGAGGAGGAAGACGACCATGGAGTCAAGGAGGACCGTTCATGAAGGAAAGGGAGAGGGAGAGGGAGAAGGACCGTTCGAGAAGGAAAGGGGCAGCATGAAGCTCTGAAGCTGACTGCTGGCAATTGCACGGAGAGAGACTGTAGGACTCACACACTGATGTACTCGCTATAAGGCGCATTGTCCTGTATCCACTACAAGGCACACTCTTCTGTACTCGTTAACGGCACACAGGGCTGTACCCGCTATAAGGCACCTCGTTTGGGAGCTCGTGCAGCAGGTTCCCGTGAAGCCACAGCCCCTCCAGCTGGGTCAGTTGGCCGATTTCAGGTGGCAGCCGCTGCAGCCTGTTGCCTGCCAGGCCCAAGCGGCGCAGCTGGTGGAGTTGTGGAGGCGAACGGGAGGAAGAGGAGTAAAAGCGGGTGGGAACTGGATCAGAGGTCGGTGCTCGTGCAGCGTGTTGCCTTCCAGCACCAGATGAAGCAGCTGGGCGACGTGGAGGTGAAAGGGAGAACGGGGAGAAGATAGAACGGTGGAGAAAGGTTTGAAGGAATGGAGGAGGAGGAGAGGGGCTCGAAAGGGGAGAGGGGCACGAGAGGGGAGAGGGGCACGAGAGGGGAGCGGTAGTATGGAAAGATCGGCAATGTTAGGAAGGATGGATTCGATTTGATTGCTGGCGAGAGAGAGAAGTGAAGGAGAACGCAACTGCAGGGTCACCTTGGAGAGGTTGGCGATCGCAGGAGGGATGGATTCGATTTGATTGCCGGCCAGAGAGAGGTCGGTGAGATCTGAGAGCTGCAGGACAGCTGGGGGGATGGCCGTCAGGCCTGGGGAGGGAGAAAGAGGGGAGGGGGAAGAGGGGGGGGGAGGGGGGGAGGGTTTGTGGGGAGGAGGGAAGAGAAGATGTTTTTAGGGATGAGGATTGGAAAGGGGGTGAGAGGGCATCAAAGCGGATGGATATCAGGGAAAACGGGGGAATGGGGAGGGGGGGGGAAACGGTGAGACGGCGGACATACCGCAGTCGCTAAGGTCCAACGCGCCCGTGTTGGCCGCCACAGCAATTCTCGCCTCCACCTCACTCGCGCTGGTCGCATTGACTGCGTTGACCACATTCACCGCGTTGACCGCGTTGACCCGTACAGAGGCCGCGGAGCGGCGGCATGTGAGTCGCCCTGCCGCATGAACGGCAGGTCCCAGGCGAAGGCTTGCGAAAGCAGCGCTGCGAATGTCTTTCGCGAGACGTCGCTGAAACAGGTCTGGCCCGAGTATACGAGGCGCGCGCTCCCCACGCGCATCCGAAGAGCGCGGCACATGCGCAGCAACGTGGGGGTTCAGGCGGAGAAGCTTTCGAGGCGCGGCGGAAACGTGGCAAGGGGTGCTGCGCTGCGCTGGCAATGGAGATGGTGTGGGCGAGGAAGTGCGCGGAAAGACTGGGTCAAGCAGACGAGCCATGCCGGGCATTCGGTCGCGGTGGGAGACGCGTTTCACGGAATGGCTGTCCGCAAAAGGCGGTTGATATCTCGTAAGAACGAGCAACGGCTAGCATCCGTTGACGGATTCAGCATTGATGGCTTGGAGTGCGGTCTCATGGCCTACGCACATTGTCATTAGTGAGTCAACACTCTACATCTCCGTTTTAGTGAATCGTGCCTCTCAACTCAACCTCGTCACTACAATGCTCTTGCTTGAGCACTTCTGTCATTGCATAAACCAACTTTATTAAATCAAATGCTAAACTATCATCTTGAGATGATCTGGTCAGCTAAAAGTCGACCTACTCTTGACGTGAGCGCCAGCCAAGCAAACACTGAGACCTGGAAGAGGAGAGAGTGGGATACAGAGACCATGCCTTGAAATGTTTAGTTAACTGACAATTTGCCCCATAAATACAACTGAAACAAGTGCTGGCGTGACAAGATTAAGTCGCTGCCGCTGAAAATGTGGGATGCAGCTTACCTGACATGGGGCGAAATATGCCGTAGCGCATTGCAGCAATGTTTTCACAACATGCCTTTATATGCAAATGACTTCAGAAAGGAAGATTGCAATGTCTGGAAGGGACATGCTGGGCGGGGTTGAAAGAACTCACAGCACCGCCTCCTTGCCACTTGACTCCATGGGGGAATGCGAGCATTGATCCTGCAGAGATGGAGACCAGATAGGTGAACAACGAGCACGCATAGAAGAGTAAATATATGAATATGTCCGTAAGTTACTGATTCGCATTGGAATGAAAGCTGAGACAGCTACACACACAAAACAACAGGGGAAAATACAGGGGCGCAGCGGCTGTCAGTGGACGGGTGACCATGCAGCAGTGCTCACCAAATGGATAGACAACGTCCACCGGCAGAATGACAACGGGCTTGGAGCGGAATGAGAGCACCAGCAGCACATACGCGCATGCCTGCGACAGGAGGAGGGCAGATTGGAAGGAGTGGGAAGACCAGAACACATTTGTGGGACATTTGACGATGGGAAAGCCTCAAGATTGATCTGCGCGATTCACTGGCAGCTGTGCTTAAACAGATCGACCAGAGACCAGACAATGGAAGCCCATCCATATCACCCACATAGAGGTCTCGCTCTCAGGTAAATACGTGCATGACCAGCATGCCGTGCATGGCATGGGCATGGGCATGGGCATGGGCATTTTCATGGGCATGGGCATGGACACGCGCGCGCACGTGCATGTACCTGTATGGTGTATGGGAGGACGAAGCGAATCAGCGTCCACCAGACACGAGATGGCTGTGCCTTCACTGCCAACCAGCACAGAGGGGAGGGAACGAAGGGCTTCACGGGTCAATATGGCAAACTGAGAGCCGGAAAACAGCGCACATAAATGGAAAGGGCACAAGCATGACAAGAGAATTCTCATGACAGGATGAGCATCATGACAGGATGAGCATCATGAGCGGCGATTCACATACAGGCGTTCAGCTCTTTCTCCTTGGCGGTGGCGGTGCGAGTTAGCAGAGCAGAACGGGAGAAGGTGCTGGGGCTGTGGGCGCGGGAAGAATAAGGGCGGGGGAAGCATGAGATTGCGGGAATGTAAAATTCGGGGCGGGGGGAATGGCGTCAGGAAGAAGAACGAGCTTCAGAAGAGGATGGGGAAAGGGTTAAAAAACCGAAAGAGCGATTGGGATGACCATCAGGGAATACGGAAAGAGTCAGGGTGATCTCTGCTCGGAAGACTCACGTGTTCAGCCGATTCGCCTCTTTCTTTAGGCGCTTTATTTCCGCCGCAAGAGCCGCCTCTTTGCGCGCTGACAGGTTCTCCTGGCCACGGAAACGGCGCGTTACGGCGTTAATCAGGTGTTTCAAGAGACCACGCTATCAGGTGTTTCAAGAGACCATGCGGTAAAGTCATAGTGCGAGGAGAACGCGTGTCAGACAATCTTTACGTATGAAGTAAAAGGATGGGATCGCTTCAAGGGCGTATCAACGGAGCGCATGACGGAATCTCACGGGTACTACATCATATATTATCCGGGACAATTGCGGCATCGACAAGCGTACCGGGAGGAAGCGCCGAAGTGCTCTCAGAATCACCTCGCCGAGGACTACTATAACGAACGTGGCTATAGCGGGCGGCAACGTCACAACCTTCATCGCGAGTCCTTAACAAGCTAGGACGTGAGAGGCGAGGATCTTAGCGCGGAATGGCTTGCTTCAACCTACGCCTCACTCCGTCAACTAGCCCCTACTCCCTAGATCTGGTAAGCTACGCTTCAGCTGTCGTAACCACGCATCGACGTACGAGTAAGCGACTAGCAACGCGATGCAAGACCCAGCGCAAGCGAGAACGCAAAATCTGTGTTATGTGTTCGACAGCCGAATTCGCAGTTTTCTGGAATGCTGTGGGTAGCGTTCAGGTTCGGTTCAAACTGCTATTCCCAGCCTCGAATTCCAGACCTCGAGACAATAAAGCTCGCTTCAAGAACATCGCATACAGCCACTCTGCGGAAATCTCGAGATTAGCCGCGGGCTGCCAAATTTCGGCAATTCGCGATTTTGTGCGACAGGAACCCGGTGTCAGAACGTTTCGTCATCACGGAAGCCTCTGATATGCCACGTCAACTGGTAGCCCATCTGACACATCACATTGGCCCAGCACTGGCCACACACACCAATCCGTCAAGGATGATGCTCTTTTGACAGTGATATCCGCCTCGGCGGTGATATCCTCGTTACAAGCGAAGCTCCCTCCCCGTCGTGTCAGTTGTGTGTCAGACACCTAGCACAAAATTCTCAAGAGTATCGGTTACTCTAGAGGACAGCCAGCCATCAGTCACGCCGATTGGTTCCTTCAGCTTCGGTAGGTAGCAAGAGTTTGGTCGCGAGACGACCGAGGTAGTTAATAGTATTCGCAATCGTCAGGTCTATCACATGTTTGCAAAGACAGGTTCTTCGTGTCGCATGGCCAGATGTTTTCGCCGTCAATTCGGCGGGTTTTCCTCATGCTTAGACTGCGAGGGTTTCTTTTCGCGAGCACCCTTTCTGCTAAGAACTGGAACTTTCGCTGACGACCGCTGCGGTGCTGTCAGTGCGCGGTAACAAGCAAGCACTTTCAAAGGGTTCCAGGAGTAGTTATTGCAGAGGATTGCATCTTAACTGCCTTATGCCCTGCTAGTCACGGTATCTAGAATCAGTCTACCCTTCCCTGGAATCCTACCGTGAGCCTGTACGCGCTTCAAGTCCATTCAGGCCCTCGTGAATTGTGAGAATTGCGGATGTAAGTCACTTAAAGCCATGCGACCTTAAGCCGACGTTCTGTCTAAAGGTTGGACTTTGCGCCGTTGGCCCCTGAGACTTCTCAATAACCAACTTCTCCTCCTCCCATGGCGCCAACGCGCTACTCCCTTTCCATCAAACCCCCCGACCGTTCCGCGGAAGATGGATCCGCGGAAGCTCCCCCGCGGAGAAGCAGCCTCAGCAGCAACTTCACCCCTGGGGGAACCGGAACCGCAGCTGGCGGAGCAGCCGCGGGCGCAGCAGGCGGAGCGGGGGGGTCGGGCGGGCCGGGCAGAGGTCACTATGACGCCGGGCCTTGGGCTATCCGCGTTCCCTATCAGGATGCGGACGTTCGAAGTGTCCTGGAAGCAGGCAGGGATCCCTGGAGGTACGCAGCAGGCGACGGCGCGGGGAGGCTTGGTGGCGCGGATTCCAGCTACGGCGCTGGGGGGGTAGGGGGGGGAGTGAGTGGGGAAGGTGGACCCGGGGGAGGTGTATCTGGATCAAGATTCGGGTTTGAGGGCGGCAGGATCCAGCGAAGATTCTCTCTTTCCACCCCTCGGGAGATCGCCAGGCTGTCGCATGCGTCCGGTGGCAGCGCCAGTGGCACGAATGGACCTGAGAGGCAGGGGCTACAGGCTCACCCGCCGCAGGTGCAGGCTCAGGTGCTGCCGCTGCTGTACCCGCTTCACCAGCACCTCACCCAGTATCAGCAGCAGCAGCAGCAACTGCAGCAGCAGCAGCAGCAACAGCAACAGCAGCAGCAAGGGATTAACATGCCAGGCACACCCCGTCGTCCTACCTTCTACCGAGGTCTCTCCTCATCCTACGAGGAGGCCGCCCAAGATGCAATCGCAGCTGTCCAAGCTGCCCAGGCAGCAGCAGCCGCCGCGTCAGCCAACGGCCCTTCCAATTCCGGCTCGTTTTCCACAGTTGGTTCGGGCAGTTTCAATAATGCCCTGGGTAATTTCCTCCGGCAGCCAACTACCCCTCGGTCGATACCTCCGTCTCAGTCTTCCACCCGGGTTGAGCGGCTGCTGAGGGAGAGGCAGATGAGGCGCAGCTCTAGCTTCCTCCAGTTCGACGTGGACTCTGTGGACGGGCGGATAATGACGCCACGTGGCATTGCCACGTCACACGGCAGCGCTGGATCAATTGCCGGAGCTCCTGGAGCAGCAGGAGGAGGAGCACCAGGGATGGGCGCAGGAGGGGGAGCAGGAGGCGGAGGAGGAGGGGGAGGGGGAGGAGGGGGAGGTGCAGGAGGGGGCGCGGGCGCAGCGTGGGTGCCAGGGCGTGCGCCCATGGTTGGCCGAGCCAGCACTACCTCCCGAGGCAACTTCGCGTTTGGCGCGGCAGCCCATGGCACCAGGTCCGGGCCACTAGCCCCGGTGGACCTGATGATAGGTCCGGACAGCCGCAACTCCAGTTATGACAACCTGGCCGCTGCTGCCGCCGCTCACACCCCCCACAGCTCCATCCCCACCCCTTACACCTCCACACCACCCCGCTTCCCCTCTGCTGCCGCCTCACCATACCCTCTCTCGTCATCCCCGCACATGGCCTCATCACCCGCCATCCCACGCCCGTCTGGCTCCATGCCTCGCCTGTCCGCGTCTCTCACAGCCTACCCGGCGTTCAGGACGGGGGGCGCCATGCCGCGCGTGCAGAGCAGTGGGGAGCTCACTGCTGCGGCGGCACAGGCAGCAGGAGTGGCGGATAGGATTCCTGAAGAGGGGATGGGAGCGGGGGACGGGGGAACGGGGAGTGCGAGTCCTGGGGTGACGGTGCTGCCTGGGGTGGCTGGGATTCCGGGTCCGGAAGAGGCTGTATCAGGAGGCGTGGGAGCAGGGAGAGCAGGGACGGCTGTAGCGGGGCCGGCTGTAGCGGGGCAGGCTGTAGCGTCACCACCACATAGGATGGGCGGCAGGCCAGGTACCCCTAGTCATGGTTTAGACCCAGGCCGGATGCATGAACCATTAGGGCCAGCAGCAGCGGTGTCCCTTGCAGCAGAAGCAGAAGCAGCAGCAGCGATGGCAGCAGCAGCATCTGCGGTACCATCCGTTGCAGCAGCAGCGGCAGCAGCAGCAGCAGCAGCCGTCCCCCAGCCTGTACCAGTCGAGCCTTCCCGGGTTGACCCTTCACCGACCCCGCCGCCCGCGCCGGCCGCCCAGCAGCGCATGCAGCGGCTGCTGATAGTGGCCAACCGCCTGCCCGTGCGGGCCAGCCTGCAGCCTGACGGCACGTGGGCGCTGGAGCTGTCCGCTGGGGGGCTTGTCAGTGCGCTGTTAGGTAAGTGCTGCTGCTGGGTGAGTGCTGCTGTATGTGAGTGTTGTTGCAAGTTGAGTACTGCTGACTTGTGAGTTGAGTCATATGGTCACCTTGGTGCGGGCCAGCCTGCACTGCAGCCTGATGTCACGTGGGCGTTGGAGCTGTCAGCAGGGGGGCTTGTGAGCGCGGTGCTTGGTGAGTGGTGCTGCTGCAGCGTGAGTGTGCCTGTGCTGGTACGCGTTGCACAGGCTGGCTGGCTGACGCTGTTCCTCTGGCAGGCACGATGCATGCAATGCAATGCAACCTTCTCAACCTTGCATGCACCTATTCCCCCCGAACGCATGCAGGTGTGAAGCAGAACTTTGAGACGTGCTGGATAGGGTGGCCCGGGCTGTACCTGCACTCGCCTGCGGACCAGCAGCAGCTGCACGACGCCCTGCAGGCCAAGGTGAGCGGCTTGATAGGAGGGCTCTACGAGAGGTGCTTTGTGCTTTAATAAAGGGCACTATAGAGGGAGTCCATCGAGGGTTACAGGTGCGGAGCGCATAGGGGGCACACAGCTGCATGATGGTGGTCTGTTGGATGCCACAGAGAGGAGAGCCTTGTGAGGCGACATCTATTGAGCCACCTATCGACATCTCATCTCACCCTTTCTCCCCTCTCCTTGTGTGCCCCATGCTGGGATGGAAGGGTTCATTCAGACTGACTCTGTCTTCTCTCCTGTGGCCTGTCCGTGCCCTCCTCTCTCTCGTCCCGCTGATGCCCCTCCTCTTTCCCTCCTTCCCTCCGCCACCAGGGGTGTGTGCCCATGTTTCTGGACGAGAACACAATGAACGCCTACTACAACGGCTACTGCAGCAATGTGCTGTGGCCGCTGCTGCACAACCGGTCTAACATCACCCCCTCTCCCTCGTGCCGCCCTTTCCCCTCTCCGCCACCAGGGGTGCGTGCCTGTGTTTCTAGACGAGAACACCATGAACGCCTACTACAACGGCTACTGCAACAACGTGCTGTGGCCGCTGCTGCACTACATCGGGCTGCCCCAGGAGGACCGCCTTTCCGCCACGCGCTCCATCCAGGCGCAGTACGGCGCGTACCGGTCGGCCAATCACAGCTTTGCTGACGTGGTCATGGCTCAGTACCGCCAGGGGGACATTGTGTGGGTGCATGACTATCACCTCATGCTGCTGCCTCAGTACCTCAAGGCCCGCAGCCCCAAGTGAGTTTTGCGTTGGCTTAGAGGTAGCATGGCAGGGGTAAGGCTGTGAGTCTGCAGAATTGGCACTTGATGATATTTGGGGCGCCTCAAAGTGTAGGGTCAGTACCGCCAGGGGGACATTGTGTGGATGCATGATTGTCACCTCATGCTGCTGCCTCAGTATCTCAATGCCCGCAGCCCCAAGTAAGCTCTGCTCCCTCTCTTACCTCCGGTTCCTTCTGCTTCCAATCATTTCTAACACGTTGTGTTTGGTTTGTTGCTGCTGTGCTCCGCCTTTATCAACTTCCCAAACACAACTTAGAAAAAATTCGACGCTGGTCTTGCACCCAGTCCCACTGCCTGTGTGTGTGCCACTCCTTTTCTAAGTGTTCCCCCTCCCCCCACTCCTGCATCCGATTTGTCTTCCACAATCCAGCTTCATTTACATTTCCTCCCCCTACCTTCCCCGGACCAGCATGAAGGTGGGGTGGTTCCTGCACACGCCCTTCCCCTCCAGCGAGTTCTTCCGAGCGCTGCCATTGAGAGAGGAGATTCTGCAGGCCGTGCTCGCTGCGGACCTCATCGGGTGAGTGGGCCGGGCGAATGGGATGGGAGGACGTAATGGGTTAGCTTGTAATGAGGACAAGCTTGGAAGGGTAACCTGCAGGTCGTGCTGGCAGCTGACCTCATCGGGTGAGTGGGTAATGGGAATTGGCTCTTGTCTTGAGTGGACTAAGTCAAGACACTTTGTTCTAAGAGTGGCTCCATCTTTTTCTGAGACGACCTTTTGCAGCAGGCCATGCTCACTGCTCACCTGATCCCTTCTCCTGTTCCGTTTCCTGTATAACGACCCACCCCAACCTTCTTCGTCCCCCCAGCTTCCACACGTACGACTACGGGCGGCACTTTGTGAGTGCGTGTGCGCGCATTCTCGGGCTGGAGGGCACGCCAGAGGGCGTGGAGGACCATGGCAGGCTCACACGCGTCGCTGCGGTGAGTGAGGGTACACTGGTGCAGTTGCATGTTACGTGTTTATGCAATATTATCTTTAATGTAATCATGTATATTATTATATTTATACTGATGTGTATGCTTTTCTCAATCACATGCCTCCCGTTCATGCTGTGCCACGTGGCAGTTTCCGATTGGCATAGACCCGGAGCGGTTCATCTCAGCACTGGAGAGCAACGTGGTCAAAACACACATCGCAGAGCTGCGAGCGAGATTCTCCGGCCGGAAGGTGAGGAGAGAGGGGAGGCGAGGACGAAAAGGCATTGCACTGGAGGGTAAGAGGAATGGATTGGCTTGGCTGGACATGGTAATGGCTTTCCTCAGTTCATCCTCACTCCTCATCACTCCACTGCACTCCTCATTTCGCAGGTGATGCTGGGGGTGGATCGGCTGGACATGATAAAGGGCATACCGCAGAAGCTGATAGCGTTTGAGAAGTTCCTCGAGGAGCACCCCGACTGGCGCGACAAGGTCCTCCTCGTGCAGATCGCCGTGCCCTCCCGCACCGACGTGCCTGAGTGTGAGTGCCCTCCCGCACCGACGTGCCTGAGTGTGAGTGCCCTCCCGCACCGACGTGCCTGAGTGTGAGTGCCCTCCCGCACCGACGTGCCTGAGTGTGAGTGCCCTCCCGCACCGACGTGCCCGAGTGTGAGTGCCCTCCCGCACCGACGTGCCTGAGTGTGAGTGCCCTCCCGCACCGACGTGCCCGAGTGTGAGTGCCCTCCCGCACCGACGTTCCCGAGTGTGAGTGCATGAGTGTGGGTGCCCGTGTGTGAGTGCTGAGTGCTGTTGGCAGCTGAGTATGCATGTCTGATTGTGAGCACATACGCACCCACATGCCCTAATGTCCCAATGCATTGACATATGAGTGTTTCAGTGCAGAGCACACCGTGCCTTCTCTCCCACACACACATGCAACAATGTAAGTCATGTGCGCCACGACAGGCCTAGACCCTACCATCCCTTTCCCTCTCCACCTCCTCCCCTCCCCTCCCCTTCATCTCCCCTCCCCTCCCGTTTTCCTTCCCTCCACTCCTTGTCCCGCCACCAGACCAGAAGCTGACGAGTTTGGTGCATGAGATCGTGGGGCGAATCAACGGTCGATTCGGCACTCTCACCACCGTACCCATCCACCACTTGGTGCGATCCAATTACAACTGTCGATCTTTGTAGTCTATGATGCCATGGGTCGACGTGAGCTGCAATGCAACCCAAGCTCCATCCCTACAGCATCGCTTCCTCTCACATCCACTTGTGACCATCACCCCTTAAGATTTCATCGGGAAATATTGGTGTTTAAAACAGCTGGTGACAGCTTCCTCTTATCCCCCCCTCCCCCTCTTCACCCACCCCTTTCCCCCCTCTCATCCCCACCTTCCCCCCTTTCCCCCCCCCTCCCCCCCCCTTCCCCCCCCTCGTCTCCCTCTTTTCCCCTCCTTCCCCCCCTTTCCCTCTACCCTTTCCCCCCCTCTCCCCCCTCTTGTCTCCCCCTCTCTCCCCCACGTCCTCCCCTCTAATCCCTCCACGCCATCACGGATGTGCTGCTGGTGACTGCCCCTTGTCCCCCTGCTTCCCTGCTGCTGGCTCCTCCCCTCCCCCTTAAGGGTCGCTCTCTCGCACTCCACGAGCTGTGCGCGCTGTAGGATGCCGGGAAACTGGGATACTGGGAAACGGGGATATGGGGAATCGGGGAAACGCGGAAACGGGGATACGGGGAAACCGGGGATACGGGGAAACGGATGCGGGGAAATGGGGATACAGGGAATCGGTGATACGGGGAATCGGGGAAACGGGGATACGGGGAATCGGGGATAAGGGGAAATGGGGATACGAGCTGTGCGCGCTGTACGTGCTATGCCATAACGGATGTGCTGCTGGTGCTAACTCCCCCGTGCCCCCCTGCTGATGCTCCTCCCCGACCTCCTCCACCCCCCTCAGGATTGCTCCCTGGCCCTCCACGAGCCCTTCCACGAGCTGTGTGCGCTGTACGCGATAACGGGCGTGCTGCTTGTGACTGGCTTCCTGCTGGCTACTCCCCTCACCGCCTCTTATCCCCCTCCTCCTTCCCCTTCACATTCCAGGATCGCTCGCTCGCATTCCACGAGCTGTGTGTGCTGTACGCCATCACAGACGTGCTGCTGGTGACTAACCCAACCCAACCACCCTGCTTCCCTTATATCCCCCTGCACACACCTGCCCTCACCCCCTACCTTTTCAGGATCGATCCCTGGCATTCCACGAGCTGTGCGCCCTGTACGCGATAACGGACGTGCTGCTGGTGACGTCGCTGCGGGATGGCATGAACCTGGTCAGCTACGAGTACGTGGCGTGCCAGAACTACAAGAAGGGCGTGCTCATCCTCAGTGAGGTATGTCAGATCTGTCTGCTCATACTTAGTAAGGCACACCTGCCGTGCCGTGCCATGGCATGTGGAACTTTGTAGTTTGTATCATGGGCCATGCCCAGAAGCTTCTCCTCTCCTTGGTACCTGAACGCCACGCTCCAAAACTTGGTTATGCAGTTTGCAGTGGCAGCGCAGTCCCAGGGACCAGGAGCACTTCTAGAAAATCCATGGAGCATCACGGACATGTCGAGCGCCATTGAGGACGCTCTTACCTCGCTTCCCTCCCGCATCCCCTCTCCTCTCTTCTCTTCTTGATAATCCCTGTGTCCTCGACTCCCAAACCCTCGGGGTGCAGTTTGCAGGTGCGGCAGAGTCACTTGGAGCAGGAGCACTTCTAGTGAATCCATGGAACATAACGGACATGTCGAGCGCCATAGAGGATGCTCTCACGATGGGCCAGGAGGAGCGCGTGGATCGTCACCTCCCTTTTCACATCCTTTCCCGTTTGATCTTTTGAACCTTGGGAGTGCAGTTTGCAGGGGCAGCACAATCACTTGGCGCCGGGGCCCTTCTGGTGAATCCATGGAACATCACGGACATGTCGAGCGCCATAGAGGACGCTCTCACGATGGGCGAGGAGGAGCGCGTGGACCGCCACCGCTACAACTTCCTCCATGTCACCACGCACACCGCGCAGGCCTGGGCGGACACGTTTGTCAGGTAGTGCCAGTGCAAGGAGGCATTGTGATGGATTGGTGGGGCTGCCATGTTCTTGTTTGTTTATCGTCCCAGCACTCCCAGCTGGGAGTGTCGCTGCTGCGAGTGCCACCTGTCCTTCCCACCCGCACCCCCACACCTCATATCCCGTCCTCCAGCAAATTGAATGGCACAGTGGTTGAAGCGCAGCTGCGCATGCTGCTCACGGGCTTTATGCGCTTCCTTTCTCCCCCCTCTCATTCCCTCCCAACCCCCCCCATTCCCCCAGCGAGTTGAACGATACGGTGGTGGAGGCACAGCTGCGCACGCTGCACATCCCGCCGCTGCTGCCTGTGGCCCAGTGTGTAGACCGCTTCCACCAGTGCCGCAACCGCCTGCTCATCCTCGTAAGTGCCCCTGTATTGCCGAGTGCTGGTTGCATGTGCTGGTTGCATGTGCTGGGGGAATGTTTGGTGGGCTCTTTATGCGCTCGTTGCATGGGGAATTGGTGTTGCTGCTTCGCTTCCCGTGTCCTTGTCCCCCTGTCTCCAGTAACTGCCCGCTCACCCCTCGTCCCTGTCGCAACTCTCCCCCACCCTCACTTCCACCCTCTCCTCCTTCTCGTCCCTCTTGCCAGGGCTACAACGGCACGTTGACGGCCCAAGTGGAGCCACACAGGCGACGCACGCCCGACCAGATCAAGGAGATGAAGGTGAGAGGGCGGGCAGGCAAAGGGGTTTCAGGAGGAAGGAAGGTGAGTCATGAGTGAGCCTACTGTTTGGTACAACATTACACTGTCGAGTTACATCCTTCTGTCTGATCCCATCCCCATGCCCTTTCCCATGCTAATTGTCATGGTCATGATCCCAACCCATTCCCTCCTTCACCCCCTCGTCCCACCAGGTTCGTCTGCATCCCATCATGCCGGCCGTCCTCCGTCGTCTCTCCTCGGACCCGGCCAACACGGTGGTGATAATGAGCGGGTCAGAGCGCGCTGTGCTGGACGAGGCGTTCAGCGAGTACGACGTGTGGCTGGCGGCTGAGAACGGCATGTTCATGCGCCACACACGGGGCGAGTGGATGACCACCATGCCTGAGCACCTCAACATGGACTGGCTGGACTCGGTGCAGGTGAGGAAAAGGGAGGTGCAGGTGACCATAAAGTCAAGGGGAAAGGAATCGAATCAGGTGGGAGGGGCGCACAGCATGCAGGGGCTTGTGAATAGGTGCTGCTTCTGCAGGCGGTGCGGGTGAGAGGGCTGTCAGTGTCATCCATGGTCTCTGTCTCCAAGTAAAAAGTGTGGCTGGCGGCGGCAGAGAACGGCATGTTCTTGCGCCACACACTGGGCGAGTGGATGACCACCATGCCTGAACATCTTAACATGGACTGGCTGGACTTGATGCAGGTGAGATTAGGGAGGGGCAGGTTAAGAAAGAATAATCAAGCATGAGAGGGCTGTCATCCATACTCTCCTTGTTGGAGTATGATGTGGCTAGCTGCAGAGATTGGCATGTTCATGCGGCACACAAGAGGGGAATGGATGACCACCATGCGGGGAACTGGCTTGACTGTTCAGGTGAACGGAAGGGTGGCATGGGTGGAGAAATGGTGGCATGGGTGGAGAAATGGTGGCATGGGTGGAGAAATGGTGGCATGGGTGGTGAAATGGTGGCATGGGTGGAGAAATGGTGGCATGGGTGGAGAAATGGTGGCATGGGTGGTGAAATGGTGGCATGGGTGGTGAAATGGTGGCATGGGTGGAGAAATGGTGGCATGGGTGGAGAAATGGTGGCATGGGTGGTGAAATGGTGGCATGGGTGGTGAAATGGTGGCATGGGTGGAGAAATGGTGGCATGGGTGGAGAAATGGTGGCATGGGTGGTGAAATGGTGGCATGGGTGGTGAAATGGTGGCATGGGTGGTGAAATGGTGGCATGGGTGGAGAAATGGTGGCATGGGTGGAGAAATGGTGGCATGGGTGGTGAAATGGTGGCATGGGTGGTGAAATGGTGGCATGGGTGGAGAAATGGTGGCATGGGTGGAGAAATGGTGGCATGGGTGGTGAAATGGTGGCATGGGTGGTGAAATGGTGGCATGGGTGGAGAAATGGTGGCATGGGTGGTGAAATGGTGGCATGGGTGGTGAAATGGTGGCATGGGTGGAGAAATGGTGGCATGGGTGGAGAAATGGTGGCATGGGTGGTGAAATGGTGGCATGGGTGGTGAAATGGTGGCATGGGTGGTGAAATGGTGGCATGGGTGGAGAAATGGTGGCATGGGTGATGAAATGGTGGCATGGGTGGAGAAATGGTGGCATGGGTGGTGAAATGGTGGCATGGGTGGTGAAATGGTGGCATGGGTGGAGAAATGGTGGCATGGGTGGTGAAATGGTGGCATGGGTGGTGAAATGGTGGCATGGGTGGTGAAATGGTGGCATGGGTGGAGAAATGGTGGCATGGGTGGAGAAATGGTGGCATGGGTGGAGAAATGGTGGCATGGGTGGTGAAATGGTTGCATGGGTGGAGAAATGGTGGCATGGGTGGTGAAATGGTGGCATGGGTGGAGAAATGGTGGCATGGGTGGAGAAATGGTGGCATGGGTGGTGAAATGGTGGCATGGGTGGAGAAATGGTGGCATGGGTGGTGAAATGGTGGCATGGGTGGTGAAATGGTGGCATGGGTGGTGAAATGGTGGCATGGGTGGTGAAATGGTGGCATGGGTGGTGAAATGGTGGCATGGGTGGTGAAATGGTGGCATGGGTGGTGAAATGGTGGCATGGGTGGTGAAATGGTGGCATGGGTGGTGAAATGGTGGCATGGGTGGTGAAATGGTGGCATGGGTGGTGAAATGGTGGCATGGGTGGTGAAATGGTGGCATGGGTGGTGAAATGGTGGCATGGGTGGTGAAATGGTGGCATGGGTGGTGAAATGGTGGCATGGGTGGTGAAATGGTGGCATGGGTGGTGAAATGGTGGCATGGGTGGTGAAATGGTGGCATGGGTGGTGAAATGGTGGCATGGGTGGAGAAATGGTGGCATGGGTGGTGAAATGGTGGCATGGGTGGTGAAATGGTGGCATGGGTGGAGAAATGGTGGCATGGGTGGTGAAATGGTGGCATGGGTGGTGAAATGGTGGCATGGGTGGTGAAATGGTGGCATGGGTGGTGAAATGGTGGCATGGGTGGAGAAATGGTGGCATGGGTGGAGAAATGGTGGCATGGGTGGAGAAATGGTGGCATGGGTGGTGAAATGGTTGCATGGGTGGAGAAATGGTGGCATGGGTGGTGAAATGGTGGCATGGGTGGAGAAATGGTGGCATGGGTGGAGAAATGGTGGCATGGGTGGTGAAATGGTGGCATGGGTGGAGAAATGGTGGCATGGGTGGTGAAATGGTGGCATGGGTGGTGAAATGGTGGCATGGGTGGTGAAATGGTGGCATGGGTGGTGAAATGGTGGCATGGGTGGTGAAATGGTGGCATGGGTGGTGAAATGGTGGCATGGGTGGTGAAATGGTGGCATGGGTGGTGAAATGGTGGCATGGGTGGTGAAATGGTGGCATGGGTGGTGAAATGGTGGCATGGGTGGTGAAATGGTGGCATGGGTGGTGAAATGGTGGCATGGGTGGTGAAATGGTGGCATGGGTGGTGAAATGGTGGCATGGGTGGTGAAATGGTGGCATGGGTGGAGAAATGGTGGCATGGGTGGTGAAATGGTGGCATGGGTGGTGAAATGGTGGCATGGGTGGAGAAATGGTGGCATGGGTGGTGCAATGGTGGCATGGGTGGTGAAATGGTGGCATGGGTGGAGAAATGGTGGCATGGGTGGAGAAATGGTGGCATGGGTGGTGAAATGGTGGCATGGGTGGTGAAATGGTGGCATGGGTGGTGAAATGGTGGCATGGGTGGTGAAATGGTGGCATGGGTGGTGAAATGGTGGCATGGGTGGTGAAATGGTGGCATGGGTGGTGAAATGGTGGCATGGGTGGTGAAATGGTGGCATGGGTGGTGAAATGGTGGCATGGGTGGTGAAATGGTGGCATGGGTGGTGAAATGGTGGCATGGGTGGAGAAATGGTGCAGGTGGAAGGAGGGGAGGGGAAGTAAAATTGTGGGCCTGTTTGCAGTTGACTGCTGAATGTGTGCTGAGGTCTTGAGGTGTTGCTTGACTGGTGAATGTGTGCTGCAGTTGTCACCATTCTCCCTCTCAACCCCCTTGCTCTCTGTCCCCCCCACCCATCCAGTTGGTGTTTGAGTATTTCACGGAGCGCACGCCGCGGTCGTACGTGGAGGAGAGGGAGACCTCTCTGGTGTGGAACTACAAGTATGCCGACGTGGAGTTTGGCCGCGTGCAGGCCAGAGACATGCTGCAGCACCTGTGGACGGGACCGATTTCCAACACAGCCGTGGATGTGGTGCAGGTATGGCTTGTTGCAGTGCAGGTATGGCTTGTTGCAGTGCAGGTATGGCTTGTTGCAGTGCAGGTATGGCTTGTTGCAGTGCAGGTATGGCTTGTTGCAGTGCAGGTATGGCTTGTTGCAGTGCAGGTATGGCTTGTTGCAGTGCAGGTATTACTCGGTGCAGGTTTTGTCGTGTGCAGGCCAGGGACATGCTGCAGCACCTGTGGACGGGGGCCGATTTCCAACACGGCCGTGGATGTGGAGCAGGTATGACCTGGTGTGCAGTGCAGGTGCTGCCATGAAGGAACCTATAAGAACCCCCCCTCATTCATCGTACTCCGTACCCTCAACCCATGCATCCCTCAGTCGTACACAAAACGCCCCCTCTCTCTCCGTCTCGCAAACCTGTCCCTAACCCCAATATCCCCCCTTTCATATGGAGTCGTTTCTAATGTCAGCTCGACTCACTCGCATGCTTTCTTCGCTCACCCTCTCCCACTCGCTCCTTGCCCTCTCCCACTCGCTCCTTGCCCTCTCTCAGGGAGGCAAGTCAGTGGAGGTGCGGCCAGTGGGGGTGAGCAAGGGGGCGGCCATGGAGAGGGTGTTGGGGGAGATAGTGCACCAGAAGCCGCTGCCCTGCCCCTTTGACTTCGTCATGACCGTCGGCCACTTCCTCTCACGGGTGAGTTACCCACTTGCAGCTGTGTCAAGTGCACCAGTGATGGGTGGGACGAGTCTGCTGCATGCTTTCAACTGCTGCCCTATCACCTGCCGCTGCCCTGCCCCTTTGACTTTGTCATGACTGTTGGCCACTTCCTCTCGCAGGTGAGTCAAGTGCGACCTGGAGCTTTGCCTTTGTCTCATGCTTTTCGCGCTTGTTTACCATCGTAACCCCTGTCCCCCTGTCTTTCCTTCTCAGCCACCAACAAGAACAGGACATGTGGCGGTTTTTGGCGCCAAACCTGATCTTCTAGACGCCTTAACCCCTCTTCCCACCCACTTTCCCCTCCCTTCTTCCCCCACCCCTTTAAGGATGAGGACATATACCAGTTGTTTGAGACAGACCTGTTTTTCCTAGGCACCTCAACCCCTTTCTTTGATCCGTTTCCTTCCCCCCGCCCCCCAACAGGAGGAGGACATATACCAGTTCGTTGAAGCCAACCTGTTGCACCTCGAATCGAACCCCCTCTTCTACCTGTTTCTTCCCCCCCCCCCCCCCCCTCCCCCCCCTCCCCCCAACAGGACGAGGACATATACCAATTCTTTGAACCAGACTTACCGCATGACAACAACATGCCGCCCGGCATGGACGCTTACCAGCAAGGCATGGACGGCACCATGGGACCCATGGATGGTAACTGCGGTGTGTCCATGGATGGTAACATGGTAACCATGGGTCATGCGTCTTTGGACGGGGCAGCCATGGATCAAGTCACACGGGATCATATCACAGCTCTTGAGCATGCTGATTCATACCTACCCGAGTATTACACTTCCAGTAGTCCCACCACCACGTTCGATACAAGCACCACCGCTACAAGCACTCTCACTGCTCCTCACGATCGCTCCAATCCTCCTCCTGACACCAAACCTCCCCCGGGCCTCCCGCCTGCACCGCCTCCGAGCGTTCCCGGACCTGACAGCCTTGGCTCAGCACCGCTGCCAATGTTTGCCGGACCAGGTTATGGCAGCCCCGTGCCTCAGTCTGCGGCTCGGGGGGGAGGTTCGGGACCGCTGGTGGCTCGGGTGATCTTCGGGGATTCGCAGAGCAGAAACCAAATGGAAGGAGGGGGAAGACATGCAGGGAGGGATGGTGCTGCTGCTGCTGCTGCTGCCGCTGCCGCTGCAGCTGCTGCCTCAGCAGCTGCGTCTGGGGCTTCGGTTGCTGCAGGTTCCAGCTCTCCCTCTCCCTCTCCCTCTGCTGCTGCTGGTGCAACTACTGCTGCTGTGGCTGCTGCGGCTGCTGCTCTCTCCGACGCTGGCCCACGGCCGCACACCCCAGACTCTGTCACCGCACGTGGCAGCCGGCTCAAGGCTGAGTCCCGAGGGGGAGGGGGCACCGACGGAGATGCAGCAGTAGGGTCGGAGGGAAGAGCAGCACCTGCAGGAGCAGGAGCAGCGGCAGGGGCAGGGGGGGTAGGTGGGAGTAGCAGTGGGAGGAGCCGAGGGGGGGGTTTGGGAGGGTTCCGGTGGAAAGGGAGCAAGAAGTCTGAGAAGAAATCCGCCTTTTCCTTCTCCTCGCCGTCGCTCGTCAGCCTGCTTGGGTCAGCTTTGGAAGGCGCCACGGGCAGCCCGAGGAAAACCGGCATGGGGCGAAGCAGCAGTGGCGGGCGCGGGGAGGCTGAGTTGTGTTCTCCAAGTGCAAGCAACGCTGCTGGGACGCAAGGAGTGGGGAATGGGAGTGGAAGGAATGAGCAAGGAAATGGAGGTGAAGCGGTCGAGAGATTGCTTGCGCCAATCACAGGGTTTTCCAACCTATCGAGCTTTTCCAGCCATTCCGGGACGACTGGCGTTTCAGACGAGTCGGGGTTTTCCACACAGGAGAGCTCGTCGATGCTTCCGACTGTTTTAGACTCGGAGGAGGATGGCCATGGGGAGGAAATAAGCCATCGCAGCAGTGGGGAGTATTGCCCAATCGTCGACCTCAATGCCGATTCGTACTTTTCGTGTGCTGTGGGGCGCAAGCGGTCTTTGGCACGGTATTCGCTCGCAACCACTGATGATGTGGTCACCATGCTGAAGGCCATATCAGATAGCTATGGTCTTGGCCCAGGATTTCGGACAGCTTAGCTTGATTCTTAGGTTGATAGTGAGCTAGCGTATGCTGAAGGTGTTCAATTCTTTTTTCTTTGTGCGAGGGCCTTGTACCGAGCGGTTCAGCTCGGGCTTCTATCAAGGACGCCCATTTTATAGAATTAGCGCTTTCGCATGAAGTTCCTCAAACACGAAAAGCTTCGCAGCGAAGCCAGAAGCTCAAGCCGTTCTCCGTCGAATCGCACAACTCAAGTACACCTCCGATTGGAGCAATCGGAGCCGTTGAGAGACTGGCATCCACGCTTCGTGAAGAACACATTCGACATTGCCAATTTCTCGCGAAAGCACGCCTCACCCACGCATTCCCCACCAGCATTCTCATTTCAGCACTGGGAAAGCAAACCCCACAGGCAAACCCTTCAAGCAGTGAGCCGGTCTGATGGTAATTTCAGCCCCACTTTCCGCCACTTGTTTGCCTTGCTGGCATAACTTCTTTTCGGTCGTATCCACCTTCCCCAACGAAAAGAACCATGGCGCTAGGATGGACGCTTCGTACTTATAGTGGCGTACGTGGTTCCTACTTGGTACCTAGACCAACACGCAACGGCTTTCTGAAGCAACTAGAGTCGGCACCAGCATCTCTGTTTGTGCACGCTTTTGAACAAACGCTTTCCTAGCAGCTGGAAATACGAAATTTTCATCTTCGCGATGATGGCACGTGTTAGCAAGGCAGTGGTAATCCTCGCGCTCCTCGGCCTCGTCGCATCAGGTAGGACTGCAACAACGAGGCCAATCTTTTCTTGCATCCCACATGCTCAGCAAGACGCTACCACGTGGAGGATGTTATTTTTATTTTTTTTAAGCTGTCGTCAGTACACTCATCTTTACGTTTCTTTTCTATCCTTTCAGGGGTTCTCGCCCAGGGACCCGGCTATGGTGGCGGCAGGGGCGGCGGAGGGCGCGGAGGACGGGGGTTTGGCGGAGGACGCGGAGGGGGCAGGGGCGGGCCCGGCGGACGGGGACCCGGTGGGGGGCTCGGGCTGGGCCCTGGCGCCGCTCTGGGGACGTTCTACGGCCACGTGGAGGCCGATTTGACGGGCAGCGGCAACATCACTGGACGCATGCACGTTGTCGTCTTCAAGTGAGTACCACTCAAGCATAATTACTATGCTTGCAATGAGTCCCCTAGTTTCTCCGGTTTTAGATTGTCATTGAAACCGCGTTCTTGCAATTTGTGCTTTTATGTGTTCATCAGGAACAACACCGACTACAACGTCCGTTACGTGCTGAGGATCGGCGGCCTCCCCACCCCAGGTCTTCCTACCGCTGCCGCAGTTTTGAATAACGGCAATACTCTCCTCGATTTCCCGGATGCCACGTGGACCAACACCACTGGCCAGCAGCCTTATGGCTATGGCTGGAGGAGGCGCAACCGTGCATGGGTCTTTGGTGTGTGTTTCCGTTACAATGCTACCGGGGTTTACTACAACGCGAACTCGAAGACCACTGATGGCGGCAAGACGATTGGGTCTATTGCTGTGGCCATGGTTGCTGCTCCTGCAGCTTATAGCGGCCGTATCACTGCTCCTGGTGGCGTTGCTTCTGGCAAGTTCCACACCTGGCGTTAGGGATTTGCATGAGGGATGGGTTGGGTGAGTGATTGCAAGGGGTTGAAAGTAGGCATCAGGGATGCACTGCTATAAGTTTCGCACCCTTTTACCAGTCAGCTGCCAATCCTGGATTGGGTGCGAAACTTATTGCGTTTTCCACGTTTGATGCTTCGGGAATTTGTGTGGATTGGGTATTCGAGAAAAATGTATTTGTGTTTGTGGCATTACATTTTCTCTACATGGATGCGTAACGATTGTTTCCGTCGTCAATGTTCGGCAACAGCCTAACGAAATAACGATCACGAACCATCCAAACGAAACCTGCCAGCTGATGCATGGCTGTTGGAAATTCGACTTCGGGTGAGAACAAGCAGAACCACTGGCGCGCTGGTTGTTCGTGCCAGTGATGTCGAATTCCCTTCCCACACGCACCATGTTGCTGCATATGCCTTCAACACCGCCTGTTTTGTCTGCACGTGCACCACTTTGTCGAGCTCCTCAACGGCGGTAACCATGCACCGCTAATCGTCGTTGTCTTCGTCATCACTCATGAGGTCAGGGTCCATCGCAGACAAGCGATTGTTCGGTTGCGCTTGTACTGCATTGGAAGCCTACAAACCGTCAAAGAGAAATCGTTCACGGCAAATTTCACGGTTGCCAGTCAAACGACATGGACGGTGGGAAGGTGTTTCCTATCATGGTGCTTGTCGGAATCGTCGATTCATAATGGCCGCCAGCTGTGTGACAGACATGTCTACGCGGGGGGGCAGTGGTGGCGGCGATTTAGTGCCTGCGACTCGCGCGCAGGAAACCTTGGAGGCGCCGACAAGTATGGGAGAAAGCTTCTGACTGGTTATGGCGCATTTTGCGGGTTTCAGAGCTGCTGTGACAGGAGGTGGCTGAGGCTCGAGCGGAAATCTCGCTGTCGATGGCGGAACCTTTGTCGGACGAATTTAAGGTCCCCTGTTCGATCATATGAAGGGTCACTCGCTTTCGTTGCTTATCGGCCACCGCTTTCAACGCTTGCCAATTCGAGTTGATTGACTGTGCCTTGGACCTTTTCGTTAAAGAAGAATATACATCATGAGGCTGCAGACACCACGTTTCGCCTTCTGGTTGCTGCTCGTCGTTTACTACGCATCCATAGCAGGTGAGGACGAATTCGACTTCTGAAATAGAAGCTTATTTCCAGGAATCTTCGTAGTTCTCCGCCAAATCCATATCTGTGTGTTTTTTACCTCGCATTAACTTCATCAATGCCTTACGTGTCGTTACAGAGGGCGTACGCGTGCTGGACGATGCCGCTGCTCAGCTAAGTGATCCTCAGACACTCAGAGATTCAATCAACGCAGGGAATTCTGCAGCACGAACGAGGCCTGCCAGATTAAGAGATTCACATGGAAGTTACCAGGGTAAGCGTCTCAACTACTGTAATTCCTTTGTATCCGAACGACGTGGCATGCTGGACCGCGTGCTTTATCGTTTCCCTTCCGAACATTGAACTCGTTTCATGACAGGTCATGCGGAGGCAACATTGCGAGGCGTTGACGATATCAGGGGTGCTATCCGTGTCGTTGTTTTCCGCAATACCACCTGCGTGAACATTCGCTACTCTCTACGCTTGACCGGATTGAGCGTCCAAGGTTTTCCAACTGTTGCTGGGATCGTCCCTGCCAGGTTGAACGGTCCCGCGGTCTATCTTCCCTCAAATTCTTGGTCCAATGTGACGAATAGTCCCCCCTTCGACCTTGGTTGGATAAAGCAAGGCAATGCGAGGAGGATGGGTCTGCTTTATAAGTACACATCATCTGGATGGTGCTATAATGCAGGGAGCGTTGTAGCAGGGGCAGGAATGACCGTCGCTGATGTTATTGGGGGGCTTATGGCTCTCCCGAAATCATATTATGGGACCATTGTGGCTCCTGGAGGGAGGGCAAGGGGTGTGTTCAAGGTGCAACCATTGGCAGATAAGGTGTCTCGTGATGGCTCCTCATCTTGAAGGCATTTCTGCATGTGTTTCATTGCACGGACGTCATGCTGTTTTGTACATTGTAGACCTGCAGCTCAATCACAGCCTCTCTTCGTGCTTTCGTGCTTCAAAATTTGCTAAAAATCGGCCAACATGGACACATACGATTCTTTGCACACATCATAACGTGTATTATGGTGAGGGACATTCAGACTTTGTGATGAACTCATCGAATGCAACTCCACCGAGGTCATCAATTGCGGTTCAGCGCTTTGCCTCCGTGGACACCATCAGAAGTCGAGGTTTCTGGGCTCGCTAATCACCGTTTGACGCATCGTTGCTCACGAGTTCGCTTTGCGTGCGAGGTCGTAAGTCGTCGCAGGCCAGCAAATTCTCCATCTTCGGCTGGTAACATACCTGCAAGGCCCACAAACAGTCATGGAAAACAAATTGGGCACGGCAAATTTCAGAGTTGCCAGTCAAACGACAGGGTGGACCGTGGGAAAATGCTTGTTGGGGGTTGTGTGCTCGCCAATAATTCAAGCAGTTTCATAACGCGATCCACCAAGTTGGGTTGAAGCCATGAGCAAGAGTACCACGATACACCGTTTAGTAATGTTTTGCATATTTTTCGAAACTCAATTACCCATGTCTTTTCGAATTTCTCATTCGAAAGGGCAAATGTATCGCGTTCTGGGAGCTGCGACTTCTACACAATGCACCCAGTCGCAAACAATGCGTGAAAGCAAGCTTCTGACTGGTCATGGCGCAGTCTGCGCGTTCCAGGACTGCTGTGGCTTGGCTCCATGGTACCTAGAGGTGGCCTGTACTCTAGCGGCAACTGCGCTCTCTATGGCTAGAAACCGGTGCTGAACGGATTTAACCCTCGTGTTTGAACATTCGAATGTCATTTAGACGCTTTGACTGCTAACCTGCCTCCTACATTTGATTAACTCCACCTTCGACCTTCCCATTACGAACGACCCTCTATCATGAGCTTGCAAACACCTCGTTTCGCCTTCGGGTTGTTCCTCGTGCTGTATGCATCAATAGCAGGTGAGAACGGATTCAACGACCGAAGTATAAAAGTGATGTCCGAGCCTAAGAAATCATAAGAGCCATTCCACCAGCCGCTGGTGTTCTTAGAGACCTCGCATTAACTTGGGCAATGCTTTGCGTATCTTTACAGAGGGGCTACGCGTGCTGGGTGATAAAAGAGTTGTTTTGAGACGTCTCAAAAGACCTCGCATTAACTTGGACCTCGCATTAACTTGTTTTGAGAGTTCTCAAAAGACCTTTGCATTAACTTGGGCAATGCTTTGCGTGTCTTTGCAGAGGGGCTACGCGTGCTGGACGATGGGGCTGCTAAGTTAACCGTTAACGGTCCCCAGACGCCGACAGGAATAGTCAACCCAGGACGAACAAGAAATGCATTGCACGTTGGAAGCTACGAGGGTAAGCGCCACTGACCGTCATCATTAACGTGTGATGCCATCACTGAACGGCTATTTATTAACCTTACCCTGACGAACATTGAACTCTTTTCATGACAGGTCATGTGGAGGCGAGACTGCGAGGCGTTGAGGATATCAACGGTGTCATCCGCGTGTTCGTTTTCCGCAATTCCACCAGCGCAAACATTCGTTACTCTCTCCGCGTGACCGGATTGAGCGTCCAGGGTTTCCCGACCGCTGCTGGCATTGTCACTGCCAGGTCTAATGCCCCAGTGGTAAACTTTCCGGCAAAGACTTGGTCTAATGTGACTAATAGTCCTCCGTTCGACCATGGTTGGAAAAAGCAAGGCAATGCGAGGAGGACGGGACTGCTCTATAAGTACGCATCATCCGGATGGTGCTATGATGCAGGGAGAGTTGCTGCAGAGGCAGGAATGACCGTCGCTGATGTGTTCAGGGGGCTGATGACTTTCCCAGGGTCTTATTATGGAACCATTGTGGCTCCTGGAGGGAGAGCAAGCGGAGTATTCGCTGTGCAACCATTGGCGATCAAGGTGTCTCATGGTGGTGGCTCCTCGTCTTGAAGGTCCCCCCGCATGCGGTTCACTGCACACACAACGGACTCTTATGTACATCCACTCAGCTCAAAGTTTCGTTCCTACTGATATCCATGCTCTAGCATAGCTCGTTAGTTACTGGTGTGCAGATAGTAAACACGGCCACACCAGATGTATTGTACTAATTTTCATGTGGTATGGTAGTGGTACTTTCAGGCCACAACAGCAGAGCATTCACTAATGAGCTTATCCAAAGAAACTCCACCAAGATCATCAAACGCCGTTACAGCCCCGGTAAAATCCTACATAGGGGGTGAGGGGGGAGGAGGGGAAGAGAGGGCAGAATTCACACAGATTGCCGTACACTATCTCTTCAGAATTCCCGGTATGCATGTCACAAACCAGACGTGCTGAACACAGAACCAGGCAAAGAAAACGAGCAGCTGACATGGCCCTAAGTGGATGGAATATACTCAGGCGACATGTTGGCACCCCGTATATAAGAAGAAAACAGAAAACTACGAAACTGACCTGGCTCTTGGTGGAAGGCGTGTAGGTGATGACACATGGCATGCCAGCTCCAAGAGCAGCCTGCAGGCCAATTACACTGTCCTCCACCACCAGGCACGACGAGGGTGGCACTCCCAGGCGCTGAGAGGGAGCAAGCGAGAGGGGGGGGATGAGCAATGAGTAGGTAACTGAGAAATGAGAGGTACGTTGCATGCAAGCCAATCACACTGTCCCCCGCCACCAGGCAAGACGAGGGCGGCACCCCGAGGCACTGAAGGGGTTGAGGAGCCTGCCATTGAGTGAGCAACAAGAGGGGGGTATGAGCATTGAGAGGCCAGCAGCCTGCAGCCCAATCGCACGGTCCTCCACCATTAGGCACAATGCAGGGGGCGCTCCCAGGCGCTGAAGGGGTAGAGGACACAAAAACGAGTGAGAACATGGGGGGATGTGAGCATAGAGAAGGCACTGAAGAGGATAAGAGTGCGAGGACAGAGCGGCACGCTGCAGGCCAATCACACTGTCCTCCACCACCAAACATGATGCGGGAGGCACTCCCAGGCGCTGAAGGGAGTGATATGTACAGAAACGAGAGAGGACTTACGAGGGGATATGCAGATTGGGTGAGCATATCCCCTCGAAAGATGTGAGGACTGAGAGGCAACCTGTCTGCAGGCTGATCAGCCCTTAAACGCCCGCCCTCGAGAGAGTGGCGCCCGCCCTCTAGAGAGTGGCCCGCCCCCTAGAGAGTCGCCCATGTGTGCTGCAATCTCACATGTGCTGCCATCTCACATGTGCTGCCATCTCACGCTGTGCTGCGACCTCACCTGTGCTGCAATCTTGTAAATGGTGGGGTCTGGCTTCTTCTTTGGGACGTCGTCACCTGGTGGCAGGCACATGAGGAGAGGATACCAATGGTGGAGGAGAAAGAGAGGTGGAGGCACAATGTAAGGTTTATGAGACGGATGTGGATTTGGGAAAAAGTTTGGGGCGATTGGAGAGTGGAGGAACTAACTAGGAGGAAGGCAGGAACAGGGCCAGCCTAGATTCCGGAAAGAATGACGACAAGACAAGGTAGACAGGTAGCAGTTTTCTGCAATATTAACACTTCTTTTGGCTCAGAGAAAACGCAATGGGTTAAAACGCATGAGTAAGGAAGCAGATGAGAGGCAGGTACGAGACACCCACCTGCCAAGAAGCAATCCAGTCTCTCAAACCTCTCCTAGCGAGGAATACGAGGGGGGAAAGAAGGAAGAAAAGGAGCGGCGGGAGAGAACAGGAGGGAGGGAGGGAGTAGGGCGGAGTGGGATGTTAGTTGACAAAGCAAGTATAACTGTTCGGGTTCATGGCCTAAGGAGCACAAGAGAAAGGAAAGAATGGGGAAGAGGATATGATGGCATTGAGGGCAATTCTTTCAGGCACATAGAAAACTGAGCTGGATGGGGGAGTTCGGATGGGAATGGGCCAAGGGCGATGGAGGAGCGTGAAGAGTGCCTTTTCCAGAAGCTCATTGACAGTGAAGACTGCTTTTGAGGCACCATACAAATAAAGCGAGGGGGAATGAACAGTACCTTCCCGAGCAGGCAAGTGAGAGTGAAGACGACTGAACTCTTGGTGGCAGCAGAACACACCGCCACCAGCAGACCCTGAGAAGAGGGGGTGGGGCAGGGAGAGTGGGGGGAAAGAAGGGGGGACAAGTGGGGAGGTGAGGTGGGAAAATGGGGGAAGAATGTTGAGTTGACTTAAAGACACAGCGGGGTAGGCAGGCAGGGAGGGTCCAGCGTCAATGCAACAAAGTTTCCACATTCCTTCCCGCACAACTGATCCTCCCCACCCTCTCCCTCATGTTCTCCCCCCCTCCTTCCCAACATGTTCGTTCCCCTCCTCTCCCCTGCATGCGCTTCCCTCCACCCTCTCCCCCCATCCCTCCACCTACCCTCTGTCTCGCTTCATCCATAAGCTCTAACACGCCTGGCCGCACTGGCACCTGCGGAGGGAAGTAAATGGGTGGGGGAGGAGACCGGACCGGAAGGAGGCGTATGGAGGATGGGTATGGGAGGATGGGTATGGGAGGATGGGTATGGGAGGATGGGTATGGGAGGAGGGGTATGGGAGGATGGGTATGGGAGGATGGGTATGGGAGGATGGGTATGGGAGGATGGGTATGGGAGGATGGGTATGGGAGGATGGGTATGGGAGGATGGGTATGGGAGGATGGGTATGGGAGGATGGGTATGGGAGGATGGGTATGGGAGGATGGGTATGGGAGGATGGGTATGGGAGGATGGGTATGGGAGGATGGGTATGGGAGGATGGGTATGGGAGGATGGGTATGGGAGGAGGGGTATGGGAGGATGGGTATGGGAGGATGGGTATGGGAGGATGGGTATGGGAGGATGGGTATGGGAGGATGGGTATGGGAGGATGGGTATGGGAGGATGGGTATGGGAGGATGGGTATGGGAGGATGGGTATGGAAGGATGGGTATGGGAGGAGGGAGCACGGCCCTCTGCCTGGTGGGATTCATCCGTCAGTCCCAACACTCCTGGCCGCACAGGCACCTGCAGGTACGGGGAGAGCAGGAACGGGGAGAGCAGGAACGGGGAGAGCAGGAACGGGGAGAGGGCAGAGGAAAGGGAGGAATGGAGGGAGGGAGGAAGAGAGCAGGAAAGAGCGGGATGATCACGAATTGGTCAAAAGCGATCCCATGGTTTGAGGCATATACAGTAACCAAAACACCTGTTGGAAACAACTCAAGATTCTCTAAGTTTGTTCATTCGACTTGTCAAGAGTCATGCCCTGCACTGCACACTCCTGTCCACAACCTACACAGCTTCTCACCTGCCCAAACCCAATCATTTGCTCACCTGCCCGGATCCAATCATTTGCTCACCTGCCCGGATCCAATCATTTGCTCACCTGCCCGGATCCAATCATTTGCTGGTATTTCTCCGTCTTCCAATCCTGGTGGCAGCATGCGTGGTGGGTGGGAGCACGGAAGCACGCAGCGAGAGACACGAGGGAACGAACGATGGGCACAGATTGAGACGCAGCTTCTGAATCCGCTCATAAGACATTCTTGTATTGGCAAGCATGCACCGGGTATCACCTGCACCGGGTATCACCTGCACTGGGTATCACCTGCACCGGGTATCACCTGCACCGGGTATCACCTGCACCGGGTATCACCTGCACCGGGTATCACCTGCACCGGGTATCACCTGCACTGGGTTTCACCTGCAGCGTGTCAATAAGCACGTCCTTGTCAGCATCCGTGGTGGGAGGGGCGGGCAGAATCGACGAATGCGGCCACCCATTTTTGTTGAAGTACCTGGTGACAGGGTGACAAGTATCAGGCATGAATCTGCAGTCAACATGCCATGGAATGCAATGGAATGCAATGTAATGAATGGGATGTACAGGAATGACATGCGAACATGTGATATGGGGTATGGGAGCGGTGGTGTAGAGCTAAATAAACGCTACGACTAATCGACAGGGACACACACACCATCGCATCTTGGGTTTCCCGCCACCAATCTTATTCTGCAACACGTCGTAGAACTCCGTCGTCCAATCAACGACCGCGTTTTCTCCCGGGCACCGAATCGCGAAATGCGCGAACGCCGCGTTGTAAGCGCGCCGATGGAGATCCTCGGACTCGAGAATCACCCCGTCGCAGTCGAACACGAGCGCTCTGAGTGGCGTTTGACCGGCCGGTGACGTGGCGGCCGCGACGACCGTCCGATCGGCTGACGCGGACACCTGACCAGAGACGCGACGCGGCGATATTCTAAGCGCGGGATTGTTCAGTTTACGGTCGACATGAGCGACGAACGCGGGATTGCAAACATTGTTTTTGGTGCTTAAGAGAACCTGCTTCTTCCCGTTGGAGAGTGTGGCTGTTGAAGCCGCGGAACCTGCGGCTAACCTCACGCACGCCATGATTTTACCTGTGCTTTCCGTGAGAAGTGCGATGAAACTAGCTTCTAATTTCTAGGGCTCCTGCGCAAATCGAGAAGCCAGGCCTTTCGTCGTAAGCTTTCTCTAGAAGGGAAAATGCTGAAATCGAGTGCAGTTGAAATGCTAAAAAAGGATGAGCCTTTGGAGCGTACAACTGAGAAATACGTGGCGGCTTGATGACCAATACGAACCAATCAGGGGTCAGGTCAGGCGAAGCCATCAGGCCTCAGTTTATTGGCTTGACTCAGTTTCCCTGCCTGCCGAGCCGAGCAAGGCTTGGCACGGAGGACGTTGCGTTCAGCAACGGCAATGACTGATGTGATGGGACAGTCTTGCAGCATGCATTGGGAATGTCTCAAATCAACAGAACTCCCAAAGCAAGAATTTTGAAAGAAATCACGATTTCACTCAGTAGGAGAGCAGAAATCCGCGGGTAGCGCGTGCGCCTCTCCCCACAGGCTCTAACTTTGCCAGCGCGTACGGAGAATTATAAGACTGCCCGTTTTTTTCCCCGCGCCTTGAAAGGGTGGGGCTTAGACGCGCCGGCTGATCACTTGCACGTGAAGTTTTTACTTCAAGTTGGAATCTTCTTAATTTGAGTTAAAGCGACCATGAGCGTGGAGCGCGAATGCCGGAGCGACCTGCTTTGCGCCGACGGCGGCGCTCACTGTGGCTCGGGGGAAGCGGAGAACGCTGACGTGTTCCGCGTGGTGATCGTCGGCGCGGGGCCGGCGGGCCTGGCACTGGCGAATTACCTGCTGGCACGTGGCGGTGGCAGGTTCCACGTCAGCGTGATCGAAAAGGGCGTGGATCCGCGCGCGGAGGTGGACGAGGCGGCGGAGATTGCGCGCCGGTGAGGGAGAGGGACGCGGGAGGGGGAGGGAAGAGGGGGAGCGGGAGGCGGGAAAAGCTTGTGACGGGACGGGCATGGTTAGGGCGAACGATTCAAGACCTCAGGACGAGAGGGGGGGTCGAAGATGCGGAATTCGAGCAGCATATTCTGAAGACGCTTTTCCAACTATCTGCGTCTCGTCCCTCCCCTTTCGGTCGTCTTTTCCCCCCTCTCCCACATTCCCCCTCAATGGCGGCAGGTACTCCATGGGCCTGAGCATTCGTGGGATGCACTGCCTGATGGCCATTCCTGGAGTCATGGACAAGGTGGGTGCGTGGTGGGTGCGTGGTGGGGGGTGCGTGGTGGGGCAGGGTGCGTGGTGGGGCAGGGTGCGTGGTGGGGCAGGGTGCGTGGTGGGGCAGGGTGCGTGGTGGGGCAGGGTGCGTGGTGGGGCAGGGTGCGTGGTGGGGCAGGGTGCGTGGTGGGGCAGGGTGCGTGGTGGGGCAGGGTGCGTGGTGGGGCAGGGTGCGTGGTGGGGCAGGGTGCGTGGTGGGGCAGGGTGCGTGGTGGGGCAGGGTGCGTGGTGGGGCAGGGTGCGTGGTGGGGCAGGGTGCGTGGTGGGGCAGGGTGCGTGGTGGGGCAGGGTGCGTGGTGGGGCAGGGTGCGTGGTGGGGCAGGGTGCGTGGTGGGGCAGGGTGCGTGGTGGGGCAGGGTGCGTGGTGGGGCAGGGTGCGTGGTGGGGCAGGGTGCGTGGTGGGGCAGGGTGCGTGGTGGGGCAGGGTGCGTGGTGGGGCAGGGTGCGTGGTGGGGCAGGGTGCGTGGTGGGGCAGGGTGCGTGGTGGGGCAGGGTGCGTGGTGGGGCAGGGTGCGTGGTGGGGCAGGGTGCGTGGTGGGGCAGGGTGCGTGGTGGGGCAGGGTGCGTGGTGGGGCAGGGTGCGTGGTGGGGCAGGGTGCGTGGTGGGGCAGGGTGCGTGGTGGGGCAGGGTGCGTGGTGGGGCAGGGTGCGTGGTGGGGCAGGGTGCGTGGTGGGGCAGGGTGCGTGGTGGGGCAGGGTGCGTGGTGGGGCAGGGTGCGTGGTGGGGCAGGGTGCGTGGTGGGGCAGGGTGCGTGGTGGGGCAGGGTGCGTGGTGGGGCAGGGTGCGTGGTGGGGCAGGGTGCGTGGTGGGGCAGGGTGCGTGGTGGGGCAGGGTGCGTGGTGGGGCAGGGTGCGTGGTGGGGCAGGGTGCGTGGTGGGGCAGGGTGCGTGGTGGGGCAGGGTGCGTGGTGGGGCAGGGTGCGTGGTGGGGCAGGGTGCGTGGTGGGGCAGGGTGCGTGGTGGGGCAGGGTGCGTGGTGGGGCAGGGTGCGTGGTGGGGCAGGGTGCGTGGTGGGGCAGGGTGCGTGGTGGGGCAGGGTGCGTGGTGGGGCAGGGTGCGTGGTGGGGCAGGGTGCGTGGTGGGGCAGGGTGCGTGGTGGGGCAGGGTGCGTGGTGGGGCAGGGTGCGTGGTGGGGCAGGGTGCGTGGTGGGGCAGGGTGCGTGGTGGGGCAGGGTGCGTGGTGGGGCAGGGTGCGTGGTGGGGCAGGGTGCGTGGTGGGGCAGGGTGCGTGGTGGGGCAGGGTGCGTGGTGGGGCAGGGTGCGTGGTGGGGCAGGGTGCGTGGTGGGGCAGGGTGCGTGGTGGGGCAGGGTGCGTGGTGGGGCAGGGTGCGTGGTGGGGCAGGGTGCGTGGTGGGGCAGGGTGCGTGGTGGGGCAGGGTGCGTGGTGGGGCAGGGTGCGTGGTGGGGCAGGGTGCGTGGTGGGGCAGGGTGCGTGGTGGGGCAGGGTGCGTGGTGGGGCAGGGTGCGTGGTGGGGCAGGGTGCGTGGTGGGGCAGGGTGCGTGGTGGGGCAGGGTGCGTGGTGGGGCAGGGTGCGTGGTGGGGCAGGGTGCGTGGTGGGGCAGGGTGCGTGGTGGGGCAGGGTGCGTGGTGGGGCAGGGTGCGTGGTGGGGCAGGGTGCGTGGTGGGGCAGGGTGCGTGGTGGGGCAGGGTGCGTGGTGGGGCAGGGTGCGTGGTGGGGCAGGGTGCGTGGTGGGGCAGGGTGCGTGGTGGGGCAGGGTGCGTGGTGGGGCAGGGTGCGTGGTGGGGCAGGGTGCGTGGTGGGGCAGGGTGCGTGGTGGGGCAGGGTGCGTGGTGGGGCAGGGTGCGTGGTGGGGCAGGGTGCGTGGTGGGGCAGGGTGCGTGGTGGGGCAGGGTGCGTGGTGGGGCAGGGTGCGTGGTGGGGCAGGGTGCGTGGTGGGGCAGGGTGCGTGGTGGGGCAGGGTGCGTGGTGGGGCAGGGTGCGTGGTGGGGCAGGGTGCGTGGTGGGGCAGGGTGCGTGGTGGGGCAGGGTGCGTGGTGGGGCAGGGTGCGTGGTGGGGCAGGGTGCGTGGTGGGGCAGGGTGCGTGGTGGGGCAGGGTGCGTGGTGGGGCAGGGTGCGTGGTGGGGCAGGGTGCGTGGTGGGGCAGGGTGCGTGGTGGGGCAGGGTGCGTGGTGGGGCAGGGTGCGTGGTGGGGCAGGGTGCGTGGTGGGGCAGGGTGCGTGGTGGGGCAGGGTGCGTGGTGGGGCAGGGTGCGTGGTGGGGCAGGGTGCGTGGTGGGGCAGGGTGCGTGGTGGGGCAGGGTGCGTGGTGGGGCAGGGTGGGTTACAGAGTACGGTGTGTGGTGGGTGGGGTGCCTGGTGGGTGAGGTGTGTGTGGTGACCACACATGCTTCACAATCCTCTCTCCCTCTGAATCTCTTCACAACCCTCCCTGTTCCTCCTTCCATGGCGTACTCCATCTTTTGAGACGTCTCAAAACACATGCTTCACAATCCCCTCTCCCTCTGTCAATCTCTTCACGACCCTCCCTGTTCCTCCTTCCATGGCATATTCCATCCCTGAGCAGGCAGGCGCAGCAAGCACTAAGACCTCCTGAAACTACTCCTCCATCCAATCGCCTTCTGCCACGTGTGCAGGTGCAGCCAGTGCTGGTGAATCAACACGAGATGGTCATGCCTGCTTTCGGCCGTCTCATCAGATTCCCAGTTCCCAAGGTAGGCTTTAATGCCCCAGGTAGGTAGGCTTGAATGCCCACCCAAGGTAAATAAGCTTTTGAGGCACCTCAAAAGTCTTCTGCCTTGCTAAATGTCTGAATCTTTCGAGGCTCCTCTAGCATCTTCTGTGCTGAACATTGTTTCAAATTGTTCAATGTCTTGATAGCATTCAAGGCTCCCCTACCCTCCTCCGCCATTTCTTCCCCATGCAATGCCCCTCCTCTGCCTGTGCCTGCTCTCACCTTGTTTCCAGGACCCCCCTAACAGCCTTGTCTCTCGCACGGACCTGTGTGCTACTCTGCTTGACGCCCTTATCGAGACAGCCACTAAGGGGGACAAACCTGTGACCGCAGGTGAAGAGACTTCTGGTGAGGATAAGGAGAATGCAGAGACGGCCAGTACTGAGCAGCAGAAACACCTGAAGAAGCACCTGAGCAAGCACCTGGCGGTGTACTTCGAGTCCAGGATTGTGGATGTGGATATGAAGGGGCACATGGTCACTGCTGCTGCGCCTTGCGATAGTGACAATGGCAGTGACAGCAGCAGCAGCAGTGGCAGCTGTGCTGGTTGCAGCAGTGGTGGGAGCAGCAGTGGTGGGAGCAGCAACGATCGTGACAGCAGCAGCAGGGGTGGCGGTGGCTTGAGGAATGTTGAGATGAGCAAGTGAAACTGAGTGAGGGAGTGAAACTGAGTGAGGGAGTGAAACTGAGTGAGAAAGTGAAAGAGAGAGTGAGGGGCAGATGGGGTGTGCTCGTATGTGCGCAACCTGCTAGCAGCACGCACATGGGACTTCCCTGTGCACACGGATCATGTGTATCACGACTGGACGGTTGTCAACATGTCTGTGCCGCCCAGGTGTGTTGTGTTGAGTCCACTTAAAACGCACCTCACGCCCTGTCCTCCCCTCTCCTCCATTCGCTTCAGGTGGGAGCGGATGGGGTGCGTTCCTATGTGCGCAACCTGCTCGCTGCGCGCACATGGGACTTCCCCATGCACACGGATCGTGTGTATCACGACTGGACAGTCGTCAACGTGCCTGTGCCGCCCGCCCTCACGCCCTCCTCGCTCTTCCTTGCTGCCAAGGTGTGTTTCTACTCTCTTCTCTCGTCCTCACAGTAAGGTTTCCCTTGCTCCTGTTCCTTCAGCATTTGCTCTCTCTTTCTCTCTCATGCCCACCGCTCTTCTTTGCTGCCAAGTTGAGTTTCTAGTTTCTTCGCAACAATGCTATGCTTCTCTCGCAACTATGCTTCTCTCGCAACTATGCTTCTCTCACCTGATTCCATGTTGAGAATTTTCCTCCCTCACTCCCTCCCGCACTCTGGCACTTCTCTTTCCCTCTCACGCCCCTCTTACTCCCCCCTCTCACGCCCCTCATACTCCCCCTCCTGGGTTCCAGGTGCCCAACACGAGGGGCATCGCGGCAATTGCAATGCCGCAGGTGGGCGGGGAGATGTGTCTGGTGTGGGGGTGGAAGTCCACCGACCCACCCCTCGACTGGCTCTCTCTCGCCTCGCCGGCTGCCGCCAAGCGCTACCTCGATGACAGACTGCCCTGGTTGGATGTTCCTGAAGAAGCTGCCTGGAAGCTGCTGAAGCAGAAGCCGAGGACGAGCATGCAGGTGGGTCGCATCCCTCCGTTTCTCGCGCGAGAAAAGCAAAGTTTCTCTTTTTCTTGGGAGGGATGCAGTGCGGTCCATCACACATGTTCCCCCCTGGTTCACTCCCCCCCTCACCCACTTACCCCCATTCCGCCATCTCCTTCCCCCGCCCCAACCAGGTGAAGTGCTGGCGGTACCATGACACGGGTGCCCAGGTGGCCCTGATAGGTGATGCCGCTCACTCCACTCTGCCCTCCCTGGGGCAGGGCTGCAACGCCTCCATCACAGACGCGCTCGTGCTGGGCAGGCTGCTGCTGGGGGAGGCGGTATCTGAGCACAACAGGGTGCCCCGCCCCCTGGGCAAGCAGGGGGAAGGTGGGATTTCTGCTGCTGCTGCTGAGGGTGGTGGGGATGGAGGGGCCAGCATCAAGTTACCAGAGGTTGAGGACTTGAGGGCAGGCCTTGCAGGCATTCTCTCCCATTATTCGGCTCTCCAGGTCAGTGCCCTCATTTGTCTCATGCGTTTTCACTTTACACTCCCTGCTAGTCTTAGATTTCAATCAGCGTGGATCCGATTGGCTTCCCACGAGGCAGGAGCTTGAAATGAGGAGGGAGATAACGGCGTCTGTGCGTCACATTCTGGTTGTTATAGGTTGTAGAAGGACACGCATTGGTGGATCTATCGGATGCTGCGGCGCCTGTCAGTACCTTCCACACTGTACGTTTAAGCTTATTGCTGTGTGAATGTTTGGTTCTCTTTCTTTTACCGTAAGTTGAACTCATGCTTCATTCGTGTCGTAAGTCACTTCAATATTTAATGTGCAAGTTTTATGTTTACGCAGTTTTTATATATGATGGATCTCATTATCCGCGCCATTTTTTCCAAGCTGCTCCCATGGTTTGTATCGGAGCCCATACAGGGCCTCTGCGGCAACACCACACTGCCTTATTCCTCTATCCTCGGCAAATTCAGTGGCTTTGTTTCGCGTGTTGTGAGGGCAAACGCAGCACAGCGGTGGGGTTGGGTAATGCAGCAGTACAAGAAGGCTGTCCGAGGGCAATGATGCATCTTGGTGAGGTAACTACTGCATTTTCTGTTTATAAATCAATGTTTAAAAGTTTGTCTCCACTGTTTTGTACACACACAAGCCTCCAATCAGTCACATCCCACTCACCTCCCAAAAGCCCCAACTGGAACTGTCACAGTAGCACCTGCCACAGTAGCACCTGCCACAGTAGCACCTGCCTCCCTCCCTCTCCACCTTACCAAACCGCTATCTACTCCCGCTTTCCCTACTTCCAGCCAGCATATTATCGCGGCCATTATCTCCGATACTCAAATTATGCCCGGAGCGTTTTTCGTTCATACTCAACCTGTATTCCTCATCTCCGATTGGCTCTCGCTCTTTAATCACACTTTCTACGCTAATAATACTGTTGAAATGTGATAGAAACAGAACGCGGTTACTGAACGCAGTTACCACATTAAATTACGAAAAACTGGATCGAGCTTTCGATGTGAACTTAAAACTCGCGACTCATATTTACAAACGTTCTACACTTATACCCTGACGTTTAACACTTGGCTGGTTTGCTCGCCCGTGATTGGTGAAGCAAATAAGTTACCCCAGCTCGTCATAGATTTTGTAGTTCGCCAACCAATCACGGAAATTTGAGATGAAATCTTTCAGTCCATATCTACGCGCCCTTGGATCGGAGCTTAACTTGCGTAAAGAACAATAAGTATATTAACGCTCATTAAAAAACTGCAGGCAAAAGCGAAGGCATCAACCTTAAATATTTGGTAGCTTCCTGTATTTATGTTTGCTTAAGTGTTTCATTTTATATCTTGTTTTGTTTGCAGGGGTATATGCAGGTGAGGTGTTACTGGCAACTTTGTTTCAGTTTTGTGCCTATAACAAAATAAAACAGTATATGTCAGCAATATAACGAGAAATTGTTGGTTGAGTACGAACGAAAAACGCTCCGGGCATAATTTGAGTATCGGAGATAATGGCCGATATTATCGTCCTTGCTTTTCAACATGCAAACCAACGCACTTCTGTCTGCAGGCTCGGGAGGAACTGCAGAACAGGTTGGGCAGAAATACAGACGAACTGTACAGTTCACGATCAGGTTCGGCAAGGCCCACGTGTGCCTCTTGTCTCTTCCGCGCCCCTTCTGTGGCCCACCGTCACGCGCTTGCCACCAAAGCTCGGGTTTTCTGTTTCAGGCTGGTTTAGTAGCGGTTGAAAGCGGTGTAACAGCCAAAACTTTCTGGAGAACACACCATCGTTCTTAACCGTTGCGCAGCAGATTGAACCGCACAAATGGGCGGGGCATATTCACAGAGGACCACAAATATGCCCCACCCCTAAGCGAGCCGCTATTCCCCCTGAGCCCAACTGCCAACCAACTGCCGTGGATTGCGCATTCTATGGTAGTTCCTAGTGCAATCTCGTCACCCGCTTTATTCTTGGACTGCATGTTCTTTAGGCGCCTTGGAAAATGCGGTCACCCTCTCCTTTCGTTTCGAAGCGCGGCAGCAGGCTTTCTTGAAGCTGCTTGCGACTCGGTGTCAGATGCGTTGATTGCGTTTCTCCATGCATCGTCCTGGCGTCACCTGGCAATCCCACTGAAGTTTCCTTGAACCTGCTTCGCCCATTTGAGACGAGTCAAGAAGCTCTTATTCAGGATAGAAAAGAACGGACGGACAACGAGGGGCATTGTGTCGGGAACTGCTGAGGCGACTTGCGACGACCGCATAAATGTTGACACGTGGTCACCACCTCAGCACCGCCACCTCAGCACCGGCACCTCAACATCACCGCAATCCCAACTTCCGTCATCGCCATAGCGCTCTTCGGGTTTCATTATGATATTATCCGCTAACGAATTTGCTAGTAACGCAGTTGCCGAGTCGGCGATCCGCTCACCCGCCGTCCCCGCAAACGCGTCTACCTCGCCCGCCGACGCCCTCGCACTTCCCCCCATCGCGGACGTCGCCACTTCCGCTGATGGGGGGAAGCGACCGCCGCTGCAGTTGCGCCTGGCGGTCAGCGGGGCAGAAAGGGGGGCGGGAAGGGCGGCGGATGGGGCAGCGGAGATCAAAGCGGCGGCAGGGGCGGGGAATGAGGGGAAGCTATCTCCCCGCGGAACGAGGCGCGGGGGAAGGAGCGCGAGCGGAGACCTGAGCGGAGGCGCATTCCGCGCCACTGGCGGAGCGGAAAGCCCGCCAGAAGCGGTCACGGGCCCGCTGACCTACCACGGGGAAGGGCGGGGAAGCGATACGCGGAACCCTTGGGGAACGAGGCGCGGGATCGGCGTGGAAGGGGGGGAAGAGGACATGGGGGAGGGGAGAGGCGCGCTCGCGCCGCTGCCACGGAGCGGCCGGAAGGGGAGAAGGCGGAGCGGGGAATCTGCGGGCGGTAGCAGAGATGCGCTACAGGGGGCGGAGCTTTTCCGACGCGCCGTTACCATTGCCGACGCGAGCAGTAGCGGCAGAAGCGGAAGGGCTACAAGTGGTAGCTATGCCTTCAATGCCGCGAGCCAATACCGTAGCGTGAGCAGCAACAGCAGCAGAAGAGGCACGAGCGCTGGCGCGGCAGCCGATTGGGATCCCACTGCCGCGCCCCCCGCCCCCGCTGCTTCTTCCGCCACCCCCAGTGCCGCTTCCGCTGCTTCCGCCACCCCCAGGAGCTCCTTGCCCCGTTCCGCCACCAGCGCTATCACCCCCACCTCCGCCGCTGCGCGCGAGGGGCTGTTCGGGTTCCGCGCAGGCGCGCGCAGGCTGTACGAGGCGCGCAAGCAGGCTAAACGACAGGCGAGTGGCGGAGGCAGCGCAGGTGATTTGGCGGGTAGGGCGCCTTCCATGGGGCGCGACGTGTGGGAAGCCGCGGAGAAGAACCAGCTGGGCAGATGGGCGGGGAGCAAGGAGGGGGAAAGCGCGGAGGGGGGAAGCGCTGAGGGGGAAAGCGTCGGAGGGGGAAGAGTTGAAGGGGGGAGCGACGAAGGGGGAAGCGGAGGACGAGGTGTGGGGGAGAGCGGTGAGGGGAGGTGGGAGGGTAGTATGAGGCTGAGGGAAGGGAGGGGCGGAGGAGAGGGGGAGGGGGAGGGCGAGAGTGGAAGGGAGATATGGCACGAGGTACGGGATATGCTGGTGCTGCGAGGGGGGCGAGGGGAGGAGGAAAGTGGGCCTGAGTGGGATGAGATAGATTGGGGAGAGGAGAGTGAGAGTGAGGAGGAGGATTGGGAAGAGGAGGAAGAGGAGGCAGAAGGGAAGGAGGAAGAAGTGAAGGAGGAGGAGAGGGAGAGTAAGGCGGAGAGCAGAGGAGATGGAGCAGCAGCGCTTATTTCTGAAGACTCTCAGGAGCGGGTTGAAGGGAGCGTGGGGATAAGAGGTTACGAGGAAGCCTCTTGTGTTGGTGAGGTAGAACGAAGGGGCAATGCGAGTGGGGAGTGTGGGGCGATGCTTGCGGGTGAATGGAATAAATGGGGGGAGGGGGAAGCGGAGGGAGGGGAGGAAGGTGATGGGGAGACGGTGGAGGAGAATCGGTTTTACAGGGCGGGGACAGAGGCAGGCGGAGGGGCGGAGGCAGGCGGAGAGGTGGAGGCAGGTGGAGGGGCGGAGGCAGGCGGAGAGGTGGAGGCAGGTGGAGAGTGTGTAGAGCGGCAAAGGGACTGTGAGAATGGCAATGTTTGTGTGATTGTTGGAGCGATAGCTGCAGTAGCACCAGGAGCAGGAGGAGGAGCAGCAGCAGCAGGAACAGAAACAGCGGCAGGAGCGACAGAAGCAGCAGCAACAGCAGCAGCAACCGGGGCTGACGAGCAACCGGAGCAGGCTACAAGATCACTCTCACCCGATGCCACCCCATCCACCCCATCCACTGCACCTGCTGCACCCGAACTCGAGGTGACTGCTGAGTCATCTCAAACGGCAGCACCTGGGGGGTATTCACGCAAGCTGCTCTCATCTCGCACTCTCAAGCTCGTCCTCGATCCCTTGTGCCAACCCCTTGTTGTACCCTACTCCGAGTCTGCTTCTAGCGAGGATGCTGGTGATTCCGCTGCTACTGCTGCTACACTTGCTGCTGCTGCTGCTGCTGCTGCTGCTGCTGCCGCTCCTGGGGACCTGCGTACACCTTTAAGCACCAAGAAGAAGCGCAGCAAAGCCGCCGAAGCGAGGAAGCGCAACGAGAATCGCTCAGCTGAATCAGCCGAGTCATCCCACACTCACACGCCCGTGAGCACAAGAACAGGGCCCCAATGCGAGCCCCTCTGGCCGCTCACTCCCTCTCACAAGCCTTCTCAGTCCGCCCACACGCCCTTGAGCTCAGGGGTTGGGGCACCACCATACACCCCTCTCTGGCCGCTGACGCCTTCCCACACGTCCTGTGACTTGGCTCTTGCACCACCGGTCCCCGACACTGATGCACGATACGAGCCCCTGTGGCCGCTCCCTCCTGCTGGGAGCAGGCAGCGCGGGAAGAGCAGCGGTACTGACACGGCTTGCACTCAGACCCGGCCAAAGAGTAGTGGAGGGAGGGAACGCGGGGCGGACAGACTGGGGCAGGGAGGATGGGGTGTGGGGAAGCCTGTGAAGCGCTCTGAGACGGTTGACATTCAAAGCCGGCCAACGAGCAGCGGGGGAAGGGAACGGGGAGTGGATCGGATGGGGCAGGGAGGAGGGGGCGTGGGGCAGGGGTTGAGGCGCTCTAAGACTGTTCACACTCACATGTGGCCGAAAAGCAGTGGAGGAAGGGAACGAGGTTCCAACAGAGTGGGGCAGGGGTTTGAAGACTTTCAGAAACCCGTGGGGTGGACGGGGGAACAGAATGTTTCTGAAGTGGAGAATTCTCATCAACACTCGGGGGAGCAGGGGTTTATTGCCAGGCGTGGGCACCGGGGGAAGAGTGGTGGGGGGAGGGGAGGAGAGGTGGGTGGTGTGGGGTGGGGATTGAGTGGTGAGTTTCCACTGGTGGCCACATCACGACCGCCATCAGGGGGGGGAGGTAGGCGGAGGAGGAGCACTGGTGGTAGTGGCTTTGATGGTGGTGGCGGTGATGGTGATGGTGCTGTTGGTGGCAATAATGCTGCAGGGATTGACACGGCAGGGATTGGCACGGCAGGGATTGACACGGCAGGGATTGACACGGCAGGGATTGGCATGGCAGGGATTGGCACAGCAATGGCCATAGCAGCAGCAAGTGGAGAGGGCATGGAGGCACGGTCAGAGGGAGGCATGGTGGACGCATGGTGTGCCTCGGAACCACAAGCCATCGCTGCTCCTCCCGCACCTCCCATCCCTGCACCTGCAACTCCCCCCCCTGTCGTTCCCGCTCCTGCCTTTCCCGCACCTGCCACAGTCACACCCCTGCCACCAAGCGTCAATTCACCTCAGGATACTGTCACACTCACTGTTGGAACGTCCGCCCACACCACCTGCAATCCTGCTGCTATGCCCGGTGCTGCTCCTGTGCTGCCTGCTGAAGGACCTTCAGCAGTACCTGAGGATTCAACTGACGCACCTGAGGGTTCACCTGGAGCACCTGAGGGTTCACCTGGAGCATCTGAGGGTTCACCTGAAGCATCTGTGACTTTACCTGAAGAAGCTGTAAGTTCACCTGAAGGTTCATCTGAAGCACCTGAAGGGACACTTACAGCCGTTACTACTCCCCCTGCTGCTGCTACAGCTGCGGCTAATCTCCCTGTCGCTGCTGCCCCTGCTGCTTCCACAGCTGTTGCTACATCCCCTGCTGCTTCCACAGCTGTTGCTACATCCCCTGCTGCTGCTGCAGCTTCTATTGCTGCTCCTCCCGTTCCTCTCCATACTTCTGATGCTGCTGCCATTGCTGCTGACACTGATTGTGTTACTGATGCACCTGTCGTTACCCCTCCTCCTCCTGCTGCTCCTGCGCCCACTCTCCCGCCCACTTCCGATCCTGCTCCTGCTCGCGCCTCCTCCCTCCACAGCTCAGAACCACCCACCACCGTGCAAAACCTCCTCAAAACGTCGGTTTCTGTCGGCGACCTGTCAGCCACACCCACCGGCCCCAGATGGGCCCTCCCCTGGAAGAACCCGGTGCGTTCGCCCGTGCCTGGAGCCAGCATCTCGTTCTTTGGGCCCAAGACGCCAGGCAAGGCACCAGGCAGGAACGGAGGGTCTGGATTACAGGAGGCGGCTTTGATGCCTCCTGAATTACTGGAGAACCTTGGTGTGTCTGAAGGCCGTGATGCTAGAGGGGCTGGGGTGCAGAGTAGGGCAGCTGGTTTGGGGAAACGGGGAAGTGGTAAGCAGGAGCCAAGGCAGCAGCGAGAGCAGCAGCACGAGCAGCAGCAAGAGGAGCAGGAAGCGCAGCAGGAAGCGCAGCAGGAAGGGCAACAGCAAGAGCAGCGGCAAGGGGAGCAGCAGCAGGGGCAGCTACATCAGTCAGTGAGCGAAGGCAGCATATTCACCCGGCCTCATCGCAGCAGCACCGCACTCCGCATCCCCTTACCCCGTCACCGCACGCTCCTCTCCCCCCGAGAACTCCTAAAGAAGCTCTCTGCTTTCCCCTCTAGTTTTCCTTCTTCCAGTTTCCCCTCCAGTGGCCCCCTGGCCCCCACCAGACGCCTCTCCTCAGGGCGTTCCTCGGGTTTCTCCTCGTGGAAGAGTGTAATTCGCCGGCAGTCCCACAATGACTCGCTGGCGCCTGTGTCCTCGGATGGGCCCAAGGACGTGTGGGAGGCCGCAGAGAAGGACCAGCTGGGGGGGTGGCGGAGCCGGTCGAGGGGTGCGAGGAAGCGGAGCATTATGGAAGCAGCTGGACGCAGCTCGAGCGGTTTGAGCGATAGTAGTTCGAGTGGTAGGGAATTGAGTGGGAGGGATTTGAGTGGTGGGGATTTGAGTGGTGGGGATTTGAGTGGTGCGGATTTGAGTGGTGCGGATTTGAGTTTGAGGGATTTAAGTGGTGCGGGTTTGAGTGGCAGGGACCTGAGCGGCAGGGATTTGAGCGGAGGAGGGAGCAAAAGCTGGCACGAGACAGGGAGTGGGGGGTCGGAAGGGAGAGCAGCAGGGGGGGGAGCGATGGATGGTGTGGTTTTGAACGGGGGGGAGCAAGGGCAGGCTGAGGAGCAAGGGCAGGCTGAGGAGCAAGGGCAGGCTGAGAGCACCCACAGTGCAGCTGTGGGTGGGTTGCATAGCCGAAGGCACACTGTGGGCGGTATGGGGTCTCCTTTTGACAGGGTGCGCGTGAATCGGATCCGCCGGGGTGTGTTTGGGTTGGCAAGGAGCAGCAGCAGCGACGACACGGCTACTCAGTCGGGCAGTGGGCAGGTGCATGTACGGACCAGGAGCAGCCGCAGCCTCAGCCTCAGCAGCAGCAGCAGCGGTGGTGGTGGTGAGGCGTTGCTGTCGACAACTGTGGTGCCGGGGGCGAAATCCGAGAGCAGAGAGCGCAGGCATGCGAGGAGCGGTAGCAGGCTGAGAGCATGGGGGTTCAGGTCGTGGGGTAGCGGTGGGGGTAGCGGTGGGGGTAGTGGTAGTGGTCACAAGAAGGAGAGCCTCTCTGGGGGAGTTGAGGCGCCTTCTGAGGCACCTCGATCCGTGCCGGTGGGAACGAGGAATGATGGCTCTGGTGAGAGCAGCAGCAGGGAATCCAGTCAGATGGACTCGAGCTCGAGTGGCAAGGATGGTGGAGGGGCGAAAGGCACGAGTGGTGGCGTCCAGGGGGGCTGCAGTAGCGGCAGCAGTGACTGCTTTGCTGAGGAAGTCTTGCTCTCTGACAACCCTGAGAATCGCCGCAAGGCTTCAGGTAATTCTTCAGGTGAAACTTCAGGTGAAACTTCAGGCGGTGGCGCGCTGTGGAACCCGTACAGTGCGGAGGGCCGGCTGGAGGAGATGCCAAGGTTCGTCTTGGAGTGCAAGTCTTCCAGGTTGGAATGTGAAGAGGATGGGGAGGAGGGAGAGGAGGGGGTGGGGGCGGATGGGGAGGGGGGGCATCTGGGAGTGGCATGGAGCTGCCCTGTCCTGCTGCCTGACGCCACCCTTGGTGTGCCTCCGGCTGTGCACAGCCAGGTGGAAGGGCAAGAGGACGGGTGCAAGGGCCAGCGGGATGGCGGTATGGGTCAGCAGGGGCGGCAGCAGGGGAAGGAGCATGGGGTGCATGAGGTGGCAGGTGGGAGGGCTGTTACATTTGCGAGAATGGAGCCGTTACATGAGGGTGAGGGTGTGGAGGGGTGTGAGGGTGAGTCTGTGGGGGGGTCTCACAGGGGGTCAGAGGGGAGAGCGCCGTCGGAGCATAGTGAGCGGGGTCAAGAGAAGAGGACAAGGGCTGCCACCCTTCTGGTTGCAGTGGAGCCGTTCAGACAGCGTGTGCAGAAGGCAATGCAGGGACAGCTGGCACATGGTGTTTAAGTTTGCGAGGGATATGAACGCATTCAGGCCTAACTTTCCTTTATTTATTGTTCTCACTAGCCAACAGACATGAGATGTAAACACATTCATCATTCTCCTGCAGCCTTAGCGATTTGTGTTGCTTTGTACCTATATTTGCCCTATAATCTAGTGTGATATAATGTTTTGTGGGCAATTTTGCTGATTGTAAAGAGGTTCATCGTAAAATTTACCCTTAATCAATGAAGCATGGGGATTGATATAACACAATCTGGGAACTTGGAAAGAGCCCCATCATGCAATTTTTTACAACCTGTTTGCAATTTATTCAATATATTTGACATCTTTCAGCTACTATGAAAATGTACTGCCGTACAATATTGATGCCATTTCACATCAATCTGTTCCCGTTGCTCCTCGATTTCCGAGCTCCGAGCAGGTCTAGGGTTTCCGTCCCTCAACAGCCTCGCTCCACCAACCACTTCCCAAGATTCTTGATATTCTTGAACTTGCCGAAGCTCGATCTAGATCTTGCAGTAGTATTTCAGGGAGTTGCTCGATCGAGTTTCGATTCTGGAGCAGCGATCGCAGAGCTTCTAGATCAGCCTATCGTGTCCGTTTGAAATCATGTAGATACCTTTCTACGCGCTATATGTCGCCGTTGTTACTCTTAGGCGATGTGTGTCGCCATTGTTAGTCTTAGGCTATGGCTTCCGAGGATACCGGTGTGCAGAGGGACGCATCGGGTCCTGGTGCCTCCTGGCCGCCAGGATTCGGCGTCCCTCCAGCTTCAGCCTACGCACGTCCGCAGTTAGGAGAATCTTCCGGTGTTTCCGCGCAGGAGATCAATTCCCATCTTGTAGCTAACCATGATGTAAAGGCGGGAAACGCGTGGCATTTCGGGCCGTCCGATGCGAAGCAGTACGGGTTAGGTCCTGCACGAGTCGCGCTCGGTTCCGATTCGTCTGTCCACAATCCTATTTTCGGCGAAGATTCGTTTTCGATCTCCGGTGGATCCGGCGGTTTGACACACGCAGCGAATTACATTGATTCGGTATTATCTAGGCTAACTCCAGGCAGCAGATTGACCGGGATGCCTGGTGAAGTGACAGCTCCGCGAGTTCCTGCTGTCTCGCAAGGAGCTAACGGGGTCGGCCGTTCCTTGCACGCGGAGCAGATGACATCGTTGCAACAGCAGCAGCATCAGCATCAGCAGCAACCGCAGCAGCAACAGGCTCAATTTCTGCAGCAAGATTTTCCACAGCTGCAGCGTCAACAAATTTCGGATGTTCCTCCTCCACCGTCCGATGGATACTCTCGCACATCGACGGACCATATGCTTTCGTGGCAGGTGGAGGAGTATTTTCAGCAGCAGCGGAGACAGCAGGCGCTAGCAGGGCTAGTGACTCAGCAGCCGTTCCCTATTGACTCAGCTCCACTGGCATTGCCACGTCATCTGCAACAAACGCTGGGTCCACCTGTAGCCACGTCACTGGAGCACGGTCAGCAGCAGCATCAGCTCCAGCAACAGCAGCAGCTCCAGCAGCAGCGCTTTCAGGGGTCCCAAGCCGGTGCTCCGTTATACGCCGACTCTGTACATGCACAGCTCCAGTCACTTCCCGGAGGCCTTCTCAACACCCATTTCGCGTCAGGCCCATCGGCGACGCAATCTGACGGCGATCTCGGCCAGATCTACGGCTCACGAGGCTCGCAAAATCTCTCAGCTCCTCCAAACACTCTCGGACTCACCTTCGATGAAATTCTCGCTCCGCATAATCTACCGAATGTTGAGCCCATGGCGCCGAACCTTTCTGAAAAGTACGAGGTGCCGTCATACCTCAAGGAGCTGTGGTCCGATTCTCCTATCCATGGCTCTCCGTTCCGCGCGCCGGGAAAGCCTACTGACCCGGGCGCGATGCGCGGCGGACAGCCGTTCTCACTCGGGCAAGGAATGATGACTTTTGAAAATTCGCAAAAAACAACCGAAGCCGCAGCAGGAGCACCGGGAAGATTCCGAGGGGAAGGAAGGTTTGGAGGGAATGCGGAAGGGGTGAACCGCGGGAGTCCGTCTCTCGGTCCGTACCCGCATCCCGGGCTGAACGGGGGTGATCCGCGCTTGCAAGGGTTTCCCGATCCTGGTGGGCCGTTCGACCAGCGTGTTGTCTCGTTAGAAGGGTCCCCGTTTGGGAGAAAGGCCGTGGAGGCAGGCAGAGGCTCTCCCAGCCGATCCTTCCTTAGTAACTGGCCGTATGGGGTGAGTGAGGCGGATGCTGATAGAGGAATGGGGGGAGGAGAGGGACGCGGGGACAGCCGGTTTAACCCTGCGCGGGGAGGTATGGCTGCTCCCGGAGGGGGAGGCGGAGGCGGAGCGGGAAGAAACGCTGGTGTCGCACAGTGGGCGGCTGCCGGAGCGAACGGAAAGGAGGCAGGGCGAAGGGAGGATGGAGGGAGTGGATGGAGTGTGAGTGGCGGCGTGAGTGGCGGCGTGAGTGGCGGCGTGAGCAATGGAGGAAGAGAAGGCGAGGGGTTGGACGTGGGAAGAGACCCATGGCGTCGCGCAGGCGCTCTGGGGCCAGATGGGCTTCAAGGGAACTTTCCGTTACCGCTGCACCAGCAGTTTCCGTCTGTCCAGCAGCAGCAACAACAGCAGGGTGGGATCATGGGTGCATTGACTTCGAATGCTAACGGTGGAGCCTTTAACGCGGACGAACTTACTCTGGAGCAGCTGACCGACCCTGCTGCTGTAGCTGCGCTGGAAGGCCCGTCGAGCCAGCAGACGATCATGGATCTCCTCGCTGCCGCCGGCAACGCCTTCGCCGCCCCACAGTTGAAAGCCTCTGGCCTTCATGAGCAGCAGCAGCAGCAACAACAACAACAACAGGAGCAGCATCACCATCAGCAGCAGTTTCAGCAGCAGCAGCAGCAGCAGCAGCAGGCGCAGCAGGGAAGGGCGCAGGCAACGGCGCGCAAGCTGTTCAAGGACGACATGTTTCCCCCCCTAGGCTCGCCCTCCCCCCCCGCGTCGAGCAAGGCGGGGGCGAGTGCGCAGGGCAGTGGCGGCGGGGCGGGGAGAGGCGCAGCAGGCGCGGTGGGGGATGGGGCGGACGCCGGATCCGGTGTGGGGAAAGGCGCGGAGGATGTGCGGAATTCTTTGGAGGCGCTGGCGGAAGATATGAAAGCTTTCGACCTCTCTGGTGACCCGACTGGTGATTCGGGTCAGTTTCAGCAGCAGGGACGTGCGGGGCAGCAGCAGCAGCCGCAGCACGGGCAGCAGCACATATCTCGCAATCAGCCGCAGCAGCAACAGCAGCTGCAGCAGCCACGGCAGCAGCAGCAGCAGCAGCACGGTATCCCTATCCATCCGCATCGCCATCACGCTGCGTTCACTGCCGCTCCTCGCCATCCCCCTGGGTCCAGCCCTGGCCAACGGTTCAGGCATCCCGAACAGCAGCAGCCGCCGCAGCAGCAGCAGCTGCAAGGGGGCGTGCAGCAGCAGCAACAGCAGGAGCAGCAACAACTGCAAGCAAGACCCCAGCAGCAGCAGCAGCAGCAACAGCAGGTTCAGTTCCGCCCGCACGCCCACCGCCCGCCGTCCCTCCGCGTGGACCTTTCCCGCCTCAACTCGCACCTGCTGGCGCTTTTCCGCTCGCTAGAGCCGACAGCAGAGGAGGCGGAGCGCAAGGAGCAGCTCATGCGCACGCTCACGCGCGTGGCCGCTGCCACGTACCCCTCCGCGCAGCTTTTCCTCTACGGGTCGTGCGCGAATTCCTTTGGCGTGCGCAACTGCGACGTGGACGTGTGTCTTGCTCTGGAGGGGCCTGATGTGTCGCGTGTGGAGGTGATTACGAACATGGCGAGCGCGCTCAGGGCGGAGGGCATGCTCAGCGTGCAGGTAAGGGTGTGGGAGGGCTCTTTGTGTGTGCAGGGAAGAAGGCAGAGGGCTGGAGCAATGGACAGGTGAGAAAGGCGGAGCTGGAGTGGCTGTATGTTTCTCGCGTGGAGGTGATCACCAACATGGCGAGCGCGCTCAGGACGAAGGGCATGCTCAGCATGCAGGTGAGTTGAAGTGGTGGTGGATTCGTGCAAGTGTGAAGGGAAGGATATATAGGTGCGCAGATTAGGAGACGTCAGGTCTAGATCCACGCAGGTGAAACGAGGAGAGTGCTCAATGCGCGCTGCTGTCTTAGCGACATGCTATCCCCCTCTTCCCCATCCCGATCCCCCAATCCCTTCCCCATCCCCACAGGCGCTGACACACCCGCGAGTGCCGATAGTTAAGTTCATGGATCCAGCATGGGGGGTGGCGTATGACATGTGCGCCAACAACCTCGCAGCCGTGGCCAACGGCCCTCATCCCCCAAGCCCCTTTCCCGGTCTCTCCCCTGCTGCAGGCACTCACCCACGCGCGTGTACCCATCGTGAAGTTCATGGACCCAGCATCGGGGGTGGCGTGTGACATGTGTGTCAACAACCTGGCCGCTGTGGCCAACAGCCGCCTGCTGGCGGACTATGGGCGCATTGACGACCGCGTGCGGCAGCTGGCGTTCCTGGTGAAGCACTGGGCAAAAAGGAGGCAGATCAACGAGACGTTCCGCGGCACCCTCTCCTCCTATGCGTGCGTGGGGGGAGGGGGAGGGGTTGGGGTTGGGGGGGAGGTTGGGTGGGGGGGTGGGTTGGGGGGGGGGATGGTGGGGTAAGGAAAGCTTTCTGACACGCTGGGCTAGAGGGGGAGGGGCATTCCGAAGCATGCTGTCGCCCCATGCATATGTGTCCTGGCTTCCTTCCCCATGCATATGTGTCCTGGCTTCCTTCCCCATGCATATGTGTCCTGGCTTCCTTCCCCATGCATATGTGTCCTGGCTTCCTTCCCCATGCATATGTGTCCTGGCTTCCTTCCCCATGCATATGTGTCCTGGCTTCCTTCCCCATGCATATGTGTCCTGGCTTCCTTCCCCATGCATATGTGTCCTGGCTTCCTTCCCCATGCATATGTGTCCTGGCTTCCTTCCCCATGCATATGTGTCCTGGCTTCCTTCCCCATGCATATGTGTCCTGGCTTCCTTCCCCATGCATATGTGTCCTGGCTTCCTTCCCCATGCATATGTGTCCTGTCTTCCTTCCCCATGCATATGTGTCCTGGCTTCCTTCCCCATGCATATGTGTCCTGGCTTCCTTCCCCATGCATATGTGTCCTGGCTTCCTTCCCCATGCATATGTGTCCTGGCTTCCTTCCCCATGCATATGTGTCCTGGCTTCCTTCCCCAGACACGCCATTCTGCAAGGAGTTTTGTTTTCATCATCCTCCTCGTCCAACTGGTTGTACAAACTCAATGTTCCCTCCCATCGTCCATTCTCATGCCCTTCCTTCCCGTCGTTGATCCATCCCCCATCCTTACCCCTTCTCCCCCTCCCCTTTGCAGCTATGTCATCATGTGCATCCACTTTCTGCAGCAGCGCCAGCCGCCCATCCTGCCATGCCTGCAGGTGCGCACTGCTCAGTAGTGTACAGCTAATGTTGTGATGTCGTTTTGCTTGTCTATGTGTGGCGCCCAACTGCTGTTGCCCTTGCTCACCATGTTGACCTTCGTCACTCTCTCTCCTGCCTCTCAACCTACCCCCACAACCCCCCACCCTCCCGCCCCCTCCTCCTCATCCCGGCAACCCCCAGAAGATGCAGCCGCACACATACCACATGCAGCTTTCACACATCCCAAACCTCCGTCCTCTTCAACCCCCGCCTCCCCCTCCCCCTCCCCCTCTCCTCCCCCCCGTTGCAATCACAGGAGATGCAGCCGCACACATACCGCATGCAGGTGGGCGGCGTCGTTTGTTCCTACTACGACAAGGTGGACACGCTGCGCGGCTTTGGGGCGGCGAACGGGGAGACGGTGGGGGAGCTGCTGGCAGGGCTGTTTGAGTACTGGGCCTTCCGCCACGACTACAACCGCTGCGTCATCAGCATCCGCACCGGCGGCTTCCTCAGGTGAGCCGCATTGTTGTCCGTGCCTCCATCCGTTTGCTGTGCTGCCCCGCTCCCCTCTCACTGCCTCCTGCTTCCTCTCCCTCCCTCCTTCGTGCGTGCACTTGCGTGAATGTGCGTATTCCCCTTTCCCCTCCTTCCTGTACCCCGCTCCCCCCTCCCCCATGCACACTAACATCGAAGTGCACCTGCATGTATGCGTGCACACCCGCCCCCTCCCCCTTCTCTCCACCCCGTCCCACCCTTTCCCCCCGCCACAAACGTGCAGCAAGGAGGAGAAGGAGTGGACGAGGCGTGTGGGCAACGAGCGCCACCTGATCTGCATAGAGGACCCCTTTGACCTCTCCCACGACCTGGGCCGCGTGGTTGACCGCGCCTCCATCCGCGTGCTCAGGGACGAGTTCCACCGCGCTGCCAAGCTCATGCGGCATGACCCTGAGCCGTATGTCACGCTCTTTGAGCCGTATGTTCGCGAAGATGAACGATGAGGATTGAGCCATGCACGGCATGCGGATTGGGCCATACGTGAGAGAAGATCAACGGTGGAGAGCAGATGTGCTGTGGAGGAGCTGGCTACTCTGGTTGGGTTTGGGAAATGGCTTGCGATCACTACCGGTAGGTATCAGCACTGGTCATCCATTTGGCATTCAAATGGTGGTGGCAAATGTGTGTTTTAGGTCAGCAGTCCAGCATTCACACTCCTGAACACTAACTAGTGCTAGGGATTTTCATACACACTAATCTACAGCTTTGTGGTCCTTTTACTAAGATGCATTTCCTGAATAGTGCCGACTAGTGCTGCATTCCTTCTCATACATGCTGACTAGGTCCTTCAACTACCAGTAGATATTCTGTGCTGTGCAAATACCTTATCACAACAAATACCTTAACTAAAACTAGTACTTCAGGACAGGGCACATTACAAGTGACACGAGGGCCAACTATCCAAGCAATCATAACCACTTCTGTTAATCTGATTGAACTCTAAGCAGGACTTGACTCTCCTAAGGTTACCAGCGCCAGCATACCTCTTCTCGATAATTGGGTCTGCTATCTTGAAAGGTGGGCTCCAGGGCGAGCCACGTGGCAGCATGCTATTGGTGGACGTCCAGTGGCAGTCTGAGGAGAAGGGGGAAGAGATGGATGGCTCTGGGGAATGCACCAATGTCACCCCGTGGATGCCACAGGGAGGAGAAAATGGCTTCACTACTACCCTCCCATAAGCCTCCTCTCTCTCACTCAGCATCTCATCCCTCTCATTCTGCGTGCCTCCCTCGTCCCTCTCCTCCCTCTCATCCACACCGTCTCTTATGCACCGCTCATCTCTCTCATCTGCAGCGCCTGTCACGAATGTCTTGCCTTCCTCACATCTCTCTCCACCCCTCTCATCCAACTCTTTCGCAGGGCAGAGAGACGTATATTTGGGAAATGCGGCATCGGAGGATCGGATCGGGAAGCTTCCCTCTGACTGTGCTCCACTGTAGCAGAGCGGAGAGGGAAACCAGGCGTCCATGGGCGGAGCTGTGAACGAGGAGCTTCTCCTCATGCTGTTATTCAGTATTTCTGACTGCCTTCTTCCCCTGCACGAGACGAGGCTGCTTCTAGCAGGAGCAGCAACCATGAGGCTGCTTCTAGCAGCATTAGAGGATGATTCCACAGGAGCAGCAACCATGCCTACTATATCACCATCTCCACTCCCCTCCTGCTCTCTTCCCTTTACTTCATAGCTCCCTTTCTTCCCTTCCACTGCCTTCCCAGTTTCCCCATCCCCCTCTTCAGCTCCCCCTTTTTCCGCATCTCCTCCGGCCTTCTTCACCCCATCCCTTCGCCTTCTCCTTCCGGTGCTATCATCAACAGCACAGCTGCTCACAACAGCCAGGCTGCTTCCAAACGCAATGCTGCTGGCAATGGCCAGACTCCCTCCAAAAGAAAAGCTCGTAGCGATCGCCAGCGTGCTGCCGAACGCCAGACTGCATCCCAAAGCCAGGCTCCTCCCAATCGCGTCCCCAGCGGTGCTGCCGCTTACATAAGTGCTCGTGCTGTAAGTGCTGGTGCTGCGGGCGCTGCTGATTGCGCTGGCGTTTGTGCTGGCGACACTGATGTTGCTACTCAAACCCTCTCCCGCAACACTTAAGCCGCCACCATGCTGTTGAGACTCACTTCTAGCAGCGGCAGTGGCAGTTTCCGTAGCAGTGTGAATCCCAGTCCGCCCGTGCTCTGACGCCGGATGGCTGATGTCATTGGTGACGCCATAGCCATGATCCAAGGCAGCGCACACATCAGCACCGTACGTAGACTCTTCAGCACAGTCGCCGAGGCTGATTCGCTCGACCCAGACTCGGCACATCTTGCACCGATCCACCTCCCGAACCAACGACCCATGGCCTAGTATGGACCGAAGGGCCGCACTCTTCCCCATCACCCATCCCTCCTCCCTCATCCCCGTTTTCCCGCCCTCGTCCGATCCAGCTTTCACCGCAAAAGCGGCCTTGATTCTCACCTCTGCAGACTCCCTCTCCCAGAATTCACCTGAAGGTTCACCTGAAGAGCCACCTGAGAATCCCTGGTGCGGTGGCAGTCCCCGAGTTCCATCTCTCTTGCTCCTTTGAACACGTGGGTACATGGCTCGTCCCAAGCCGCCTAGCCGCTTCTTCTGAGCCAGCTGCGCCCTCGAAATTCCCCCACAAGGCCCGTGATCCTGCGACAAAGCGCCGTAGCGTCTTCCCTTGCTCTCCCACCCTCCACGCGTCGCTCTGTTGGACTTGTTCCACGCTCCGCCGCGCATCTTCCCGCAGCATGCGTGCACGCGCCGCTGGATCCGCGATAGCGCCATGCGCATGTGGAATTCGCGCCGTTGGTGGCGGCTGAAAGCGGAGACGGTCGGGAATGGGTTCGACGTGAGAGCTGACGTGTCCTCTGCCACGGTGGCGAATGCTGACTCGGCCTCATCATTATCAGCAGACGCGATCGTCTCTGTCAGACTCGAATTCCGCGGCGGCGGAATGACCGCTGGGTCAGCCTCGTTAGCGTCAACGTTAATACCCTCATCTGAATTCGCGTAATAACACGAGGAGGCGTTACGTATGAGACGCGCAGGCTGTTCCATATGATCGCTGGCCGAGTCCTCATCAGAATCCGCGTTAATGTCGAATTCGGCTCCAATTTCAGACGTTAACGCGGCGGCTGTTAACGAATCAAGCATTGCCGCTGAATCAGAATCGGACGGAATTCCTGGTACGTTGGCGGTTCTACTGCTTCGCGGTTCCGCTGATTCATGGTGACAGCTCGTCTCGAGTGTTTCTGGGAGTGTGAAAGAGTCGACAGAGGTAGCGTCGGCGGCGGCGGCGGCGGCGACGGCAGCGCCAACGCAGGATGGGGAGAAGCGGCCAAATGGGGAGGAATTCGCACACTTCTCTTCCAATTGTTTCCCGAATTCGTCCTCTTCGCATGATGCCACTGTCGTGCCACAGTCATAGCGTTTCTCCTCCATCGACTTGTGAGACGTCTCAATTTTTGCACACTTCTGTTCTACCCCTTCCCCGCCGGATTCGCTCTCTCTGCATGTTGCTTTGTGGTGGTGGATGCTGTCGCGACGACTCGCCGAATTCGGACCCTCCTTCAGCGTTGATAACGGACGCGCCAGTAGGCCCGCCAGAGCAATCATTCCGCGCCCCCAACTGGCGGAAAGACTTGGAGGCATCGCAGAAAAGCGTTCTAAGGGATTTTCAATCTCCTGGAGCCCGTGAGAACTTGTTAGCGAGTAGGAATGCGTGCGTGGCACTACGAGTTAGTTCGACCATTTGCCCGCGCAACATAGAATTCGCTATTCTATTTCAAATGAGTGAGAAAGGTGCGTGTCGGAAGTGGCACAACAAGGTGCGCAGTAATGGATAAACTATGCGACTGGAAGGTATTGCTTCATTCGGAGCTACCAAGACGCGGTGCTGCCGTAAGCACTTGGGCCGTCGAGAGGATAAGAGGGGAAATGAATTTGCTGCTGAGCGCCGTTGGGCTGTCCGAGAAGCGTGCGAGTCCATTCAGATGACTCAGGTCGAGGTGGAATGGTGGAAAATAAACATCCCTCCCAGACGGGGCATGTGGCTGGCGCGATGCGTCGAACCAATCATGCGAAACCACAGCGCTGTTGCGAATGCTACCAGTTAACGTCTGACAGTTCGTAAGGGCTAAATCTGGCCGAGGAAAAGGTTTGTCAAGTGTCGCCAACCTTCGCATGTCCTGGTCGCTTGACAGTTATTGACATGGGTTGTGAATTGCTGCTGGGGTGGTTGGTTGGAGGTTGAGGTGGAAAATCCAATGACATGAATCATCGCGTCGCGGGTACCTCGACCCGCATTTTTGGCGCGCTTGGTATGAACGAGCAGCGAGTACCCACAAGTGACAGAATAGCAAGTTCCGGATACACGTCATGCCAGCAAAGAGCAATCACCTGAGCCGTCAGATGAAACATTCGTCAGAGATCTCACATCTCGTCACATGAAAAGGCAGTCAAGCTTCGGTCAGCAAATTCTTTCAATGTAGGAATCGTCCCTGAGTATACGGCGCAACGTGCGCAAGATCTGGTCAAAACCGTATGCGATATGAGCGTGACTCGGAAACGCGAACGAGAGTTTTTAATGTACCTGAGAGCAGTCGAGATACGGTTTACTAAACATGTAACAGGCTGACAGCTAGTCGGGTTCCTGTTGTTACCCTTTCGAGCAAAACTTGCTATGTCGGAAAGACCTCGCGGAAGTCGCAAACTTGTCGTTTGTTCGCAATTGTATCTCAGTTCTTCCCTTGGTGTTAGATACCTTTCGCGGATGGGCGAGAGGAAACCTGCCGGCAAGGAATTTTCTTCAGGTTCTTTCAGAGCCGCCTAGCCTGAGCTCGTGGGCCTGCACAACAGGCACATAAACTCAACTTCCAAATATTCCTGAATTAGATTCAACCAGAGAATTGATAAGTTCCATCCACGGTTTCTTGCGCAGCGCTGCGCGAGCGATGGCTTGGACCGTGGACCCGCAATGGGAGGCGGCGCTAGGACTTGTCGGAACACTCTCCGCCATAGCCCTGTTCATATCACCCATGTAAGGATAGCATTGCTATCGATCCGCCTCTCCCTGCCTGTTCCTGTGGACCCATCACAACTCTTTCTCCCCTTAGCAAGCTGCTCGATCAGCAGTCATCAAGCTTTGCCGCTTCCTACTTGCGCGAAGTGGGACAATTTTCACGCATTTTTTCGCCATACTTTAGATTTGCCTTTTGACAGTCACGCCCTAGTTTTTGAATTTCACCCCTGCTTTTCCCTTAACAAGATGCTAGGTCAGCCGCATCAGGCTCTGTCGCTTCCCGCTGGCGTGAAATGCGACGACTTTTTCGCATCTTGCCGCTACTGCAGGCGCCCAAGTTATCACATTCCACCTCTGCTTCTGACCCTCGCAAATCATTCCTCGTTCTTCGTCTCCTTCCCTTTCACCGCGCGCCGTCGCAGTAAAACGTTTCAGCGGATCATCAGCAGGAGAAGCACGGAGGATTTCCCGTCCTTTCCCTACGTGTCCACCCTGCTCAATTGCTTCGTCTGGACGGTCTACGCCCTGCCGTTCGTCACTCCCAACCGCTTTCCACCGCTCGTTACCAATGTCATCGGCATGGTTTTCCAACTGATTTACCTCGTGCTCTTCGTGCGCTATGCTAAGGATAAAGCCCAGGTGAGTTAACAACGGTCGCAAGGCACTTGTAAGTCTGCTAAAACGCCCAGCAGGATGTATTGTTCTCATTGATTCATCATGAATTGCTGCTGCTTATTCTATCAGCAGTGCACCTCATCCCATTGCACCCTTTTTCACCACTCTCCACCCTATTCCCACCCAACTACAGAGCCAAGTGCGGCAGCAGCTGCTGGTGGTGTGCTCCTTCCTGCTTCTCTTCACAGCTCTCCTCTTCACCATCGTGCCTCCTCCCAGCCGCAGTGCCGTGGCTGGAAACTTAGCCACTCTCTTCACTGTCGTCATGTTTGGTGCCCCCCTCTCCTCGCTGGTGGGTGTTCAATCCACCCCTGACAGTTTTACTAAACTTGTGCAGCATGCCTTGCCTGCAGCATGCCTTACCTGCAGCAGTGCTGTGGCTGCAAACTTAGCCACTCTCTTCACCCGTTTCTCTTTTATACTTTTTTGGCGCTCCTCTCTCCTTGCTCATGCGTGTTCTTTGCATGCGACACCTTTTGAGACGCCTCAAAAGTACTTCTTGCAGTGCGTTGATAGACTCATATGTCATCATTTGTTTTTTTATTCTCTCATTCCGTCCACCAGTCACATCACATCCATTGGACATCCCTTCATCCACTGCTGCGTACACATCGGCTATGGTTCGGGTGGTGTGATATCGTGTTTGTTCATACATGTGGAGGGGGAGGGGGTGATGCGGGTGTGCGTGTGTGCGAGTGTACGTGTTTCTCTCTGTGTGTGAACATGCATGTGTGTGCATGTGATACATGCACACGTGGCAGTCTGTGGTGCTGAGGACACGCAGTGTGGAGTTCATGCCTCTGCCACTGTCCCTCATGTCATTCGTTTGTAGCACTTCATGGATGGCCTATGGGATCTACGTGCAAGACACTTACGTGATTGTACGTCTCTTCTTCTTTTCTTTCCTGTTCTTTGTTTCTTGTTCTGTTCTGTCATTCTCTGTTCCGTCTCACATTCATTGTTCCAACCTTTTGACCTCGCAGTTTACTAATTGTGTGCCTTTAGTGGCACCACATTGCTATTGTGCTGTTTTCAGGTCCCAAACGCCCTGGGTTCACTTCTTGGCATCATCCAACTCTGCATCTACTATGTGATCAGGTGATGAATAGTTTGTCATTTTCTGCCAGCCAGTCAGTTTGTATTCTCATTTCATTGCATGTGTGCGTCCTCGTCTGAACCTCCATTGCTGCAGCCGCGAGGGAAGGAGGAAGGCACAGGAAGTTGAAATGAATGGCGAAAATATTCCATTGCAAGAAATCATGTGAGTAAGCAGTCAAACATATGAATGGTGTATGCTGTTGGAATGTCAAACTTAGAGCGTGTTCCTATCAAGCAACCTCGTATCAATTTCGCGTTGAACTGCACTACAACGCATCCAAACGCAGTCGAACACACTTAAACGCATTTCACCACGCGAATCTGATACGATGTGTTTCTGATACGAGGTGTAGGAACACGCTCGTTGCACGATTGTAAGGTATAGACCACCTCCACACAATTGAGGCCTTGAAGTGTGATGTAACAGTATGTATACTTGGGAGGGAGTGTTAAGTTGACAATACCTTCTTTGTGGCTCAGGACGGTTTCATTCATATACCATGTCCAGCAGTTTTTTTAGCTTTACCTTTTTGCACCTTACATTGAATAAAACCTTAACGGGCTTTACCTCTTCTGTTGCAAACACGAACTGTGAGCGGACTTACAAGGAAACCAGAGGCAGCTGTTCCCCTTCATGAGCAACTTCGTATCGAAGAAAGCTATCCTCCCAGCTACCAGTGACGTGGCACGCGTGTCACCCTCGTCACATTATCGCCGAAGCGAATCAGGATGTCGCCACATGTTCTAGCGATAGGCCCTTTTGGCAGATGTGCCTGACCCGCCCGCCACGCCCCCCTCGGTTGTTGCAACAGCATCCCTCCATGCCAATACGTTTGGCATGACAAGCTAGGCTCGGAGACATCTTGCGGTACATCTCGCTAGTGTTCTGGCCGAAGCTCTAGTCCGAGGTAAGTGGTACAGGCTCGGAAACTCCCCCAGCCATCTCAACAACCATGACAGTTTCCTCTAGCATGAGTATATAACCCAGCCTGCATTATGGCTTCTCCTCTTTCTCCTCCATTTTTTCTTAGGCTTGCTTGTTTCAGAAACTTACCCTTCATGATCATGGGCTTAGAAACCCTAATTCCGCGACTGGTCTGCCGTGCCTAACAGCTGGCGTTATCTTCTCCTAACCGTCTAACTTCAAGCCTCGTGCTGGTGATAATTGCTCGTTCTCGCCAAGCATACGGATTAGTTCGAATATGGGAGAATGACCGTCAATTTTGAGTCAAATTCTGTTAGTATAGAATTTAGATTAGAACAGAAATCTCTAGATTATGCGACGTTTTCCGTCGCGGACTCGCATGCCGTTAATGAGGCGTCAAGGGTGATTCGAGAAGCTTCTGATTTATGACAGATTTGTGATCCTGCTACCAATCTGCCTCATCCTCTGTACCAATCTGCCTTGAAAACTGACCGGCCAGCATTCTCGTCCAGTCTAACGAGCCAATTCAAGTTGTTGTTCCCGGCAACCTCGAATAAATCTTATCAGCGACCATCAAAATAAATACTATAAGCTCACTAACCCTCTGACAACCACCAATCCCTCACAATCTCTCAAAAATGGACTCGAGAAAGACGAGTTCGAGGCTGCAGTCCCTCCGAGCCGTGGAGGAGGTGCTGCCGATGTACGCGCCGCGAATGCAGCTGGGGGCGGGCTCATTCGGACGGGTGTTTCTGATGGAGCACCGGCAGACGGGCGGCAAGGTAGCCGTTAAGACGCTGAAGAAGGAACGGATAGTGGAGCTGGGGATGCAGGATAAGGTCCGCCGGGAGATCAGCATTCTGCTCCGCGTGCGTCATCCCAACGTCATCCGTCTCTACAACGTCGTCGAGACGCCCAAGTAAGCTCCCCGTCCCACCGTGCCGACCGGCTGTTCTCGATTTCCCCCTACCACGTCGCAACCGAGGTCCTGTCACCCCTACCCTGTGTCCCCTCACCTCGCCCTCCCCACGTCCCCGTTATTGAGTCGCCTGCTGACCGCCCGTGCTCCCTCATCAGGTACATCCTACTCCTAATGGAATACGCCGAAAACGGCGAGCTATTCGACTACATCACGCAGCGCGGGCGGCTGACGGAGGGCGAGGCGCGGCGAATCTTCCAGCAGATCGTGGCGGGAGTGGAGTACTGCCACCGCCGCATGGTGGTTCACCGGGACCTCAAACCCGAGAACATTCTGCTCGACGCGTCGTGGACCGTCAAGATCGCCGACTTCGGCCTCGGGAACCTCATGACCGAAGGGCATTTTCTGCGGACCAGTTGTGGCTCGCCGAACTACGCTGCGCCTGAGGTGGGTCTGTCTCTCTCCTGCCTGCCTTACTGCTCCCACCAGGCTTGGGGACCCTCATGACCGAAGGGCATTTCCTGAGGACGAGCCGTGGGTCTTTGAATCACACTGCGCCCGAGGTGGGTCTTCCTGTCTTAGCAGCTTCTATCTGGCGGGGAAATGCAGATGCCGTGAGAGATGTTCCTCCGAGGTGCTCTTTTTCCGGAGGGAAACGTCAGGATCGTTTTTCTTGAACGGACCTGAAAAACGACTGGCGGTTGCAAAGCGCTTGATTGTTCTGCTGCATATCCTGCCGTTGTTTTTGCGGGTAATGAAGAACGGATTGGAGGAGGGGGAGGCTGGGGAGAGGAGACGCGGCAAAGGGTGGAATGGGAGAGGAAGCAAGGGGAATGGAGAGCGGCTGCTTGCGACTGAGGTGTTTTGCAAGAGAAAGCAAAATCTATATATATTATCCAAATAAACGGGTTATTAAAGTACGAGTTTACACAGCTTCCAGGCATAAGCTCACACGGTTGAGAGTTCCCCTTTCTCTCAAATTTGAATGGTTGCCTTCTCCGTCTCTACCTCGCCTCTCCCCCCCCGCCCCCCCTTCTTTCCTCCCTCCCCTTCCGTCTTCACTCCCCTGTTCCCTCTCCACTCCCCTCTCATCTCCCGACCTCTCTACCCTCGCTCCCCTCCCTCCTCTCGTGTGGGGATGCGGCGTCATGACACATTTCACACGCATACCCTCTCTTTCCACTTCCACTATCCACCTACCCACCCACCCAACCACCCGTCCCTCTCTCTGCGCAGGTCATCAGCGGTCGTTTCTACTGCGGCCCAGAAGTCGACGTGTGGGGGTGCGGCGTGGTGCTCTACACGCTCCTCTGCGGCCGTCTGCCCTTTGACGAGAAATCCCACGTCGCCCTCTACCAGAAGATCAAAGCCGGCGCCTATTCCCGCCCCACTCACGTCACCCCCGCCGTTCAAGACCTCCTCGCGCGCCTCCTAGTCGTCGATCCCACCATGCGCGCCACGATCCCCGAGATCCGACGGCATCCGTGGTTCCTGCCGTGGTTCCTGCCGTCCGATCTGATCCGCCTGCAGGAGGACACGGCCGCCGGCCGGCCGGCGGCGCCGCTACAGCTGAACGCGACGGCGATTTCGAATCTGCAGGCGGTGAGGGTGACGGGGGAGGGGCGCGCGGTGCTGGCGGGGAACTGGGTGCAAGAGGCGTTCGCGGCTAGGTTCGCTGGCGCGGGCGCGGGAGGGGAAGGTGGTAACGGTGGCGGCGGGGTGGGAGGTGACGGGAAGAAGGGGAGGGGTGTGGGGGACGGGGGAGGGGGAGCGGGAGGGGGACAGGGCGGGGCGCAAGGTCAGCATGGGCATGGGCACGGGCACGGACATGGGCACGGGCAGGGGCAACAGGGGCAGAAGGCGCTATGGACGGAAGACGGGCAGCTATTACAGCGGATATGGGGCAGGGCGAATTGGACCCCTGCCGTGCCTCTCTTTCAGGCCTCCAATACTAGCACCGTCGCTGCTGCTGCCGCGCCCCTTGCCGCTGCCTCCACTGCCGCCGCTACCGCCGCTGCCGCCGCTGCTGGAGCCAACGCCGCAGCTGCTGCTGCCGCCACTGCTGCTCCTGGCTCTGGTGGAGCCACAGCAGCCGCCGCCGCCGTGGCAGGAGCAGCTGCAGCAGCGGCCGCAGCAGCGAATACAGCCAATGCTGCAGCGGCATCTGCAGGGCACGCAGCGAACGTGATAGCAGCGGCAGCAGCGGCGAACCCACCCATGCCTGCCCCGACCGCAGGGGCCACCAAGTGGTGGGACGCCGCCATGCGGGTCTGCATCTCTCTCCACCGCTCCGGCGCGAAATGGAAGCGAAAACCCGCTTCCAGTTCCTCCACCTCCTCCTCCTCCGCCTCGTCAGGTCCCTACGTGCTCCTCTGTTACGCGCCTTACCCGCCTGTAGCAACAGCGCTGCGCTACCAGGGGTGCCTGGAGGCGGCTGTAGCGGCTGTAGCGGAGGAGGCGGAGCTGCAGAGGCGGCGACAGCAGCAGCAGTACAGGTGGCGCGCTGCGATTAGCGAGCGCGTGGAGAAGCGCCAGCGGGGCGGGGTAGCCGCCCTGCTGTCCCTCTCTCCGCCTAGACCTCTCACAGGGTCCCTCTCGTCCCCTGTGCTTATAGAGCAGGCCATTCCCGCCGCCACTTCGTTTGAAGCACTTGCTGCAGCCCAAAAGAAGCTGGCTCAGGGGGGTGGGCCTGCTGCTGCTGCGGCGGCGGCTGTAGCGGCGGCTGTAGCGGCTGCTGCTGCGGCAGGCGCAGGAGTGGGTGGTTTTGCGCGGTTGAGTGCGCTTGGTGGTGGTGGTGGGTATGGGGTGGGTGCAGGGGCGGGGTTTGGGGACGGGAGTGGGGTGGGCGGGGTAACTTCTCCCTCTACCCCCTCCTCCTGTAATGTATCCCTGTCTTTAGCCCTGGGGAGCAGTCGAAGCAGCAGTAATGGCAGCTCTGGTGGGGGTGTTGCTGCTATGGGGACTGGGAATGGGGGAGCTTTTGTGAATGGGCCAAATGGGGTGAGTGAACATCTGTTACACGCACCGCAACTGCAGCTGCACCAGCAGCAGCAACAGCAGTTGCAGCAGCAGCAACAGCAGCAACAGCAGCACCAGCAGCAGCAGCAGCAGCAGCAGCAGCAGCCGCAGATTTTTCAACAGCAGCAGCTGCTGCTGCAGCAGCAGCAGCAGCAGTGGCAGCGGCACCAGCTGTTGCTACAGCAGCAGCAGCAACAACAACAGCAGATGCGTGAAAAGCTCCGCCTGTTCAACCAAATCTTAGAAAAATCCGGCCCGATGGGGGCAGCAGCAGCATCAGCGGGTCTCCATGATGCTACAGTCGCTGCTGGGTTGAGGGATGTGTCAGTGACAGGTGGGTTGCACGATGGGCGTGGGAATCACACCGCGGATGGCGAGTTAACCCTTGCTGTCCGCGGCCTGGACGATAGAGAATGCTCTAGTATGGCCGGGACTGGCATGGGGGAGGGAGGAGGAGGCGGGGGAGGAGTGGGAAGGATGGGAGGAGGCAGGGAAGGGGCGAGGGAGATGGGAGGGGGGTTGACAGGAGGAGCAGGAGACGGGGCGGGGACAGGCGCAGGGCCGGTTCTGACAAGTATAGGGCCGGGGAGTGGTGCAGGGCAAGGGGCGGGAATGAACTCGACGAGTCTCACCAGCCTGACGCTGGAAAGCATAGGGGCCTCTGCTGCTGTGGCTGCAGCGGCGGCAGCTGCAGCGGCGGCAGCAGGGGATGGGCTGCGGTTTGAAGTGGTGCTGATGCAGGATGGCAAGGGGGAGAGCTTGCTAGACCTGTGCCTGCTGTCAGGGTCTAGTGCAGCTTTTGCGGATTTCTGCTCCATCTTATGGCACAACCTGTCGCAGCTGTGACTGGGATGGGTGGGTGTGTGTGTGTCACTTGTAGGGGGGAGGTATGCTGCATGCTCAGCCATGTCTGTTGACCGTGCTTGCTGCTGCCCAGATTAGGCGATGCTCGTGCTGATGCATATGGCACAGGGCCGTGTGACAAGGCCTGCAGCGTGCAGTTCACTGTAGCTGTGACTGGTAGTAACATGCGCAGCCATGTCTGGTAGGCCGTGGTTTCTGGTGCTGATTTTAGCTAGCACGAATGAGCCTTGTATCGTAGGGGTAGGTACTGCGAGGTTCTACTAGTTGTTGCTGCTGTTGCTACCGTAACTGGCTGCTCACTGGTGTAGACTGTGCTTCACTTATTGGCACTCAAATTGAGCATTTGTGCATGAATGTCAGCATCTGATGGCTGAAATTTGTACCACATGAACATTGAGAATGCAGAAGGCAGTTTGGGAAGGTTGTTGCACCCCAATGCTCCACAGCCAGCCGTTGGAAGATCCGAAATCGGTCGAATCCGTCCGGCTGGTTTTGGCGAACAACAGTCGCAAACAGTCAGATCAGATCAGGTCACATCACATCCAAAAGGAACAATCTCTACAGCCACGCAAAGCTCGACCTTTTTGGATCCGATATTGCTAAGGTACTGATAATCAAGCGGACGATGATAAGTGCACCATGCGGTGATAAGCGGTCATGAACCCGGCTGCATCGGGCAGCGAGTGGCGAGCCTTCCAGTGGATGGTCGAGAGCAGCCCCGTGTCGTTCACCTGTGTGAGGGGTTAGGGGGTTGGGTGAAGGGGCAGGCAGCAGGAGAGGAGGGGGGGAACGGGCGGGGAGAGAGGCTCTGAGTGGCAGGCCTTCCAGTGGATGGATGAGAGCAGACCCGTGCCGTTCACCTGGGGGAGGGGGGAGACAGGGCAGTCAGTGACAGAAACGGGGGAAGGGTGAGGGGATGATGGCTCTGGATCTACCCGACTGCATCAGGCAGCGGGTGGCGAGCCTTCCAGTGGATGGGCAGAGAGGGGGCAGCAGGTAAGCATTTGAATTGAGTACTTATGACGAATCTGACAAGGCACTTTTGGGATTTTCCAGAAGAGGTGGAGTCATTCACCTGTGTGGGGAGTTAGGGACGGGCAGGGAGTCAGGGACTGGGAGTGTCAGCAGAACATGGAAATTCTTGCAAGTCGTCTTGAAAAAGGGAGATGAAAAGAGGAGAGCAGGGTGACTCGCTGAGCTGTCAGATCTCCTTTGAAGGAGAGTCACACCATGAGTGTACCTGAAAAGCGTCTGTGAACATACCTGCATAGCTTTGTGGGTCCATCAAGGGCGCATCAGAGTATCCCACCCACCTCAAGCGCGTACTGGCAGTATAACAGCCAGAGATCAGCACTGGAGCTGAATCGCTGCAACGCCGAGTCAAACAGACGCTCCACCCGCCCCTCCCTCCCCCTCCCATTCCCCTGTCCCCTCTCCGTCCTGTCACCCCCCTTCCCGCTGTGCTCCGCCTGCCACTCGCGCTCCATGTGAATGGCGCACAGGAAGAGACGCTCTGAGGAGAATGGGAGAGAGAAGAACCTGCAGGTGGGAAAGGGAGCAACAACAAGGACACGAGAGAGGGAGGGGAGATGCAGCCCGTGCTTTGAGGCGCCTGGAAAGGCATGAATGGGCGATCCGAAGCAAACGGCAGACAGGATAAGGATAACCAATGGGTGCGTAAAAGGGCGAGTGAGGGGCAGAGGGGGGAAGAGAAGAAGGGAGGGGAGACTCCTGTGAGAAGCGCTGACCTTGCGTAGAGCTGGCGGGCAGCAGAGATTCCAAAGCGCCTCTTGGCCGTGGCGAGCGCGGCACACTGCACTTCTGCCACCAGATGCCGCGCGTGTGCTGATGGATCCTCACTGCTCCTGACCGCAGCTGCAGAACCTTTCTCGGCAGCAGCAGCAGCAGCAGCAACAGCAGCAGCAGCAGCGGCAGCAGCAGGTGAAGGGGGTGGCACGGAAGAGGAGGTGGAGGGGGAGGCGATGGTGGCTGCTGCTGTGACGAGCGAGTCCACTGTAGCTTGCAGCGCTGACAGGCTAGGCGCTGCCTCTACTTGCTGTGCAGGTGAGGAGGAAATGAGAGGGGGAGAGGGACGGAGGGAGGATAGAGAGGCAGAGAGGAAGCGGCTGAACGATTGAATATACATCAGTGCCGAACGATTGAGCACCTAAGTGTGCGTGATTTTTGAGAATTCTCATCAAGGAATACAGAGCAAATCTTCACAATCAATCACAGCCCCCATCCCCATCCCCACGCACGCACACTTCCATTCACCGCACACGCACCATCGCACGCAGCACACGCACCATCGCATGCAGCACACGCACCATCGCATGCAGCACACGCACCTGCATCCAGTAATCCACCAGCTTGGGATGGCTCCAATTCAAAATGCGCTCTGGCTCTGATAACACCATGCCTCCTCCCACTGCTCCTTCCCCTCCTCCCTTTCCTCCCCCTCCTCTTGCTGCTCTTCCTGCTGCTTTTGTCACATTAGTCCCCACCTTCCCCCCTCCTCTCAGCACCCGCCTCTCTGCTTCCCGTCCCAGAGCCCACACGCCTGGCATCACCACCCCGCCACCCGCTCCCAGAACCTTCCTCGCAGCTTCCAGCGCCTCGCCAGCTCGACCTGCACGAAGCAGCAGAGCCACGTGGCGCTCAACGATTGACTCGTCCGAACCTAGCCCCCGAGCCTCCGCCAGAGACAGGGCTGCATTGGCTCGGCACACCAGATCTGCCAATGGCAGCCCGTCTCTCTCTCCTTCCCTCTCTCCCTCCGCTCCCTCGCATTCCATTGGCTCCTGTTCCCCTGTTTCCCCCTCCCCATCCTCTCCCCCCTCTCCTCCCTCGCCCTCCTCCCCATACGCCTTCCCTCCGGTGATCAAGCGCATGAGAAAGTCAAGATACGCGCAGCACAGGGGCGAGAAAGACGAAAGCTGCTGCTGCTTCTGTTTCTCCAGAGCGTCTTCAAACACCTGACAGGCGTGCCCCAACAATAGGAGAGGTAGGCTGTTGTTGACCATTAAAGAAACAAGGCCGGACAGCTAAAATCAAACACAACTGGAGGAAAGTACTTCTGTCGGGAAAAATCAAATGGAACCACCACCTCACCTCCCCAAGCCAGTGACAAGTGATTGCACCGTCTGCCCCAACCCAACCCACCCTTTCACCTTCAAGGCGTTTCGTTCCGCCTCCTCCCACCTCACCCCTCCACGCTCCTGCAGTCCCAGCGTGGGTGGGGACTGCAGCTCCAGTCCCCACGCTGGGACTGCAGCTCCAGTCCCCACGCTGGGACTGCAGCTCCAGTCCCCACGCTGGGACTGCAGCTCCAGTCCCCACGCTGGGACTGCAGCTCCAGTCCCCACGCTGGGACTGCAGCTCCAGTCCCCCCGCTGGGACTGCAGCTCCAGTCCCCCCGCTGGGACTGCAGCTCCAGTCCCCCCGCTGGGACTGCAGCTCCAGTCCCCACGCTGGGACTGCAGCTCCAGTCCCCACGCTGGGACTGCAGCTCCAGTCCCCCCGCTGGGACTGCAGCTCCAGTCCCCCCGCTGGGACTGCAGCTCCAGTCCCCCCGCTGGGGCTGCAGCTCCAGTCCCCCCGCTGGGGCTGCAGCTCCAGTCCCCCCGCTGGGACTGCAGCTCCAGTCCCCCCGCTGGGACTGCAGCTCCAGTCCCCACGCTGGGACTGCAGCTCCTGTCCCCACGCTGGGACTGCAGCTCCAGTCCCCCCGCTGGGACTGCAGCTCCAGTCCCCCCGCTGGGACTGCAGCTCCAGTCCCCCCGCTGGGACTGCAGCTCCAGTCCCCCCGCTGGGACTGCAGCTCCAGTCCCCCGCTGGGACTGCAGCTCCAGTCCCCCCGCTGGGACTGCAGCTCCAGTCCCCCCGCTGGGACTGCAGCTCCAGTCCCCCCGCTGGGACTGCAGCTCCAGTCCCCCCGCTGGGACTGCAGCTCCAGTCCCCACGCTGGGACTGCAGCTCCAGTCCCCACGCTGGGACTGCAGCTCCAGTCCCCACGCTGGGACTGCAGCTCCTGTCCCCACGCTGGGACTGCAGCTCCAGTCCCCCCGCTGGGACTGCAGCTCCAGTCCCCCCGCTGGGACTGCAGCTCCAGTCCCCCCGCTGGGACTGCAGCTCCAGTCCCCCCGCTGGGACTGCAGCTCCAGTCCCCCCGCTGGGACTGCAGCTCCAGTCCCCACGCTGGGACTGCAGCTCCAGTCCCCCCGCTGGGACTGCAGCTCCAGTCCCCCCGCTGGGACTGCAGCTCCAGTCCCCCCGCTGGGACTGCAGCTCCAGTCCCCACGCTGGGACTGCAGCTCCTGTCCCCACGCTGGGACTGCAGCTCCAGTCCCCCCGCTGGGACTGCAGCTCCAGTCCCCCCGCTGGGACTGCAGCTCCAGTCCCCCCGCTGGGACTGCAGCTCCAGTCCCCCCGCTGGGACTGCAGCTCCAGTCCCCCGCTGGGACTGCAGCTCCAGTCCCCCCGCTGGGACTGCAGCTCCAGTCCCCCCGCTGGGACTGCAGCTCCAGTCCCCCCGCTGGGACTGCAGCTCCAGTCCCCCCGCTGGGACTGCAGCTCCAGTCCCCACGCTGGGACTGCAGCTCCAGTCCCCCCGCTGGGACTGCAGCTCCAGTCCCCACGCTGGAACTGCAGCTCCAGTCCCCCCGCTGGGACTGCAGCTCCAGTCCCCCCGCTGGGACTGCAGCTCCAGTCCCCCCGCTGGGACTGCAGCTCCAGTCCCCACGCTGGGACTGCAGCTCCAGTCCCCCCGCTGGGACTGCAGCTCCAGTCCCCCCGCTGGAACTGCAGCTCCAGTCCCCCCGCTGGGACTGCAGCTCCAGTCCCCCCGCTGGGACTGCAGCTACAGTCCCCCCGCTGGGACTGCAGCTCCAGTCCCCCCGCTGGGACTGCAGCTCCAGTCCCCCCGCTGGGACTGCAGCTCCAGTCCCCACGCTGGGACTGCAGCTCAAGTCCCCACGCTGGGACTGCAGCTCCAGTCCCCCCGCTGGGACTGCAGCTCCAGTCCCCCCGCGGGGACTGCAGCTCCAATCCCCACGCCGGGACTGCAGCTCCAGTCCCCACGCTGGGACTGCAGCTCCAGTCCCCCCGCTGGGACTGCAGCTCCAGTCCCCACGCTGGGACTGCAGCTCCAGTCCCCCCGCTGGGACTGCAGCTCCAGTCCCCACGCTGGGAGTGCAGCTCCAGTCCCCCCGCTGGGACTGCAGCTCCAATCCCCACGCTGGGACTGCAGCTCCAGTCCCCCCGCTGGGACTGCAGCTCCAGTCCCCACGCTGGGACTGCAGCTCCAGTCCCCACGCTGGGACTGCAGCTCCAGTCCCCACGCTGGGACTGCAGCTCCAGTCCCCACGCTGGGACTGCAGCTCCAGTCCCCACGCTGGGACTGCAGCTCCAGTCCCCCCGCTGGGACTGCAGCTCCAGTCCCCCCGCTGGGACTGCAGCTCCAGTCCCCCCGCTGGGACTGCAGCTCCAGTCCCCACGCTGGGACTGCAGCTCCAGTCCCCCCGCTGGGACTGCAGCTCCAGTCCCCCCGCTGGGACTGCAGCTCCAGTCCCCACGCTGGGACTGCAGCTCCAGTCCCCCCGCTGGGACTGCAGCTCCAGTCCCCACGCTGGGACTGCAGCTCCAGTCCCCCCGCTGGGACTGCAGCTCCAGTCCCCCCGCTGGGACTGCAGCTCCAGTCCCCCCGCTGGGACTGCAGCTCCAGTCCCCACGCTGGGACTGCAGCTCCAGTCCCCACGCTGGGACTGCAGCTCCAGTCCCCACGCTGGGACTGCAGCTCCAGTCCCCCCGCTGGGACTGCAGCTCCAGTCCCCCCGCTGGGACTGCAGCTCCAGTCCCCACGCTGGGACTGCAGCTCCAGTCCCCCCGCTGGGACTGCAGCTCCAGTCCCCCCGCTGGGACTGCAGCTCCAGTCCCCCCGCTGGGACTGCAGCTCCAGTCCCCACGCTGGGACTGCAGCTCCAGTCCCCACGCTGGGACTGCAGCTCCAGTCCCCACGCTGGGACTGCAGCTCCAGTCCCCCCGCTGGGACTGCAGCTCCAGTCCCCCCGCTGGGACTGCAGCTCCAGTCCCCCCGCTGGGACTGCAGCTCCAGTCCCCCCGCTGGGACTGCAGCTCCAGTCCCCCCGCTGGGGCTGCAGCTCCAGTCCCCCCGCTGGGACTGCAGCTCCAGTCCCCCCGCTGGAACTGCAGCTCCAGTCCCCACGCTGGGACTGCAGCTCCTGTCCCCACGCTGGGACTGCAGCTCCAGTCCCCCCGCTGGGACTGCAGCTCCAGTCCCCCCGCTGGGACTGCAGCTCCAGTCCCCCCGCTGGGACTGCAGCTCCAGTCCCCACGCTGGGACTGCAGCTCCAGTCCCCCCGCTGGGACTGCAGCTCCAGTCCCCCCGCTGGGACTGCAGCTCCAGTCCCCCCGCTGGGACTGCAGCTCCAGTCCCCACGCTGGGACTGCAGCTCCAGTCCCCACGCTGGGACTGCAGCTCCAGTCCCCCCGCTGGGACTGCAGCTCCAGTCCCCACGCTGGGACTGCAGCTCCAGTCCCCACGCTGGGACTGCAGCTCCAGTCCCCCCGCTGGGACTGCAGCTCCAGTCCCCCCGCTGGGACTGCAGCTCCAGTCCCCACGCTGGGACTGCAGCTCCAGTCCCCCCGCTGGGACTGCAGCTCCAGTCCCCCCGCTGGGACTGCAGCTCCAGTCCCCCCGCTGGGACTGCAGCTCCAGTCCCCCCGCTGGGACTGCAGCTCCAGTCCCCCCGCTGGGGCTGCAGCTCCAGTCCCCCCGCTGGGACTGCAGCTCCAGTCCCCCCGCTGGAACTGCAGCTCCAGTCCCCACGCTGGGACTGCAGCTCCTGTCCCCACGCTGGGACTGCAGCTCCAGTCCCCCCGCTGGGACTGCAGCTCCAGTCCCCCCGCTGGGACTGCAGCTCCAGTCCCCCCGCTGGGACTGCAGCTCCAGTCCCCACGCTGGGACTGCAGCTCCAGTCCCCCCGCTGGGACTGCAGCTCCAGTCCCCCCGCGGGGACTGCAGCTCCAGTCCCCACGCCGGGACTGCAGCTCCAGTCCCCACGCTGGGACTGCAGCTCCAGTCCCCCCGCTGGGACTGCAGCTCCAGTCCCCACGCTGTGACTGCAGCTCCAGTCCCCCCGCTGGGACTGCAGCTCCAGTCCCCACGCTGGGAGTGCAGCTCCAGTCCCCCCGCTGGGACTGCAGCTCCAATCCCCACGCTGGGACTGCAGCTCCAGTCCCCCCGCTGGGACTGCAGCTCCAGTCCCCACGCTGGGACTGCAGCTCCAGTCCCCACGCTGGGACTGCAGCTCCAGTCCCCACGCTGGGACTGCAGCTCCAGTCCCCACGCTGGGACTGCAGCTCCAGTCCCCCCGCTGGGACTGCAGCTCCAGTCCCCACGCTGGGACTGCAGCTCCAGTCCCCCCGCTGGGACTGCAGCTCCAGTCCCCCCGCTGGGACTGCAGCTCCAGTCCCCCCGCTGGGACTGCAGCTCCAGTCCCCCCGCTGGGACTGCAGCTCCAGTCCCCACGCTGGGACTGCAGCTCCAGTCCCCCCGCTGGGACTGCAGCTCCAGTCCCCCCGCTGGGACTGCAGCTCCAGTCCCCACGCTGGGACTGCAGCTCCAGTCCCCACGCTGGGACTGCAGCTCCAGTCCCCACGCTGGGACTGCAGCTCCAGTCCCCCCGCTGGGACTGCAGCTCCAGTCCCCCCGCTGGGACTGCAGCTCCAGTCCCCCCGCTGGGACTGCAGCTCCAGTCCCCCCGCTGGGACTGCAGCTCCAGTCCCCCCGCTGGGACTGCAGCTCCAGTCCCCACGCTGGGACTGCAGCTCCAGTCCCCACGCTGGGACTGCAGCTCCAGTCCCCCCGCTGGGACTGCAGCTCCAGTCCCCACGCTGGGACTGCAGCTCCAGTCCCCACGCTGGGACTGCAGCTCCAGTCCCCCCGCTGGGACTGCAGCTCCAGTCCCCCCGCTGGGACTGCAGCTCCAGTCCCCACGCTGGGACTGCAGCTCCAGTCCCCCCGCTGGGACTGCAGCTCCAGTCCCCCCGCTGGGACTGCAGCTCCAGTCCCCCCGCTGGGACTGCAGCTCCAGTCCCCCCGCTGGGACTGCAGCTCCAGTCCCCCCGCTGGGGCTGCAGCTCCAGTCCCCCCGCTGGGACTGCAGCTCCAGTCCCCCCGCTGGAACTGCAGCTCCAGTCCCCACGCTGGGACTGCAGCTCCTGTCCCCACGCTGGGACTGCAGCTCCAGTCCCCCCGCTGGGACTGCAGCTCCAGTCCCCCCGCTGGGACTGCAGCTCCAGTCCCCCCGCTGGGACTGCAGCTCCAGTCCCCACGCTGGGACTGCAGCTCCAGTCCCCCCGCTGGGACTGCAGCTCCAGTCCCCCCGCGGGGACTGCAGCTCCAGTCCCCACGCCGGGACTGCAGCTCCAGTCCCCACGCTGGGACTGCAGCTCCAGTCCCCCCGCTGGGACTGCAGCTCCAGTCCCCACGCTGGGACTGCAGCTCCAGTCCCCCCGCTGGGACTGCAGCTCCAGTCCCCACGCTGGGAGTGCAGCTCCAGTCCCCCCGCTGGGACTGCAGCTCCAATCCCCACGCTGGGACTGCAGCTCCAGTCCCCCCGCTGGGACTGCAGCTCCAGTCCCCACGCTGGGACTGCAGCTCCAGTCCCCACGCTGGGACTGCAGCTCCAGTCCCCACGCTGGGACTGCAGCTCCAGTCCCCACGCTGGGACTGCAGCTCCAGTCCCCCCGCTGGGACTGCAGCTCCAGTCCCCCCGCTGGGACTGCAGCTCCAGTCCCCCCGCTGGGACTGCAGCTCCAGTCCCCACGCTGGGACTGCAGCTCCAGTCCCCACGCTGGGACTGCAGCTCCAGTCCCCACGCTGGGACTGCAGCTCCAGTCCCCCCGCTGGGACTGCAGCTCCAGTCCCCCCGCTGGGACTGCAGCTCCAGTCCCCACGCTGGGACTGCAGCTCCAGTCCCCACGCTGGGACTGCAGCTCCAGTCCCCCCGCTGGGACTGCAGCTCCAGTCCCCACGCTGGGACTGCAGCTCCAGTCCCCACGCTGGGACTGCAGCTCCAGTCCCCCCGCTGGGACTGCAGCTCCAGTCCCCCCGCTGGGACTGCAGCTCCAGTCCCCCCGCTGGGACTGCAGCTCCAGTCCCCACGCTGGGACTGCAGCTCCAGTCCCCCCGCTGGGACTGCAGCTCCAGTCCCCCCGCTGGGACTGCAGCTCCAGTCCCCCCGCTGGGACTGCAGCTCCAGTCCCCCCGCTGGGACTGCAGCTCCAGTCCCCACGCTGGGACTGCAGCTCCAGTCCCCCCGCTGGGACTGCAGCTCCAGTCCCCCCGCTGGGACCCCATCAAGTTGAGACCACCTGCACGTGCTCACCTTCAATGCAGCTTGCTCTGCCTCCGCTCCTGTTCCCGCCCCCCTGCAGCTCCGCCTCAGGCACCGTCTAGCCAGCACCTCAAGCGCAGTGGCACTGTCAGGGAAGTCGGCCGCCATGCTGCCACACACCTCCTCCTCCACCGCATCCAACCCCTTCAACTCTACCACCCGCCTCCGCGCCCGCCCCGCCTTCCCCCCTGCTCCCTCCCCTTGCTCTGCTCCTTGCCCCCCCTCCGTGTTTGCTGCCTTAGCGCCTCCCTCCCCTTTTTCCTCCTCTGCTCCCCCCTCCTCCTGTCCGTTCTCCTGCCTTTGTTTCCCTTCCCCCTCTCTCCCGCCTTCCTCCTCTCCCTCCTCTTGCTCTGCCTCCTCCTCTTCTGCCGCCTCTGCCTCTGCTTGCCCGCCGCCCAATCGCAGCGCTTCCAGCAGCGCCACGTGCAGCAGCAGATCTTTGGGATTTGATTTGATTGCGGTGCGGCACACCACGGTTGCCACCTGCACTGCCAGCTCATCACTCGAGACTGGTTTGCTGCTCCCGCCCTTTCCTTCGCTACCATCCCCTTTACCATCCCCCTTCCCATCACCCATCCCAACCTCCTCCCCCTCCTCCTCCTCATTCCCCTCCTTTCCCTCCCCTTCCTGCTCCATCCCTTCGCCCTCCCCACCTCCCACTCCCTCTCCCCCTTCCCCCTCTTTCCCTCCTCCGCCTTCCCCCTTCTCTCCCCCACCCTCCTCCGTCTCTATCCCCAGTAGTAGCTGTCTCGCTTTAAGCTTCCGTGCATGAACCAGCTCCATGCGCAAATACTCGCTCCACAGCAGTCGCGAGGCCTCCAAAACCCGGGCAGGCACGATCGAAATGTTCCCAGCCTCTGAAATCGTCACACCTGCCCGCTCCACACCCGCTCCTCCCTTTGGCCCTTTTCCAGCGAAACCTGCGCCCCCCCCGCTTCCCCCGTCTCCCCTCGCGCCCTTCCCCCCGCCTCCCCTTTCGCTTCCCCCATTCCCCCCAGCGGAGAGCTGCGGGCAGCACATGCGCAGCCCCCTCTGCAGCAGCGTGCGCGCAGCAGGCGCGTTCATGCGGTGCGTGAACTCGTAAGACGCCGCATACAGCCAGAGGGAGGGCTCCGTGGGGTGGAGCTGCAGTGCACGTGCCATGGTCTGTCCGGTGGATAAAAGGAGGGACGCAAGAGTATGGCGGAGAGGGAGCAGGTGCGTTTAAGCGTGGATGAATTCATATGACGCCGCAGAGAGCAAGAGAGAGGCCGTCGTGGAGTGAAGCTGCAATGCTCGTGCCATTGTCTAGGGGAGAAGTAGGGGACGGGGTATTGGAGGGAGGAAGCAAGTTCATAACCCTCTGTAAAACCCCAAACCCCTCTACAGCTTTCTTAAACTCTCAGAACCCCTGCGCACTTTCTGCGTCTGTTGCCTCAACTGAGAAGCCTTGCAGAAGTATAGGTGGTTCCAGGCCGCTAGCTTATACGCACAAGTGCTGCTTGAACCCATGTGAACCATTTGACACCACTCCTGACCCCTTTGAACCCTACAACTAACAGCCCGGAACTCCTGCGTACTTTCTGCATCTGCTGTCTCGATCCTGACGCCTTGAAAAAGCCAAGGTAGCGCATCCAGAGGTCCAGATCGCCCTTGAACCCATCAGACCTGCTTGCTTACACCGCTGTGAATCTTAGCACACTCCTACTAAGCCTCTCTAAAACCTGAAGATCCCTCTCAACCAATCTGAACCCCAGCGTACTTTTTGCATCTGCTGCCTCGACCCGGACGCCTTGCAGAAGTCGAGGTAGTGCATCCAGAGGTCCAAAGCGCCGTTGAATCATTGAGACCTGCTTAAACCCCTGTGAACCGTGCCACACCCTTCCTAAGCCCCTTCAAACCCTGATAAACCCCCTCAACCGATCTGACCGATGCGCACCTTCTGCATCTGCTTCCTCGACCCGGACGCCTTGCAGAAGTCGAGGTAGCGCATCCAGAGGTCCAGATCGCCCTTGAAGCGCCGCGTCGCGCGCGAGAAGATGAAGAGCACGCGCTTGATCACCGCCACGTCACTCGCGCGCTCCGCCGCGCGCTGCCGCCGGTACCACTCGCGGCTGCCCTGCTTCCCCTTGCGCCGCAGCACGCCGTCCGCGCGCTGGCGGAAAGCCTGTGCGCGGAAGGAGAGGGATAGTGAGGAGAAGTTGGCCCGCGGGAAGCGAATAGGGGGGAGAACGTGGATGTAAGGGCCTCGTGGAACAAATCGCACTCGCAGGGGATGCTACAAAAGCATCACAAGAAGGTCCTTAAACCACTAATAGGCGGGCGGAGTGATTAACGCGCACCTGGCGGCGAATCGGGTCTCTCCTCCGCAGCTGGCGCAGCGCCTCGAGCTGCATCTCGTACTCTATATATCGCATATAGTCGTCCTTAATCGCCGCGCTGCCGCGGCGCCTGAGGCGGTACTCGAAGGCGGTGCGGCGGCGCACGATCTCTTTAATCTCCTCGCGCGTAAAGAGGCCCTGCTTCTCGAGACTGTCGAGCTCCGGGAGCATGCGCTCAAGCACCGTCTGCACCGTGTCCGCCATCGCGCCGGATGCTGCAATGCGCGCACCTGCTGCTGCGGAACGCGCGAACTGGCTACGCTTGGCGAACTGGTTCCTGCTTGAAGACGTTTATATGATGAATATATATTCAGAGTTTTGGCGTCGTGGTTTCGTGGTGTAGTTGGTTATCACGTCAGTCTAACACACTGAAGGTCTCCGGTTCAAGTCCGGGCGAAGCCAATTTTGGTCTTAATCACGTCCCCTTTTCCCTGAATTGAGCATAATTCTCTACGTGGATTCGTGCTTTTGCCGTTTCACCACCATTTTTGCTCTTTCTTCCTGCTCGATAGCCACTGCGACGTATCATCTCGACCGTCCATGGCTCCAACAGTGTGCGGCATCTGCGGCGGCGATGCGAATCTCGCCAAGCTGCGATCCTGCAACACCTGCGACACCGTCGCGCGTCACACGTACGTCATGCGACGCACCTGCGCCAACGTCGCACGCGGCCACGCATACGGTCATCGCAGAACCGTCCGATCTTTCGAGCATCAACGGCCTGGATCGCCTAGATTTAGTCCGATTGTATTCAATGTTACCTCGTTTTAAGGAATCTCCATGTATAAGCACATTGCTTTAAGCTCACGCCACGTGGCTGCAGGTACTGCTTGGGTCGAGTAAATCTGTCCACGTGGCAGTGCAGCAGATGCATCCGATTGGGTGTGCCGCCTCCCGTTGCTGACGCAGACACTCTGATGGCATACGTGGGACGAGGAGGAGGGAGAGGCGCAGAGAGAGCAGGGGGGGAAGGCGGGCGAGGGGGAGTGGGAAGCGGAGGAGGAGGAGCAGCAGGAGGAGCAGCAGGAGGAGCAGCAGGAGGAGCAGCAGGAGGAGCAGCAGGAGGAGCAGCAGGAGGAGCAGCAGGAGGAGCAGCAGGAGGAGCAGCAGGAGGAGCAGCAGGAAGAGGAGGGGCAGCAGCAGGAGGAGGAGGGGCAGCAGCAGGAGGAGGAGGGGCAGCAGCAGAGGCAGGAGCAAAAGTAGGAGCAGAACGGAGGGCGAGGGAGGAAGCTAGATCGGGAACAGGAGGAGGATCAACGGTCGGTCTTCCCTCGACTTATCACCAAAACGTGACTGTTGTTCTAGATCTTACTGCTGACGATGAAGACGGAGCAGCCGATGTGACGGTTGATTGCAATGCAGCACAGCCATCAACCACACCAGCTGCGGCAAAGGAAGCAAACGCAGCAAAGGCAGCAGCGGCACGAGAGGCAGCAAGCGCAGCAGCGGCAGCAGAGGCAGCCATCCCGCAGTCTTCTCAGGCGCTGCAAAGCCCGGCTGCATCACTGCCGTTTGATTCCCAGCCCTTCTGGAGGTGAGCGCGAGTGAGAGCGAGTGAGAGGGAGTGAGAGGGAGTGAGAGGGAGTGAGAGCGAGTGAGAGGGAGTGAGAGCGAGTGAGAGGGAGTGAGAGGGGGCGAGAGGGAGTGAGAGGGAGCGAGTGAGGGGGTGGGTGGGGGTAGAAGAGGGCGTGATGGTAGCAGAGGGCGTGAGGGTAGCAGAGGGCGTGAGGGTGAACTCAAGCGCAGTGCAGGAACACGCCTTTGCTGTGCTGCGCTTTGCTGCACTGAATGGCGTCCCTGTTGCATCCTTGTGACCGCTCACCACCTATCCCTTACCACCTGTTGTGACCGCTCACCACCTCTCCCTTACCGTCGCCACCCAAGTCTCGCTCGTTGCTGTTTCTCTCTCACTCTCTCAACCTCGCCCCCTCGCCCTCTTTCCATCCTCTCGCCCTCTTTCCATCCTCTCGCCCTCTTTCCATCCCCTCGCCCTCTTTTCATCCCCTCGCCCCTCTCTTGGCATCATGACTGCTTAACTCTCCCTCGTGCATTCACCTTCCGGTTCTCTGTCTCTCCCCCTCCCTCTCCCCTCCCTCACAGTGGACCTCTCTTCGTCAGAACCATCGACGCATCTTTCCTCCCTCTTGTATTCCCCGTCTTGTTCTCTGTCTCTTCCTCCCCCCCCCCCTCTCCCCCCCTCCCTCTCCCTTCCCTCACAGCGGGCCTCTATTCATCAGAACCGTCGATGCCTCTCTCCTCCCTCTCGGCACCGTCACCGCTCATCTCTCCCGCACCGCCGTCACCCAGGTCTCCCTCGCGGCCGCCTCCCTCACCCACGTCGCCGCCAACACCACCGTACCTAGTACCGCACCTACCGCCACGCCTCCCGCCATACCTCCTACTGCCGTACCTGCCGCCGCACCTACTGCCGAACCTACTGCTGCTGGGGATCCCACCGACCCTCCTGCCCGTCTGAACGCGCTCATACTGCAGGAGAGCAGGCGCAGCGACCCCGGGGCATGGCCGGCCGTGTTCACAAACGCGCTGCTCTCCCCCGCGGGCATCTCCTTCCCCCACGCCGCCTTCTTCCTGCTGGGCGGCTCTGTTGGTGCAAGTGATGGGTCTACTGAAGCTGCCACAGCTGGTGCACGCGATGGTGTTGCTGGTGGTGGGGGTGCTGGTGGCTGGGAGGCTTGTCACGGGGCAGGAGGAGACGCGTTTGCAGCATATGTGGGGGTGAGGATGAGAGCCTGGGATGTGATGTGTGATGTGGTGCTGCCGGGTGTGGCTCGAGTGAGCTTCTACTCGTCTCACCTCATGTCGCCCGCATGTCAGAGTGAGTACGACGAGTGTAGCTCCCCTCTCCTCTCACTGCTCTTCTTCCTCCTCTCTCTCATTCTCTACCCGTCTCCCTCACCATGCCCTCTGCGTGTCAGAGTGAGTGCAGGCCTGGCCCCCTTTTCAGTGCTTCCCTTCCCCGTCTCCCACCATCTACCCGTCTCCCACCATCTACCCGTCTCCCACCATCTACCCGTCTCCCACCATCTACCCGTCTCACCTGTCTCACCTCATGCCCTCTGCGTGTCAGAGTGAGTGCAAGGGCGTGTCCCTGTCTGTGTTCTCTTGTTCCTCTGCATCAAAACTTGGTGTTAGCTTGCTCATTGCTGGTCCCTTCGTTCCGTCCATCCTCATATCGCTCTCTCCCTCTGTCTGTTCGTTTCTCCCACAATCTCTCCACCTCTCAACACTTCACCCCTCCCGCCGCCCCACATCCCGCATCACTGCTTGCTGCAGATGCTCTGGGTCGACCGTTCCTGTGGGCCGTCTGTCGCAGCCTTACCACCATGCACCACCAGCAACCGCAGCCTTACCACCATGCACCACCAGCAACCGCAGCCTTACCACCATGCACCACCAGCAACCGCAGCCTTACCACCATGCACCACCAGCAACCGCAGCCTTACCACCATGCACCACCAGCAACCGCAGCGGCCACAGCAGCAGCAACCGACACCGGCACTCATGATTCCTCCTGGTTTTGAATAGTGGAATTTGTAGAGGGATTTGTATTCCTCCTGCATTTTTGGTCTAGGTCGGCCATTCCTGTGGGCCGTGTGTCGCATCGCAGCCTTGCCGCCATACAGCAGTGCCCACAGCCACCACAGCAGCAGCAGCAGCAGTGCCCACAGCCACCACAGCCACCACAGCCACCACAGCCACCACAGCCACCACAGCAGCAGCAGCAGCAGTCACAACAGCCATACAGCAGTCACAGCAGCAGCCACATCAGCAGCCACACCAGCAGCCACATCAGCAGTCACACCAGCAGCCACATCAGCAGCCACACCAGCAGCCACATCAGCAGTCATACCAGCAGCATCAGTAGCAGCACATGCTGCATGGCAGGAGGAGTCTGTATCTGCTGCAGCCACAACCATGATTGCTCCTGGTTTTTTGGTAGTGCAATTCTGTACGTGTTCACATTTGGCTTGAGACTTACATATTCGGCAGGGATTTGGTTTACCCTTTTTACTAATACAGTAGCTTTATTTCAATTTCAAAGTGGTTTGTTTTGCAATTTTTGTGCAGCATACTGAACCAGCTTCTCCACCAGGTGCTTGAAGGCTGATTGATTGAGCCACTCGTTTGATAATAACAAAAATACAACCATCACCAACAGTCATCCCACTCCTCATCTACAGCCCTCCCTGAATGATCCGTTCAACCAACCACTGATTTCCATAAATCCATGTTCCTACTGTAAAATAACTCCCAACCAGCAGCACCAGCACCACAGAAAGCACTCACAACATGCCATGTCAGCTCTATTCGAGCTCAAAGTCGCCCTTCACATCCTCCCCTGAGGGCAGAGCAATGTGTCCCTGATATGCCTCTGCATCCGCAACCATACCATTCACCACATCCGTAACAGTCTTATCCGCGTTCGCCCAGTAACCAGCCGCAGCGTAGCTGTAACATTTGCCGTCGGGACAATCCCCATCGTTGTCCGTATCAGCGTCGTTCTGCTTGAAGCCCGGCTGGCCAGTGGTTTCGCGCCACGTGGCGGGGAAGGTGAGGGCCACGGAGCGGCCGCGAGTGATGGTGGCGTTGGTGGGCGGCGACTGCTGGGGGAGCTGCTTGGCTGTGAGGATGTAAAGCACGTTGAATGCGCCAGCAGTGGTGCTGCTTGCGGGGGGTTGGGGGAAGTGGGAGAGGAAAAAAAGGGAGTGGGGAGGGGAGTGAGGGAGTGGTGACTGCTGGGGGAGCTGCTTGGCTGTGAGAACACAGAGCATGTTGAATGCGCCAGCGGTGGTGCCTGCTTGGGGTAAGAGTGGGGAAGGGGAAAGAGGAATGGAGGAAGGAAGTGAGAGAGAGATGAGTGCTGGAGGAGCTGCCTGACTGGCTGTAAGGATGTTCTCAGGATGTGAAGCATCTTGAAGGCGCCAGCAGTGGTGCTGCAGAGTTGACTTTTGAGCCGACTCAAAAGTCAACTCAGGATGTGAAGCATCTTGAAGGCGCCAGCAGTGGTGCTGCAGAGGGGGAAGCAGTGGTGCTGCAGAGGGGGAAGCAGTGGTGGGGGAGGGAATTGAGAGAGAGGTGAGTGTTTTGGGATCCGCTTGGCTGTTGGGATGTGAGGGGTAGAGAGAGGATATGGGCAGAGGGTAAACAATAAGCCTCTGACAAGTCTTGCAAAGTGTTATCAGTAAGTTTACACACTGGTTACAAAGCGATTTAAGAGTCGACTCAAAAATCGACTCATTACACGCAGGTTACAAAGCGGTCAAAAGAAGGAATCGACGAACACTAAATCGACGACCACTAATCGTACGTCAGATGGCAGACCCTACCATTGGTAACATCAATAGGGACAACATAGCGATGAATTTACCCTGGAAAGTCAAGTTACCGGAAGGTGAAGATGTGGATTTCCCCTTCGATGTCGTCGTTGTTCTGACCCTCCAGCTCAGCCTCCAAATGGGCTGCCACGTGGCACACAGCCATTGGTGCAGTCATCAATAAAAAGCATCAGGGAGACAGGGAAGAAATGTAGAAAGAGGGAAGGAGGGCGGGGGGAAACCAAGTGAAGAAAGCGTGGGGGAAAGAAATGACAAAGAGGTTGATGGAGAGTCACGGAGGAGGAGCAGATGAAACCACGTGGTGAACAGAACAGAATGCAAGTGATACACAAGTTGCAGAATGACAGTACAGAATGACAGTACAGAGGGATGACGAACAGCACGGGCGAGCATGGGAGGCCATCGGTTAGATGAGAGACACGCACCATAGAGATCTCCCAGCTCTGCTCCCCCCGGTCCTCCCCCCTGCCCCTGCTGTGCCACCCGCGGAACCTTCTTCTTAACCTTGTCAGGTGCGCCTCCTGGCCCTCCCGGCCCCCCTCCCCCTGCTGCTCCAGCTTCCCCAGGCCCCCCCGGTCCTCCCCCTGGTGCTGCTCCCCCACCTGGTGCTGCTCCCCCACCTGGTGCTGCTCCCCCACCTGGTGCTGCTCCCCCACCTGGTGCTGCTCCCCCCCCTGGTGCTGCTCCCCCCCCTGGTGCTGCTCCCCTCCCTGGTGCTCCGCCCCCCTGAGGTGCGCCGCCCCCCTGAGGTGCGCCGCCCCCCTGAGGTGCGCCGCCCCCCTGAGGTGCCCCGCCCCCCTGAGGTGCCCCGCCCCCTCCCCCTGCTGGCACAGGCGTTCCCCCCCCTGGTGCTGCGCCCCCTCCCCCTGCTGGCATCGGCATTCCCCCTACTCCGCCTCCCCCCCCTGGCACAGGCGTTCCCCCCCCTGGTGCTCCGCCCCCTCCCCCTGGGGGCTGCTGGGCGCACGCGGACGCTGGGGTCCACGAAGAGGGCGATAAAGGGTCACAGGGTAACAGGGTCACATGGAAGTCGGGAAAGAGCGAATCAGGGAAGGAAGGATAGGCACGGAACAAGAGCGAAGGCAAAAGGGAAACAGGGAGAGGGCGAGAGGTTGACAGGGCGAGGGGAAATGGAAGTGGGGAAAGAAGGAAGGGGGGGGATGAGAGGCAAACAGGGCGACCAGAGTAACAGCAGCAGGAGAGTGGCAGGAAAGCAGCAGGGGAGTGGCAGGAAAGCAGCAGGAGAGTGGCAGGAGAGCAGCAGGGGAGTGGCAGGAGAGCAGCAGGGGAGTGGGTTTCAAGAGAAGTTCACACGGTAAACAGGAACTGAAAACTCCCGAAAGCTCAGCCATCCAACAGCCAGCAATCATGTGACTATTACGAGCATGCAAAAAGCAGATTAGACCAGAGTGTGCAAATAGCAGACACAAGAAGCGCGATCAGATCAGACAAGATGAGGACCACTGGCAGGAGGCCAGAAACTCAATCAAATAGCGAGTCAACTATAGCGGGAAAATTTCACCTAAAGCGCAGAACACGACAAGGAGCGTCAAGAAACCCATGGCGCTCCCTTGCGACTGGAAAGACAAATACAGGCGGGGCGAAGAGACGCCGCGGGCAACGGATATTGAGCAACAGGCACGGACAAGCGAGAGATTGAGGCCTCGAAGAGTCAGTGAGATACGATTCTCAGCAGAATGATTATATAGTAGCAACAATTCCGTGCGGAAACGCGAGCGGCGCGAGAAGTGGAGGGCCCGAAGCCGACAGCCGGAAGCCGAAAGCCGGAAGCCCGAAGCCGACAGCCGGACGCTGCAGCAAGTTGAGCGCGAGGAGATTGGCTGACGTGGCGAGCGACGATGATAAGAGCATCCGATGGCGTAGACCTCGACGCGGATCCTGGGTCGACTTGATGGAGCTTGGGGAAAGAAAGCCGCATTCTACTCCATTGATTACTCCTAGATTATTCCAAACAGTCCCGCCATGTCACTTAATATTCTTGTTGGAACGACTTGAAACCTCGAAGACTGTTACACGCCTCGGGTACATTAAGTGAAGCGCCTCGACACATGCTGCATGGCGACACTTCCTCGACATGCTCCGTGTGATCCACGGCTCTACTGCCGTGCCGTTAAATACGAGCCTCGTACGATCAGGTCGCTGGGATTAGAGAAGCCTGGTACGGAGCGACTGAACGACGCTATACAGCGTGGCTGAGATCGAACGTCGGCGTTAACCGAGCATCTGAACGGCGACTGAACGGCGTTACACAACATGCTTGAGATCGAAGGATGGTCGAAGCAATTCAATTCAGTGGCGCGATTCTGGAGGGATTGGCGCTACATAGGCCATTCATGGATCCTCCGACGGCGTGATTGGCGCCGCGCTCCTGGCAGCGTGGTGAGGCGCAATGGAGCACATCCGAGGCTGACGTGACAACGCTCCCCACCACACATTCGCAGTGGCATCGGCGATATTGGCTAACTCGGGCTCTGGTTACGAAATCGCCCATGCCGATTCCGCCGACTCCACAAATCGGCCGCGGTCCTGGCGGAGCTTGAACGGAATCCTATCGGCTGCTTTCGCGCGATTGGCGGCCATGAACGAAGACTGACCTCGCGGAACTCGACAGGGGCTTGGCGATCTCTACAAACATGGTGTACTATCTACCATCGGTTGGGATATTCCATGTGCGCGCCTGGTCCAACCAGGCCCGCAAGAGTGATGTTTTTCCCGCTACGGTATTACCTTCCTGCAGAATTTGGTGGTGTCAGTACAGTACAGTACAGCGATGAGAAGATGCATGGACGTTGCGTTTCATAAAACAATCCGAGAATATAGTTCTACTCTAAAGATTCTTCCCTCCAATATCTACTCTACACCTACAATGCAGAGTGCAAGGAACCCCCTGAGCAAGTTAATATGGCAGGAAAACCAGCACACGGAAACACCAGGCCTGTACATACGATACCAGTGATCAAGCAAGCTCGAACTTCCCATTCACATCTTCCCCTGATGGCAAGGCCACATGACCCCGGAAAAATTCAGGATCGTCAACCATCCTGGTTACCAGATCAACAAGGGTCTGGTTCACATTGGGCCAGTACCCCGCAGCTGCGTAACTGTAACACATCCCACCATTGCAATTCATCATGTCATCATCCTCCATCTTGAACCCCAGCTGGCCAGTGGTTTCGCGCCATGTGGCGGGGATGAGAAGCACTGTCTCGTTCTGCTTGCTGGTGATGGTAGCGTTGGTGGGGGGTGCTTGCTCCGGGACATGCGACACAGTGATGACGTACAGGAGGTTGAACGTGGTGTTGTCAACACTGTGTGAGAGAAAGGGACACACAGGGAAGGGCAACAAAGTCAAGCAGCTTAGCGTTGGCGGGGGGTGCTTGCTCCGGGACACGCAACAGTGATGACGTTCAGGAAGTCAAACGTGGCGTTGTCAACACTGAGGAGTGGAGAAAGGGAGAGAGAGAGAGACGGGGGTAGGACAACAAAGCGAAGCAGCTTCAGGGCTTCAGGGGACTGGGGGGGAAAAACCAGGTGGCAGGAAAGCATGAGTTAACCCACTTGCTTCGCACAGCTAGATTCAGAACATAGGTGCGTACAACATGAGAACAAAGCATCAGGCAAAAGACATGTGGAACACTACATGTTTCGACATAATGCTTTCCTCTAAGGTACAAGGAATGGAAAAACACTTGTCGAAAGTGGCTCATGTGTGTCACCTGAAGGCGAATATGTGCATACGCCCTTCAATGTCATCATTCTGCTGACCTTCCAGCTCAGCCTCCAGATGGGCTGCCACATGGCAAAGAATGATTGGATAAGTACAATGCAGTGAACTGTCTGATGACCTACAGGAAAATAGTACTGACGAAAAAAGTATGATAGGACGAATTGGAATGAACGGGCAACTGGAAGTCGAGGAGGAAAAAAACTACGAAGGCATGGGGTTGCAGGAGGTAAAACAAGCATAACAAGAGCAGGACGAATCAGCGCACCATAGAGGTCCCCAGCTGTCCAGGCGCTCCCCCCTGCCCCTGCTGCGCCACTCGTGGAAAGGGTCCCCCCAACCCCCCTGTTGTTGCTCCGCCTCCCCCTCCCGCTGCAGCTCCCCCAGGCCCTCCCCCCGCTGCCACTCCGCCACCCCCCCCTGCTGCCACTGGGCCGGGGCGCGGTAGATTCTGAGCGCAGGCGGATGCTGGGAGGGGGGAGGGAGTGGGGTAGGAAGGGGGATTCAAAGAAAGGGGAGAAAGGGGGAACATATAAGGGGTTTGAATGGCAGCGAATACAAACAGGACTGTGCAAGTGGAGCTTGGGGAGACTATTGGCAGGGAGAGATGATAAGAGAAAGTGGGAGAAACAAAGAGTGGTTGGAGAGATGGGAAATTAAAGAGACTCGCTCAGGGAATGGGTGGGGAAATGGGTTACCCAAAGCGCAGAACAAGGTGAGGAGAGTCAGCACAGCCATGCTGACGAGCACGACAGCAGAGGGAGGATACACAGATCGAAAATGGTGTGAGAAGAGTAAAAACCGAATGATGAAGGGCGAGCAGGAACAAGAGCGGTATAACTGCGCTCCCAGGTCTAATAATTTCACAAAATTGCGAGCGAGGGACATCGACGCTACTAAGCTGGCAGCGTTCCTCCCTTCGATCGCATCCCCGCGCGAGCGCATCAGCGTGCATGCCGCGCAGCTTCGACATCGCGCCGTGTCGCCTAGCACGAGCCTCGCGGCCGTGTCCACCTGGCACGAGCCTCGCGACATCACGCCACTCAGCACGAGCTAAGCAGCCAAGAACCTCCAGCCTGACAGACAAGGACAGCTCATGTCGTGTGGAGGCGATACATTTTCCTCTGCATACACCATTCACCGGAAGTTCTGGCAGGTGGGCGCGTCGGAAGAATCAACATGCAAACCACGCGCAGTTCGTCGAAGACCAGCACGCCACGCGCAATCAGCGGAGAGGGCCACGCAGAACCTGGTACAGTAGCTGGATTTGTGATTTAGTACTACGGACAAAAACTTCAAAACGAGTTTAGAAAAAACGTATGCGGGATAGCTTTATTAGAAATGGCGACGTGGTGTACTCTCGTGACTTCACTCTAAGGTTTGCTGATATCGAGAAAGCTTGCTGTTGAGGTCACAATTCAACCTCGTGGCAGCTTGAATCATTACTACACCATAGGTCTCGTGTGAAACTTGGATCCAGTGAAGTGTGGTGAAATCCCGCCAGTACAGTAACATGGGTGCTAAGCAAGCACCCCTCTTCATCACCATCAGGGGGTAAGAAATGTTTTTGCAGCTCCCTCGCAACAAAAAGGGGTCCCTCAACGTGAGACACAAATACTGTATAACAGAGAATAAACAGAGTTCAATATGAAATTACCTCTTGTAATTTGACTAGAAAGCTCTTTTGAGTTGTTATTTCATTCGTTGTCTAGCTGCGGAATCTTTTATATGCAGTAAAGGATTGGCCAACCATTCGGGTCCTACCCTGCCAGCACATCATAGCACTTTCTGATGTCATGGATTGCTTGCATCGAGTCTGACGTGTGATGCATGTCTCAATGGACGGGAAAGATGAATCCCCCTTGGCAATTTTGAGCCTGGACGCCTACGATTCACCGACAAGACGGGGGCACATCTGGCGCATCGTTCCGTTCTGCCACTTTCGTGCAGCTTCGTGCATTTTCATTTCACCAATAGCCATCCAGCTTTTCGCTCGACCTCCCCAACTCTCCGTCCGAACGAACATCTGACCAGCTTCCCTCCCCCACTCCATCCAGCTCGCTGTCGGCCACAGCTGGCACTGCTCACCGCAAGGAAGCCGATGACGTTTTTTTGTGTGCCCGAGCCTGTGAGTTTTATTGTCAGGTGGTACAGTTCAAGTCCCGAGCCTGTAAACAGTCAACGAGACTGAAAAGAGGCACTGTACAGTACAGCAAGGACCACGGAGCCACCTGAATATATCGGGCAGATACATCAGGAACAGAGCAGACGCGGGAGGTTGAGCAGACTGGACAGATACTGTAGATGCAGCAGACAGTCAAACAAATTTGGACCAAGCCAACCGTTCTCCTTGCCTTTCTCCCACGCGTTTGCCCAAGTTGCGCCGAACCAACACCGCCATGCGCACCAGCTGCTGACGTTTCTTTCCCCTCCCAGTTTTTTTTCGGCTGCGCCGAACCCGTCTCGATTGTTCCCGCAGTTTGTTGGCTCGTGGAGTCGAGTTCTCTGGAATTGTTCAACAGGCACCCTCGCCCTGGGTGCTTTCTGTTGTGCGTCGGCTCGGCATTACGTTTTGCTTCTAGAGGTGTCCATCGTCGGCGAAATAGAGCCCGCTTCCGCCTCCCTACTCTACCACCACCACTACTACGCTTCTTCCAGATAGTGTCTCACAGCTCTTATCCATGCACAGGCAACGGCATACATTCCGAGCACCTTAGCTGGAAAGAATTCAAGATTTTACTCACCGTCGGCTGGTTCAAATTGAGCTCTTTAGTGTCGAAGCAATGAAACAGCGCCGTCGTGATTCCGATATTCTACCATTTACCAGTTCGCGCGAGAGCGAACTCAACATAGGAGTAGTCACAATGCCCGTGGCTGTGCAAACACCAGGGCCCGCTCCGGATTTGGCAAATGCTGACATGACTCCTGACAGCACCCCATCGCCGACTCCTTTCTGCCATGATACCAGGAGTCGAAGAAGGGCGCTCCGATACTCCCCTTACGTCCTGAAGAGTAGCAACAGTTCTGAACCGGGGACAATGTGCGAAAATAAAGAAATCCCGCTTCCGTCGCTTGCGTCTGCGATTGCATTCGAGCCGGCCGAGAGACCTGAAGAACCTGCAACAAGCGCCAGTGATTCCAATGACGTGGGACCTTCAGAAAAGCTGCTCGAACAGTCAGGATCCTTTCGTGGGCTTCAGATCGATCCAGAATGTGGCCAGGAGCCTGATCTTGGCGTCCCGAGTTTTTTGTTCTCCCCTCTTGTGAAGCATGATGCTGCTACATCAAGTGACCCAGCTACTCCGCTGTTGTCGAGGCCGCCTTGTCAACCGTCGCCGGAATCGCTTGCTGCGTGCGTCACTCCCGTCGCCCAGCGTCGCACAATGGACGCCTCTGTTTCGCTTCACTGCCCTGGAGCCCCTCGCAAGGCGTCGCAGGGCTTCCGCGACCGTCATGCGTTGACGCGGCGGTTGGCTCTTGCGTCGCAGCGAATGCAGCAAATGCTTTTTGCCGTTCCAGTCTGACGTACTGCTAATATGCCGGATCTGCGGATATTTCAACCCCGATCTGCTACGGTAATTTAAGTGGACTGACTGGTGGAGATCGCGTAAAGCGCCAGGACCCAAGCATTTGGGATTACTTTTATCCGACATCAGAGACTGCGAGATTACTTTGACTGGCCGGTTTCGACGCCACTGAACACTGATGTGACATCCTAAGCCGCTGATCTCCTGACCAACATGCTGGCTCCACTGATTGTTCCTCCTACTATCCCTCCATGCCGGTTACCCCTTCTTTCCGTACTTCTTTCTTTGTAGGTGTTTGGTGCACTGATTTCCTTATTTCCCAGTGCTGACATGTACAGTTAGTCCAAAAATTTTAAATTTAACTAGAAATCTCTCCTGCTTGTAAGCCATAATTTGACAATATTTTTTATGTTTTTTTAGAAAGTGTTTCGTACATGCTTAAGTTATGACAGAAATTATTCAATTACACTGTTGATGTGGTCCTATGGTCTAGTGGTTATGACGTCAGACTCTGAATCTGAAAGGCCGAGTTCAATTCTCGGTAGGACCTCCTTTTGTAGCTTCTTGCCTGCCTTCCCGCATCTAAGTTTACTCAGATATTTTTTTAGCTCCTGGATTTGGATGGGACGTGCAGAGCAGCTCACTTCCGTCTCCACTGGTAGTGCATTTTCTTTGCCACCTCCGGAACTCTCGAAAACCAGCCGTCGTTGCTGGTAGCTTTTAAGGCGCATAGTTGCTCCTTCCCGCGTCCTGTAACATAGGGCTCGTGAGCCGCTTTACACTGGAATAACATCGTAGCTCTCTGGCAGTCGCCTAGCGAGCGCGGGTTTCCCGCACTCACAGGTTGCGTTTCCAATGCCGGTTGTGAGCACTACCCTCGCAGCAGTGACAGAGGCAGCAGCAGCAGCAGCAGCAGCAGCAGCAGCAGCCTCTCCAGGCTGCGAAGGTTTCCTCAGCACTTCTGGGTTGAGGAATATTATCGCAGTTGCTGGCGGCAATGTCAATGCTTCTCGCGGCAATGTCAACGCTGCCAGGCTGATTCGAGCTGCCGGTGGTAGAGGCGTCAGATGCGGCAGAAACCACACCAGCGTGATCCGCGCAGGGAGCGTTGCATCAGCTGCATCGCCTTGCCCTCGCATTCATGCCGCGGCCAAATCCATTCGAACCACTCCTAAATGCTCTGTCGAATCTCGTGTCTCCGCTCGTTTGCGGGAGCCTACAGCAGCTTTCACGCAACAGCACTCCCACTCACCCTCGGGCATTTCTCTTCAGCGTAGGTCCGACGGGTCTATATTTGGTCTCGGCCTCTCTTCTTTCCTTCGCGCATCCACAATCAAGCGCGACTCTGGTCATAGAATGTCCTTGGTCCCCGCTGCCCTGATTCCTGGCGAACATTCCGGTTCAGATGGGTTAGTTCTTGCTTCAGAGGCGTCTGAACAGCAGCAGATCGGTTCAGAGGAGACATTGGCGCGGAGTGCGATCGTCTCCATGAGGGAGAGTTCTGAGCGGCGCGAGTCTGACGCTACCAGCCGATCAGAGGACGAGGATTGGTCGGCGAATCCTCTCACCCAATACGGCTGTTTCGCCAAATTGCGGCAGCAGGAGGAACGGGAGAACCTGGAAGTTCGGGATACAGAGAAGGAACAGAAGGAGGAGGAAGAGGAGGAGTTGGGGTCAACTGAGAGGTCCGAGGAGGAGGAGTGGGACGAGCAGAAGTTTCTTCAAGGCAGAGCGAGAGGGCGGGAGTGCGCGGGGAACCTGCTTGCCGTGTTAGAGAGCGAAGAGCTTGGCTTCGGCGGCTGGTACTGGAGCAAACGCGGTTTGAAGTTCAGTAGAAGGAGGCTTGTACGAGGCAGGGCGAGAGGCGGGGCAAGAGGCGGTTTCGGAGGCAGTGTACGCACGAGGAAGTGCTTCAGCCGCGGTTTGAAGTGCAGGCTGAAGGATTCCCCCGCTGGTTTACCCTTGAGGTGCGCATTGCAGCGTGGGAGGAGGAGGGGTGCTGGTGGAAGGGTGGAGTTCAGCAGGAGGAGGAGAGCTGCATTGCTGCTGCAACGCTTGCTGCCGGTGGTTCAGCCGTACAGTAATCCAGTTTCTAGGAGGTTCAGAAAAAGAGGGGCCTTGCGGCAATTCTTGCTGCCTGTGGTGCCACCTGTCAGGAGTCGTAGGATGGGTGGGGACGGTAGGGTCGGCAATAGCAGCAGGGTCGGTGTGAGCGGGATGGGTTGTGACATGTTGGTTGGGAGCCATGACAGGGATGCGGCTCTGCAGCTAGCGAGTGCGCTTGAAAACAGCGCTGTGGAAGAAGCATTAGGGGGAGGTGCAAGGGGGAAAGCGGGAAAGAGGAGGTTGAGACGGCACGACAAGGGCTGTGACATGGTTGATCTCAGCCGTCGAATCCACTCGCTCATCTCCCATCCCCCTCCTTCTCTCATGCGCCTCGCCGCCCTCACTGCCTCCACCTTCCCTCCTGCGGCCTCGCATTCCCCTCATGCATCTGAGTGCTCTCAAGCGTCAGATGCTACTGGTCGTGACTGTGCTAGTCAATCACAGCTATCAGATTTCAGGGAGGCATTTCGCCGAGAGGTTCTCGCTCCGCTGCCGCTCTCGGTAAGTGTTCCCTTGCTGTAGCATGACTCAGGAAGCTCTACTTTCTTTGCGTTCCTTAACCTGGGAGACACCTTTTAACTACTGAAGAGTCTGAAGACCGCTGCTGGGATGAGCAGGCATCCGATTCCAACCTTATCCACTCGATCCGTGTTGACTTTGTCTTGCCTGAGATCGCAAGCAGGTGCCTGATGTGGACGGTTCTGATGCTGCCAGGTGTCAGCTCACCAGCTCACCTGTCTGCTACCGATTCAAAGACAATGTAAGGTCAGTGTGGGACTGGACATGCTGTGTATACCTAGTGAAGAATATGAAAATGGCGATTTTTTGAATTCTCAAACTCTCCCAGGAATAAGAGGGAAGTTGAGCCAGGCCAGTGTAAACAGTGCTCATTGCTTCTTGCGGTATGGTTTCGCATCTCGCCTCCTAATTTCTCGTCCTTCCTCTTCCCCTGATGACATTGTCTCCCCCTCCGTGCCCTACTTCTCGCCATGCTCCACTTCCCTCCATGTTCCACCCCCAACGCCCCTCCACCATCACCCACCCTTCAACAGGACATCAACCTCTTCTTTGCTCTCCTCTTCCACACCATAGCAGCCTTCTCCTCTCAAGCCATCGGTTCCTCCCCTTCCTGCTCCTCTTCCCCCTCTCCATGCGCCTCTCCTTCCTCCTCTCCTCCCTCCTCTCCTTCCTCCTCTCCTCCCTCCTCTCCTTCCTCCTCCTCGCTCCCCTTTCATTCCTCCTCCCATCCCTCCACTCCTCCTTCCTCTCATCCCTCCTCGCCGCCCACAGCACCGCCCGCCATCCATCTCTCCCGCTTTGACCTCTTCCACTGCCACCTCTTCGCCACCCTCTCCTCCGGTCGCCTCGGAGCCCTGTAAGCCACCCGCCCCTACCATCTTTAGAAACTTGTTGCCTTTTTTTTTTTTTGAAGTCTTCAAAATCGCCGAACACTCCTCCGGTCGCCTCGGAGCCGTGTTGGCCAACCCCCCGTTCCGCCTCTAGGCACTTGTGATGCTTTTTTGAGATGTCTTAATATCGACGACCACTCCTCCGGTTGCCTTGATGCCCTGTAAGCCACTCGCCCCTTCCGCCTCTAGGCACTTGTGACTCAGCTCTGCAGCTCAACTTTCTTTCACAAGGTCTGTCAAACACCTTACCAGCACGCACCGAATGCCTGCCAAGATCTAATGGGCGGCTCTAACACCTGCGCCTAGACACATTTGGTTCAGCTCAACAGGTGTGCTTGCTTTCAGGGGCCTTGCCAGCACACACCGTGTGCCAGCTGCAGGGACAACTTCTATGCACACAACTGCAGGAGAGCGCTTTTCCCGGTCCCCTTATGGCTCATCAACAACAGCTCTTGCTCATATTCGCCTGCACGTAACCCTGACTTGTTCATATAACCCTGAATCACCTCATCAGCACTCAACATCGCACTTGTTTTGAATCGCCTCCTGTGCCATCGTGCCTTGGTGCTGCCTCCTTGGTTCCACGCCAAGGGGTATCCTACCTTTTGAGACGTCTCAAAAACAAGTTATCATCACCTGCCGTGCTGTTGTCTTGTCTTGCACAGGTTCCACGCCAAGGAGTATCCTGCTTTCTGCACCGACTCCTTCCCCGTCAACCTTGGATTCTGTCAATCAGGCCAGTGCTGAGACACTAGAACCTCAATTGCTTCCACTCACTCTTATGTCCTTGCTCGCACCTCAAACACCCCATATCCCCATTCTTACGTCCATGTAGCCATGCCCATGTCTCACATGCCACCCCATGCCCATGCATGCATGCATGTCCCCATGCCTCATGCAGGCTCTCCTGTGCCCTACGATGCCTCCATGAGCTTCCGGAACATTCTCTGGCTCGCTCCATTCCATGCCAGCTGGCGCCGCAGCACTGGTAGCAGCAGCAGGAGTGTCGGTAGTTGCAGAAGCAGCAGGCGAGCTGGAAGGGGGACAGCTAGCACTAGCACTAACAGGGGCACAGCAGCAGAAATTATTGATGGCGTTTCCGTTCTCCAATCTGAGTCTGCTGTGAGATGGTCCATTGGCTCTGACACATACCTGCCAGGTGGGAATCTGGCAACATCAATTGGCATACGCATACTTCGCCTTATGTCACGTTGTTTAAAGCCATTTGGGAATGTTGTCTTATACAATTATGCTTTTCTCTTGCCCGCTATACTTTTATTTCTTTTCTCATAGGTTCCCTTCACATTCTTGAGACAACTCCAGAGTCCATCTTGCATGAAGAGCTGGTTTGTGAAGCGCTCAAGCTTACCCACACTATCTATGAGAGTGAGTATCCTTTTTTTTTGCAAAGCATGCTAACCATTGAATCCAAAATTTCTGTGGTTGAGACGGATTGTTTCTGTGCAGGTGATTTTGGGTTCCCTTTCTTGGATGTGAACTACTTAGCTGTCGACAAGGCATTACATTGCAAAAGGATATTTGCTTGTTGACTTTTGTAACCATTAGTAGTGGCGAGTTTCCATGTACCAAATGATACCGCGAATCAGGTGCTCATGCCTTTCCCGCTTGGGGCCTGAATTGCAGATCTGGGCCAATCACAGGGTTTCGGCCACGTCAAAATTCATTGTTTTCCCTGATCTCATCGCAACAGCTCACCAGCTCCCACTTTACCATCTCCCAAATTCGCCTTGGGATTCCATTTCCGTGTTCAGCACACAGCTTCAGGAATTTCTTTCAGGTCGGTAAAAACCACCAGATTCCTGTTCGTGCTGGTGGATTGGCGAATCATTTCAGAATTCTTGCGTGTCGCGTCAAGATGGCGCCATCGAAGGTCCTTCTCCTCGGTCTCGGCCTCGCGGCACTGCTCGCAGTGGCCGCAGCTGACGGCGATTCCGATGTCGTCGCTTTGAACAACGACAATTTTGACGACTATGTCGGCAAGGAGGAGGCTGCGTTTGTCAAGTTCTATGCTCCTTGGTGAGATATCTAAGAAGGATTTGAACTAAAAAAGGCATTCCATCAAAGAGGGCGAAGTAGATCTTTGATTTTAATCCGGTTGCGTTTTCTTCAAGACATCTCGTCCTCAATGCTTCTGGAAGTATGTGGATGTGAATGTTCAGTGCTTTGCTTTCGGCTCTACGACGTTTTACACGCATGTGATGCATCGAGCATGTCTTCGTTGGTAATGATTCTCTTTCAGGTGCGGTCACTGCAAGAAGCTGGCCCCAGACTATGAGACCTTCGCCACGGCGTTCAAGAAGACCAAGTCCGTCGTCATCGCCAAGGTATGCTACTGATCGTTAGGATTGACCTGCGAGCGCTAATTCTGTTGAAGTGCACAATTTTTTATTACCGTTTGTAGGCAATCGCAACCACTGAGTGACCTCGTTTCCTCTCCGTTACTATCGTTGGGCTTCCAGGTGGACTGCGACGAGCACAAGGATGTGTGCAGCAAGTACGGTGTGAGCGGCTTTCCCACGCTCAAGTGGTTCCCGGCTGGCAAGTCCGAGCCTGAAGAGTAAGCCATTCCCGTCATTGATGCTTTATCCTGCTCTGCTGACAATTCTTCTTGAGAAGTTGATTGTGTTCTTGTTTTTACTTATGTTTCCTGTGTTCAGCTATAAGGGCGGACGAGACGTAGCGGATCTGGTGGAGTTTGTAAACGAGAAGCTCGGTGCGTCTGTCTTTCCCCAAGCATCTCTCGTTCCCACTAGATCCCGAGTCAGCTGATTGACTTAGAATTTGCCTTAGAAGCAAATCTGATTTGTCGTTCTGACGATTCTGGTGCAGGGACACACGTGAAGATCGCGGCGCCTGTGTCGCATGTGGTTGCCCTGGACCCATCCAACTTCGACAAAGTGGTTCTGGACACCACCAAGCACGCTCTCGTCGAGTTCTACGCTCCTTGGTACGAACCTCCACCAGTTTGCACCAGCAAGCTTGCTCCTGGTTTTCTGCAAAAAGAAACATGAATCTGTATGCTAAACGTATGTTCTTCATTTCGTATGACCAGAATCTTGGATTTTTGCACCTTAGCGTACGTGTTGTGAACGTGCAGTGAGGATGGTTCGCAGTGTTGAAGTTGTGTCCGAGATGCTTGCATCATCTTCAGTGTAGCTAGTACCGTTATGCCTCCGCCTCCTCACTCACCCTGTTAAGAATCTCACTCAGAATATGTTCCATTGTAACGATTTCTTTTCCCTACTTCCAGGTGCGGCCACTGCAAGTCCCTTGCTCCTGTAAGTCGTCCGTTTGTCTTTAAACCCCTCCTTGTTGCCTTTTGAAACCAACTTTTCTTCCGCCCTTAACCATCCGTCGCCCCACCTCCTCTGCTCCATACCCAGCTTATCTCTGCTCCGTCGGCCTTAACCCAACTTGTTTCCCCTACCTCCTGCTTTTTTTTTTTTTTTTTTTTTTTTTTCCACTTCATTTTTCTTGGTTGCTGTGATTTTTTGCTGTTCGTGTAACTCCCTTGTTGCACATGTCAGCGTCCAGCCTCTATCCCATCGTTTTCTTTGCTCACGGCGACCATTACCCTTGGTACCCCCCGTGACTCTGTTTCGCCATGGCCCGCGCTTCGCGTGTGCAGACGTACGACAAGCTGGGCGCGGTGTTCAAGGCGGACAAGAACGTGGTCATCGCCAAGGTGGACGCTGACTCGCACCGCTCCCTGGGCGAGAAGTGAGTGCCCTCATGTTCTGCCTCGGTCGTCCTTCACCCACATTCATGCATTTACATGTACGACAATTCGTTTCTTTTAAAGCTGGAATTTTCACAGCATGTGTAGGATCCTCCCAATTGATACGCAGCTAATTCACGAACTCTCTCTCGTGCTCTCTCCCTGGTCTATCAACTCTCCCCAATTTCCACTTGCCAATCTGCCTGTCTTCCAGGTACGGCGTGTCTGGCTTCCCCACGATCAAGTGGTTCCCGGCGGGCAACAAGGACGGCGAGGATTACAACGAGGGCCGGGACCTGGCGGACTTCGTAAAGTTCATCAACGAGAAGACGGGCACCAGTAGGACTGTCTCGGGCAGCCTCCTTGAGACGGTGAGCTGATCACAGTGATGCGAAATTGAGTGCTTGTTGGAGAGCGAAGAAGATGCAGTGCAGTATTGTGCATGTGCGGTCGTTCTTTCCCACCAACTGCCCTCTTCCCACTTTCTGTTCTTGCCCTCCGTCCCCCGCGACTTCCAGGCTGGGCGCATCGCGGAGCTGGACGAGATTGCTACTGCTTTCGTTGCTGCGAAGGAGGGAGAGAGGGCGGGGCTCAAGGCTAAGGCCGAGGCAGTGAAGGTGGCTGATGACAAGGCCAAGTGAGTCGTTGGTGGGCATGGATTACAGGGAGAGAGTGGTGATGGCTTAGTGTTTTCGCATGTGAAACAATTGGGAAGGAGAGTTTTCGGTTGGGTTGTGGATGTAGAAGCGGCTTGTGGGTTGGAGATAGGAACGGTGGGGCAGAGGTGGGCTTTTGTGGTGGCTTAGGTGAGCTTGCGGTGCATGGGGGCAAAATTTTCTCCTTAAATTCCATTCATGCATGTGCATCCTTGTCTGCACAAGCAACCTTGTGTGGCCGTCTGATACATTATTTGAACCATTGCTCCACGGTTTCGTGCGTTATGATCCTCCCTTTTTTGGCACCCCAGGCACGCAGCCCTCTATGTCAAGGCCATGAAGAACATTATTGAGAAGGGCGCTGATTATGCTGAGAAGGAGGTTGCCCGCCTCACCCGCGTGCTTGCAGGGGTGAGTATGGTACTTCAAATCCTTACATTCCCATGCGTGACGATCCTTGCATCAAATTCTTTCTGATGAACCTGCCCGAGCATGCATTTTCTTTGTCCATTAACCAGCATGTCAGTGCTAAGTCACGTTCAAAGCCCCATTCAGAACGTGTTAATATGGTTTGTTACTGTTTCCTGAACATGTATTTGTTTCCATGTTCCAATCATTCACTCTCTTCCCACATGTGGTACCGGTTGTGTCTGTGCAGTCTCTCAAGCCAGAGAAGGCCGATGACTTCACCATTCGCAAGAATATTCTTTCTGCCTTTGTTCAGGCCAAGTAGACCTGTGTTTAGAAGCAGGATACTGTTTGGTACTAGAATTGAATGCTGAGCTTTTAGATAGGAGTTTATGTGGAGTTCAATTCACCTATGAGGCACTTCATGGTAAACATGCCGATATGCTTAACTTATCACCTTGTAAGAGGATTAGAGCCCGCCGTGTGCAGATCCGTTGTGATTTAGGCATCACATGGTGGACGGTGGTTCTAGGTGTTCACCATGATGGAGCATGAAACACCAAAATTTACCGCAGTTTCAGGTACTGGTTGATATTTGTGGGGGCACAAATATCTCTTGCCTGTTTATCTTCTCACCGCGAGGAATTCTTTTCTGAGGACGCGTCACAAGTAAAATATCGAGGAAGGATCAGGGTTGTTCACCGAACCTGTCAAACCGATCGCCATATCGGTGTGTCACGACTGCTTTGAAGTTTCAAGTGACACGGTCGTAAAAACATGGGGCAAAATTGCCCGATGTGGACGAAATTGCACGATCGATGTGTGACAGGGGCACATCGATCGCCTGACTTAGAAGGGAAAACTGTACGTTAGCGAAAATAAACGAAAATTTGTAACCACCTAAACACCGATTCTAGGCAGGATCGATGTTCTACTTGTGACGCGTCCTCAGATGCCCCCAACTTGGTGGCGCACTGGAAACATGCGCAACGACCCCACACACGGATCAATCAATCTATTGGCTAATCGTTGTCGCCAATCGTCGTCAAGACAAACGAAAAAGCGGTTACCGCTTCTCGAATCGTACCTGCGTGCGACGGGAACAAGATTGGCCATCAGTTGGCAGCACTACAGTTGCACGATTTGTAGAAGCTTCGCGAAGCCCACGCTGTGCATCGTTTTTGCACAGTTGCTCCTTGCGAAACCAGCAGCCATGGTCGCCTCGCGGCATGGCGCAAACGAGACTACACTCAAAACACACGAGCTCGTTCTAATGGGTGGGGACTCTCACAGCTCCTCTCGCTTTCTCCGTCTTTATCCGAGGATTCGCCACGCTGTCAGTACTCGACCAATCTTTCCTCATACACGTATTGATGGCTTCTGGTACCTTCTTTTTCACTATTGCTGGAATAGCAACAGCCAATGAGAGCTGTCGCGCCTTTCGACCATCAGCTGCTGTACCGTATCTCAGCCTTGGAGATATTTTTCCGACGTAAACCACTTCTTGCAGTCCACATCACAAACCGAGCGGTCAGCAGCACGCGCGCTTCCATGTCGTTAACTCACGATTTCGCGATCCTGGGCGATGCAATCGTCCTCCTGATTCGTTTTGGTAGCCAGCCATTCCCGAAAGCTCCTTTCTCTCTTGCAACAGCGACTCTCTTAATTAATTCATGAGCTGCAGGAAACAAGGCCATTACTCTCCGTTGCCGCCATGGGTTGTGTTCGTACCATGAAGCTCCGTAGACCTTACACCTCTGAACCGTACACGGCCCCTCCATCTCCACAACGGTCCTCCTGCCAACCATACCAAGCCACTTCCACCGAGCTTGATACGTTCAGCATTGAGTGGGAAATTCTCGATAGCGTCGCGCCAGCGTTTTGCAGTCCCGTGTGGATTGTGACGGAAACCGTCGACGCTTACGTCTTCTGCGTGGAGCAAAGAGGCTTCCCGCTGCAGCGCGTGCGAGTTCTGCTGGACAGACGCGAATGCCAAGAGCTTGACGGAAACAGCTGCAAGGAAGAAAATACTGATTGTCGCACAACATCATGCGACCAGAGCAGCGACTCATCTCAGCAGTCATCAAGCAATCGCCTGAATATCAGCAACATGGCTTCCAAAAACAACGACGCCGCGTCTTCGATGCTTACAATCCTGTGTGACTTCCATGCGACGTCGCATGCTGCCTCCGAGGGGAACGTCTTTCATCAAACGACCGGCAGGCGGTTCAGACTGCCGCCTGACGCTGTCGCAGAGGACTCGACGGCCATGCAGACTGCGACAGGATCGCTGGTCGTCGCCGTCCCTCGCTCTCCGTCAATAAACAACGGCTCGTCATCCAATACAGCTTCTTCTGATTATCCTTCTGGGAATTCCTCTCGGCCAAGATATGGCCAGTGGACTGTTCACGTGGCATCAGCAGCGTCATCAGTGCCAGCCCCTTCACAGTTGCATTCAGAAAGGCAGCACGAGCCATCTGCTGACCCGTTTCAACATTTCAATCTGGACTTGCTTCAAGAGCTGAGGGTCTGACTGAAGGGCGTTTGAGCTGATGCAAATTGGCTGCATGTAATGCTGGAAAACATCAGCCTGTACAGTTTAGTGCAAGTTCTCTATATACAACGGAGACAAACCTTCTCAATCATTATTCAGTGGCAATAATTCATCTGACATACTGCTAGCATAATCTGTGCACATCCTGTTACCGGTATCAAATAAGCTTGTGACATGCTACAAAACTACCCCTGGGTTAAGGTTACGAAACAAATAAATTATTCTTCGCATACCAAGAAAACAGGTCATCTGACTTTGAGGGAAATAATCTTTCAGATTTTCAGGTTTGCAAGCTGCTTGGTTTCAGATTCTCCCGCCGATGCCATACTGACCAATCAGCCAAGGACAAGTGACAAGGCTTCCGTGCTGCTGCTGACAGTGCCAAGGGCACCATGTCACTGGTTCGTGTTGCTCCACATGCCCCTAGATGGACACGAACACAAATTGGCCAACAAACAACACGTGAAACAGGAAGAGCAAAATAGTTGAATGTTAGGCCAGACGTCAGTGTCACAGGGGCAGCGGAGAAGCTGGGCAATGCTTGGCCAATGCAGGCTTGACCAGCGCTTGTTTCAGCTGCAAGGAGCAACAGGCAGCCATCAGAGTAACTATGACAAAAGGCCATCATGAGCAGCACAGCTGCTTAGGCTACAGTATCATGTGACAGCCAAACTCGCGGACACACTTACAGCCTAGGGCACCAACACAGTGAGCCACAAACAGTGTGGGAAATTAGTCAACAGCAACGGATCACCCACCTGATTATAGTCCAATAGGCTACTCTTTGTGCGACAGTGAGCTGATCGGCTGCTATTTTCTGTCCCAAATAAGAGCATTACAGTCGCAATTATCTCCCCATCTTCAGACCCTTCACCCGTGTCCCATCGCTTACCGTCACCGTTCCATCTGCTTTCCCATGAGATGCTCCGCTTGCTCCCGAAGTTAGGTAACATCATGGAAGCCCAACAAAAAGCCCAATCCGCATCACCCTGAACAAAGCCCCCTGCTCATCACCAAGAGCCCAACTTAAAGCTCCTGTGTCTTAGGGTTCCACCCGCAAGCTCACACACACCTCCTGGGTCACCTTGACTCATGTTCGAAGGGCAGCAGTCAAAGCTCTCACACACACACCTCCTCGACTGCATCACTCGCAATCCACCATTCCCCAAACGCCAACATAAATCCTCTTACACTTCATCCAGATCAAGTCCCCGCTTAACTCCACCAACCATTCCTCCCAACACCTTCAACCATAACAACACACCGTTCCCACCCTCCCCACCCTCACCTGAAGCACGGGCAGCACCGGAACCACTGGAATCGCCATCATCACCGCTTGTTCTCCGCGCAGTGCTGCCGCAGGATCTGCAGCAGCGTCTTGGCCTCCGAGTTCTCAGCACTCGTCTGCGACACGCGCACCAGCGACGGCAGCACGCCCTCCGCGAGCAAGTCCCCGTACGTGACAAACCCCATGGCCGCCAGCTGCAGCAGCACGGACGCCGCGTCCTCCTTCACGCGCGCCGAGGACCCCTCGTCGAGAAGATCAACGAACATGGTGAGTCCGTCGCACTCCACCAGCGACTGGCACCCTTCGGGGAACCGGGCCAGGTTCGACAGCACTGCCGTGGCTTTCTCTTCCAAGCCTGGCGGGGGAGGGTCGGCGGAGTCGCCCGAACCACACATGCCTAGGAGGACCTCCACAGCTCCGGCTTTAAGAATATCCCGGGCGCAGCGGACCTGCGTGGAGAGAGTGAAGAGCGCCAGAGCGGCATCTTTCTTTGCTCGCACCGTGCCGGTTTTGAGGAGAGAGATGAGCGCAGGGATGGCCCCCGACGCTCGGACCATGAGCTTGTGATCGTCCTCTTTGGAGAGGGCAAACAGAGTGGCAGCAGCGTTGCCTTGCGAGGCCGCTGTTCCGTGGTTGAGCATGCCTACCAGCGCGGGTATCCCGCCTGCTCGTACAATCTCCCCCGACGCGTTCCAGTGGAGGGAAAGGTTCATGAGAGCAGCCACGGCGTGTTCTGCTGCTTCTAAGTCGTCTGATTCGATCACTTCGACTAGAGGTTCTATCCCCCCTAGCTGCACCAGCTGCGCTTTGTTTTCCGGGCAGCCCTTGATCGCTGTCCGGATGTCTCGCACGGCTGCCCGCCGGTCCACACCTGACCCGAAATTCAGCGCCTCCACCATCGGGCCCATGTCCCGCCGAACCGGCGCGCCGCCCGGGTCATCATTGCTGCCGCCCGGCATGCTCATCATGCTGCACGTGCTGCGCGCGCTGCTGTTTCTCTGCAGTCGCGGCACGCCCGGAGCACCACCACCGCCACCTCCTGTAGCAGGAGGACCCTGGGGCGGCTGTGGGGGGTACTGAGGGGGAGGGGTCATGGGGGGGGTGGCATGGCCATACCCCATGTCTACATCTTGCATTGTGGGGTTGGTGGTGGATTTTCTGAAAGCCCTGCCGGCCGATGATGTGCTCTCCACGTCCACGTCGTGCAAGTGGGGCGACGGGTTGGTCGGCGACTTTCGGAACGTTCTGCCGGCCGACATGGCCTCGATATCCGCCTGCCACTGCGGGATGGATGACGTCAGCCGTTCCAAACCCTGCCCCTGCCCCCCGCCATATCCGCCCCCGCCCCCGCCGCCGCCTCCGCCAGCAGCAGCAGCTGCGCCAGCAGCGTTTTTAAGCACGCCTTTCCGCAGCCCCTTAGGCCTGCCCGCGGTGCTTCCGCTAGGCGCCATTCCCGACCCCGCGCCCCTCCACGGCTCCCCCCCGCCCCCGCCCCCCTGCCCGTACTCCCCCCCGAACGCGGCGCCCGAGGTCCTAGGCCGCTCATCGCCGGGATTCGCGGCGAACTGCCGCCTGCCGCCGCTGGCGCTGCTCGCGCCGCCCATGCTGCTCCCATCAGTAGAGTCCATACCGAAGTGCCGTCGCCCGCCCGTGCTGCTCCCGCTGCTGTTGCTGCTAACGCTAGGAACCCGCCCGTGCCCCACCGACCCCGGCCGCTGCGGCAGAGGGGACATGCTCGCGCCTGCTCCGCCTCCGCCTCCCCCCGCCAAAGTTCTCCCCGCTGGCGCCAGGTGCTCCCCGTGCCCGCCGTACTCCTCCTCCCCCCTCCCCCCTCCCCCGCCCGCCACCCTATCCGCGTCCCGCTCGGACTTTTTCACCTTCCTGCCCGTTTCCGACTGGGACCGCATCTTCGCGCTGCTGCGCAGCGAAGGCGGCGCCGCCTCGTCCGCGTCGCCCGACGACGGCGCATCGGCGGGCATCCTTAGCCCCGCGGCGCCTCTAACCCCATCCGCTCCTATCTCCGATAGTAGCTTATCCCGCTGCTTCCTTGTCATTTTCATACTCCTCCCCTTCATAAGATCTGATACCTTCCCCTGACCGCCACCCCCGACGCCGCCGCCGCCGCCGCTGCGGCCTAACTTGAGCGCGGAAACTCCTGCGGAAAGCTTCCCCCCCACGTCATCGTCATCGTCGGCGGGAGATCCGAACCCATCTTCACCGCGCGGAAAGTACGATAAATGCCGCTGCAAACCTCCTGCCTTCTTAGGCTTGCTGCTCTGCGACGCTATAGAATCCCATACGGCTTTAATATCCGTCGGTCCCTCCCCTCCCTGCCCATCCCCGCCCATCGCCGCCACTTTCTTTGACAGGTTCGACGGCAGCGGGCTGACGGACCTCCCCCGCGCCTTACCACCGGCGTCCGAACCACTTCCCGAGCCTGACGCCTTCCGCCCTCTCTCCCCTTTGCTCTCCTCCCCGCCGTCCGCGCTCTTTTTCTTGACCACTTTTTTCTTCCGCACTGCCCCATCAGACAACCGCTCGGGATCGTGGTCGCTTGGACCGCTCTCCGAATGAGACTGCGCCAACAGCGAAGGGGGAGGTGGTGTTTTCGGCCGCAGCTGGCTGGTTTTCGAGGAGCTTTTTACCGCGGATTTTTTCACTGGGGCAGTGCTGGGTCGGGCAGTTGAAGTGTGGCTGCCCGAACCTTGCGCCATCCAATCAGAGATCATGCTTTTTAGGGCAAAGTTCGGGCAGAAGTTTGTATGATCAATTCGCACTCCGGACTTGGGACACGTCCGCTTACCCTCCGCGAACCACCGCTCGATAGAAGCACGCTCGTACGTCTGGCCTGATGCGATTATAACGGGGTCAGTCATGACAGTTAACGACAGCGGACACATAAACTCCTCAGGTATTGTCGGACCGTTTGACTCCGCCTTCTTACCGCTGCTGCTGCTGCTTCCGCCGCTCTCTTTCTTTTTTCTCGTCGGCTTCGCTTCCCGTTCTTTTGACGGTCTTCGCCGCTCCTGCTCCCCTACATGGTTATCCTCCTCCCACGCCTGATCTTCATGGCGATGCTGACGCCGCTGCTGCCTTTGCTGCCTATCTACAGTGTTTTCCCGCTCCCAATTAGACGCTCGGGGTTCGTCGTTCCATCCGTTGCCGTGGTTGTCTTGATAGTCATCTTCTCGATGGTAATGATCCGATGATTGCGACGCTGTCTCCCAGCTGTTACAGGTTGCCGGATCCATGATACGCGAAAACAGCTAGGGTTCTGGTTTGGAGGGAAAAAAGGGAATAATTTTCACGAGAACACAAACAGAAGGAAGGCTGGTGACATAATCGTAATATTGCTCATTTCGAGTTCATGCACCCGAGCAGGAAAAGAAACACGTCCAAATTGTGCATGTTTTATTGCTTCCGCAAAGAGACGATGGAGGAGGAGAGGCGGATGGGGAAAAAAAGAGCTAGGTAAAAGTCCTGGTGGACCTCCGATTCACAAGCAACCATTAATGCAAGATACACACGGAAAGGCGAAAAAATGCTGACTAAATGCTAGAGGTATATCAAAAAATTAGCTAAGCTGATGAAGAGAAATCAATGACTTCAGACAATGGGGAAAGTGAAACTGGACAAGGTTTACATGCTTACGTCGTCGGATGAGAACTGACTCCGTGAAAGCTCAGTAACTGCCGGATAACGCTCTCGACTAGCGGAACCAATATTTCTAATGGTAGTTGCGAGAATGGCACTCAAAATCTAACAAGATCAGCCTTGGCTTGCTTAGTATAATCTTTGCTCAGATCATTGTCATAGACATAACAGCTACTTCCTAACAAAATAGTTCTCCACAAAGCTTAGGCCTTGGCAACGTCTTCGGCACCACCTAACTACCGCCGTTCACGGTATCACGGCCGTGCTATAGCAATCCTATTTCACAGCATAAACGCTTCCGGCGGAACATTCTGGACGATAATGAACGAACCAGCTACGAAGAAGGAACCTAAGTTTTCGCCTTGCTGTCAGTGGTTCTTAGGGTTACGAAATGGGGAAAGGTCCCAGAGCTTGCTAGTGCGGAAATGAAATGCTGTTGGCTGATCTCATGGCGGATCCATTCCGAAAGACAGCTGATAGGGGAGTGCTGCTTCTGAGTCGCGGTACTTTTTATCCTAAAAGCGGAGGTTATGATGAGTGCCGTGTGGGAGTTGACAAGTGTTGGCCTGACAGTTTTAAGCGTCATGTGGTAACCCGACGGACCGAGGGATGCGATGAGTCGGATGGATGACCGGACGAGATGAGCCGAGATTGCTGCTGCACTTCCAGTTGCAGGTTGGTGGTTTGGAATATATATCGGCCATTTTCAGGTGCATGCATCTTAGTCTAGGAACTGTATTCAGGTGCATGTCATATTATTGGGCAGGTTTGTACACTTTACGCAGCTTAGAAACGTATTACTTTAACATACACAATTACCAATATTCGTTCCAAATTAGCACAAACAGTTGATAATAGATGCGATTTCGGATTTCGCAAAGCGAAATCGGAATAGTTGGCTCTCAATTCTGCATTTTCTGACGTCACCTGAAGCAATCATTGCATGTTTGCCCGATTTCAATGCGAGTTTCAGCTTTGCCCCAACTCTTCTTTAACAAACACAAATGCTAGATCAGCTGTACGGATGCCGCGGGTGACGACCGCTGCGCATGGCTAATCAACATTTTTTTCTTGGGCGTGCAGAAATTTGGGAAGGGTAATCCCAAAAATGAGAAGTTTGCCCGAGTGTCTGTAAAGTTTGCCCCTAAAAATTATAATGTTCGTAAGGTACATAGTATATTTTAATTGTCTATACTTACCATTTATGATTTTTTGTAGCGTATGTATTTTATAGCGTTAAGGGAAACTCAATTAGAACTCGGGCAGATTTTTCACGTCTCGGATTACCCTTTCCCAATTTCTGCACGCCCAAGAAAAAATTGTTGATTTGTCATGCGCAGCGTCCGTCAACCGCGTCAACAGTACAACTGATCACGTATTTAGGTTCGTTTAAGAAGAGCTGGCGCGAAGCAGAAATTCACGTCGAAAGTGGGTAAAAATGCAATGATTGCTTCTAGTGACGTCAGAAAATGCAGGATCGAGAGCCAACCATTCCGATTTCGCTCTGCGTAATCCGGAATCGCGTCTATTCTCGACTGTTTGTGCTAAATTTAAACGAATCTTTGGAAGCGCGTAATTTTACGATAACAGATTTCTAAGCTGCGTACAGTGTACACATCTGCCCAATAACATGGCATGCACCTGAATACATTTCCTAGACTAAGCTGCATGCACCTGAAAATGGCCGAATATATATTGCACTGCCTGCGTCAGCAGGCAGTGCAATCGGGTGGGTTTGGGCTGGATGGGAAACCTTGGAAGTCGAGGGAAATGCGGGCAGACGATAAGAGCAGATAAGAACCGCTTGATTGGTCCCAGGGGCGATCGCGAGCGAGGCTGGTGAGCGAAGGGAGAACAATTGGTGGCTGGGAGCACGACGGGCAGGAAATTTAGGAAAAGCGGAGGAGGGCAAGCAGACAGATTATTGACTGGATCTTTGGGAGGTTGGTGGAGGCGACAACGACAATCTAGGCATGGAACTCACTCCTTGTGATGCTTATAGTGTTTCAATTTATCCCTCTTCCAAAAATACTTCGGTTGTCTAATAAATGACACCAAATATCATTTGCATAGATTTGAGTGTGCTGCAAGGACAATGTGGCAAGGTGCATCCACCCATTCATAAATCTTCCCGTTTTATTCACTGGAGGGCATGCCAAATAAATGGTTGGGTACTGTAATTTCAGCCATTAAAGCTGTACCCCGTCAATAAATACCAAAGCTGGCATAATCAGTAGCTGGCCAATGTCTGGCTGACATTGACACGGCCAGGCGACGCATTCTTGTTGAACTTGGACCACTTGAAGTCCTCGTACTTCTTCCCAACTCCAATCAGCCCAAGAGCGCTCTCAGCAGGCGAGTTATCCGTCTCCTTCACTCCAATATCTGTCGACTTAAAGCCCTTTGCTGGCCCATCCACAGCAACCAACTCGCCATCGTACGACAGGAACTGAATCACAGTGGCAGGGCCATTTGCCGGCTGTGAAACGAGCGCCATGCCATCGGATGGACCATTCTGCAGCCCTCCTTGAGCGTACGTGTTGCCATACACCACGAAGCCGTTCACGTTGGTGGGAGGAAGGTTGAACTTGGAGAGTGGAAGCTTCCCATAGGTCTTCCCGTTGGCTCCGTTGTAGAGGTAGATGGTGAGGGTCGAGGGATCCACGCCTGGACTCACAACCACCTCAATGAACTGTATTGGAGCATTGGGGAGGGAAGGGAGAATGAATGCAACGATGGCAAGAGAGAATGAGTATCACGGCTGCTAGTTAGGATGGAACTTATTAGTTGCAGGGTTTGGTGGGCAGGTGGGCTTGGAGATAAGTAGGGGTCAATGGAGTAAGAAGAGTGATTGGAGTGAGAGGGATTCGGGTGGACAGAGCGAGACGATAGAAAGTTTAGTACAAAGAGAGATTGGGTGGAAAGATTGGTTGGATGAGCTCGATAAGATGGAGCTAGGTAGACAGCCCTGTCAAGTCCAACTGCTGTGAAGTGGGTACATGCAAGAATGTTCCAAGAGACGCTTGCAAAATACTAAGTACTTCCTCGTTGCCTCAATGCCCTTCTCTCAAGTGACCTTTCCTAAACCTCCCTTTACCCTCCCAACCTCATCCCAACCCTCTTCTTCCCTCCTCACTCCACCACCCACCTCGTTCTTATCCGGCCCTTCATTGCTGTAGTGAATTTCATTGAACCATGCCTTTGCCTGCAAACCAGGCACCCGCGGAGCAGCCACCCCGCTCGCCCCCCCTGCTGCCGCCCCCGAGGCTCCCCCCACCGGCACTCCCACGGGCGGCGCTGCTCCTGGCAAGCTGAACCCGCTTCCCGAGCCTGCGGCCAAGTCTGCTCCCGAGCCTACAGCTGGTGCCGAGGCTGGCCCGGGGGTCCAGATGAGGGAGACGAACTCGGGGTGGTCAACAAAGGGGTTGCGGTTGTGCTGGTAGAGAGAGCACACACGGGCGTTACGCGTGGCCTCCTGTGATGAGGGCGGGTCGAGGGCGTGCCACTTGAGGAGCGGTGAGAGCAGCCCCATCTGGCCCTCGGCTGGAAGGGGTTGGATGCGACGGAGGGAGGGGTAAGAGAGGGGGAAGAGGTAAGGAAAGTGAGAGTGTCACATAGGTAGAGGGGTGAGTGAGCAGCCCCATCCGGCCCTCAGCTGGAAGGGCTTGGATGCGAGTGAGGGAGGGAGGGGTAAAAGAGGGGAAAGGGAGGATAGAGAGAGTGTCACTTAAGACGAGGGGTGAGCAGCCCCCTTGGGGCATCAGCTGGCGCGCTTTGGATGCTGGTGAGAGAGGAATAGCGGGGCACCAGGAAGGAAGAGTGGAGTGGGAAAAACAGTGGAGACAAGCGATGAGCGAGAGGAGAATGGGTAGTTATTAGTGGATCAAGAGAAGAGGAGGTGGGCAAACGGAAGGGGGCATAATCGTGTGAGCTTAGCAGAACCAACAGCAAGGGACAAAAGCTATGCATGGCATACCGATTTTGGGGTCGTCTGAGAGCTCGAGGTCCAGCTCGCCTGGCACGGAGCCGTCGTATCTCACAGCCATGTAGAGCAGGGCGCGTGCTATGTCTCCCCGCACCTGGTTCAAGGCATAAAGGGAAACTCAAGTCAGTGAGGAGAGTTGGCTAACCATTGCAGCTCAGGCATCTCAAACATTGAAGTACCAGAGTGTGGCGTATATGGATACGGGCAAAAGAGATTTACAAGATGCTACGAGAAAGATGGGTTATCATTGCAGGTTGAAAGCGTTGGGGGTGGGTTGGGAAAGGGTTGGGGGTGAAACAAGAGAGAGAGTGAAGCAAGCAGCAAAGCAAGAAAGAAGGGAAGCAAGAAAGGCAGACACGAGGCAAGAAAGCAGGAAAAGACGACAGGAAGTAAGAAAGCAAAGGGGCAAGGATGCAAGCACGCACTTCAGTGGGGGGAGTCCAGACGTCCTTGTTGGTGGCGGTATCTGCTGCTGCCTCCCTGTTGGCCGGCACCATACAGGTACCATCAGTGGACGCGCATTCGCCGTACCACTTGTTGCCTCGTGCGGAGTTGACTGTTTGTGACATGACAACAATGAGGGGAAATGTCGTAATAAGGTTGAGTTTGCGTGGACAGGGGTGTGATAGATAGTCAGCATGGTCCCTTTCCAAATCCAGCACCATCTCACTGTTCCAAATCCGCCACCAGGCCAGCCCAGCACGTCACAACGCGTACCATTGACATCAGCAGGTCTCAGATTGTGAAGGTCGGAGAACTCAGGGCGGCCTTGAGTGAGGCCATAGGAGCGAGGCCACAGATGCTCCCCTGGTGGATGGGTACAAGGAGACAGCGATTTCAGTGCAATTAGTACAATCACTGCAATGTCTACAAATTCCACAACTCATTGCGATCAGTGAAGTCACTGCTTTAACTGCTGTCAGAACAATAGTCGCTATCAGTTGCAACTCACTGTTCCAGCCTTCAGGCGTGGCTTGCGTGTCCTTGGGCACTGCTCTACGCGTGTAGATCTCCACACTGGCCATGGGGACACACAGGGGAAGAACCAGGAATAGTGAGCAGCAGTGGAAGAGGGGAAAGGAAAACGAGGAAGGGAGGGACCATTTGACTGCGCAAAGTGTGCAACATTGTGGATTACTCGTGGTAGTCCCACTCGCGGACAGTGAGGAAAGGAGGGACCACCACTTGATCGCGCAAAGTGCGCGAATCTGTGGACTACTCGTGGAGAGCCACTCACACGTCACGGGATTTAGCAGGATCTGATTGGTCCGCTGCATCAAGAATCTTCAGAGCATCCCATGCCTGCCATTAATACAATCACCGTGGGAGGGTGGGGGATCTGGAATTAGTGAGAGGGGCCAGTCTGCTTGCAAGACACTGACTGATTGGTGGTGTGCGATGTTGAAAAAGGACGAGTGAGCTGTGAGAGGTAGGTACTACAGCCATCCATTGCAGCCCAGTGATTGATTACCCGTTGCAGCTTCTTAGCATCCATTAGTTCCTCGACACCACTTACAACTGATCAATTACCCTCAGTGCTACCTACCTCGGTGTAGGTGTACACTTTGTGACCCTTTATAATGTCGTGCAGCTTCGCCTTTAGCGCCTCCCCTTTCAGCCCCTGCGTCCCTGCATAGTACTGCTCCACATCCTCGCAAGGGAACTTCGTGGAAGCTGCTTCAGCTGACCATGGTGCGAAGCAGGCGGCGGCTGTCGGCGTGAGAGTGATGAGAGCTGCCAGCAGTGCTGCTGTCGCCTTGGATGCAGCTGAGGAGCAAGACAGAAAGAGGGGGGTTTGTGGGTGTGAGGAGCGAGAGCAGGCGAGAACGCAAGGCTGTAAGTTACCGTTGACACGTTCCGTTTTCAGAAAATTTCCATGTTGATTGCGCTTCCACTTCGACTACTCGTAAACTGTTAGAACTAATAATTGATCACCGAAACGACCAATGCTCTCGATCCAAGAATTATATACAGACCAACAAGCATCACTCGAGAAGCGCTTGGACAAAGCACCAAGCGTTGTGACCGAATTCAGGGTCTGCGATCCATAGGTTCCAGGCCAGATGACACCAACTCATAAAGGCAGGCGACAGATGGCTTGCTTTGATCCGTGCTAAGAAGGACCAATGTCAGCGTGGTTTGTCGTACCTCTCTGGCCAGAAGTCAAAGATTCCTGCAGAGACTCCAGCCGTCCGTTGCCATGTCTACCTCGTTCACTTCCCGTCGCGTCAGAGCGAGACGACGCGGATGTGAAGCGTTTGGAGCGGCAAAGAACCGGACCTGCTTGCCTGGTCCCCCGGGAAGCACCCCTGGCCGTGGGGCCCCCAAGGGCTGTGATTTTCAGTGAGCGTACGGAGGAGGAGGAGGTTGTGCTGGCCAATTGGGAGCTTCGTTGAAGGAAATCTGTTTGGGGTCGACCTCCCTGTGGGATGGAGTGGACGGAGAGTTAGAGGGTGGGCGAGACGGGGGTGAGAGAGATGGAGGGGGGATTGCGGAATGCACGGGTACGACGAAGAAAAGAGGGAGTCCAGAAAGTGGGAAGTGGCTTTGACGGGAATCACGGGTACATTGGAACTCACGGCGGTCAATCCGCGAGCGCTCATCAACGAGCAGTCAGAAGCCAGCAATGCCATTGCGAATCAGCGAATCCAACGATTCAGCAGCAGCACTGCGCAAATGACGCGTGAATTCGGTGTTTGGGACAACAGACGGTGAGTAGTCAGCTGCGAACTTCAAGAATCTTGTTGATCAGCATCGAAATGATCGATTTTGAAGGAAACAATATCCATGGAGTCGCAGAGCAACTCTCCGAACGAAGAGCTGATAATGGATGTTGGAATTCTCGAGAATGTGACACGTCATCGAGAATGGTTGCCATCACATACTGGCTTGGGAACCACCCGAAACGTACCTCAGTTCGGCTCGGCAGAACCAGCTCTGCCATATGCGCATCATCCCCGCCAACCTCGAGGGTGGTACTGTGATTGGCTGTATGCTCTGGCCGCCTCCTCTTATTGGCCACCTCCTCGTCAAAGTGAATGTGGTCATGATTTTGATATCTGTGACACCTGGGTGGATCCCTCACGGGCCTGATGGACCTACGCTCGTTCTGCAAGCCAGGCTGGTTTTCCCAACAAATCTCAGGCTCGGAAACATTTCCTCCCTTGTTTAAAAAATGGGACTCCTGGCATGCAAGCGACAAATACTCCTTCATGACCACCACACCACACAAATGCAGACGGAACAGCAAAATTGCACTCTTCCGGTCTCGGTTTTCTGCTCGGGAATCATCAGATAGAGAGCGTCACCGGTACGTTACGTCTCGTTCTTGTTACGAAATGTCGATAGGCATTTCTCTAGGGACGTTCCGCCAGGGTCCCTCACAAGGTTTCTGGTGTCGCCATCCGGCGTCGACAATATCAGCGCCGCGGGTCTCCTGCCAGCCTGCGTCGAGATCGCAATTCCTTACATCTGCAGCTGGAGCTCTTGGCTCGGTCGGAGGAGGCATTAGGTGTAGAAAAAGATGTCAAGAAGGAACATTCAACGGTCGAATTTCGGGAAGCAGCTTTTGGAATATTCGCTGCCTGGCAGAGACCACCTTGGAGCAAGGAAACCAGTCTGATGTAAACCCACCACGCACCGCCAGATCTTGCAAATCAGCTGAAGTTTCTGGTAGACGAGCCTTTCTCGCAGGTGCAGCAGCACTGGCAGCGGTTCCTGTTGCAACTGAGCCGTGGAGGATTAGAAGCTTCACGGAATCTGGAGCTGCACATGCAGCTGTTTTGCCAGGGCGAGTGGGGCAAGGGCCTCTGTTGGCTGCTGTGAGCGACGATGACGAGGACACCATCGTGACGCTTTTTGAGGTGAGGCGTCGTCACCTCCTACGCCACGTGCTGCCCTGTGCAATGGTGTTTCTGCTTGCTTTGCTCATTATGTTCCGGTAGGGCGTGGCCATGTTTAATCGACGTCATTGCCTGAAGTGTCATGTCTTTTTGCATGATTATCTTCCGTTCATCTCATATTCGTCTCCTTGCATGTCCATCTTCCCTGCACTGCACGTTCCCCCACGTCGTGCTTCCAGAACGCAACGGCGTCAGTGGTGGCTATCATGAATGTGGAAGTGAATGGCAGCAGCAAGGGGAAAGGAGGAGCTGGAGAGGAGGTCATGGAAGGAATCGGTTCCGGTTTTGTCTGGGATGAATACGGTCACATTGTAAGCTATTCCTAGTATTACGTTGCGCACTGTAGAACACTGGTTAGTCGTGTTACAGTGCAATGCCTGTCGCGTCGCACTGTACGATCGGTGGTCAGGAAGGCGTTGCAGTGGTTCAGTCTCGGAGGATTTACTATGTAAAGAATGAAGATGGTCAGGTGTATGTTTTGTGCATTCCTCTACATCATCTCATCCACATGTTGATGAAATACTCCCACCTCCATCTCGCTGACGTGGCAGGTCACTAACTACCATGTAGTTGCCAAGCTGGCGAGCGACACATCTGGGCGGCAAGCTTGCAGAGTGAGAATGGGGAGAGTGGAAGGAGAGTAGCGTTGCAAAATTTACAGGGTGGTGCCATCTGCTGCAAGAGGAGGATGTTGTAGTCATTCTAAAGACTCACCACCAGTGCTGTGACTGTTACCTCTCACATCATTATTTTGTCCCTGATCGTACCTCCCAAACGTAATTCTTCTACAATCAACTCCTGCCTCTCCCTCATCAGGTTTCACTACTCACCCCTTCAGGCGACATGCAGACGTATGCAGCTACTCTTGTCGGCACCGACCTGTCCAGAGACCTTGCTGTGCTCAAGGTGACTTTTAATGACATTTTGTCTCCCTTTATGGGCTGAGCTCAACTGGTTTATTGTGGAGGTTGACTCATTCACCCACCTGTGAATTTCGAATTTAATGCCTCGTGCTTTCTGATCTTGCATTGTATCTGTGATGCAAGCAGGTAGACTTATCGCAGCCTGTACCAGCAGCAGCGGATGCAGGTGCAGCTGCAGACGGCGCAGTAGCGGTAGCAGCACCAGCAGCACCGACCCTGTACCCCATTCCTGTGGGCTCGTCATCGGACCTGAGGGTGGGCCAGAGCTGCTTTGCCATTGGCAACCCTTATGGTCTGCAGCACACACTCACGGCTGGGGTACGTGGCTCCTGTCTTCTGAGATAGCTGATGCTGAAACAGGTGGATGATACATGTATGGATGATACATGTATGGATGATACATGTACGGATGATACTGGTCTGGATGACATGCGTTTGGTGGAGCTGGTATGAATGAAGCTGTTACAGGCGATATTTGCAGTTATACAGGGTATCCACAGCAACCCCATTTTTTCCCCTGCAGGTCATCAGTGGGCTAGGCAGGGAGATTCCAGCACCAACAGGTGCTGCTATCAGGGGAGCTATTCAGACTGATGCTGCCATCAATGCAGGTGAGTTAGAGGCCGGTTGCATTTGCAGGGGCTATAGGATTGAAGAGGAGGTTGGATGGGGAGGAGTTAGTGAGAGGGAATGGGTTATAGAGGGGGAGGGAAGAGATGTGGGAGAGGGGTGATTCTTTAGCGACCATTTCTGGCGTCAGTTCGACTCGATTTCTATACACCAGTTTCTCTGCCTGCCCATACGAAAGCCTGCTGACTTGACTCGGTTGTGTGCTCAGGTAATTCTGGTGGTCCGCTGCTCGACTCCTTCGGGCGAATCATCGGGGTAAACACTGCAACGTTCACTCGATCAGGTTAGTCATGTCGAATGAGTGCAAGTGAGCTTCGCTCTGACTTTGGGTCGACTGCTGAGAGTGGCGGCGCCGGCTATTTTTACTGTGCACAATTCTCAACTGTGCTATGGTTCTTGTTCACCCCATCCACATTGCACGTGACAGGTTCTGGCTCGTCATCTGGAGTCAACTTCGCCATCCCAGTTGACACTGTAAGGAGAGTCGTGCCCCGACTTATTGTCTATGGTGCCCCTAGACCACCAGCTGTGTAGGAACTAAGTATTATTTTCTAAAACCAGCAGGGGTCAATAGTTGCTTCTCATTTGTACCAATGGTGGTGATAAATTATGAAAGGTCCGGACCGGAATTAGGGGATGACCTCAATTTGTTATTGACTGATTGAGTCGTGGTTAATTGAACGCACGCCTAAACAAAGAAAATGCTTGTACAGATGACCAACGTGGCATGCTGAGGGTACGTTGTCCACGTCACCACATCCTCACCCTCGATATTCCCCGCTTCGCGAGCCCTTGCGAAGCCATCACTCGCCCGTAACTTCGATTTTCCGGATTCGCCAAACGTAGACTCCGTGCAACCTGTAACCCTTTTTCTTCGTTAACAGTCGATAAACCAAGAGAACATCCAACAAGTGCAGCCTCCCCTGGTTCTTCTCCTGCAGCCCATCTTCCCAGCCTCGCATCTCCCAGTACAGCCATCCCCGCCACAGCGGCAACCACACGTCGCCGAGGCAAAACGACCATATTGATATTGGTGGACTCCCGTTCAGAGAGGATTCTTGGTTAGTCTTGCAACATGGCTGCCTCTCTCGCGCTCTCCGCCACCGCGGCTCCCCGCGCTGTAGTCCGTTGCTCCGCTGCGGAACCCGCTCCTTCCAGCCAAGCCGCTCCGGCTCAGGTCCGTGTGGCGTCGTCGGGGCTTCCGTCCTTCGCGAGGGTGTCCGCGGAGAACGCTGCGACGGCGATCGACCCGTCTGCGACGTTCGCGAACGTGATGTGGGCGAAGACGTACAACACGCAGATTCTGGTGGGCGAGAGCGAGAGCACGGAGTCGGTCGTGCGACGGTTTAAGAAGGTGTGCATGGAGGCGAACATTGTGAACGAGTGTCGCAGGCGACGCTTCTTCGAGACGCAGCAGGACATCATCAAGCGCAAGCAGAAGGACGCCGCCAGGCAACGCAAGCGATTCTCGTGAGTCTTTCGTTGTTACGCTACTGCACTATTTTTTGTGTGTTTTATTTTATTTCAGCTTTTTGCGGAAGACTTCCGCCGAGAACTCACGAGCTATATTCGCGGCCTTCGTCCATCTTGCACGACTTCATCAACATACTCCGCTGAAGCTGAAGTGCAAGAATAATGCTCCGAGTCAGTCAGTGCCTTGGCTGAGTTTCGCCCTTATCACCGTGTAGTGGAATAGGAGAAGCATTACAAGCCATGCCGTGCCAATGCCGCCATTTTTTTTGTGGTCGAGCCGGCTTGCCGCAAAGAATCAGGGTTTATGTTCCAGTCATACTGTACCCGGGAGCGGCATATCTCCGATGCGAATTAGGGTTTCTCACATATAGAGACGCCAAAGGGCAATTGCGGGCTGGCAGTTGGTCTGGGCGGCGCACGTGGCGCGAGTGCGGCTGCGACGTCGTTGTAGGGTTACGGGAGTAGGATTGGTTAGCAGAGGGGGGGAGGGGGGAGGGAGAGGGGGGGGGGTTCACGCAGGCGGCACTCGCGTGACACTTGGTGGAACGTGGTTGGCGTGAAGGAGAGAAGATGCGGGGATTGCGATGACATCACGTCGTGCGTGAAATGCTCCGACGGTTCAGACCAGACCGATTAGAAACCTCAGCCCGTGAGGGTAGGGTGCAATCTAAACGGATCGTGAAGAGAGTGGGATCAGTTACTGTATCAGAGCCTCTAGCGCAACGAACGGCTGTAGCAGAGCAGCAGCAGCTGCGGGAGGGGAACGAGCAGCATAATTTCTAGGTACTTCACATAATACTGCACACGCAAAGCAGGAAGAGCGGGAGCAGCAGCAGGGACTGGCGTCATAGGCAAGGGAGTTTCGGCAGTGGCGCAAGAGAGTGTCAACCTGACCTTTCTCTATTACATCACTTTATATAGCGCTTCTGATAATCTTCAAGAGTGACAGAAGGTTCGGGATTGCCGCGATGTCATGTCACCCACAATGGGGATTGATCGCCATCAGTGTCACTGCAGTCGCATTACCCGCACGAGTTGTGTGTGACCTGCTGTGGCGACTTTTGAGGCGCGTCAAAAGTCATTACCCGCACGAGTTGTGTGTGACCTGCTGCCATTGCCGGAAAGGCTGATGCTTCCAGCACCTTCTCGCCGCTCCTCGACTTACGTCCCTTTTATGCCTCGCTAACCTGTTGTTCTACACCCATTTGTACCCGTGGTCTTTCAGCCGCCAGCCAAGCAGCAGTTGAGGGGCATGTCATATCATAACATCCTACCATACCGTACCATACCATATTGTACCATAATCTCAGGTCATAATGTCTGTGTGTACCTTGTGCTCCCTTCCTGCTGCATGCGTGCTTCCTCCAGCCCACGCCCTCTCTTCACAAAACGACCCTGCTGCCCCTCCCTTGATTCACACACCTTCTGCAGCTTGCTTCAGTGCTGCTTATCGTCCCTCCCTCCCTCCCTCCCTCCCTCCCTCCCTCCACCTCTCACTGCTCCCTCTCGTCGTCTCTCCCTCCATGATCCCCATACGCGTGCCTTCTTTGGCCCTCGTCCCTTCACACACGCCCCTTCACACACGCCCCTGCATGTGCCAGCATGGCAGCAGTTGAGGGCGGGACGTTATTGTATTCAAATTAATTTCATTGCCCTTTATTGATGATGATGTCTGCTCCATATCTCTTTCTGCTTTTCTACCTCACCCCACCACAGCCGTCGTCTGGTCCGCGCCCCCTCTTCACGCGTGACCCGGCAGCGGCGAACAAAGCAACAGCCAGAGATGTGTAGATCTCCCCCTCTGCCTACTGGTATTGATGATTGTTTTTCCTGTTGCTGCTCCCCTCCTTGTTTTTCTCCACCACAGCCGTGCCTCGTCTGGCCCGCGCCCCTTCTTCAGTCGTGACCCGGCAGCGGCCAACAAAGCAGCAGCGGCTGCCAGCGACGATGATGACGACTTCTGGGATGCCCAGGTCGAGCTGTAGGGGGGACTTGTTATTTGTGAACTCCAATGTTGGATATCACTGTAGCTGTTATATTGGCAGTGCGTTACATAACTACAGCAACTTGCAAGAAAGTTAATGATCTGCCTACAGAATGCGTTTGCGGATGAGCAACTGAAACTGCACAGAAGTGGCAGGCTTTATCATGCAGGCCACCTTATAAGCAGGCTGAGGCTATCCCTACATCGAGGTCAAGCCCTGATGTGAGCTTGGCATGGAAACACTGTAGCAAATCCTAGTGAACGTGGAATGTCTCAGCTAACATAAATGGTAGGTAACATGCTAACGTCAACCACCTGTCAAGCCGTAAGCCACCCCGTAAAAACAGGCGGTTAATTCACGGCAGGATTCACCTTGACAAGCTCTCGGTCGGTGCAATGTGGCATGCGTGGCGTTACACAGAAGAGTTGCTCTACTAGAGGGCTCAGTGCGGTTAAGAGAGGTGCCACATGCACAACCAAAGAAAGCAATACAGCTAAGAGTCTAGATGGTGTCACGGCTTGCGGAATGCTTCCAGAATGTTGCGATGAGCTGACAGCTTCTCCACCTTGGTGGGCTTGAGGGACTGCCAGAAGACCAGGTGGGATGGGAACGATGGGGAATGCAATGGACGATTGAAGGAATGCACGCATGTTTTGTACTACCTAGGACAGTGGGGGTATAACATTCACATTTTGGTATCTAAAGTTACCATGTTGAAGATACGGAAAATTGAGCTATGGTATGACTAAGCTTGCAACAAAACTCACTCTTGCAAGCAGCTTGGAGAGGCGAGCGTGCTCCTTGCTCACATACTCATACATCGCATAGCAGCATGTTAGACATTCATAGAGCACCGCACCATGCTCGCAACAAAACTCACCCCTGCGAGCAGCTTGGAGAGGCGAGCATGCTCCTTGCTCACATACTCCTCGCCCTGCTCTACTATGTTCTTCATCACTTTCTGATAAAACACCCCGTGCCTGGTGGGTGGGTATGGGTGGGGTGGGAGGCATGAAGGAGAAGCAAGAGCTCCTCACATCAAGTCTAATGTCATCCCCACACACCAACCACAACCTCTCTCCCTCCTCCCTGCCATTTCTCAAAATCCTTTTTTCTTCTCTCCACACTCACCCCACTCGCCCCTCCCTATCCCTCCCCAACCCCTCTCCCCTCTTCCCTCCCCCTCACACCTTTCCCCCCCACTAACTCCTCCAGCTCGGGTGCCACCACCACTCCCATCACCCTTATACCTCCACTCGCCCCTCCGCTACTCTCCTCAACCCTCCCCTCCCGCCTTCCCCTTCCCCCCACTCACTCCTCCAGCTCAGGTGCCACCACCACTCCCATCGCCCGCTCCATCAACTGCTGCTTCTCCGCCTCCGACGCTTCCAGGAAACTTCCCGCCATCGCATCCAGCTCAGCAATCCGCCCCACCTGCAGGAGAGGGGAGAGGGGGGGGCGTGGGGGCGGAGGGGGCGGAGGGGGAAGGTTTGGGGAGGAGGGGAAGGGGAGAGATGGGGGAGGGACAGAATAGCGTATTGAGTAAAGACCTACAGTGCCAAGCCTTGTCAAGAGGAACCCTGTAGGAGAAGTTTTGGTGTCAGTCCAGAGGCTGATGAAAGGCACGTTATTCGTGAGGGTGGGCAGGGGGGTTGCACTTGATATCCGTGAAGGGGAAAGTGCCATATCCTCATTGTACCAGTACCGTACCTTACTGCACCTCACCATACTTCCCTGTACCTTACTGCACTATACCTTATCCAGGGGAACGCCATAGGAGGTTTGTGTGGTGCCGGTCCATTGGTCGACGAAGTGCACGAGGTCAACTAGCGTGGGCAGGGGGTCACTCTTGACGTCCTAGAACGGGAGGAGAGCACCGTACCTTACTGCACCGCACCATACTTCACTGCACCATACTGCGCCGTACCTTATCCAGAGGCACCCCGTAGGAGGATTGCGTGGTGCCGGTCCATTGGTTGACGAAGTGCACGAGGTCGGTGAGCGTGGGCAGGGGGTCGCCCTTGAGGTCCTCTCCATACTTGTTGGTTTTGGTGAAGAACTTGAAGAATGGGAACTCGGTGATCTTAAACCTGGGGGGGAGGCAGGGGGGAGGCAGGGCGGAAGCAGAGAAGCAGGGTGGCATGGTGCATGGGAGCGATAGCAGAGGGCGGGCAGGGTGGCAAGAACGAGCCTCCTTGAGGTCTGCCCCGTACTTGTTGGTCCTGGTGAAGAACTTGAAGAATGGATACTCTGTGATCTTGAACCTGTGCGGGTGGGAATTGGAGAGCCGGGAACAGGATAGCAGGGAACAGAATTGGAGAGATGCCGGACAGTGGGAGCGGTAACTATGGTGAGCGCCTTTGAGGTCCTCTCCTCCGCTGTCCGACCCTGATGGCCACGAGACACACACTGACAGCCTGACTGACACCCTGCCCACCTTTGCCCCCTGCCTCATACCCTCCTGCCCCACTCCCGTCACGGTTTGCCCTTCCTCCCCTCCCGCTGCCACATCAGCATTCCCCACCTGTCACATCAGCATGCATATCTCTACCACATCAGCATGCCACCTGCCACATCAGCATGCCTATCTGCCACATCAGCATGCCTATCTGCCACATCAGCACGCCGCACCTGTGTGCGAGCATGCCGTTGTTGTCCGCATCCACCTTGGCGAACACAATGCTCTCCTCTCCCTTGAATATATTCGCTAGCTTCTCCACCGTCTGTGCCCCAAGGGGAGGGGAAGAGCATGGGGAGAGTGGGCGGGGGAGGGGAAGAGCATGGGAGGGAAGGGCATGCAGGAGGGGGAGTGACATGGCAGGGGGCGATGGGAAACACGAGGAGTGGCACTGGACAAGACCAATCCAATGCCATGCCCCTGCGGTTGATTTGAGAATTCTCAAAATCAACCCAAAGAAAAAAAGAAAAGAAATGGAGTGGCACTGGACAAAGCCAATCCAATGCCATGCTGCTGCAGTTTCCTCGCCGTTCATACGCGAGGGGGGAGGCTGGAGGAGGGAGGTGTGGCAGGGGAGGGGAAATGATACGAAGGATGCAAGAAACAAGGGGTACAAGAATCGAAGGGTGCAATGAAACGAAAGGCCCGATAAATCAAAGGGTGTAATAAAATGAAACGCTCACCTTTGTCATCTCCCTGCATGGCTTGCACCTGTGATGTGAGAGGGGGAACAGGGAGAGGTGAAGAGGAGAGCGGGAAGAGAGATGGGGGAGGTGAGGAAGTCGAGAGTGAGAGAGGACAGAGTGGGAAAAGGAGCGCGGAGTGTTAGGAGAGGGGAAATTTAAAAGACGGGAAGCGCCAGCGAATGTGTGCAAGCGCATGTGAGCAAGTTTGAGAGTGTGAGTACAAGTGTGTGAAAGGGCATTGGTATAAGCACGCATACATAATGTCAATCCCTCAAACCCCGCCATTCAAACAGCATATCGGTTGTAAACAAATGGTGGTTCGTGTCATATGTAATAAGTGAGTTTTTGAGACGTCTCAAAACATAACCGGTTGTGAGTTTTTACAGGTGGTTCGTGTCATCAAAACATAACCACACAATCTCTTACTTTTAATCAACCCTTGATGTGTTGCCTCCTTGAATGCCCTCACACAGTATCATAGTAGTAAGCAATGTTTTGAGACGTCTCAAAACACTTCTTCATACACACAGTATCATAGTAGTAAGCAATGTTTTGAGACGTCTCAAAACACTTCTTCATACACACAGTATCATAGTAGTAAGCAATGTTTTGAGACGTCTCAAAACACTTCTTCATACACACAGTATCATAGTAGTAAGCAAAGGGCGCTTGGTCTCATTCGTCTGCAACTCGTTTGTATAACAGTGTCCCCAAACCCTCTTGACCGCACTCACTCACTCACTCACTCACTCACTCACTCACTCACTCTTGATGCGTTCACTAACACGAAACCCCACCACTCACGCGGCATCATAGTAGTAGGTGAAGAGGTGCTTGGTGTCGTCCAGCATAACCACTCATAACCACTCATAACCCAACTCAACCCCTGACTACACTCACGCAGCGTCATAGTAGTAGGTGAAGAGGTGCTTGGTGTCATCCAGCATGACCGAGGGGAAGGCCCACGTGGTCATCTCCATCACCCGCGACTCCTGCTCCGCCTCCACCCTGCCCTTGGTGCCTGCATGGATGGGAGGAGAGGAGTGGTGGAGATACACGGTAGAGGGAGGAGAGGGAGGGGGAGGGGGAGGGGGAGGGGGAGGGGGAGGGGGAGGGGGAGGGGGAGGGGGAGGGAGATGGGGTCCGGTGGAGAGGGATTTCAGGCAGCGAAGGGAGTGGAGGTTGGGGAAGGAACGCGCCAACCACACCACAGCAGCACACATATTGTTCTTGCCTGTCGTTTTTTGTAACCACGCATCCTGCACCGCCCACTCGCCAGGCAATACGCCTCAAACTGCTCAACCACTCACCAAGCCCACTCCCCAAGCCCACTCCCCAAGCCCAATCCCCAAGCCCACTCCCCAAGCCCAGTCACCAAGCCTGCCAAACACTCCCTAAGCCTGCTGCCGACTCACCGAGTCGACTGTTGATAAAATCCACGAAAACGTTGGCCTTCCTGTCTCCTCCATAGCTGGCATGACGTGGCATGGGATGACGTGGCGTGGGATGACATGGCACAGTGTGGAATGGCAAGGATTGGGGAACGGGATAAGATAAGCTCCACGTAAGCTCCACGTGGACGAGTGGGGGGCATGCTGGGTTAGGAGAGAGGGCGCGTGGCGGATAGAGAATGAGTATAGCATGACAGATAAGCTCCAAGCATATAGCACCGCACAGCACCGGACAGCACAACACCCACTCCGCCGCCCCTCCCTGGGCAGCAGCAGGGAAGCATATGAGCGTGGTATAGCCTTTTGTGAATTGACTAAAAACGGATTCCATTGTACTGAGTTTAACATCACACCCCATCACACCCCATCACACCCCATCACACCCCATCACACCCTCAGCACACCAACACTCACTCCTCCGGGCCCCCCTGGCCAGCAGCGGGGAACCACTTGAGCGTGGGGTATCCGCGGACCTCGTGGTTGGTGCACAGCTCCGCGTGCGCCTGGCAGTCCACCTGCACGCGCACAAGGGGGGGAGGCGGGGAGGGTTGGGGGGAGGCGGAAGGGGAAAGGACGGCGGGGAAGGGGATTCGTGAGGCGCGTTCAACCTTGGCGATGCAATGCGATGCACCTTGACGATTTGATGCGACGCACCTTGGCGACGCAATGCAACGCACCTTGGCGACGCAATGCGACGAAGCTTGGCGAAGCAATGAGACGCACCTTGGCGAAGCGATGCGACGCACCTTGGCGACGCGATGCGACGCACCTTGGCGACGCGCTGCGACGCACCGACGCAATGGACACACCTTGGCGACGCGATGCGACTCACCTTGGCGACGCCATGCGACTCACCTCGGCGACGCAATGCGACGCACCTTGGCGATGCGGATGGCGTCAGAGTCTTTGAATGCCGTCGCCACCTTCTCCCAATCCGGCGCCAGGCGCTGGCAGTGCCCGCACCTGCGAAAACAGGTTTGCGAAATGCGAATTCCAGTTGCGACGTAGCGGAAACGCGAGCCAACTAAGGTGTAAATTTAGTGAAGCGAAGAACGCTATTTGTGTACATTTTTAATGGGTTGAAACATTTTTTCTGAAAAAAAACCCGCAAGCCCAGCCGATGGCTCGTTTGATTGCGCGGGTTAGAAATGCAGATGGGATGCACTGGTTACCACTGCATTGTAACATCGACCTGCAAAAGATTCGCAGCGGTCCGTTTACAGAGACGAGAACGGAGATGACGTCATCATGAGTTACAGCACGTCACCTTCACGGGCGGGACGCACCAAGGAGCGTAGAACTTCACGAGCACGACCGAGTCGCCGTGTTTTGAGACGTCTCAAAAGTCGCCGTGTTTGAGGCGTCTCAAACGTCGCCGTGTTTTGAGGCGTCTCAAAAGTCGCCGTGTTATAAGGCGTCTCAAAAATCGCCGTGTTTTGAGGCGTCTAAAAAGTCGCCGTGTTTTGAGGCGTCTCAAAAGTCGCCGTGTTTTGAGTCGTCTCAAAGGACGCACCAGGGTGCGTAGAACTTCACGAACACGACCGAGTCGCCTCCCACGTGGTCGTAGAAATTCGCAGGCGTCAGCTCCAGCACGTCCGAGTCCGCCGCGCCGTCCGCCGCCGATCGCGGCACTGCGAGCAGCAATGCTGTCAGCAGAACAAGCGCAGCGATTGCGATTGGCGGAGATCCGCCAGTGACGAGTCGCGGCCTGGCCATTATGATCGCGGACTCGACGGCTACCGTCACGCACGGAGCGGCGAAAGGAAAGTGTCACGACGGCGGCGCTACGGCTTCTATATAAATACTCCGGAACTAGTGAATGAAGGAACCAGGACGGAAGGAAGAGTTACTACTTTCATGGGGTGCGGAGAAATGTGGGACCGTCAGTGAAGTTCAGCAACAGTACAGTATCGTACTCGATACTCCACCCACCATCACCCCGCCAAGCCCAGCAGCGGAGGAGGAGAGGGGGGCGCAGTCTTTTTGTCGTGCTCGGTGGGGGAGGTGGAATGTGTCGGACGGTTTAGAACTCTTGTTCGATTTTGAGCCGAAGTCGATATCCTCGCTATAACATAGGTAGCCTCGCAACCTGCCTTCCAAGACGAAATTCAAGACGAGTCCCGATCGAGGCGCGTGCTGAGTCCTGATGCTCCTTATCCGCTATTGGCTAAAAGCAGCCTGGCTTCTAGAAGCTGCATCTCGAAATGGAAAGGGGAAACAGTGAAATAGATTACACGCGTATGTTAATACAGACTTTCGAAACATAGGGGTTCTGTAAAGATTTCTAGAATGCCTTGAGGAGCTGTTATTGGACTGCTATTGTTATGAAACTAAGCAACTTATTACCCTCTGGATAGTTTTTGGCTACAAAAAAAGAAAATAAGAGCACGAATGTCAAGCACTAGCCTGATCAAATACTAGCTGGCTGAAACAGAAAGGTTGCATTATATATTTACAGTTTGATGTTAGGGTAATCAATCTGATCCGCAGTTCAAGGATCTGATTGCTGGAAGGGAGGCCATCTATAAAGAATGAAATGTTTGTCCTGAGTTATGATGGGTTTGGGATGTCGGTCTTTATGATGGGTTTGTTGGACGGCTGCCGTTGATGACACCCTGTTTCTCATGCCATTGGGTGCGATGCGTGTGTTCTGTCGACGCATGCGATGATGCGATGCCCGAAGGCCATGTGACTGCGGGTAACGGCTGCGAAAACGGGAGTGGGAAAGGTGGTTAGGTGTTGATGGATGGCCTAATATTCGTGCGGCTTCGCACGCCCGACGCGCGGTAAGCGCGGGAACACGAATGCCGCGGTTGTGAAAAATCGGCTGCGGCAAAAATTGAAATCTGAGGGGGCGGCGCGGTTTTCAATTTGCGCCTTTCCACTGGGTGAGAAATTTCGACGTCAAATTTCAACGCCCCCCAACCAACATTTCGATTTTCTCCAGGCAGATTGGGCAGCAGGCACCTCCGGGTTGAGGCAACAGAGGATCTGGGCAGCAGGTGGGGCAGCAGCGCAGCAACAAAAATCGATTTGACTCGACTCGACTCGCCCGAAAGCATTTCCATCCCAACGAAAATCCGTCCAACGGGCGGAAGGAAACAAGATTTGGAGGGCGGGCCGTGAGGTGGGGCTGGGCGCCGAAGACTTACCAAACTCGAAATCAGTTTGTAGTAGTCGTCACGAAAAGGATGTTGGTAGATGGCGGTAGGAGCTCGTAGAAGCATGAGCTGATTATCAGATAGCGCCGACACTTCTGCTTTGTTGCATGGGACGAAGCAGATGTACGTCCGTCCGTAGAGCGTTATCGTAGCTGCAGTCTACCCTCCTTGTGTCCAGGCCGCCATAGCGCCCAACACGGCTAATCCCACTAGTAACGCCATTTCGTCTACGGCGAGTAGTTGCCGGCACCTACTGACAGCGTTAGTTTCCATAGTTGTTAGTACTATTATTATATAGAAAACCACTGCCGATCCACGACCACGGCAATAGCGATATTCATAGGAGATAACACTCATCCATGGCGCAACTTGCCATGCTTCCGCTAATGGAGGAATCACCTGTGGCCGACGATAACGGCGGCTATAGCGGCGGATATAACGGCGGGATGTTCGCTCAGCAGACGAGCCCCGCGCCTCCCTTATGGACCTCCCTAGACGCCATGCACGGGCTGGACCACGAAGCTTCTGGGTTCCTTCCACTGGACGCATCCGACGGAGACGAATCGCAGCAGCAGCAGCAACAGTCGGACTACACCCACCATCACAGCCACCAGCCGTCGGATCATCTCAACGTACGGCGAGATCTTCTCGAGGACGATAACTTCGGTAGCAGCGAGTTCGACCCGTCGTCGGCGGCGAGCGGAGCGGGGGAGTGTGTGATGCTGTACCAAGACGCGCAGAGGGGGGAGGAGGAGGACATGGTGGGGAGCCTTAACCTCCGCATCTCCCCGCAACCCGACGCATCCGATCTCACATCGGCGCTTTTCTCCGAAGGCCAGGCGAGCAACAACGGCGGCGGGGCGACGCTCGGCGGGTCGTCGTGGCAGCTGTGTGACAATCTGTTCGCAGAGCCGATCGTCGACTGCGGCGAGCTGCTCTCCGGCGACGGCGACGGCGACGATCTGCTTGCGGCTTCCGCGGGGCACGACGAGGCGGAGCAGGCGGACGGCGGAAGCGGCGGAGAAGAAATGGAGATGAAGGACCCAGCCGTTGCGTATCTCACGCCGGAAAAGGCGCCCCCTGTGCCAGCAAGTTCGGACCCAGTGGAGGTGACAACGCCGGGGTGTGACAACAGCGAGGGCAATTTCAGCACGCCGCAGGTGCCAAGCGCGGGATTCTCCCGTCCGCGCAGCCGCTGCCCCACGGAGCGGGGACTGGCGCAAAAGGGCGCGCTCATGACCCCGTCCGGCGGAGCAACGGCGCGCGCAACCCGCGAGAACCTGATGCGGCGGCTGGCGCAGGCGGGCGGAGCGGCGGAGCCGTGGACCCCCGTAACCCCCGCGAAGGACGAGGCGGGGAAGCGGTCCCCCGACCAGCTTGCGCGCGTGGCGGTGTCGCTGGATGCGGAGCTGGGGCTGTTCGTGGACTCCCCGCCGCTGCTGTGGAACGGAGTGGCGGAGCAGCAGCAGCAGCAGCCCCAGGCGCAGGCGCAGGCGCAGGGGCAGGGGCAGTGCTTCCAGATGCCGCAGTACCCGCAGCAGCAGCAGCAGCAGCAGCAAGTGGCGTTCAGCAACGCACGAATGCTGGAAGCGTCGAGTTCTCGGACCATGCCTGCTGGCACCGTGCAGAGCATGCTTGGCGCGCAGCAGCAGCAGCCACAGCAGCAATACGGGATGGCGGGTCAACAGCAACAGCAGGGCTTGGCGGGGCAGCACGGATTCTGCGCGACGCCCGGGGAAGGCGCGCACATGCGCGCGGACCCCGCGGAGGCGTCCGACATGTCGCTCTTCTTCGACATGGAGCAGCAGCAGCAGCAGCAGCCCCTGCCGTCGCCGCCGCAGCTCCAGCAGCCGCAGCAGTCCCAACAGCAGTACCACCAGCAGCAGCACTACCAACACCAGCAGCCACAGCAGCAGTACCAGCAGCAACAGCAGAGCCGGGGGTATCAGCAAATGCAGCAGACGCAGCAGCAGCAGGAGTCGGACGTGGTTCGCGATTTCCTCTCGTCGTCTCCAGACGGCGACGCGGCTCTCGACAGCTTGGTTCTTGACGGCCTGCCGTGCGACAGACGGCTGTCCGGCCAGATGATGCTGCCCAAGGACCTGGCGTCGTTGATGAACGACGCTGACGTGGACGCGTCTGCCGCCACGTGGTCGCAGCCAAGCAACAACACCGCTATGTCACCGCCCCTAAGCAATGGCTACAACACCAGTGCTGGTACCCTGAGTATGGATACAGCAGCTGCTCCTACTGCTACTGCTACAATTGTCTCAGCCGGAGCGTGCGTGACTCGCCCGCCGTCTGTCTACCCTGCTGCCCCCTCCTCCTCCTACCAATCCTCCCACCTCCTCACCGCCTCCTCCTCTGGCCCTCTGCTCGGCTCCTCCTCCGCCGGCCCTCCCCCGCCCCCGCGCGTTCTCTCCGCGCCTGCGCCTTCCGCGTCGTCCGCGCAATCCGCCGCGCCCTTGCGCCTGACGATGCCGCTGCTGGTGATGAACCGACGCGCGCCCGTTCCCCCTGCCGCGCAAGTAGGCGGCGGTGTTTCCGCCCCTGCAATGGTGCAGCCCATGCCGCAGCAAGGCCAAGTGCTCAACCAACACCAGAACCACAACCATAACCAGAATCAGCAGCAGCCGCCGCAGCAGCAGCAGCAGCCGAAGGCGATCCACTTGAGCTGTTCGTCCTCCCATCAGCTGCAGCTACAGCAGCCACAGCAGCACGCGCCACCCATGCACCAGCAACGCCAGCCGCAGCCGTACCAACAGCAGAATCAACAGCCTCCCCAGCAACAGTTCCAGCAACTGCAACACCATCAGCATCAGCATCAGAACCACGGCCCTCCTCCGCACTACCAGATGCCTCCGCAAGTCAACCAGCAATCCACCTCCTCCCACGCACAAGGACGCCAGGAGCACCACCATCAGCACAACAACTCAGCCTGTCCGTACCACAGCCAGCAGCACCAGCACCCGCAGCACAACCAAGCGCAGCCGCAACTCCAGACACAGCAGCGCGTGCAGCAGCAACAAAGCATTTGCCCCTCTCACCCCCAGCACCAGCAGCAGCAGTCGCACCAGCAGTCGCAGCAGCCGCAGCAGCAGCAGCAGCAGCCATACTCCCAGCCCTGCCAGCCGCAGCAGCAATGGCAGGCCGGCCCTCCTGCTGCTCAGCAACAGCCGCAACATCAACAGCAACAGCAACATGTCGGCATCAATAGCCGCAATGACAGCAATTACGTTCGTCAACCTCAGTTCCAGGCACAGCAGCATCTTCCCCAGCAACAGCCAGCCATGCCACCCCAGCCGATGAATCAGTTACTGAAGCCGCAGCAGCAGGCAGTACCACGGGTACCCCCTGCGTTTCAGCAGCAACCGCACCCACAGCAGCCTCAGCTGCAGCAGCAGCAGCCGCAGCAGTCGCAGCAGCAGCCGCCGCAGCAGCCACGCATGCCGCAGCAATCTCAACTGCAGAGGCAGAACAGCCAGTCTCGTGGCTGCAGTTTGCCCCAAGGAACCGTCTCTGCTCCTCCTGCACCGGCCCCCAAGCAGCCTGCTCAAAAGCCAACGTCATCTGGAGGGGCGAAGCGGAAGGCAGAGGAGCCACTCAGCGCCGGTGGAAAGGCCACGTCATCACGGGCCCAGCCTCCAGCAGTGAAAAGGATCAAGTCTGAAGACGCTTGCGAGGCGACAACCAGGCAAGCTTCGCCTGTTACTGCTTCTGCTTCTGCTCCTGCTTCAGCTGGGCCGGTTGATCTGACCTGCAGAGAGCAGGAGCAGCTGGGATTGGAGACTGGCGACGACAGTGATGGGGTGGTGTTGAACGAGCCATCGACTAAGGGATCTCGCAGTGGTACCACTGCTGCAGCCGCTGCGTCTGCTGCTGGTGCTGCTGGCACTTCTGCTGGTGCAGTGAAGGCAGAGGCTCCTGCAGCTGATGCGAAAAATGTGAAGGCGAAAGCGGAGGTGCAAGTGAAGGAGGAGCCAGGCAAGGCCGGGAGCCGAGCAGGCGGATTGACTGGAAGCAGCTCTCTGAAGGAGAGTGGTAACCAGGCGTTCCAGGATGACTTGGGGGAAGATGGAGCTGTGGAGGACGGTGAGGATGATGAAGGAGGGGTGATAGTGGGACGGAAGAGGTCGTTTGTGCAGAACCCGGCTGCTTCTGCTGCGAGGAAGAGGAGGCATGACATGAACCAGCGGTTGAAAGTGCTCGTGGATCTCGTCCCTAACAGCAGCAAGGTGTGTGTGAGTCCTGAAATTCACATCTTTTTCTCGTTTTACCTGATGCGAGTCTTCAGCCTTACAAGATATGCAGAAACGGAATCCCTGGCTAAAATGTTTCCCTTCCATTCGTGTTATCGTATTGTTGTCTGATGCAGGGAGACACTGCATCAATGCTGCTTGAAGTTATTGACTACGTGAAGGCACTGATGTCTCGGATCTCTGTAAGTCGATTTGTCCAAATCTGTCACGAGTTTGGCGCAACAGTACGAACTTGAATCGTTTCTAACCTTTTACACATTGGCTTTTGTGTGCGTGCAGGAAGCGGTGGGTGAGAACACCACCCAACAGCTAGGACTTACCAGGAGTTCAAGCACCCAGAGCCAAGCTTCACCACAAGTGGTAAGAACCAACTCATTAACCATCCCCTTCTTTCAAGATTACGAACATCTTCTCTCACCTTCTTCCAGTCTCTGTTGGTACTGAAAGCTCTCAGTTACTACGTCACAAGCTCTGAACTCACTCTGCCTTTCCTGCTCCATGATTGTTTCTGAATTGGTTTCAGGAATCTGAGTCAAATGCCAATGGATCACAGCAATGGACCCTACAGCAGTCAGCTCCTCAGCAATCCATGCCCTGCAATGGGACCTCAATGTTGCCACCAGCACCATGCAACGATCCAACGGCCGGCATGTTACCCGCGATACCGACGAACGGGATGAGTGCGCGAGCCCTTCAGGCCGCGAAGTTCCGTATGCGAAGAAAGTTGATGGCAGCGAAACTCGAAGCAGAACGAAAGAACGGCGCTGCCCCAAGCGTCACGAAGGATAGCGAAAACGGCGAGGTGGTTTCAAGCGATGGTGATAAATCGACGGGTGACGCGAAAGGCCCCCAGCGAAATCTAACTTCGCGCCAATGCGCTCTCGTCAAAGTAGCTCTTGCTAGGAAAGTATACGCACTTCAGCAGAAGAATCACAATACTATGTAGAGGTAGTATAAACAATACGTTAGGCATGGCAATAACAAAGACGCCCGTAATTTGAGTTGTTCTAATGTATTGCTGTTATATTAAATGTCTCTTTGAAGAACTAGACGTGCTATGTACGGTACGGCATATCACAGGCTTCAGGCTCGTGCACATGAGCGTCAGCAAAAGCATCTATGTTAGAAAAGCTTTAATATATATAAACCCGAATATGATTGTTTCCTCCTAGAATGCACCACTCTAACAAAACGTCCAGCCAGCAGTTCTGACCATTGATATGAAAAAATACACATGGGCTAATCGCGTCCACTACTTGGATGCTCTACCAGCACTGGGGACGAACGCTGACAGGATATTCCTCCGAATGGTGAAATCATCTGCCTTTTCAAGCTTCAAATCCTGCCACAGAACAGCCATGAACCAAGCAGCCATAAGTCCAATGGTGTAGGTTTAGCCAACATGCCACTTCGCAATCCAGATTGAGGTTGTGCAAGCACAACCACTGGACTGGAAACATCAAATGATATGGCAAACAATGGCCACGATAGAGGATTCTCCAAAATAAAACTACATGCATGCCAGGCTGGCACAGTACCCACCCCGTCAAGCACTTTGGAGAGGCGGGTAATCTCCTTCTCCACATACCCATTCCCTTTGTCCACCACACCCCGCATCACCTTCAGGTACAGCTCCGCATGCCTGCAAGAAATGAGGGGGGAATGCGGGTGAATGAGTGGTTCTTGAAATGTCTGACTATTGGTTTTTGCAACGGCTCTTGTCCACGGTGCCATGCATCACAGTGCCATGCATCACAGTGCCATGCATCACAGTGCCATCCTATCTCACCTTTTCCCACTCGCTGGCACAGCCACTGCTTCTGCCTCTGCCATCAGGCCTGCCTTTTCTTGAGCCGAAGCTTCCAGGAATGTGCGTGCAATTCTGTCCAGAGACTCTATGCGACCAGCCTGCACAAGCAAGCAGCGGAGCGAGAGACAGCAGCCAGTGCGCATCGGCAAGCAGCAGAAGGAGAAAAAGGGGAGCCTAAAGGGGAGAGAAAGCGGCACTGGTGCCTGATGGTGAGCCCCCACCCTCACAGCGCCCTCTCAACTCACCGTGCTGGTGAGGCCGCCCTTGATGGTCCTGCTGGTGCCGGTGCGCTCATTCACAAACCGCACCAGCTCCACCAGCACAGCACCCCTCCTCATGCAATCCTCCTCCCCCACTTCCCATCCTGCCACCTGGCACGCTGCCTACTGGTGTGCCCCCTCACAACTGACTGCGCCGATGAGTTCCCATCTTCCCACTTCCCCAATTCCCCACTCCCCCACTTCCCCTCCCCCCGACGTCCCACCCTCCCAACTCACCCCACTGGTGAGGCCGCCCTTGATGGTCCTGCTGGTACCGGCGCGCTCATTCACAAACCGCACCAGCTCCTTCAGCCCCCTCTCCCCACTGTAGTCCTCCCCTTCCTGCCCTCCCCCCTCTGCCCCACTTGCTGGGAACCACTTGAGCATGGGGAAGCCTGATATGGCGAACCTGGAGGGGGTGGGAGAGGCATATGGATTGAAGAATGCACCGAGTTACATCACTGCATGGCTTTTGAGTGGAGTCAAAGGCATCTGTCCCGAAGCTGTCTGCTGGGAACCACTTGAGCATGGGGAAGCCTAATATGGCGAACCTGGAGGGGGTGGGAGAGGCATATGGATTGAAGAATGCACCGAGTTACATCACTGCATGGCTTTTGAGTGGAGTCAAAGGCATCTGTCCCGAAGCTGTCTGCTGGGAACCACTTGAGCATGGGGAAGCCTAATATGGCGAACCTGGAGGGGGTGGGAGAGGCGTATGGATTGAAGAATGCACCGAGTTACATCACTGTATGGCTTTTGAGTGGAGTCAAAGGCATCTGTCCCGAAGCTGTCTGCTGGGAACCACTTGAGCATGGGGAAGCCTGATATGGCGAACCTGGTGGTGGGAAAGCCGTATGGATTGATGTAAACATGATGCTGTTTGAGTAAAAGAATGTAGGCGTTGGATGATATTCGCATTGACTCACCATGCTGCATGAGAGAAAAAAAAAAGCGACTAGAAAAAGCGAGAAAAAGCGACCGTTATGAGCTTACTCACAGATCACGCAGCTGTCTTTGAGCTACTGCTCCTCTTCAACCTCCACCTCTGCGATAATCACACTGCTCTCCAGCCTGAACACGTCCGCCACTTTTGAGACGCTCCAAAAGTACCATCTCTCCATGCCAAGCCACGCACCTGTCCTTGACCTCCTGGTGCTTGTCAGCATCCACCTTGACGAGACTTGGCAAGAGCATTGAGTCGAATCACCAACAAGTGCTGACCTGGGCGGACACTTGAAGCCGAGATATACCCTCTCTCCACTGCACGCACCTGTCCTTGAGCCCCTGGTGCTGGTCAGCGTCCACCTTGGCGATCACCACGTTGCTCTCCAGCCTGAATGCCTCTGCCACCTGCTCGTATATCTGCAGCAGCAGACAGATACGCAGGCGAGGCACAACAAAAATGGATTGAAAGACGAGCGCATGTTGAGATTGCTCGCGTTGGATGATCTCGTGAAAGGTGGGAGAACGAGGGAAGCCTCACGAAGCAACTTTGAGAGAGTGGAAGGTGGAGAGAGAAAGAACGTGCGAATATTCTGGAGGATGGGGTTGGGTACTGAATTGACGGGTGGGGTTGATGGAGGTGCATGTGGTGAAACGATGAATCACAGGGGCGAAGTGTTGAAACAATGACTCACAGGGGCGAAGTGGTGAAACAATGACTCACAGGGGCGAAGTTCTTACAAACGCGAGCTGCTTTCAGTGGCCACAACACGGCGCGCAAAACTCCACAGGACGTGCTTTGTGGGGTGCAGAGTTATAGTTTTAAAGGTGGCTTCTGACTCAGGAAATAGTTGGCACTACAGTCAATTGTGAGCTCTACTTGCAGGCACGATGCAGGGGCAAGGATCTTACTGGGGCGAGTTGCTTGCAATGGCCACACCAGGGGGCATAGAACTCCACAAGCACGTGCTTGGTGGGATCCAGAGCGATGACATCGAAGGTGGCGGGCGTGAGGTCCAACACGTGAGACACGGCCACAGGCACACGCACACTCGTGCCTGCATGTTGGCGAGGGGATGAGAAGGGGTTGCGAGGGAGTGGAGGGAGTGGGGATGAGTGGGTGTGGGGATGGGAAGCTGTGGGACGATGCTTGGTGGGGTCTAGAGCGACCTCATCAAAGGTGGCAGGCATGAGGTCCACCACGTGAGACACGGCCACAGGCACACGCACACACATGCCTGCATGGGTGGGATGTGGTGATGAGGTGATGTGGGGATGAGAGAAAATGAGATAGTGCTTGTTGCGGTTCAGAAAAATGGCATAAGGAGGCCGGAGTGAGGTCGACCAGTTGTGACCAGGTGTGACCAGGTGTGACCAGGTGTGACCAGTGTGACCAGGTGTGACCAAGCGTGACCAAGTGTGACCAGGTGTGACCAGGTGTGACCAGGTGTGACCAGGTGTGACCTGGCGTGACCAGGTGTGACCAGGTGTGACCAGGTGTGACTAGGTGTGACGCGGTGTCAGACACATGCACATTCGTGCCTGCATGGAAAGAACGTGGGATGTGGGGGCCGGCAAGCTAGCTGGCAAACTTCCGAATCCGTCCCCACTCAACCCGGTGCCAAATCGGTAGGTGACAAACTCCCCTACTCAACCCGACACTTTTTAGCATACACTAAATCCGCAAACACCCACCCAACTTCATTTCACCCACCCAGATGCTTATGATTCACGCACCCAGCTTCTCATTCACCCATGTCACCATGCCTGCAGCCTCCCTGCGCCCGTCATAGCTGGAGGGAGTGAAAGGGAGAGATAGGGGGACGGAGACGGAGAAAAGAATCATATCAGAAGAGGAGGGTAAGAGCACTGGAGCATCCACGAGACATCAGGTACCGTCAAGTTGTTTCGACCAAGAGCAATCATGCGACCATGCCATGCAAACACGTAACCATGCAATCATGCAATGCAACCATCCAGGTGCACGTGCCAGTCAAGAACGAGAGAAAATCCGAATTGTCACGTAATAAAGCGCAAACACCCAAACCCCCTCATAGCCTCCCCCAACCCCCCCAACCCACACACCAACCCCCCCAACTCCGCCCCTCTACGCACTCACTCATCTGGGATATCAGTGCCAGCGGGAAACCACTTGAGAGTGGGGTAGCCGCGCACCCTGTAGTCGCTGCACATCTCCTTGTACGCGTCACAGTCCACCTGCGGTAAGAAGAAGCTGGCTTTTGAGTCAATTAAAAGGGCCACTAGAGACGGGTAGCACAGCACCCTGTGGCCGCTGCACATCTCCTTGTATGCATCGCAATCCACCTGCCATGAGAGACATATCGCTTCTGGGTCAATGGGAGGCGTCTCTACTCTGAAAAAGGCCATTCGCTTCACCTGTACTCGCTGCACATCTGCTTGCCATTCGTGCAGTGGAGACGCCTCCCGTTCTGGATGTATCAGGAGCTCACCTTAGCAATCACCACCGACTCTGTTTTCTTGAAGGCCGAAGCGAGTTTCTCGTAGTCCGGAGCCAGCTTCTTGCAGTGGCCGCACATTCACGTTTGAAACACCTTCCATTGACCCCTCCCATATGAGACCCCTATGATCCATGGCTTCTCAAGGGCTCACCTTGGCGATGACCACCGACTTGGTCTTCTTGAAGGCCGTGGCGAGTTTCTCGTAGTCCGGAGCCAGCTTCTTGCAGTGGCCGCACCTGGCAGCACCGACAATGGGAGGAGAAAAGTCACAAGGCGGATGGGAGAATAAGCGAGGCAATCGAGCCTGGAATGGAGACTGAATGGAAGGCTGAAGAGAAGGTTTTAAGGGAGACTGAATGCAAGCAGTCGGTCTATCACGGGGGGATGCGTAACATGAACAGCGTTTGAATCGATAATTTGCCAAAGCGTCATCTACCATGGCGCGTAGTATTTCACGAACACCGCCTTTTCCGTTCCCACGAAATCGCCGAAATTGTTCGGCGTCAGCTCGACGACGTCGGACGAGTCGTCGGCGACGCTATGCGACACAAGTGCTGCGAGGATAAGCGACAGCAGAACAACGCGATAAGCCATACCGCGGCTCGCCTCGCCTTGTCTCGCTATTATGACGAATAACACACGTTTAGCGTCTCGTTCGCCAGAGGATTTCGACTACCGCAGAATGAGAGTTTATCAGAGCTCGTGGGTGGGCAGGAGGACATGGATGGAATGGCGCGAAAACGGCTCCGAGAGAGGGAAAATGCTGTGAGCGTCCGAATTCATGCTGTGAAGGCTGCACATTTCCCCAATGCCAGCTGCAATATCCGTTGTTGTGGCTGGTTCAATTAGGCTAGTAGTGTAAGGAAAAACCCTTGTCCTTACTGGGGTTTACTCAACCGCGTACAACCCCAAAGCAACCTCGCGTCGTCTTCGGCTTTCCTTTGCCCAACCTGCACCCAACCTCATTCGGCCACTTTGCTTGCTGCCGAAGCAACCTCGCGTCGCCTTCGGCTTTCCTTTGCCCAACCTGCATCCAACCTCGTGTTCCCGAGGTTCCCGAGGTTCCCGCCTAGCTAGGTTGTCTCGCTATATAATCGTGTGCCTTTCATTGCATCATCAATTCATTGAGTCACAGCTTCGTTATTCGTTTTCCGCGCAACTCTGTTTGACAACTCATAACAAATAGCGCATATGAAGATAAACCGTTTTATATTAAATACTAGGTTAATTACAAGATGGTGCTCAGTTTTCCATAAAACTCAGCCCATGACACCGAGACACATGTGCAGGAAGTGCAGCGGGCGCTCTTCATTCGCGAACGTCGATGACCGATGATGCTCGCAACCCTCCCACGCCCTTGCTGGCTAGGTAATAGGACCAGACAAACGCAGCCACATGACCCTTTGGAAGAAAAACGCTCCGAACGAGCACTACCACCCCCAAACGTGGAAGGATCCGCACATGTGCAGCAAGTGCAGCGGGCGCTCTTTATTCGCGAGCGCCGATGACCGATGATACTCGCAACCCTCCCACGCCCTTGCTTGCTTGGTAATAGGCCGAGACAAGCGCAACCACATGACCCGGCGGAAGAAAAACGCTAGGAACGAAAGCTTCCACCCCCAAAACGCGGAAGGATCCGCACATGTGCAGGAAGTGCAGCGGCCGCTCTTCATTCCCGAGTGCCGATGACCGATGATGCTCGCAACTATCCCACGCCCTTGCTGGCTTGGTAATAGGCCCAGACAAGCGCAGCCACGTGACCCGGCGGAAGAAAAACGCTCGGAACGAGCGCTTCCACCCCGAAAACTTGGAAGGATCCGCACATGTGCAGGAAGTGCAGCGGGCGCTCTTCATTCGCGAGCGTCGATGACCGATGGTGCTCGCAACATCCCACGCCCTTGCTTGCTTGGAAATAGGATTAGACAAGCGGAGGGACGTGACCCGGTGGAAGAAAAACGCTCGGAACGAGTGCTTCCACCCCCAAAACGTGGAAGGATCCGCACATGCGCAGGAAGTGCAGCGGGCGCTCTTCATTCGCGAGCGCCGATGACCGATTATGCTCGCAACCCTCCCACGCCCTTGCTGGCTTGGTAATAGACCCACACAAGCGCAGCCACGTTACCCGGTACAAGAAAAATGCTCGGAACGAGCGCTTCCTGCCCAAAAACGCGGAAGGATCCGCACATGTGCAGGAAGTGCAGCGGGCACTCTTCATTCGCGAGCGTCGATAACAGATGGTGCTCGCAATCCTCCCACGCCCTTGCTGGCTTGGTAAAAGGACCAGACAAGCGCAGCCATGTGTCCCGGAGGAAGAAAAACGCTCAGAACGAGCGCTTCCACCCCCAAAACGCGGAAGGATCCGCACATGTGCAGAAAGTGCAGCGGGCGCTATTCATTCATGAGTGCCGATGACCGATGGTGCTCGCAACCCTTCCACGCCCTTGCTGGCTTGGTAGTAGGACCAGACAAGCGCAGACACGTGACCCGGCGGAAGAAAAACGCTCGAAACGAGCGCTTCCACCCCGAAAACGCGGAAGGATCCGCACATGTGCAGAAAGTGCAGCGGGCGCTCTTCATTCATGAGTGCCGATGACCGATGGTGCTCGCAACCCTCCCACGCCCTTGCTGGCTTGGTAATAAGATCAGACAAGCGCAGCAACGTGACACGGCGGAAGAAAAACGCTCGGTATGAGCGCTTCCACCCCCAAAACGTGGAAGGATCCGCACATGTGCAGGAAGTGAAGCGGGCGCTCTTCATTCGCGAGCGCCGATGACCGATGATGCTTGCAACCCTCCCACGCCCTTGCTGGCTTGGTAATAGGCCCACAGAAGCGCAGCTACGTGACGCGGCGCAAGAAAAATGCTCGTAACGAGCGCTTCCACCCCCAAAACGCGGAAGGATTCACATGTGCAGGAAGTGCAGCGGACGCTCTTCATTCGCGAGCATCGATAACCGATGATGCTCGCAACCCTCCCACGCCCTTGCTGGCTTGGTAATAGGACCAGACAAGCGCAGCCACGTGACCCGGCGGAAGAAAAACGCTCAGAACGAGAGCTTCCAAAACGCGGAAGGATCCGCACATGTGCAGAAAGTGCAGCGGGCGCTCTTCATTCACGAGTGCCGATGACTGATGGTACTCGCAACCCTCCGACGCCCTTGCTGGCTTGGTAAAAGGCCCAGAAAAGCGCAGCCACGTGATCCAGCGGAAGAAGAAACGCTCGAAACGAGCGTTTCTACCCTCGAAACGCGGAAGGATCAGCACATGTGCAGGAAGTGCAGCGGGCGCTCTTCATTCGCGGGCGCCGATGACCGATGGTGCTCGCAACCCTCCGACGCCCTTGCTGGCTTGGTAATAGGACCAGACAAGCGCAGCCACGTAACCCGCGGGAAGAAAACCGCTCGGTACGTGCGCTTCCACCCCCAAAACGCGGAAGGATCCGCACATGTGCAGGAAGTGCAGCGGCCGCTCTTCATTCGCGAGCGCCGATGACCGATGATGCTTGCAACCCTCCCACGCCCTTGGTGGATTAGTAATAGGCCCAGAGAAGCGCAGCCACGTGACCCGGCGGAAGAAAAACGCTCGGAACGATTGCTTGCATCCCCAAAACGTGAAAGGATCCGCACATGTGCAGGAAGTGCAGCGGGCGCTCTTCATTCGCGAGCGCCGATCACCGATGATGGTCGCAACCCTCCCACGCCTTTGCTGGCTTGGTAATACGACCAGACAAGCGCAGCCACGTGACCCAGCGGAATAAAAACGCTCGAAACGAGCGCTTCCACCGCCAAAACGCGGAAGGATCTGCACGTATGCAGGAAGTGCAGCGGGCGCTCTTCATTCGCGAGCACCGATGACCGATGATGCTCGAAACCCTCCCACGCCCTTGCTGGCTTGGTAATAGGACCAGACAAGCGCAGCCACATGACTCGGCGGAAGAAAAACGCTTGGAACGAGCGCGTCTAGCCCCAAAACGCGGAAGGATCCGCACATGTGCAGAAAGTGCAGCGGGCGTTCTTCATTCGCGGGCGCCAATGACCGATGGTGCTTGCAACCCTCTGACGCCCTTGCTGGCTTTGTAATAGGACCAGACAAGCGCAGCCACGTAACCCGCGGGAAGAAAACCGCTCGGTACGTGCGCTTCCACCCCCAAAACGCGGAAGGATCCGCACATGTGCAGGAAGTGCAGCGGGCGCTCTTCATTCGCGAGCGCCGATGACCAATGATGCTCACAACCCTCCCACACCCTTGCTAGATTGGTAATAGGCCCAGAGAAGCGCAGCCTTGTGACCCGGCGGAAGAAAAACGCTCGGAACGATCGCTTGCATCCTCAAAACGTGAAAGGATCCGCACATGTGCAGGAAGTGCAGCGGGCGCTCTTCATTCGCGAGCGCCGATCACTGATGATGGTCGCGACCCTCCCACGCCTTTGCTGGCTTGGTAATACGACCAGACAAGCGCAGCCACGTGACCCAGCGGAATAAAAACGCTCGAAACGAGCGCTTCCACCCCAAAAACGCGGAAGGATCTGCACGTATGCAGGAAGTGCAGCGGGCGCTCTTCATTCGCGAGCGCCGATGACCGATGATGCTCGCAACCCTCCCACGCCCTTGCTGGCTTGGTAATAGGACCAGACAAGCGCAGCGATGTGACTCGGCGGAAGAAAAACGCTCGGAACGAGCGCTTCCACCCCCAAAACGCGGAAGGGTCCGCACATGTGCAAAAGGGGAACGGGCGCTCTTCATTCGCGAGCCCCAATGACCGATGATGCTCGCAATCTTCCCACGCCCTTGTTGGCTTGGTAATAGGCCCACACAAGCACAGCCACGTGACCTGGCGGAAGGAAAATGCTCGAAACGAGCGCTTCCAGCCCGAAACGCGGAAGGATCTGCACATGTGCAGAAAGTGCAGCAGGCGCTCTTCATTCGCGATCGTTGATGACAGATGATGCTCGCAACCCTCCCACGCCCTTGCTGGCTTGGTAATAGGAATAGACAAGTGCAGCGACGTGACCCGCCGAAAGAAAAACGCTCGTAACGAGCGCTTCCACACCCACAACGCGGAAGGATCTGCACATGTGCAGGAAGTGCAGCGGGCGCTCTTCATTCGCGAGCGCCGATGACCGATGATGCTCGCAACCCTCCCACGCCCTTGCTGGCTTGGTAAAAGGCCCAGAAAAGTGCAGCCAGGTGACCAAGCAGAAGAAGAAACTCTCGAAACGAGCGTTTCCACCCCAAAACGCGGAAGGATACGCACGTGTGCAGGAAGTGCAGCGTGCGCTCTTCATTCACGAGCGCCGATGACCAATGATGCTCACAACCTCCCACGCCATTGCTGGATTGGTAATGGGCCCAGAGAGGCGCAGCCACGTTACCAGGCGGAAGAAAAACGCTCGGAACGAGCGCATCCACCACCAAAACGCGGAACGATACGCACATGTGCAGGAAGTGCAACGGGCGCTCTTCATTCGTGAGCGCCGATGACCGATGATGCTCGCAACCCTCCCATGCCCTTGCTGGCTTGGTAATAGGACCAGACAAGCACAACCACGTGACTCGGCAGAAGAAAAACGCTCAGAACGAGCGCTTCCAGCCCCAA